TATTCGAGTTGAAATTATCGGACATAGTTATAGATATTCAAATGTATAATCTTGTAGTTTCATTTTATGTTATATAAAGTAAGTCTATATAAGGAAGATTGTATATATATAAAGTTAGAATATGTGGTCCTTTTATACTTTTGGAAAAGGAAAACAGTCTACCAAATATTGATAGTATTCTTACTAAACATTCTAGAAACATGTTCTAGACACTTATGAAACAATTAGTAATACTTGCTTACTAATCATTCTTAAAGAATGTTCTAGAATCATATTGAACAGTTAGTAATAATTTCTTACTAAACATAAAATTGTAATAACTAAGTATTGCTACTTTCTATATTATAACAAAAACTATCACATTATCGACAGAAACTCCATTTATATGGGTCTTCATATATATAGGTACAGGTTATTATTATTCACAAATAATAGGAAGTTTGGCCGAGTGGTTTAAGGCGCCAGATTTAGGTTCTGGTATCTTCGGATGCATGAGTTCGAATCTCATAGCTTTCATTATTTTTTAATTTTTTTATCTCCGGTCACGTGATTTTGTAACTGAAGAAAAACATGATAGATATATATTTCTGTTAGTCAAGTAGCATCACATGTATGTGTCTTTAATTAGTTATATCAGCTCAGAGCACTGTTATTATTTTATATTTCGAAATTTCAGTTGTCTTTCAATAATGGTTTTAACACTCTTTGTTATTTTTATATGATGCGAATTGTTTAGTCATATAGCATTCCCGGAGTGAAGAAAAAAAGAATAAATTTAAAGAACAAACATATATAAAACCTACCTAATATGATATAAATATCCTAATGTAGTATTTCTCTGTTGTATTCGATTGAAAATATAATCAATTCATTGGGATATGAAATTTTACAAGAAAACACTAAAATATTTTTAGATAGTTAAGAATTGCAAAATTTCGGAAAAGAAGAATGAAAAGACAAATTAAATTTAGTCAAAAACGACCACATATACTTACTTACTACTTTGCGGTATATAGTTACCCTTTTCACATAGATAATAAAATAAACTATCCTTTTGCGAAAGTAAATTCTGTGGACTATCGAACTCTTTGACAGATCCTTGATCCAACACCAATATTTTATCGTTATCCAGCACGGTATCGATACGATGTGCAATGGTCAATATGGTTCTACTCTTGAATTGCGCTCTAATGGTCTCTTGAATAATTCTATCGGTTTCCATATCTACAGCAGCCGTTGCCTCGTCTAAGACCAATATTCTAGATCTATTCAACAATGCTCTGGCAAGACACAACAATTGTCTTTGACCTAATGAGAGATTAGAACCATTTTCAGTTACTTTGAATTCCAAACAATCAGAGATCGTAGGCTTAGTTACATCATTATCATTTTGAGCTAGTCGGGTCAAATGAGGTTGTAAATGGGCCAACGCAAGTGCGTGCCACAATTCATCATTACTATATTTATTGAATGGGTCTAAATTATAACGTACATTGCCTTCAAAAGCTTGTGCATCTTGAGGAATAATTGCCAAGTTGCTTCTTAAAGTCTCCAGCCCAATAGTAGAAATATCAACCCCATCAACGATGATGGAACCTTCAGTTGCCTCCAGTAATCTAAATAGAGCTAGGGTCAGTGTAGATTTTCCTGCTCCTGTTCTACCGACAATCCCAATTTTTTCCCCAGACTTAATTTCTATCGAAATATCATTCAACACAGGTTTTAACCCCTCCCTATATGAGGTTGTATAATTATGGAATTCAATAGCACCTTTTGAAGGCCAATCATTTGCTGGAGTGTGATCACTGATTATCTCCAAAGCTTCAGGTTGTAGATCACAATATTCTACAACTCTTTCGACGGAAACTACATTAGTCTCCAATAACACAGAAGAACGTACTATCCATGTTAATGACATAGTTATACTCAAAACATAACTCATCAGTAAACCTACCATACCAGTACCTAATTGATTATCTGTATTAATTGTCGATAAAGTTAGCAGCGCGGTACACAAGATTATAAAAGCACCAATTGCCTGTAGTCTAATAGATAACCATCTATTAGTAGATCTATATGTGAAAACACAGTCAATATTGTTTTGAACCCTCTCTTGATTATAATGAATAAACATATTATTCTGATCATATGCAGCAATAACAGATCTACCACCTAAAGTTTCACTCATTAGGGACATTATTGGAGAGTAGGAAACACTGGTTAGCCTCTTAAGTTCCCTTGATTGGACCATAAAAAACTTCTGGTATTGATAGTACAAAACAAGTAGTATTGCGTTAAAAACAAAGAACCATGGCATATTGTACCCAATAAGAATAACTGTCACAAAGTAATCTAAGACGCAGTTAGAAAATACAGCAAATATATTTTGGATTGAGGAATCTATAGAATCAATATCTGAAGAAAAACGATTGATAATACGACCGACCGGTGTAGTTTCAAAAAATTGCATTGGACTACGCATTATAGAATATGCCATTCTATTATGAAGATTCGTGGATGCCCTAATAGAACAATATATCAAAAGAATAATTGTTCTTAAGTTACTAAATGCTGCAGATACGATACCAATCAATGCATAAACAGACACAAACATAATAACATTACCATTGTTCCCAGTTTGTTCATTAGATTCAGACCAGTATTTCAACCAGAAACGTTCACCAAGATCAAATATTCTAGATAACACCAGAAACACACCGAATAAAACCACACCACCTAACCCACATGCCTTTGCATATGTCATATAGACTGAAAATTTAACTCTACCTTCAGCAGTTTTTTCTCTTTTTTGCCCAGTCTTCCGTTTGTTATCATTAACTTCAACCAATGGGAGCGACTTTAAGGTTGCAAAAGAAGATCTTCTTAAAGCAATATTTTCCACATCAGTACTATCCTGAATATCATTAATATTTTCCTCTTCTAAATCTTCCACAAAAGCTGGAACTTCTGAACCGGAATCAACTTTGATCTCAATTGGAATTTCCTTATCTGACGTGTTATTACCAGTTTGATCATTATTGTTACTATCGAACGTTAATAACATATTTGTCAGTAAAGAATCACCAGCCTCTTTTAGCATTGCATCTTGATACGTCCCTTCTTCGACAATACAACCTGCTTGCATGACATAAATGTTTCTAGCAAATTTAAGGACTGAAAGGGTGTTTGTAGATAAGATAACTGTTTTGTCCTTAAGTAAACCATGATCACGGTCTATCACGTCACGAATAATATTCTTACGAACACCAGCATCTACTGCAGATAAGATATCATCTAGTAAGTATATATCTGCTTGGGCATATACGGCTCTAGCAAGTGCTAAACGTGCTTTTTGACCACCTGAAAGAGAGATACCTTTTTCTCCTACCATAGTTTCATCACCGTCGGAAAATATATTAAAATCTGGCAATAACTGACATGCTTGAATTGTTTTATCGTACACTATTCTGTTGAATTTACGGCCGAAAAGAATGTTTTCTTTTATAGATTGGTTCATAATCCATGCTTCCTGAGGACAGTAAGCAATTTCTTGACCTCTAATGTATAGTCTCGGAGGTTTATCTTCTACGGAGCCACTGACACATGGTAATTGTCCCAAAATTGCCCTTAACATTGTTGTTTTACCCGATCCAACACGGCCCACTATGCAAGTCAGTTCCTTAGATTTAGCAATAAATTTATCAATATTTTTCAATGCAATTTCGGTTGAACCAACATGTGCTTCTTCATCATTCATTTGTTGATCTACTATCGCCTTCTTTGATTTCCATAGAAATGTAGCGTTTTCTATCTCAATGGCAGCGTCATTATCTTCAAAATCTTCAGCTGATTTTTCAATGAAAGATGTATCAATTTCTTCAGCTAATAAGAATTTCTTCAGTCTTCCCATAGAAACATTAGTTTCAATAATAGTATTAATAGTTGATGGAATTTCATAGATTGCCATATTTAAAATATTAAAAAGTGATAATGATGGGAATACCAATTCAGGTGTTAAAGGATAATCATTGACGTATGAGAAGATTAAAAATGAGAAACTAGTGACCATAAGTGGTACACAATTCCATGCAAAATATATTAAACTTGACGCAATACCAATTTTCTTCAAATTCCTCAATTCTTGATCATTACGAACATGGTTCAATTTTTCTAACATTGGCTTTTCCCAAGCATAAAACTTAATAGATTTGATTGAATTTATAATTTCTGTGATTGTCTTAATTCTAATATCTTTATACTTCATTTGTGTCTTCGTTAAAGATTTGATTTTCTTAGATAAGAATGAATTCACAGGAATCATGATTGCCATAACTAATAGACCACCGATAATAGCTTTCCCAAGTAAGAAATACAATGAAATTAATACTGTTACAATTTGTAATGGGGCCCCAATGATAGTCTGAGAGTTTTCGAAAAATCTTTGTAATCTTAAGACGTCAACGGAAAGTAAATTCAATATATCACCTGTAGTATATTCACCTCTTGATGCACTAGATAATTTTAATGTTTTTTGATAAATTAAGCTCATGACAGATCCTCTGATACCTAAACCTGCTTCGAAAATTGTAATAAAGAATTGATTTTTCAAGATTGTGGAAATAATGTTAATCAAAAACAACGAAAGTGCTAAAAATATACCATGTAAAGGGGGGAATGAAGCTTGAGATTCTTCCTTGTTGAAACATTTAATAAATAATCTTAAAATTTGCGGTTCAATAATATTCAATAAATCGTTTATGGTTTCCATTGACATAGCTAACAAAATTGTCAAACCAAAAGTTTTCCAAATTGCATTCAATAAGGAGTTTTTATTTTGAAGTCTTTGATATTCCCAGTTTTTTTCTACTGATACTGTAAAATCACGAATATTTAAATCAATTGGTGGTAAAGGTAAATGGTTTGGATCCTTTAATTTCTTATTTGCATATGTTTCAGAGATTAATTTATTCATCCACATATACGTTAAATTAGAAAAGATGTTTACAGAATGGAATATATTATTCTCGTCGTAATAATTGATAATTGTGTGGGAAGGTTTGAAAACTATTAAATCGTAAACAAATATTTGAGTGACATTTAACATTAATAAGATTTCTATGATCATACCTATATTACCTTGTATTAGATTATATGAATCATCTGGGCTATGGTAATATCTTTGTAAAAGTTGAAAGGATAAAAATAGTATTTGCACCAAATAGAAGAATAATTGATTCCCAACTGCACAGATACTTTTAAAATATTGAATATATTGAGTGGGTAATGATATTAGTATGGTAAAACACAAATTTGATAATATGGAATACTTCAAAATTGGCGGATAACTCTGAGATGTATTTTTTATGACATATATGAATTGAATGCAATATAATGTTGCTTGGAACAGAATAGATGTCAAATGGGATATGTGTCTTGCTGGTAAACATTGAAAGTTTTTGATATTTCTATTGAATGATCTTGGTACCTCTGCATTCAGATATAAATTAACTAATTGCCATAAACCTACTATGATGAAAAAAGTAGTAGTTGCTGTAGAGACTAAACTAACAAAACATGGATTTAAAGCGTTGGTTGTATTGTCAATATATGGATTATAACCATATTTGCATGTCACCGGTACAGTGCTATTATATAAAAGAGAAAACATTATGATGAATTTTCACTCATTATCAGCGATAAATGGTCTGTAATATGTAAAATAATAGCAATGGTGTCGATACTCGGAAAATAGGACGTAAAAAAAGGTAGAATACGTTGTCTTTTATCTTGATCTTTTGTGTTTCTTATATAAAAGTAGATATTTCACTTTTTTCACTTTTCCTTTATTTTCTAAGATAAAAATAAAGAGATAATGTAACAAATATATTGTTTATTGTGATAAGTAACATTCTATAGTATCAATAAACAATCGATTCAAGTAGAAGCTATTGTATTTCCTTTTAGTTCTACTGAAGAAATAATAGATAGTCTAATCTTTAAAATGTGTAAAAAACCAAAATTATCATAAAATGAAAAAAGAAGAGGAAGAACTTACAAGGTTTGTTACGTAAGATGAACAATTTTTCCCTCAATCGCCTTATAGTTATCTGCGCCCTTATACCGCAGATGGAATGGTAATGACAAAATAATGGTTACTGTAACAAATGTGATTGAATGATCTTTCAGTTACCATGTATTTACTATTTATTGGTTTTGAAAAGCTATCGATGTCTGTGTATATTATGTTATCCTCATCAGTCGCTATCTCACCTCTGTTAAGCAAGGTGCATATGCACCCTACTATTGACCTCTACGGATATTTCTTAACCACAATGGGTGACATTCATAATTTCTACAAGATCTTAACTCCATGGACTTTTTTGAACCAAGGATCTGTTCAATGAAACAGATTGATCATTATCTCAAAAATTGGGCTTATAATGTCATGTAAGAATTGTCTACCTCATGTTTTCTTTTGAAAACGTGAAAATGCCAAGAAAAGAACTAACAACAGTTCTAGTGATATGTTCTAGTCATAACAACTAAGTATTTTCACGGAAACTTCAAATTCTCTCTGTTAGAGGGGGGAGGAATCTTTCCTGGGTTCATCTCCTTTCTTTGAACTTAATAATATATGGTATTAAAAAATTGCTTAGTATTGTAGGGCCTAAGTCACTATTTTCTCGAAGCTATAAATGTATCATATTATGTAATGTCTTAATATTTCGACATTAACATTCAATATAGGAATTCAAGAACACATCGAATAAGAACCGTTTCATATGAATAGCAAAAGCTATTGCATTTGCGAATGTTATGAAGGCAAATATTTTATATTGTCTGACAATATACCCCCTATCTATTTTCATCCGCTCATTCCTTAAAACTCTAGAATGAGCATTTAAATATCTACAGGTACATATATACAACAACATTCTGAAAAGATGAGGTGCTAAATGATTAAAAATGTGTCTGGAATTATTTTTTTGCCGCTTTTTATTATTTAAAGTAAAACATGTGTGATATTCAAAGGTAACCGTTTTATATCTTATAATAATCAATGAAATTTCTGCTGGATCGAAAAGAATGGCAGTAATCGCATATTTAACTTACATAGTAATTTTTGAAATTATTATTAAAATAGAATACTAGCCTGATACTCTATATATACAATGTTTCAATCATTTTAGGACATCTAATATTGAAATTATTTAATTTGGGGTATTATATAATAGCACACAATTGTAGCGATTGTAGATCATAATCAAGAAATAATCAAGAGAAGAACACAGTTTAATATGTAGTACCTTTTTAAAAGGACAGTAGTGATGTATCAAATTCTGCTAGAACAGGTACATTGACCCAAGAGAATATGCATATAGATTAAAAAAATATTAAATCTTAATGCGGGTCAATTTTGTTTCTACGGTTTGTAAGTATACAAGAAATAATCAAAGCAATTATAATCTTATAATTTGATGTTTAATTAGTAATAATTTACTTTCAAATCAATCTATAGTTTATTGTCAGTTTGTCAGTATCTGTATTACAAAATTTGCGAGTTTGGGTACTTTCATGTCAAGCGAATATAGTTATACTAAGAAGTTCAAAATTGTCATTTTTTTTTATTTAAATTGCGTTCCATAACCATTCATGTTTCCAATAGAACATATTATTGAATTATTAAGTTCTGTATCAACGCATCAATTAATATCGTTATTATTTTATTCTTTATAGATGTTTATTTAATAATGGTAAACGTATTGGTGAAGTGAAGTAATATGATACTGTCGTACAGTATCAATTTACTTCTTAGCTATGCTCTCTCTTTCTTTCTTTCTCTATTTGTTTCTTACCGCGACAATAAAAATAACACAAATCGATGACTGGCGATGCGAACAAAAGGAGGCCGGTTCCGGCCAAATATTCAATTAATGTCAGTAATTCCCGGGGTAAAACTGTTTGAATAAGGATGATAAATTGAAAAGAAATAAAGGAATAGTTAAAGAACTACATTATGAACCGTCTCACTAAATAATGTAGATCTCTCTCCTTTTCGGAGCTTCGATCTATTTTGGGTGTGACATCCATAAGATCAAATTTCTTTTGCATGTAAAACGAGAGAGAACGACAGATGCGTTTGTGTATTCAAAATATATAGTTTCTATTCGACAAGATATCTTGTGTTGAATAATTAATATCAAGAGTTTTTGAAAATACAAAGTAAGAGGATCCCCTGTTCAATCTTAAGAGAAGTCAGAACTGTTTAATCACAGACATCCTAGGAGTATAGGTGTAGAACATAAAGAAAAAACAAAAGAAATGTTTGTAGAAGGCGATAGGTATCATAAGTATGAATGATATTGAAATAACGTGGGATGAATATAATGGGAATTAATTATAGAACGATGATACAATTACAATTTTGTTGAGAAAACTTCCAAATAAAAAGAACTAAAATATTTTGTCTCTGAGCTTTATTAACTTCGGAGATATGTTCATAGTATTAAAACAGAAATGAATGTAAACATAAAATATACTTTTATAGAAAGAATATACAAAAATTGTATGGAAAGGAAAAATGGAATTAATTTGATATAAAAAATATGCGAAGAAAATATCTATTAAAATGGAATCACCAATCTTAAATATTTATCGATAAAAGGATTAATGATATGTGGAAATAAATAAGAAAAAATATGCTGAATCGTTGCGTCATTAGATAGGAAGATCGTCCCTATTATCACCATCGTCATTGTTTCTGATATTCTAGTTTATTCATCTTCTTTAGTCAATTTCTTCAACTCTCTTAATCTATCGATAAGTTTTTTCCTTCTAGTCAAAGGAACTTCTGTAGACATATTTTCGCCACTGTCTTGAACGTAGTCGTTATGAAAGGATGGGCTGCCATCATTTTGTCTCTTGGCCAAATTATAATAATCGTTAAATATTTTTCTTCTTCTCACATTGATAAACCAATTGGAAAGTTGGATCTTTGTCAATCCGGTCTTAATCAACAATTCTCTCTTCTCTTGTGCCGTAGGATATGGATTGTTTAAATGGTTCAATAACCATGAGTTCAGGACTTGTATCGTCTCTTTTGGTAAGTTGGACCTGGACTGTCTTCTGTCAATGGTTTTCTTATGCATTGATTCACTCTTTCTTCTAATTTGTGATTTGGCTTCCACAGAAATATCCTGTTTTATAATAGGAGGCGCAGGGCTGATACTTTCGTTATTTATAGATGGTGTAATATTATCTGCCTGTGTTGTTATGTAATTTGGGGGAGAAGGAAGTTTGGCAATACCATTATAGTTTTGATTGAGTACCGGCAACGGAGAGTGTGCGTACAATGTAGGTGTAGGTGTACTAATGGGAACCATAAACTTTTTATTCATTAAATTATTGCTAGTTGTGGCTAACAAACTCAACGAGCTTTCATTTTTCTGCTGTATATTGTGATTGGAAGATTGATCTTGGAGCGTTGGTTGTGTATCTATCGAGCTTAGTAATGATTTAATAGACGGTAGTTGTATATTCGTGTTGGCAGGGTTCATGATTGTGAAAAATATTTGTATTGGGATTAAATGTGCAATGAAAAGAGAAGATATAAAATGCAATAAGATTAAAAAATAATTCCAAAGCTTTTTCCTTTCTATGGATTAATATATGTGTAAGAACTGGTATTTACTATAATTATAATAACAACAAATATGTCTTTCTATAAACTATTTTGAATAGGATATTCCAATGATGAGTGAAAAAATATTCCAACAATTGAAGTGATGTTTATAAAAGATGAAAATAAAAAATTGGAAACACCTTTGTGTAAATAAAATATTAAAAGTCTTGGCTATTCTAATATGGCTTATATATATATATATGATCAAATGAGGTTAAGTAAGGAAGTTGTTATTTCAACATCATTTAGTATTACGATAAACGAATGATCGGAATTTCAGTCATACGTTAGTAACTTAACAGATAGTACAGTGGGAAAAATGCTGTACATATTTTATCACATGAAGAAAAGGACCTAGAAATAGAGAAACTTTCAAGGGAGGGTCTACGAAACGTACATATGTAGCTGATGTACTTTAATCCAAGTAAGAAGGAAGAAATTTTCATAGTAGTAAAAATTCCTTAAATTCGGTTGTCATCATCATATTTAGCGACAGCATCGACCAATGTATTTTATTATATTGTTCATACAACCGATTTATTCGGTTGAGATATGGCTATTATACTCTTTGTAATTTTAAAAAGAAAAGCTGCAAGAAACAAAACATCTGAACAACATGTTGTATTTGGAATTAATAATAAGTACATAGAAAGAGGTGTGCTAAGAAAATGAAAACCACATTTATTCTGACAAAGAAAAAAAGAAGCGACCGAAGCTCTCACGGAAGTAATGTATCATAAATACAAATCACACAGCATTCAAACTTCTTTTTTTATTTGCCATATTAAATCAACTATCTCAATCATTATCTCTGATGCGAGATTGGCCAAATGACACATACTTTGTTAGTTGTTATACTAATTCTGCGAGAAAATTCTGACCGTTCTTTACAAACCGGTGGTATTGTTCCGCTTACTATGACAGATTTTTCTTTCTTTCTTCTTCACCTGTAACAGTAAATGATCACTTTACCTCTTTCCGTCCTGTTATTATTATTATTCTCCCTCATGTTATCGCTCTGCCTCAGAGTTGTCTCACTAGTATTTCAGTTAAATGTAGTCGTATTTGTTACTGAAAAGTTTCCCCTGCCTAGACCTCTGTAGGTAAATATACTGAGGGTTATGTGATAATTAATATTTAAAAAACCGTGAGCGGGATATTTGAACTTTGCAATCATTAATTACATTTCATTTTAATTTTTTTTTGACTCTTACCTTCGCTTTTCTGTGAAGAAAACGTAGTTTTATCAACTACCAAGCAAAAAAGAGATATTGAGAAACAACTGTTTGTTTTTCATTTGCTACTGTTCCGGGCACCTTTCTCTGCGTCAATATCTTACCTTTCAACCAAAACTTTTGTGCCAAAAATATTTATTATAATAAGTAAAATAGATGGAAACTGTCTACGGAGCTTTGTAAGATATCCTCCCACGCGAACTGGAAATAACAATACCGCCGTATGGTGTGGCGTGGGGAGACAAAATTATTAAGACAAAAGTCGCACACACATTTCAAATTAGTTTTTTCTTATTTGGAAGAAGCTGATACAGTAATATTCTAACACAATATGAAATCCGCTTTGCAACGTGCGTTCTTGAATTTCCCTTCTGGTGTAAAACTATTCTTCATATTGAATTGATTGTCCAGAAGAAGGTTTACTCAAGCTAAGGAGAAGACAATAATTCATGAGATAAATCGGATAAAAGATTATAATCGGGAAAGGACCTTCCTAGGAAGTTTAGAATTCTTCACAGCCAAATAGGTATCGGTATGTCTGGACAAACGAATATACGTTATTACTCTCTAACTGTGTATATCAAGCTCCATTTAAGGATAGAAGTGTGTGTTTGTTAAAGAAAGTAGTCAGACCCTTGTGATTCTTTATTAGGGATATGAACATAAAAAGGTAACACTTTATTATCTATATTTTCGAACTATGAACAATTTTTGGTTAGCCATCAAAAATAAATTTTGTGTGTCACAAATTACACCATATTATCATAATTCAAAATGGCAATACATAAGACTCTATAAGCTATTATCTTTATTTTACAAACAGTTTTAAAATTCTCGATAGTTTGGTATATCCATGCTATCTAATATAAGTTTGTCAATTAAACAGATCGGAATTCTATGGAATATTCTAGGAGACCTTTTCTTACCTTCCATTTTGAACTCAAATCGTATACTAAGGAAATGACTGATCTTAATTCTAGCAATATTTGGATCTTGGGTACTACTTTCACAATAGAATGGATGTACAAGGGTATTGGCTTTAATTATTTCATTATAATTTGTAATTTTTAAATCATTGATAGATATTATTTGTAGATTATTTTTTTCTTTATTATCTTTAATAATTTGATATTTTCTGTCTTTATTTTTCACTCCTGAAAGGTTAGTTTGTCCACTGTAAAGGTGTTTCTCAAGTTTAAAAATATGACAATCAGTTTTATCACTCTCTTCACGATTAGAAGAAGTCATATCCTTGAAAGAAGAAGAAGACTCCCCAAAAGGTATTGCAACATTCTGTATTAGGAAAACTGTAATGGTATCTAAGGGGTATTTCTTTTTAAGTAATAACTCAATGCATATATTGAAGTAAGAATTAATCTCAATGATTCTACTATCCAGACATATTTGATATTCTACTTCCAATTTGTTACAAATCCCATGATAAAAGACAGTATCCTTCAATAATCCCATATCATATTCATTTGATAGGACTCTGTAATAGTCAATCTTTCTTGATAAAATTGACCATTCTTTATAATTTTTTTGTGAATCCTTTTTCATTATCTGGCATTCAACTCTATAGAAAGTTTTCCCCCAAACCGTATTTAATTGAGCTGGGAATTTATTTGGATATATTACAAATGTAAATGGCAATTCAATCTTACCTGGTTTCTTTAATGTAATCCCTTGAGGAATCTTTTCTAAAAGATCAATATGTAATGATTGAATGGGTAACATTCGTAAGGAGGTCTTTTTATCAAACCTTTGAAATGCAACTGATGTTGGATATTTAGCTTTACCTAATTCATTATCTGTCTGCATGATAATCTCTGTAACAAAACATTTAAAATACACATTAATTGATTCTAATGTAATTGGGGATTTTAATTCTTCTAGAATATCAATAAGTATGTGACCACTTAAAGTAACTGCCGAGGTAACTGTGCTACTCCCGTCATTTGAATCCGAGCAATTCATTCTTAAATTGGACGACGTATTATAAATTGAGGGTTTATTAATAAAATCTAGATCACACATATAAATATTTCTTGAACTTTTAGGAATGATTAGTCGTATAGAGTAAGACCCTCTTTTTTTCCTTTGCCAAATAATTTTATTGATCTCAGGGTTTTCAACAACATTTGATGCATCATAATAATAATTAGGAACATGAGAATCCTTCAATTTTTTAATGGTATTCTTATCTTTCAGTTTACCAAGTGTAATCTTTGTAAAGAGTGTTTTATTTGAAATGTTCTGTGTATATTTTTTAATTAAAGTTCTTTGGTTATCTGTAGTCGTATCAAATTTATTATCCAACGCTGTAAATAATCGAAATACACCCATCAGTTATGTTTTTAGACTTCAGTTGTTGATTATTATTATTATTATTATTATTATTATTATTATTATTATTATCTTCATTAAACCTCAAAATATAAGAAAATTGATGATGTTTAGTAAACTTTGTACATTTCAAGATATATGAGGGTAAATAGTTATTAAAGCTATTGTAGCCGCCGTCCGTACAAAAGATAGGGACCGGTATATTGAATATCTAATAATTAACAAAAATAAAAAAGGGAGGATAGTCATGTACTTTTTATATGTATATAGTATATAAGGAGAGGAAATAATTGTGTAAAGAGAACTTAAATATATATGTAATATTTGAAACTAGTGTTGAACTTTGTTATCGCCAGTGTTAGGGTTGTTATCGTGAGAGATTTCATCATATTTAGGTAAAGAAGAAGAATTTTCTTGTATATCTTGAGCATCTCTCTCCAAATCGACATTGAAGTCACCATTATTTAATGGAACTTGGTCCTCTCTTAGCGTTCTACCATCAACAGTAGAAGTTGTGTTATTTCTTTCCAAGTCACGTTCCCTACTAGATTCGTAAACGATGTAAAAGGAATGGATCGTGGCTGGGAAAAACAGAATCATAAATAGTAGAATGTTTAATAGGGAATCCTTACTACAGAAACCCTTTCTAATGATGACTGGTACAGGTGGAATAAACACACCTAAAATAATAAGTAATAAGTCATCCTTATTGATAGAATATTTTGCACTTTCGTTAGCCATTGATAAAAATAATATATTTGTGTTGTTGCTGTTCTTGTGAGAGAGAGAAAAAGGACGAAATATAGTATATTTTGTAAGAACTACTATTTATCAACCTGTTGTTCAGAATATATGTATATATTCTCCTTTACAAAATAGCAAGAATGTCCGAAGTTTGCATGTTCATATCTGACTAACTTTTCTAATAATAACAAGTTTTGCTTACAGCATCGCCTCCTTCACCAAATTCTTATTATTATTTTAATTTTTACTAGCAGCACGTTTCACGCTCCTTAATTTTCATTGCGGTGCTGCTGCTTCAGTAAATGAATAGATAAAAGGGCACATCGTTGGGAGTGACCAGAAACGAGCCTCTCATATTTTCATGAACTGCTCCCCTTTCCAATGTTAATCATCACTTAAAGCACGTTGATAGTCTAAGTTATACTAATCAACGTATCCTTCGATGTACATATTCATATTTTATATAAAGAGAAAAAGGTGAGTGTATGTACAGTTCGTTGTGAGTTGAGGACTTGAATTCAATATATGGAGACAACAACCAAACTGCTTATATGTATGTATGTGCTACTTCAAGTACTATTAAAATCGAAAACTATGGTATTGTGATACTTCCTTTAAACCCTTGATCCTGCTACATGTTGTTTCTCCCTTAATATTATGTGTATAGCTATGATCGTATGTTCTTACCCATTTATTGATACTCAACCCCTTATACTTAAATATTTTATAGAGAGAGAGAAAAGGAATCATTTTATGTAGGTATGTAAGTTTAAATTTTATTTTAAATTCTTGATCTTATTCAAATCGTCATTAATTTTTACATGCTTCCTTTACCCTTTCTTTTATTCCCACTTCTCCTTCATTGTTTGCGATCAAGCCGTATTATCACTGGTACACTTATTCCTATTTTTCTATGCGTGTTTTGTGATTGATTTCTGAACACCATTTTTTGATATATATATATAGATGTATACAAATGAACAAATAGTAAGGGGATTAGTTCCAATACATTACACTTTATATATACTAACTGAGAAGAAAATATCATAACCAAGTGATAAAGTGTGTGAGTATTTTGGAAATTCTTTTTTTTTCTCTATTTCATTGAAAAACTCTATACGTCATGTCAAGTTTACTCTATAACAATAATAAGGATTTCGAACCTTCGAGACCATTCCCTCTTTTTAAATTACCTGATGAATTATTATTTGAAGTATTTTCTCATTTAGCACAACCAGATAGATTAAACGTTACAGTTTTAAATAAAAGATGTTATAAAGTCGCTACAAAATTAATCTATAGAAGAATATATTTAAATGATTCAAATGTGGTTCGTAGTGATTATATTAATATTGCAATAAATTGGACTCTATTAAATATACCGTCATATTTAGAAGAACAGGATTCAAGAGAAATTGCGAATAAAAAATTGAAATTATTGATACGTGCATTTATGACAAATAAGAGTACTTTAGAAGCCGTTCAATGGATACGAATAAACTGGGATTTAGATGAAGATTTACAAAGAAAGATATTATCCTTGCTATGTTCAGATGGTATATCCTTACAACGGTTGGAGAACGTCACGGATCCGATGTGTAATGATATTATTGCCAATGGTGAAGTATCTGCAAAACATTTAACAAGTATGGATATGGCTCCACCACATTCATTACCTGAATTAGATGTTCCACGAGATTATATTCCAAATTTAATTACTTATTTAGATAAACGAATCTCAACAAATTTATCACATATGACATTATTCATTGATCCAGTAAGATTATTCAATTATTTATATCATTTGAAAGAAAAATTGACTATAGTGGATTTAAAATTACATTGGAGAAGAGAATTTTATCCTTCAAAATATTTTAATGAAAATAATGTGAGAATACCTAAACTAAAGAAATTAAATGAAATATTCGACGTAAGAACTTTAAAGACGTTGACAATTATATCATGGAATGAATCCCTTATTTCAAGAGAAATTGAAATGATGAAAGAATTTAAGGAATTTATTTATCTGGAGGATCTTTCATTGATTTCGATAAAACAAGATATTGATATTCTTATTGACTTGTTTAATAAATTGGTCAATTTAAAAAGATTAAAAATGGATTTCTTAGAAGATTATATTCCAGAAACAACTAATCCACAAATTTTCTTATCGATTTTATTATGTTGTAAAAAATTAGAATTTATCGATATTCGATTCGAAGGAATTGATTCACCAATTATTAACTTAGTTGGGGAGAAATTCGAAATATCACAAAAATGTTCATGTAGTAAATGTAATTTTACATTCAATGAAATCCTAAGGAAAAAGATTTTCCTATTTCCAATTGATTATTATTTAAGTGATGTTCAAGATATTGCAGCAAAGGATATCTTTAAAATGATGAGATATTTATCATTGTTACCTTACTCTAAAGCTTGTGATTCTTATCCAAGTGTTCGTACCCAACCAATGAATTTAGAAGCTTTTGTCAAGAAAATGAATGAAAATTTAATCACTTATAGAGGAAATAGAAAACAATTATTAGCTCCAGATAAAAATAAAATTGTGAATGTTAACAATAGCACGGTTTCGAGTGCAAACTCTAGTAATAGCAACACAGAGGGTGGCAGTGGTAATAGTAGTCTTAATACTAATAATAACATTGATGAAGATTATGATATGGATCTGGATTTAGAAAATGAAATTGATATTGAATTGGATATTGATAATATTTTAGGACAAGTATCGAATCAACAACAGAATCACACAAGCGAAAATAATACAGAGACAACAGCAACTATTAATACCGGTGGAATCGGAGATGTTCATGGTTCCGCGTCGACTTCAGATACATCAACTTATACTGAAAATTTATTAAGATTACCTCATAAGCCATTAACAAAGAACGATGTCATTCTGTTGTATCATACATTGATCCATCATTTCAAGACTACATATTATACATTCTTAAAGGGGTTCCCACGATTAAGGTTCCTTATGTTAAATGACATACCCACGATTACCATCGAGGAAGGTAATGAAAGGATATTCCATCCAGTTTTCTACCATTATGGTTATACATCTAATTTGCATGGTTGGTCAAGACATAGTGCCTCAAATAAAAATTCAAACAAGAATAATGATAATGATACTGTGACTAAGAGAGCTACCTTCATATAACATTTGCTTTACATTATTACATCATTTTATTTCATTATTATTCCTGTTTTTTTAATATTTACACAGTATATCATTTCTAAATACCCATAGTGTGCGCACTCACAAATTCATATGTATATATGTGTGTGTACATTATCTCAGTATAGTCTTTAACCGTTAATGATAATTTTATTATAATAGAATATTGAATATATAAAAGATAAAGTAGATGGCATATATGTGTCTCTACATGTATTAACTTATTTGCTGCTAATGGCCCTGCCAAGCAATATTTCCAAATGACCTAAAATTAATTTAATGACAGGATGAAGTAAGAAAAAAAATTTTCATCTCGCGCTACAACTAAATTTCTTCATATAAAAGAAAACAGAAACGAAACATATCAACAATTCGAATTTTTTCTTTCTATATCTAACTTTTTTGGTTTTTTCTTCTTACCTTTGTTATAGGTAGGTATGGCATAACGCTACTTTGATACGTTACAACTAATATGATGTCAGTGGGGACGTTATTCGATGTAATTGGATGGATGTTCATCATCTGTCATATTTTTCCCTTGAATTAGGTCGATAGTCTCCAATTATTTTATTTACGTAATGTACCAAAAGTTATGCCATACATTTAGATACTGATATCGAAGATTAAGCTACGGTTATATTCTTTTTTGAAAAAAGAATATAATTATCCAACTTTAAAACCATCGCCGTTAGAGGTTGCTTCTTTTCGGAGTCAAGCGATCCATGAAATGGTGATGACCTATAGTCTGGAACATTCCCCTTTTTCCTTTTCTCTTTGTTTTATGTCTTGTATAGCTCTTATGTATAACGTAATGATAATTGAGTCTTGATTTCTTCTTCCTCGCTGCTTATAATTTTAAAGATATCTTCGAGTTCAGGTATTAAACTTGTTCTCAATTTATTATTTGATTGGCAACCGTTATACAAATCATGTAGAATTAAATTCAATGATGTCGCGAATTTGTATTGTGTGGTAATATTATTCATTAGAGGAGCACTCTTCACAAGTTGTTTCTCTGTTGCTTCATTGGGTTGTTCATTTATCAATTTAAGCTCCATACTCAATTTCACAATTTTGATCATATATTTTCGAAATTCTTTATAAGGGGCCAATGTACGTAGAGTTGTTATAAACAATTCTTGATTTCTTGATAATGTTTGATATTGGGGCAATACGGTAGCTATTTCAAATAAGGATTGATATAATGTAATTATTTTAGAAGGCCCCCAATTATCTAATCTTACTATTGTATCGTATATGATTTTTTTACTTTCTTCGATATTATTCCTTTGGTACAAACATCTCCAAAAGACTCTCTGTATAGCTGGAGTAAATTTATCGAATCTCTCTATCCATTCTTTATTGTATCTTGCATTTATTTCAGGATTCTTTGTTCTATAATATATTAGTAACGATATCTCAAGTCTTTCTATATAAGAGAATAACGTAATATTTGACCATAATTCTTTAAAATGGTTAAATTGTTTCGATAAGATTATCTTTGAGGCCTTATTCATTGAGAAACTCTCGGTTAATTGAGACAATAGCAATTTATTTAGCAATTCTTTCGACGATAGCGATGACATGTTTTGAGTCTTACTTGGAGACTGTCCTTGTTGTAATGGAGAAGTCGATTGTAGAACATTTTTCAACTGATTATAAAACGTATCATAATGAACCCTAATCTTTTGTTCATTAGCATTATGTAATGTCAAATTTGAATTTAGAAGTTTAACTACATTTTCAATGTATTGTTTGTCTTCTTTATCATAACTCTCAGGATATGTATTCATAGATGGCTGTGATGTTGATGTAGTCCTGGAGAGTTCTGAGATGGAATTTCCAAATATAGATGAGAAAGTAGAAGCCGATTTCTTCCCATTCGTTAAAAATTTCAAAGTCGAACGCAGTTCCTCATTCTCAGACTTCCCTAATCTTGCATATATATGTAGAAAGGCCTTACGCATAGTACAGATATTCTAAATTCAATGATGATCTTATCAATTTCTGATAAAAACCTTCTGGTGAATGAATATATATATATATATATATAAAAATCCGTATCACGTTAAATGATTTCTTGATATCAAACTAATTATAAGTCTAGAATCGATCACTTAGTGGTGTTATATGGTTATCTAATCTGAAGTTCATAACGTAATATCAATGAGCCTTCCTTTCTCGTGATTCCATCGAAATTATGTTTTCAAATAGAATTTTAGTCCTTCCCATCACGTGCACCCAGCTCCGTATTTTCCCTCTTCTCCTCACTTTTCTCTGTGTCTCCCCACCGCTGGCTTGGATGAAATCCGACGGAGAAAATTGATGAGAAAATTTGGGTGATTTTTTTCTGTTTAATTTTTGGGGTTTCGTTGCCAATAGGAAGAACAAATTAGGGAAGAGAAACTTAACTTGGCAGTTAATGAGCAGTGTTTTCACTGTTTTTGAACCAGAAAGACATACAACAAACTACATCTCGTACTACTCAAGTTTTGATTTATATTTTGGGGAATCAGACTAATAAAAGGCAAGACAGATAAAGTTTGCAAGTCACTCACATTTTTTTAAAAATAAGGATTAAAAAATCATACAAATGCAGAATAATCCTTTACAAGACGATTTAACAGGAGATCTGGCGGCCGCAGTGAGAAGATCATGGTCTGAATCTCAAAACACAGCAAGAAGACAAGGAGGCGGTCCTTCGTATACAGCGGATCCTGGACATTCACCGATAGGTACTCCTGTGCCTGAACCCTTTGAAGACGTTTCTATTCATAAATTCAACTCGACTTACCCTCAATCGAATTCGAGTTCTTTAAGTGAAAGTGGGAATGCCCCACATTTTAAACAGCCAAAATTACCATTGCAGCAACAAAATCAACCTATAATCATAAATGAAGCTACAGGGCATCATGCTTTTGATCAGTTTTATCATAATCACCATACCAATGGCAACAATAACACTAAAGATAATAAAAATGGTAAAGAGCCAGATTATCAGTTATTTAAACATCATTACTCCATTTCAGAGGATCATCGAGATTCAGTAGTCGAGATTTTGAATGGTTTAGAATTAGAGTCTCCCGAACCTGAAACAATGCAACATAGTGCATCTCCAAGATTACCTGAACAACATCCGATACATGGAACTATACCTCGAGAACATCGTACATCTGTATCGAAACAATCGACCACAACTAGAAGGGGATCTATGCAAGATGTTCAGTGGGTCAGACAATTACTGAATCCAAGAAGTTCGTTCTCTGGTAGATCTGTAAATGAGCCACCAGCAAATGGTAACTCTACCGCCTCCAATAGTGTTAAAAATAATAACACGGGATCCTGTTCAGGCAGTGTATCTTATGATTTTCCAACAGACAATAAATGTTGGGTTACGATTTTAGCAGATGATTCAATTGAGGCAGTGAAATCAGTGGTCGTACTTAGTGAATCTGTACGTCTTTCGGGTTCAATATATCCATTATATGTGGTTCATGATAATCAAATTAATATGTCAAGACTTAATAATTACAATGTTGCATCTATCCCTATATCATTAGAACATTTCATTAAAACATCGAATGAATCACCTCACAACAATTGGTTGATTTTATCTCTATTTATTAACTTAGTGGATCATTTCGATGTTGTCTGTTATATATCTCCAACATGTATGTTGGTAGACAATATTGATGAAATATTAACCAGTGATGCCGTTTGCGATGAGATAGATAATGAAACATGTGTCCTCTTAACGAATGACGTCATTGATAATAAGGAGGAACCGCAATTAATGATTTTAAAACCAAATCAAGAGGTAAGTATGTGTATTAAAGAATATTTCACAATGTATGGAGATGGGAACGATAATAAATTGGAAAGATTACAAACAATGAATGATTTCGATGTATTGAAGGAACTATTTCATGATACATGGGGCCACATCTCTTCTAATGGATATGTTTCTGTGTTACATGAAGATATATACCTTGCAACTGCAAATCAATCGTTTTCAAAAATAACTGATTTTAAATATCTACAACCTTGGAATAACAAAATCACTAAAGATAATGGTGATAGTACGTTGTGTGGAAGATGGCGTAAGTTATGGACAGATTTCTGTCAAAATGTTACTTAAGGTAGAAAATGAAACTGAAAATCAATCATAAAAGCATCTAAGTTTTTAAATTAGATTAATCATTGAAGGAAATTTCGTAATAAATATTTTCTGAAAAATTTCAATAATTCGTTTGGCGACCCTCAGATTTATACATTACTATTAGAACGTGATGAATATACTAGTGCAAGGAGAATGACATGGTGATCTTTTCCAAATATACCATAAAAAGATATTTTGTTCATATATATCACATAGTAGTATACTTCAGTGTGTGTTTTCAAATCTTTTATGCGTATATTTTTAATTATTATGGACGGAGGAGGACTCTCCGGCTAGTTGATTATTATTAATAGTGGAATGAAACATAGAGGAACGAAGATCGATTTTTGCCGTTTAACAAGAAAATTGAAAAAATAAAGAAAGCCAAATTAAATGGTCAAACAACTGAACAATAGTTGCAATTTGGTAGAGCGATGATACTTCCGAGTGCAAAATCAATAGTAACAGCTTGTGTTTGTGTATATATGTAAATGAGTGCTAATTAGTTATACTTTATTTATTTTTTATATTTTATTCAATCGATTTAGTTTAATTGCATTATTGGGTATTGATACTTTAATAAAAACGTACGAATTGACTACAGTTTAACTGAAATATAATCAATTTGAAGTAGGATATATATAGCAATTATGAAGTTTGATACAAAAGAGAGCGAGGCTGTGTTTGAAAAAGTTATAACGCATTTACCAGAATTAATTGAATCTAAATGTAAAGGATATGATGAAATATATGGCTATAAGATTATACCTGGTAATGATGAAAATTTGATACAATTCTATGATGAAGATATTGCCAATGCTATCATCTTTAAGTTCTGTAAAGGTTATAACTTCCAATATTCCATTATTATTGAAAAGATTAAGAATGTTCTTATTTGGAGACGTGATTTCAATCCATTAAGTGCTGCATATAAAGAAGTACATGATCCAGAATTAGTGGAAGTTGGTTTATTGACTCATTATCCAAATGAGGAATCAAATAAAAAGATTGTTACATGGAATATATATGGGAAATTAGTTAAAAAGAAGCATTTATTTAAAGAAGCTAATAAATTTTTAAGATATAGAATTGGACTTATGGAACGTAGTATAAGGCTTGTAGATTTTACTGATGACAATAATAATTATATGGCTCAAGTTCATGATTATAAAGGTACATCAGTTTGGAAAATGGATTCAGATATGAAGCGTTGTGTGAAGGATATTATTGCGATCTTCCAGGATTATTACCCTGAGTTACTCTCAGCTAAATATTTCGTCTATGTACCAACCTTTCTTGGATGGGTCTATGATATAATTAAGAAATTTGTTGATGAAAGTACAAGAAAGAAGTTTGTTGTGTTAAATGATGGGAAGAAACTTGGTAAGTATATTACATATTGTCCTGCTGTACCTTACGGTGGTAAGGATAAAAAATCCCTTCAAGAACAAAATATAGCAGAGATTAGACCCGGCAAATACGCACAGTACCTGTTAGAAAAACAGATCATTGAAGAGGTCGATTAGACCCCAAAGAAAAACGGCATCTTTCAATGCAAACTGAGACAGTGTAATTTCATTTATCTCTCTCACCTTGTAGTTAAATAGTGAAATGTTTATATTTAAATGTGATCAACCTTATTTTTGATGTACATTCAGCTCCTCCTGGTCTTACATCCGTTCCGAGAGATAGCTAAAACGGAACAGGGCCGAATACTTTCTTCCGATGACACAGTTTTGTTTTTCACTCTACGGGTGTTTCTCTGTCTGTGTTAGGAAACAAGGGTTCGGATTCATTCAATTTATCGCATTCGCTTCCCCTGCCCCCCCAGTTGCCTTCTCATGTGATAAATCTCCGTCGATTATGTAATGATTATATAAATATACCACTACATAAATAAGTTGTCGTTCATTGATATATTTTAAGTAATACGTTTGTTATTTGTTTTGAATGGCATTTTTAAACTTTGTATTAGTTCATCGATTCATTGAAAGAACAATAGAGTCAGAAATCATTATTATTAATTTATACATCATGTTGAGAAGAGATACAGCTAATATACATAACAATCATACAAGAACAAAGCATACGATACTTAGAAGTAAACGAGTCATCCCACAATACAGTGATACATTGTGTGAGGAGTCACCAGATGCACAAGAGTATAGGTTTGGTGATTTCTCTGTATTGAATCATAGAAACCATCCCGGAGTAGTGTATTATTTCATTGAATTGACAGATCCTAATGGGAACCCAATATCTGGTAGAAGTGGGAATAATACTAGTAATAATAATAACAGTATTAATAATAGTAGTAATACTCATCGTATATGATGAATATTATTGGGGGAGAAAAAAGGCAAAAGTTATTTTGGATCAATTTTAACAAAAGAGGTAGTAAAACATTAAATGAAGATTGACCAGCGCATTGGTTAGTTAGTATTTTAGAAAATGACTATACTCATATAGTTGTTTATACGTTTGTATATATATATGTGTGTGTGTTAAACATTTATTTTAGAAGATATAGTCTTTGTATTATATAATGAGGTTGTTAGGGCTTCTTGCTAGTAGAAATAGGGTTATTTATAGTTACCCTGATTTAATTCAAATATCGGCCGGGTAATAGTATTTCCAGTTAGCAGCGTTGGCGAGGATAAAAAAACCGAATGATCATTTAGAAATTGACGAGTGGAAAAGGGAAGAAATACAAGACAACCAGCAGAAATTTGGAAATTTGACTCACTTAAAGTATATGATAATATAAAGTAATTTTTAATTCAATCATAAAAAGTTGAAAATATTTGAAGATAAACTTGTTCTTTTGTGGTTGTGGTTGTTATTTTATTTTCAGTTTATACTATATCGAAAGTAGTTCAGAGTTGCTAATTAAAAAATAATAAGATAAGATGTCTGCTGATCACTCAAGAGATCCGTGTCCAATTGTTATATTGAATGATTTTGGTGGTGCTTTCGCCATGGGTGCCATCGGTGGTGTCGTATGGCATGGTATTAAAGGTTTCAGAAACTCTCCTATTGGTGAAAGAAGATTGGGTTCTTTAAATGCCATTAAAGCTCGTGCACCTGTACTTGGTGGTAATTTTGGTGTTTGGGGTGGTTTGTTTTCAACATTTGATTGCTCGGTTAAAGCTATTAGAAAGAGAGAAGACCCTTGGAATGCTATCATCGGTGGGTTCTTTACTGGTGGTGCTTTAGCCATCAGAGGTGGTTGGAAACATACAAGAAATAGTGCCATTACATGTGCCTGTTTATTAGGTGTCATTGAAGGTGTTGGGTTAATGTTCCAAAGATATGCAGCATGGCAGGCTAAACCAATGGCTCCGCCTTTACCTGAAGGTGTAGCACCTCAACAGGCTCAACCATTACAAGCATAAATATTTATAACAATAATACTAATAATAATCATGAGGAAGAAATGTGTTCAATCTTCTTATTTTTCCCCACCATATACCACGTCATTAATGTTTCTTTGATCATATCACTGTTTTTTTTTTCCAAAAAATAAAAAAAATCATTATCCCTCTATGTGATGATCTTATTTTCCTTAAACTTAATATATTGTGATGATTCCAATAAATTTAAGTTTTTAAAAAAGGATGTTCAAATCTCCAATATATCATAGAGTCTATAAAATATATATATCTATAAATATAAAAATCATGTACATAATATTATAGGTTCACACATTTTCTAATCTAATGACCATTACAGTTCTTATTAAACTAAATAAACAGATCGTCCGTTATTATGACTATACATACATATATATATATATATATATATATTAATTAATTAATTATTACCCTTCTAATGTCAGGCTATCGAATTTTTTTGCAGCAACACCTTCATGTAAAGAGTGATGACGGATAGATGTTTTGGATTCAGCGTTGTTGCTTACAGTTCTTTTATGTAATAGACCTGGTGGGTACCATTCCCCTGTAAATGGTTGGTTCGTAACAAAAGGATGTAAAGAAGCCTGCTGTGGAGTCCATCTCTCAAGAGGGTTTAAATTCAGGATACCAGTAAGGAAATGTAAGAGACATTCACGGCTTGCCATCTCTTGGTCAATTAGTGTTTGTGAATGTTGAATGCTCTTGGGGATCTTATAATTTCTCACAACGTCACTTAGTTTTGACCATTTGAAATATTGTTTGCTTGGTTGTTCATTTGCTTTTGGATATTCTGCATTAAATTCATCTAAAGTCTTCAGCAAGAATTTTGTTTCAGAAGGTGTTGGGTTGTCAATTGTACTTGTTGATTCGTTCTGATTTGCTTCCTTCTTAATCATGAATTTCGATGTATTCTTCCCCATTTCCAACATCCAATTTGGGGGATAATCCAAAGCATTAACGATTCTACAAATTTGGTTGTATTCTGATGCGCCGGGGAATATAGGGATACCAAGGAATAGTTCAGCAACAATACAACCAAATGACCACATATCAATACTAGTAGAATATGGTATCCCAAGAATCACCTCAGGTGCACGATAAAACCGTGATTGAATGTACGTGTAAACAGTTTTCGTCTCATCGCATGAAGATCCAAAATCAATTACTTTGATATCTGGTTTATCTGGAGAACATAATAAAATATTTTCTGGTTTCAAATCACAATGGATTAATTTGTTATCCTTCAGAATACAAAGTGAATCCAACATTTGACGTGTAAATATCTTGATCAATTGCATTGAGAGGCCATGATATTGATTTTGTTTCAAAAGCTCGTATAGGTTATTGCTTAGTAGTTCAAAGACAAGACACAGGTGGTTCTTATGGATAAATGAATCATACATTCTTAAAAAATGGTGTTTGTTTTGTGGGTCGATCTTCTCATTTATTAATTCTAGAATCTTAACCTCAGTAAGACTCTGGTTCAAATATTCAGATTTAGATTTTATAACTTTGACAGCTATAATTTCTTTTGTCATTAAATTTTGGCATTTAACTACTTGACCAAATGTGCCTTGGCCTAGAATGTCTAGGACTAAGTACTTTCTGTTTTGTTCTACCCCAAGAACATCATTCACATAAAGGATATAGTCACTGTTGATATTATCATAACCATTATTATATTTACCTTCACTAGGCTTTGTAAGTACACGTTTAGGGTTCTTTGAAGTTTGATACACAAATTCCGAAGAGCATAATTGATAAGTAGTAATGAGATTTTTTGTGAGACCTATTAAAGGTGATATTGTCTTTGAGTTAAGGGATGCCCTTCTATATTTAGGAACCTTATTGATTTGTGGTTTTAAATCCCTTCTATTGTTCACCACATGCATTTGAGGTATGACGTATTGTTGTTGAGGTGGTGGTGGGATAGGGTTTTGCTGAGTAAATGCAGAATGATGGGCTGCCGTTGGGAATGCACTGAGTCTCCGATAAGGTGATATCATGGGTAAATTTGTACTACTGTTACTAGCGCTAAGGGATGTGTTTTGAGTTGGTTGTTGGTAATAATTGCTTGGGTTATAGTGTGCAGCAGCCACACTTTGTCTACGATGGTAGTCCTGTGAATTATACAACGATGGTAGCAATCTTGTGCTAATCTGTTTCTGTTGCGCTTGTTGTGCTTGAACAATTTGTTGGATATGGTTTGCCTCCTGTTGTTGAAACACCACACTTGGTCTTTGCACCTGTTGTTGTGGATATATTTCAGGCATAGGAATATTGGTATTCATCAGTAATGCATCATAGTGGAAAGGGTTGGGACCAGGAGCTCTAGTAGGAGGAATCACAAGACTGGACTTACGTCGCTGCATATCAGCTGTTGATTGCATTTGCATTTGCAATTGTTGTTGTTGTTGTTGTTGTTGTTGTTGTTGTAAAGGTGGTGGAATCTTTTCATTATCCCATGGATTTGTGAATTGAAATGGATATGTCGCAGAAGTTCCAGTACTTGTACCAGGATTGTTAACGTTTCCATTATTATCATTCCATGTGGTGTTATTATGTTGGGTAGTCGTACCATTATCCATCGGGTCGGTCTCTTCCAAGGGTACCTCCGATATCTGTTCCATCATGAATGTGAATATACTTTACTTGGTACAATGTGCATATGTTTAACTTACTTGGTTGTAAAGATAAAAGAGAAATTTTCCATATTTAGAAATCAAACAAATGTTTAAATCAACGAACGTGCAAGTATATATATGAAGAATAGAATGTATGTTTTGCAAGTTCTTGCTGACTAGCCCTACGGTTCCTGTTCTCTGGGCGCGTAACTAGTCTCAGTGACGGTTTCGGGGGGGGAGGGTATTCCAAAGAACAACAGTTTGTCACTATAATGCAATGAACCCCTCGCCCCGTGAGAACAAAATTGAGGGGGGAGAAGAAGAAGAAAGTGAGAGATAAAGGTGACCCCCCAGATTTCTCTCACGTGGAAAACCCCTCAAAGAGAGAGATTTTAGAATAGCAGCAATGTAAACAGCTATCTTGTAAGAACTCATGAATATAAATCTGTCAAATAAAGTTTTAATTAGATGTATAAGTTTGTAAGTAGCTTACGTAAGGTAATAAACTGGTATCAAAGTCAGATCTAAGCATACGGTGGGGGGCAATGACGATGGGTGGCCGATTTAGGTCTTAAAGGATAGAAATGGAATCTGTTTAAATGTCAACTTATGATCGTACAATATTCTTCTATTTTCAATTAAGAGGTGAAGTTATAGTCTTTTCGCTCTAATGTGTCGTTCCATTTGGAAGTCGATGTTGCAATCATTTTTTTAAGTCTGTAATTAAATATATGTATATGTTTAGTTATAAACTGGAAAGATATGAATATTTCTGAAAACATTGTAGTACTGGTGTTAAAGAATAGAAATAATCTAACTTTGTCCTACTCGTTATATATATTTCTAATTAGAGCCGCCTTGCTTGTTAGTAGGGGTTTTTTGCCGCTTAGCGTCTCGGCGGTCGAATCCTCATTTGGCAAAAGCCACTCGATTACAGATGATCTGAACACATATAAAAAGTTGAAGTGAGATCATATTTAAAAGGTTCTTATGTTAATCAGTCTTGTGTCAAAGGGTAACTACTGAATGAGATTTTTTTATTTCTAACAGTCAGGAACAAGAAAGGGATGGAGTATATCTAAGGAGAATATTTTTTTAAACAACAGAAGTGTTTATTTTACAGTAATATAGTTATTAATATTAAAATGTTGTGTGTTACAACACATTATTGGATGTGTTTGTAATTATTTGAACATATCATTGTTTAAAATATTCTCATGATACCGTTCCAACCCTCACAGAGCAGTCCATTGAACCGTAAAGGAGAGGGGGAGTAAATTCAAATATTGGTTATCTAAGTAACTAAAAACACTTCGTTGTTACCCCAATATTTCCTTTAAGCCTCGACTTTTTAAATGGTATTTGCAAACAGTTTAACATAGTAGGGGTTTGTCACATTCAGTCGAAAACCCTAGGGTTATGTTAGGTCTTTGGTGTAACCCGCCATGGGTAAAAAAATATTGAAATTTCGATACAAAAATATATATCTAAATATTACATAAATATATTTATACATTATCTAACATCAAAATAAGTCAAATCGAAAAGGTAGTAAAGGGTCTCAAAAGCATATAGAGGTAGATATTAGTACACATATACAAGTCTTTACTTACAAGTCACACAATGAATATTTCAACATCAACATTTCAAACTAGTAGACGTAGATTAAAGAAAGTAGAGGAAGAAGAAAATGCTGCAACTTTACAATTAGGACATGAATTCCAATTGAAACAAATTAATCATCAAGGTGAGGAAGAAGAACTTATTGCGTTGAACCTTAGTGAAGCCAGATTAATTGTAAAAGAAGCCCTTGTTGAACGTCGTAAGGCATTCAGAAGCGCTCAACGTTCTAAAAATGATGGTGATTCTAATGAAGGGAAGAATGAAGATGAAGATGAAGACGATAATGCTGAGTTTATGAGAAATGAGACTCGTGAGAATGAATTGCAGTCAATTGGGACATTATTGGAACAAACTACCGGTGGTAATAATAAGGATCTAAAGAACACTATGGAATACCTTACGAATTTTTCTAGATTTAGGGACCAAGAAACAGTGGGTGCTGTGATTCAACTTTTGAGAAGCACAAATTTACATCCATTTGAGATTGCACAATTAGGATCCCTAGCATGTGATACCGCAGATGAGGCTAAGACTTTGATACCCAGTTTGACTAGTAAGATTTCAGATGATGAGTTGGAAAGGACACTAAAGGAATTATCTAACCTGGAGACATTGTATTAGTGGGAGATCAATAGTTAATATTTGTGTATATTTTGTATCAAAAAAAAAAAAATATGGATCTACACTTATATACGTAATGTAATTTATATCTATGTATAAGGGATATCGGCTTCTTTTATGTCTATAATTCAAATATGTACATCTTTACGCATGGATGAAAGGATTAGATACTCGAATCACGTATTATAATAACGCAGTTGTAATTTCTAACCTTCCTTGATGAAATATTTACCACTACCATTCTTCCACCAACGCATTAGACAACTGTGCGGTTTAATATCAATACTATATTCATTTTCACTATCACAGATACATCGTTGATCCAAACGTGCATACATGGATGTTGGACAAGTATAAAATGGTGGATGGCAATAGGAGATCTGGTCAAAATGTACAATTTCATCTTGTTTCAGCAATAACGATGCTCCAATTGAATGGACAGGCGCATCACCCCATCTTTCATAATAAAATCCACCTTTTGAATCCAGATGATTAAAATAATTTAAGTACTGTTCACTTCTGAAGAAGTTCAAGTCACCCACTTCAAAGTTTGACCAAAAATGACACAGATTGTAATCCGAATTAGACTCTGTAGCAGGTAAATAACGACCGATTTGAGATTTATCTGTTAGAAATCCATAATGATTTTGATCCATGTGAACATCTTTTCCATCATCCTCTATTATATAGTCAGATACAGCATCCCATAGAGTCGGTATAGTATTTTCATATTCATAAAGCGAAATTACAAATCCATATTTGGCCTTACGTTCCCTTAATACCTTAAATGGATCATAAGGTAAATCACAAAAATAACCAACATTAGGTTCAACTCTAAAATAGTAATCATAATCCATTAATAATTCTTGACGGAAAAAATATCCAGAATTGAATCGACACATATTTCTGTAGGATACCGAGTCCCCGTACATCACGTCTTCTTCCTCCATCTTTTTCATACATTTGGTAAACTTATCATCCTCAATCCAAACAGGTCTATCCCAATCCTCTGATGGGATAAGTCCATATTGTGTTTTTCCACTTGCCATTGCAGTTGTGGCCATTATGAACGCTGTGGTAAAAGGTACATCGTTTAAAAATGTCCAGTCGTAATGATATTCTTTATTGAAACGGTCCTCCAATGATCTCATCGATTCCAATGCACCCTCAAGTTCTTCATTTCTTACCAACATCAATATGGTTGCATTTTCCTTCTGTGGATACTCCTGCCTAGATATATTCCCATTATGTAGTTGAGAGAAGGGATCTGGGTCATATGTGTTAGTACCGAATTTAACATCCAAATGATCTACTTTCATTCGTGACGAGTCATATTTATGAGCCAATTCTTGAGATTGACTGGTATAATGATATGGTAAAATCTTTTGTACGTACAAATCTTCCAATATAACCTTTATTTGAAAGAATATTGGAGTGCAAATTAATATAATCGACGCACACTTAACCAAATAAAACATCCCTATCATTGTCCGTTCATAGTTGATGGCACAACAGTAGTAATACAATATGAAGCTGTCATTGTTTAATACTGTTTTTATCTTGAATATCCAAAAGATTTGCGCTTTTTGAGGTAACACGTATGTTCATGTATATCACTTTCCTTGTTTTAATGAGTCCTAGAGCGGCGCGTTGTATCTTGTTACGGTAAATTGCATAATTAATCATTATTTACTACAACGTTAGCAACAGAAATCATGATGTCAGTTGCATAATAATGTTTTCCTGGTATTCTATTCATATCCATATTTCGATTGACATAATTATAACTAAAAATGATATTATTAAATGTACGGTACAACGAGAAGCATACATAGAAGTATAAATGTATGTATTATATAATTATAGAATGAAAGTAAGATCAGTTATGTCTAATGAATTATCGTCTTCTCCATATATGTATACTTCGCAATTATATGAATGAATCCCCTTTTTCTTATGATAAAAGGGTAATGTAGACTAATTTTGAGAAAGAAAAGTAATAATCTAAGAAATAAAAAAGGATATTTTGCAAAGAAGTTTTCTTATTTCCTATATTATGTTTTTCCTTAACGAGAGTAAGACCAGACGTTCTTTAGTAGACCATCTTGTTGAGCAAGTCTGTTTAGAGAATCGTCAGATTCACCTCTAGCTCTAACAGTACCAGCTAGAGCGTAAGTGATGAATTCACCTGCAATGGCTCTACCTTCTTCATCGACTTTGGCAATGTTGATTTGGACAGAGGCGTGATCATCAGCCTTGATGATTCTGTTAGTGGCAGAACACTTTCTTGGAACGTATAGTTCGACCTATTAAAAAAATATTATGGAATAAATGTCATTGATCAGAATAATTACACCACCTAACGTATACGTAGAGAGTTTATATCAATCAATCAATCAATTATCCAAGCAATTTGTTAGTAAGACAATTGTTATTAAAAATAAAGAGCAAAAGATAAAAAGGGGACATTTGGATGGATTCATTAGAGATAATAATATTCACAGTGTGCTAATTCCTTGCATTTATTACCATATAAGTCATCTGTTGAGGTGTCATCATATATTCCATGAGGAACCTTGTATAATTCATTTATACTATAGAGGTTTATGTCAATTTTATTTTTTCTTCCTCTCCATAATAAGATACTGTCATTATTTCTCGATCTAACTGTATAGACAACATCGTCATATTACATTCAACAAACAGAATGTTTATATATAATATTAAAAATCCCCTTCAGATTCCTTTATTCCATTTGTCATGGTATCAAACATACTAGTTGACCTTTATCGTTTTCCATATTGGTTTAATTTATGATTACTGAGTTACGCGTTTCTTTCCACTAAATGGTTTATAATGGTAGTGCTACAGATCAAGTATAGATATATATAAACAATTATATGTAAAGTTAGATATCATAGATAGTAGTGTCAATCAGTAACAAGGCTATTCCTGGTGTGTAAGTGTATTACTGCAGCTATCTCATAGTAGAACGCATTAAACCGTTCCGCTACTGTGTGGTAGAGATATTGTCGTACTCATTCTCAAACATCACAAAATCATCACCAAAAGATGAGACGATGATAATAATAATAATAATAACTACACCAACCAACCCATATACAACAGAAATTGAAATTGACGATGCTGTAAACAAAATTCATTTTCAAGAATATTTGTTCCAAGAATCCATTCTACCTATTACTAGTGATCTCTCTCTAACTTCTTTACTATGACTAAATTAGTAATTATAGTGCACTTCTAATTTTCAATCTGAAATTATTTCTTTACAGCATACAAGAGCTTAATAACATATTTTGTCAAGTGGTTCTCCATCTTCTCTATTTTTTTGACAAAAATTAGCGAAAAATAAATACATTTTGTGGATGCACGGATGTTCATTAAGGATCACAAAGATGTCCGGATGTTTGCACTCCTTTGGGAAAGAACTCGTCACAACTTTATTAGTCATATCGTTGTAAGTGCTAACCCCCTCCCCTCCCCTCTAAACACCAAAAGAAAAGTCCGCAGACCCCTGCATTGAATTGCCCCAAAAGGAACAGCCACCCCTCTAATATATATTACTAGATAGAAGAACAAGTCCATGATGCCAAATTATTATGGCTAACATTACCAACGATCACAATATGTTATTCAATATGAAATGCCATATATTATTTCCCAAGATATCACCAAATGATCTAGGTTTAATTCCTCAATATATATCAATTTCCCTCTTTGAGTCTTCCATCGCGTTGAGTGAATTTTATCGATTGAATAATCAGGAAGTGACAGACAGAGCGATAAAATGTAAAATGTAAAATGTAAATATATATAATTTAAGGCAATTATTTATTATGTTATTATTTATTATACATATATATTTTCACAATATATCTATATTTCAAACTGTCGGCCAAAGAAAAGGTGCACCACAAAGTTGGTTAATTGAACAAAATAGGGAAATGATCAATAATTAACACTTGAGATTATCATAAATAGGCTGAGCTTCTATTCTAAGATTGAGTAAAAGATTGAAGATAGTCATTTCTGTTTATATATATATATATATATATATATATATATCGATCTATTATTGTTTCAACTAGGGTATATTGTGTAAGATTGTTTAGTTTACCGTTAGAACAACTTAAGTGACAAAAACATTATTTATATCATATCCGTCATGGAGGAAATAATGATGCAAGAGACAAGTAGTAGGTCAGCACTAAGTATCAATGCTCAACAAAGTGATTTTTGGTTAAGTATAGGAGAAAGAGATAGAAGTCCTACAGTGACGAGGATTCGGTCTAGAAGTCTTTCTAATCCAAATGAATATATAGAGAAATATTTGTTATTAGATCCAGGTAATCATCCACCAGCACATTTCAAAAATAAAATGTCACCTTTTAGATTTGATATACGTCAAAAATTTGAAAAATATGTTGAAAACCAATCTTCCGGTTTAGCTAAATGGCAATCTGCACATCATTCCGCACTTAATGATATATTTTTTTCTTATTCTGCATTGCTGGGATCTCATACATTTTATGTTCTATGTTTACCATTACCATGCTATTTTGGTTTATTTGAATTCACTAGAGATACAGTATATATTATCGGTTATTCCATATATATATCAGGATTTCTGAAGGATTTTTTATGTCTTCCAAGACCAAGATCTCCACCGGTTCATAGAATTACATTAAGTGAATACACAGCAAAGGAATATGGTGCACCAAGTTCGCATACTGCAAATGCTATTGGCGTATGTTTATTAATTTTACAATGGGCATTCACCAGTGCATCAGTGATGTCGACTCAGAAAATTATAATGACAATTCTGGCAATAGTTTATTGTTTAACTCTTACCGTAGGAAGAATATATTGTGGTATGCATGGTCTATTCGATTTAATAAGTGGTGCACTTATAGGATTAATTTGTTTTCTCCTAAGAATGATTTTAAAATATACATTTATTGATTTCAATTGTGGAGATCTCTTTTGGTATCCCATGATCTCCATCTGTTGGGGGTTAACTCTTTTATTTAATCATCCTGCTCCAGTAGATGTGTGTCCATGTTTTTATGATAGTGTTGCGTTTGTTGGTGTGATTGGTGGTGTTGAATTATGTGATTGGTTCATTAAATATTATGATTTTTCATTAGTTTATTCCATTGATTATACTACAGATATTACAATAATAACAAGAAGGTTAATTGTAGGTGTCATAATTACAGTCATATGGAAGTATATTATTGGGAAGCCATTAATATATAATTTTTTATTTTATATTCTTGGATTTGATGACGACAGAGAGTTAGATGAACATGATGAACCATTACCTGGCGATCGTGAATGTAAATTGTTTAAAGGTAATTCAGATGTTAACATTGTTGGTAGATATTTAATATATGCAGGGATTCCTATGTGTGTGATGTTGATAAGCCCTCCGGTAATAACATTTGTAGCTAATTATGTATACTAAACTAAAGGTGACAGACAATATACCAACTAATAATTAAAAAAAAAGAAATAAAAATAAAAATTGAATATCTATTATTCTTATATATTTATTTATATCACGAGCTAGCGTGAAGTGAAGTAGTAGGTGTAACGTTATGGTAATGGAATATGTGTTAGTGTATATGATGGTGATGGATAAAAAAGAGGGAACTTCGGACATCTAATGAGTTTGACCCAAATGACGTTTTGAAGCCAAAGACGCACTCAATGGGCCATAAGTCTTCATGTTTTCTCTGTATTCCTTGAATGAACCGAAGGAATTCCCTGGAGTCTTTTTAAACCCTAATGATGAAGTGGCGGCTTGTTTAGTTACATTACGAGCAATCGAAGTGACTTTGAAAGCAGCTAGTCTGGAACTTTGAGAGATCATTATTGTAATAATTAGATATGTGTGTGTTTGTATTAGTATGTGGCCTGCACAGTAAATTTATCAAGTATAGATATATATATATTTATTGTAATTACTAAATGAGTAAGTTAAGAGTGAAGAAACTAAATTATCAAAAGAAAGTCATAACAAGAATTCATAATATCAACAAGGCCTTTCTCTCCCCCTTTATATATAAATGTGATAATGGACTATCCCAGCTCATCTAAAGGTAAAACTCATTACTCTGTTGATCAATTAACCCTTACATTCGGTGCCTATTAAATATATTGCATTTAAAGAGAGCCTAAGTACCTAAGAAAATATATTCCTTCTCCTCCTCTCTATTTTACAAATCAAATTTTTCAATCTCGCAGCGTCACACACTCCGAGATTAGCAAACTGAGATTTGGCACTCAACTTCCGTTTTCACATAACTAAATATTACTTAACTTGACATCAAAAGTGGTATTCCTGTGTCAGCATATATTACAATTACGGGCCCTATAGATATTCTGAAAGAGACCGAAATGGAAATTTGGCACGGATTTTTCATTCTCGTCCCGTTTTGTTCGTTAGTGGAGCTCCGATTTTATTCGTGGGAGATAACAAAACCGCCAATGAGAAGGAAATTGAACGAAAAAAAGTGTGACGCTGAAATGATAAGTGGTGGGTGTATGGGTTGTGCTGGGGAATGAAGTCACGTGGTGTATTAGGGTTTGGCGTGAATAGTGATGTCCACGTTTTATAGGGTTTAGTCCATTCGCCAAATTTTTCTTTATTTTTTTCGTGTCTCGTTCCCGAGAGAGGAAAGTCCTGATCCTGTTCGCTTACTGCGTATATGAATATTTTATTTTATTTTATTTTTCACTGAACGAGTGGTGATGCTGATGACGTTAACCATTGCCAGTAAGCAGACAAACTATTGGGTTTTTGGGTAAACAGAGAACAATTGGATCTCGTAATGTCGATGGATCAGATAGAGAGGGAGCAAGAAAGAAGAATATATGCGTATTTCGAGAAACAGAATGTTTTCATGCAAAGTATATTTAAATTTTGACTCTTTACTTGGAAATAGACTAATTTATTTGTATCCATTGTTCTTATTCTTCCTTGTGTACAAGTTTTAATTTAATTATCTTGCAGTAATATTAACATATACATTTAATTACCTCTGTTTTGTTTTGTTTTGTTTTCCAATTCTTGTACATACCAACCATAATTGTTCGATTCAACGTCAATTTCAATATAATATAATATATGTCTGATTCTCCTTTGCATGATGGTGATGTCGACTATGAGTCTCTACCACCAAACTCTCCACTGTATCATCAATTGCTTGCGGGTGCATTTGCAGGTATAATGGAGCATTCAGTAATGTTCCCTATAGACGCTTTAAAGACACGAATACAATCAGCTGCTACTGTGGTGGTAGCTACTGCTACTGCTACTGGTGGTGGTGTTAGTGCAACTATGCCTTCGCAACCTAGAACAGGACTATTATCACAGATTGCTAAGATTTCGTCGGCAGAAGGTTCCTTTGCACTATGGAAAGGAGTTCAATCAGTGATATTAGGTGCAGGACCTGCTCATGCTGTATATTTTGGTACTTATGAGATTTGTAAAAAAAAATTGATCAAAGAAGAAGATAGATTTACTTATCAACCATTAAAGACTGCATTGAGTGGTGCTGCTGCAACAACGGCTTCTGATGCATTGATGAACCCATTCGATACAATAAAACAAAGAATGCAATTGAATCCAAAAGTGAAAGTATGGCAAATTGCTCATAGGATATACAAAACAGAAGGACTTAGCGCATTTTATTATTCTTATCCAACAACTTTAGCAATGAATATCCCCTTCACAGCATTAAATTTCGTCGTTTATGAATCCTCAACAAACTTCTTTAATCCATCTCATTCTTATAATCCTCTCATTCATTGTATTTGTGGTGGGTTGAGTGGTACTTTATGTGCCGCCATTACGACTCCTTTGGATTGCATAAAGACAGTTCTGCAAGTAAGAGGAAGTGATTCGGTAACATTGCCTGTATTGAAACAAGCAGACACGTTTAAGAAAGCTACTACTGCATTGGTGCAGGTATATGGATGGCGTGGGTTTTGGAGAGGTTTAAAACCAAGAATCGTTGCAACAATGCCTGCGACAGCAATTTCTTGGACAGCTTACGAATGTGCAAAACATTTCTTAACTACTGCATCCCTTTAAATTATGTAGATATAAATATAGATATAAATGTTTGTAAAGGTCAACATGGGTTCAAGAAAAAATGATAAATATATAAGAGATAATAATAATTTATAATTTATTGAAATTTATATCAGATTAAAACGTGACTTATATGGGAGAATAGTTACCAACAAATGATACGAATTGTGGTAAACCAATCTGTTATAGTGTAACATTAGAAATTTTTAACTTTATTTTCGAAACCTTTTTTTTTTAAGTTTGGTAGACGTTAAGCAACTTGTACATGGTATCTCCCAGATAAACAAAAAAATAAAAGTGATATAAATGGATACTATAAAGCATGACAATTAATACCATCGAAACGGTTTTATTTATTCTTTTTACATGTATGTATATTTACAAGAAATGCTAATAATATCTGAAGAATCCAATCACTCCCAATAAAAGATACTTTTCATGACTTTTTCATACTTGACCTAGCCTTTCTTTCTTTCTTTGGATTCTTTCCTCAAGTTTTTCTTGTCTAGCACGTCTCCTCTCTTCTTTTAATCCTTGTTTATCTACATTTGGTTTGGTGGCCGGCTTAGGTGAAAGACGGATAATGACCTTAGATGTAACATCTCCTTCTACAACAGGGGCTACAGATAACTCTTCCACAAGAGTTAGAATTTGTTCCATTATTTCATTACGACGTTTCAGTTCTTTCTTAGGAATCCGTACTGGTACTTGAGAAGTATCCTCAAGTGGGTTCAGGACTTTTTCAAAATTGTCTAACCAATGTTTTGGTGTACCATTGTTGTTATTATCAATATAGATGTTAACTTTATTCCCCTTTTGTAAGAGACCCTCAATTTCATGAGATTTTTGGTTCGATAAATCATCCTCTCGTATCTTCCAAGATAATTTTATATGTTTCAAGGTATCTTCACTCTTTGAAGGATCATTGAATTTTTTTCTTATTATCCCCTTTTCTATTAACTCATCTTTCTTCAATTTTGCCATATCATCTGAATACCTCTTTAAAGCAGTCTTTGAGTCAACAATTTTGACCAACGGAATTCTAATTTCTTCATCAACTGTCTCTATATCTACAATAGACATACCAAACTTATTCAAATCCAAACCTCTTGCATAATGTCGAATATTAGAGGGCTCTATCTTATGACATTCATTATCGAATATTCTTATATCACCCTTGGAGTTTAATTTAAAGATTTCCTTAATCGTATGATTAGCGGCTTCCTGTGCACGTTCTGTCCCACTATCCCAATTTATCACTATCCGTTTTTTTTTATTTATGTTTCGATTCATGTTTGAAGTTTTCTTCTTAAAGTACCCACTACGTTTGGTATCTCTAGATAACATAAAATTTCTATTCTTAACTTCATTAACCTTCAATGAATTAATTTTGGATTGTCGATTAGAGATTATATCTCGCAGTAGATCCCCAGATTCCAGAGTTCCCTTATTATTAGAATTAAACGACCGTGCAATGATAGCCGACTTCTTGAGAAATACATTTCCGTTGGAGATTCTATTTACATATAGTACACAGCGTTGCAACATCACCTTTTACCTTACTTCTCCTCTTAATATAAGGATCATGACATGTTTTCCCTTTTAGTTCTCTTGGATACCTTTTAATATAAATTTATTATTTTTCAAATTATATCAGAAAGTAAGTAAGTACCCCGAAATATAAAAAATCAAGTAACAAACATTCAAATTTTTGAAGAACCTTGTAAGAAAAAAATTAATGTACATTGGATACTATATAGAAAAAATAAATACATATTTTATAGTAAAGTTTTTTAATTAAGGAAAATTATGGATCAATACCCAAGACCATAGCCAATAAGGCCATTCTTACATATAAACCATATTTCATTTGTCTGAAGTAAGCAGCACGATGATCGTAGTCAACTTCTTCCTTGATTTCGTTAACACGAGGCAATGGATGCATGATAGCCATATTTTGCTTTGCGTGGGCTAGGATTCTGTTGTCAACAATGTAGACATCCTTTAAACGTTGATATTCAGCCTTATCCTTGAACCTTTCTTCTTGGACTCTTGTACAGTACAAAACATCAGACTTAGAGATGATATCTGGGGTCAATTCCAAACTTTCAACACCTAGCATATTAGCCTCAAACAATTCTTGTTTTAGGGAGTCTGGTAGTCTCAATTCACTTGGAGAAACTAAGTTAATTCTAACTTGATAATGCTTTAGTAAACGACATAGAGAATGGACAGTTCTACCGTGCTTCAAATCACCCATAAATGTAACAGTAATACCATTGACAGTACCAATTTCTTCTCTAATTGTGAATAAATCTAAGAAAGCTTGAGTTGGATGTTCACGAGAACCATTACCACCGTTAATAATTGGGACTGGAGAGTACTTAGCAGCAATATGAACAGACATTTCATCAGAATGACGCATAACAATAGCATCAGTGTAACTGGCCAAGGTTCTAACAGTGTCTTGTAGGGTTTCACCCTTCTTAACCGAAGAAACATTTGGATTAATGTTAACAACTCTACCACCTAGACGTTCCATAGCAGCAATGAAAGAAGAACAGGTACGTGTAGAAGGTTCATAGAAAATGGTAGTTAGAACATGGGCCTTCATGATGTTCAAAACACCTTCTCTGGCAACAGCAGCTCTTAGTTCTTGAGCAACAGCAAACAAAGCGTGGAGATCAGAACGATTAAATTGCTTGATGGATAAAATATGTCTACCTTGGAATGGATTTTTACCACGAATTAAATTATCTAGAGCAGTTGGCGCAGTTAATTCTCTTGGAGGTTTAGAAGACATCAATCTTTGTTCTAGAGTAGGTGGCTCAACAATAGCATCTTCAGCAGACTCAACACTATCAAAAAGTTTTGGTCTTTCAGCTGAGAAAGAAAATCTCTTATCTTTCATAAACCCGATAGTCTTTTGAGCTTCAACAACAGTTGGAGCAGCGTTAGAGGCACCCAAAATAACATGAACACCCGATGGTTTTTCATCAACTAATTCACCGCTTAGAACAACAGTTTCGTCCTTTACAATAACACGTTCAATACCACCGGATAATGAAACACCTGTATGTGGAGACCATCTCTTTGTATCAGTGACGACATAATCTAAGTCAATTTCAACAACAGCATCTTGTTCTGGAAGGTTGAAGATCTTTATTGGATTATCATGTAAACGTAAGACAATATCAGCAACACTCAACTTACCTTCATGAACAGCAGTTAGCAACAATGGCAATGCATCTTTAATACCTAAACCAATTTCAATTTTGTGACCAGTAATTGCAGCCAAGTTTGTTGGCAGAGATCCGATAGAAAAGGCATCAATAGAATCAAGATTTTCCCAAAAGAATTCTTGATCTTCATTAGTCGGTAGGAAGACACCCTCTGGATATTGTTCTTGAGAAATGAATAATGAATAAACGTTGATATCACAAGTAACTCTGGAATCCTTCTCCTTAACAGTCTTAATCAAAGCCAAATCTTCTTTGTTAGAGACACCAGTAATATGGATGGATCTGTTTTGTAACGAAGCTAATAGTAGAATAGATGCAAGTTCTGAAGTCTTGGCTTCAGCAATAATTTGTTTATCAGTTGGCCAATTTTGTAATAATTTACTAACCTCAGAAACCTTGTTCTTCAATTCATGGTATGGAAGGAATAATGCACTAACATCAGAGGAAGTTTGACCAACAAGATCAATATTATTTGGAGTGCCTGCAACTGTCAAACCAAAATCGGTGTATGATGCACCAGTGGAAGCAGAAAGAGCAGCTCTTAAGGAAATACTATCTGTGATGACTGGACCTCTGAATGCTCTTGGCATAATTTGGCAATATGTAAAACCAGATTCTAGGAACAAACGACTTGTTTCTTTCAATTCTTTTGGACCGTCAACAATATTTGAGACGTTTGGAACATAGGTAGCAATATTAATCAAACCTGGAATAGTAACAGTTCTGTGAGATGTTTGAGCATCACGTTCAGATACATCTAGCTTTAAATGTCTTGAAATAGCTTCAATCAATAACTTAGCACATTTGACATTGGTAACCAGTGGAACGGAGTAATCGACAGCCATACGACGAGTTTGATAACCCTTAGAAACGTAAGATGCAGGACGACGGAATCTATTAGCAGAAGGTAAGTTAATATAAAGATCAATGTTATTGTTAGCTAAATGCTGAGTCAACGAATACTCTGCCTTTTCATCATCATTTTGGTTTAAAACTTCCAAATATTGGACAGACATATTATGCTCAGTAATGAAATCAGCAGTACCAGCAGTAGCAAATAGCTTATAACCCATATTGTATAGTTTTTGGATAGCTGGTAACAATTCTTGTTTTTCTTTGAAAGAACCAATGGACAATAGAATATTCTTCTTTGGTAACTTGAAACCAGTTGCCAATAAGGACTTTAGATAAGCTTCATATTTGGAATGACCGAAGGTAGCGACTTCACCAGTGGAAGCCATTTCAACACCTAAAACAGGGTCTGCACCAGCAAGACGTGGGAAAGAAAATTGTGGTACCTTAACAGCAACATAATCATCCGGTAGCTTTTCAACTGGATAAGGATCAAATGGAAGACCCATAATCGCCTTAGTAGCTAATTCGATTAAATTAACACCAACTACCTTGGAGATAAATGGGAAGGAACGAGAGGCACGAACATTACATTCAATAACCTTAATCTCATTATCTTTAGCAATAAATTGAATGTTATATGGACCAGTAATCTTTAAGGCCTTACCAATCTTAGCAGTAGCAACAACAATTCTGTCAACAGTTTCCTTGGCTAAATCTTGAGGAGGAACAATCAAAGTTGCATCACCAGAATGAACACCTGCATTTTCAACATGCTCAGAAACAACATGCATAACTAATTCACCATTTCTTGCAACAGCATCCATTTCAATTTCTTTGGCATTTTCAATATATTTAGTAATGACGACTGGGTAATCACGAGAAACTTCAACAGCTTGTCTTAGATAAGATTCCAAATCATTCTTAGAGTAGACAGTGTTCATAGCAGCACCGGATAGAACGTAAGATGGACGAACTAGGACTGGATAACCAACCTTTTCCGCAAAACCACCGGCTTCATCCATGGATGTCAATTCTTTCCAAGCAGGTTGATCAACACCAATTTGATCCAACATACGCGAGAACTTGTAACGGTTTTCAGCGGAGTCGATCATATCTGGGGAAGTACCTAGGACCTTAACATTTTCACGGTGTAGAGTCATAGCAATATTGTTAGAGGTTTGACCACCCATAGAAACAACCACACCTTGAGAATTTTCTATTTCGTAAATATCCAAAATTCTTTCTAGGTTAATTGTTTCAAAATACAATCTATCGGCTTCATCATAATCAGTAGAGACTGTTTCAGGATTATAATTAATCATAATGGTCTTATAGTTATTAGCACGCAAAGTTCTAACTGTAGTAACAGCACACCAATCAAATTCAACGGAGGAACCGATACGGTAGACACCAGAACCTAGAACCATAACACCATGATCTTCGAAAGTCAAATCATGAGCAGAAGCATTGTAAGTCATATATAAATAGTTTGTATGAGCTGGGAATTCAGCAGCAACAGTATCGATTTGTTTAACAAATGGCGTAATACCTAATTCTTTTCTTAGACGACGAATAGCAACTTCATTGGAGTTTAGGAACTTAGCAATTTGTCTATCATCAAAACCGCATTGTTTAGCTTCTCTTAATAGGTCACTTGGAAGCTCCTCAATAGCACCAATATCCGTGATTTTCTTACCGAAAATTATTAAGTCATATAACTTTTGCAAGAACCATTTGTCGATGTTTGTCATTTCCCAAACCTTATCAACAGAGTAACCTAATTGACTGAAGGCATTAGCAATAGCAAATATTCTCAAATCAGATGGATTTTCTAATTCATAATCAATATCGACTTCTAGTTCAGTTTCGTTAAAACCTAGATTCACATATTCAGTAGATCTAATAGCCTTTTGGATAGCTTCCTCGAAAGTTCTACCGATACTCATAACTTCACCAACAGACTTCATCGAAGAGGATAATTCTGTGGAGACTCTGGAGAACTTCTTCAAATCCCATCTAGGCATCTTCACAACACAGTAATCAAGAGATGGTTCGAAACAAGCACAGGTTGATTGAGTAATAGAATTCTTAACCTTGTCTAATGGAATATTCAAACCTAATTTAGCTGCAGTGTAAGCCAATGGGTAACCAGTCGCCTTAGAAGCTAAAGCAGAAGAACGAGACAATCTTGCGTTGACTTCAATAATACAGTATTCTTGGGAAAATGGATTTAGAGCGTATTGAATGTTACATTCACCAACCACACCCAAATGTCTAATGACGTTAACAGCGGTCGTTCTCAACATGTTGTAATCAGCATCGGATAAAGTTTGAGATGGAGCAACGACAATAGAATCACCAGTATGAATACCCAATGGATCGAAATTTTCCATATTACAAACAGTAACACAGTTGTCGAAAGCATCACGAACAACTTCATATTCAACTTCTTTCCAACCTTTCATGGATCTTTCAACTAGAACTTGAGGAGAAGAAGCAAACGCAACGTTACATAGATCTGATAATTCCTTTTCATTATTAGCGAAACCGGAACCTAAACCACCAAGAGCATAGGCAGCACGAACGATAACTGGGAAACCAATCCTTTTCACAGCAGCTAAAGCCTCTTCAACAGAGTTAGCGGCCTCAGATTTGGCACATTTTTCATTAATTTCATCAATAGCATTAGCAAACAATTCACGATCTTCGGTTGTAATAATAGTGTCGATTTGAGTACCTAATACTTGAACACCTAGAGATTCGAATTCATCTTTCATTTCAATACCTACAGATAGAGCTGTTTGACCACCAAATGTGACATAGATAGCATCAGGACGTTCATGTAGAATAACCTTTCTAACAAATTCGGTGGTAACTGGTAAGAAGTAGACCTTATCAGCCAAACCCTTCGATGTTTGAATTGTAGCAATATTTGGATTTATCAGGATAGTGTAGATACCTTCTTCCTTAAGGGCTTTAATAGCTTGAGAACCAGAATAATCGAACTCACCAGCTTGACCAATGGATAGACCACCAGAACCAAGAACAAGAACCTTCTTTGGTTGTAATCTTGGATGGGCCTCTAAGTTGTCCTTCAATAGACCACCTGGGAATGAAATTGGTTTTAACACCTTGGTTTCCTTATATTCTTTGACAGCATTTATGAAGACATCAAACAAAAACTCTGTATCTCTTGGACCTGGAGTAGATTCTGGATGGAATTGGACAGAGAAGTATGGCAATTCCTTATGGTAGATACCTTCATTTGAACCATCGTTAGCGTTGACAAAAAGAGGTTCCCAATTTTCGGGTAAAGTGTCGACATCAACAGCGAAACCATGATTTTGTGAAGTAATGTAACAACGACCACTGATGGTAGATGTACATGGAATGTTTTGACCACGGTTACCGAATATCATCTTAGTAGTTTCAGCACCTGTGGATCTGGCTAGTAATTGATGACCGAAACAGATACCGAAAATTGGAGTCTTTTTAGCCTGAACTACTGAATCAAGTCTCTTAGCAACATCGGCTAGAGTAGATGGATCACCTGGACCGTTGGAGATAAATAGACCATCATATTCTTCTGTAGTAAAATCGTAATCCCATGGAACAACCTTTAGTTCAACACCTCTCTTGATAAAACAACGGATTTGATTGTACTTAATACCGACATCGATGGCGATAATTCTTAAAACTTTACCATCTGGTCCAGTTTGAATATCGACTTGCTTATTATCCGTCGGTGGAGTGTATAGTTTTGGTTCCTTTGTAGAAACCTTGGCAACCAAATTCTCAACATTTGGATTAATCCATTCTGGAACATCGAAGCAAGATTTCCAGTTTTCGGTGGTAGCTAAATCTAAGTTAGCATTAGACTTTTGTAAAGCCAATCTACCTAGCATAGAACCAGAATCTCTTAAATGTTTAGTCAAGTTTCTTGTATCGACACCATATACGGCTGGAATACCTTCTCTCTTTAACCACTGGGATAGAGATGAGTTAGCTAAGTAATGAGAGTAAGCTTCGGTGTAATGAGAGACGACTAGACCAGCAACATGGATTCTATTACTTTCAAAATATCTTGGAAGACCAGCAACTAATTCATCTTCTAAAGTCATATCTGGAACACCATAGTTACCAACCAAAGGATAGGTAATGACCAAGATTTGACCTTCGTAGGATGGATCGGTTAACGATTCAGGGTAACCGACCATACCAGTTTGAAAGACTAATTCACCAGCCGCTGGCTTCTCGGCACCAAAGGAATAACCTTGCAAAGTGACACCATCTTGTAGTTCTAAGGTGACTAGACGGTCACCGACTACTTCAAGTGGATGTGTGACTGGACAAGTTGGGACAACAGCAGACATGATTAATAAGCAATAAATGATAGAAGAATAAAGTTTAGCTTATTAGATTTTTTGGTATTTTATTAGATTTTTTTTAAAAAAAGGATGTCCAAAAAATAGATAATGGATGGATGGTATCAGATAGGTATGATATAATTAAATTACTACTTCAATAGCAATTTATCTTATTTTTTTGTTTTAGTAGGAGGAAGTTCCGTTTGAAAGTCTTCTAGTCTCCTTATATTAGGGAATGTAGGATGGAAATTTGAAGTAAAGTTGAATCCACACTTATATTAGAATTTATTAAATGCAAAAACGAGAGAAGAAACTATTTAGAAACAAATTTATAATGTTAGTAAAAAAGAAATTGTAAGCTTATTTTTTAAATGAAAAATAAATGAAGGGAGAACTGATCCTTGTTTAATTAAAAAATAAGATTTCATGATCGAAGTCAAAAAAAAGGGAAAGGCTTCGAAGTGCTGTAGTTTAAATCCTGAAAAATTTCCTTAATTAACCAAGCGAAGAAAGGCCCGCAGCCAAAAAGCGAAACGGTGATGATGATGATGATGATGATACGGTTGAAAAATTCAAGCTTAGAAATCGTTGGAAACTTTTCAGTCAATGATTTATTTTTTAATTTCTTACCAAATCCTGTATTGAAAGGGGTAGAGTAGAAAATAAAGTAGAATTTCTTATTTAAAAAAAAAAGATGAATTAACTGTACCGAAGTTAATCAGATTTCCTGAAGGAGTAATAGAAGCTATATGTTTATCAGATGGCTGAGAGACACATACTTCTAAATGTTATTATTCTTATACATACAGTTTTTTCGATTTGTAAAATTTCTCTTGACTCAATTGTAAAAAAGTTTAAGAAAGTAGTTCTTTTCTTTTACAATGTATGAAATGGTTGATAATGACAAAAATGTAGTCAGTTGTTAGGATATTCCTTTCAGGTAATTGTTATTGATCTGTTTTTGTCCTTTTACCAAACCTTTACATTTCGTAAAATAAGATTTAAAAAGAAAATAATACAACAAGAGAATAGAATTTTAATAAGGCCAAAAGGTAATAGTAAATATGAGGGTACCTTTTGTAAACTAAATTAGTCTAATTAAAACATACCGTTCTATGATATGACCATAATATTTACAGAAAAATATATTGGAATTGAAATCTGAGATGAGACAAATGGAAATTCCATCAAGTATTTATACTAATTGAATTGAATTAAATTAGATTAAATAAAAATTTGGGTAAAAGTTGGACGAGTCAAGTTGATGGAAATATATTATTATGATAGTTGTTGACTAAGAATAGGCCGTACCGGCTATCCCCGAGACAAAACTTCCAGCATTTTGCAAGGAGTTGACTGTTTTTTAAGGGAGAAATAAAAATAAAATTGGAAAAATTTTCACCAAAAACCCATACACCGCGTACTACAGATATTTCCGACGGTCACAAATGTCTCAATTTGTCGCAAGGATTTAATTAGATGTTGTCTTGATATAGGACATCTTGAAATGTTACTGCGCCAGAATCATGTACCTAGCATTAACTTAAATGTGTCGTGAAAAATCATTTGTTCATTCATTATAGAGATGAAATGAGATGAGGTCTACAATAGTACACACCTAATTCTTCCAGGGACTTCAGAGCCAACATATTTATCAGAAGTAATTGACATATATTTTAGCAGTACATTTAAGAAGCTGCAACTAAACTAAGCTCTGTATAGATAATAACTTTACATAAGATTTCAGAAGCAGTTCAACCAACAAGATTTTATTCAGGGCTCTGTTCTTTCTTTATCCCCCAATTAGAATATTATGTGTTCAAACAACTAAGGAAAACAAAAAGGATGTCCTTTTTATATTTATTTATATGATGAATATTATTTATATATGGTAATACTACTAAGAGTAAAATATGCTTTTTATGTATATGCGATGACTTAAAATTCTTGATGAATGCCTCAGTCACGAAAATGGGGATGGACATATCATATCCCCTGTATTATATTTCTTTAGAGAAAAAAAAAGAGCTTCTTGCGATTATACCTGCTTGTTATTGTAAACCTAAACTATACCATGACATTATCGATTCTCTGTTGACGATCTCTTAATGATTCTTCAGTATCGAGTGCTTGAACATCGTTCAAAGGCCCAGAATTCGAAGTGGTAGTTCTCAATGACGATTCGTAACTGTTACCTCTAGTATCGTTATTGTTATAGAACTCTTCACCTTCTTCTGTGAAATAATCATCATTTTGAGGCTGATAACGTTGATATTGTGTTTGGTGCTGATGTTGATGCTGATGCTGATGGTGCTGCTGTTGATGTGGATAATATTGATTACTATTATGTTGATATGACGATTCTTGATGATTGAAATCTTGTGTAAAGGTCCGATATATTGGCGTCTCCTCTACCCTTTTTGTAAATCTTTTCATTGATTTCCTGAATAATCCTGTCAATGGATCAACATTCTCTAAATGATCTTTACGTCTCCTTAGTTTTAAGTCTTCAATATGATCGATATGTTCAAGTCGCTCACTGGGTAAGATAATGGCACGATCCAACGAATATGGCAAACCTCTGTTCCTACCTCTTATCAACATACAGATAATGACTAGTTTTGATAGGGTCGTAAAACGTGCTGAAAAAGATTGATTTGTAGTTGGATAACCTAATGATAAACCTACAGTACCGTACGCACTTACCACTTCAAATAGAATAGAAAAGACATTGAAGTTAGGCATTGTTTGATCTTTAATTTTATCATTTTCACAAATACAGATAATGAATAAACCTAGAAACACAAACCACAAATCAAATGATAATTGTTTTCTTAAATGTTGCCCAATAAATGATTTTGTGGACATATGTTCACTTTCAGGTTCACCAGAACCACGCTTTCTCTTTTTCTTCTTACTTTTCTTCTTCTTCTTCTTCTTCCTTTTATTATTTTGAGACGATCTGTGGCTTAGAGTACTACTTTTATTGCTTTGTGAACTGCCTTCAATAGTATCTTCCAGCGAGTGATTGCTACGTTCTGCTATATCTGAGTTATAAATTTTGTCATCATCATCATCATCATCATCATCATCGTCATTTTCATTTTCATCTTCATTTTCATCTTCATCACTCCCTTCTTCCTCTTCCTCCTCGTCCGCACTCTCTTCGCCCTCTGACTCTGATTCCACCTCCCCATATAAACCCAGTGATTGTTCTTCATAGACGTTTGTTCTTCTAATGGATATAGCTAGCGGTAAAACAGAAACATACATCATAAGCATATATGATACTTGAGTTGCTGCATTCAACTGACTTAAATCCACAACACCGAAACCAGCTGTTCTGGTACTGACAGCTTGAAATAAACCATCCAGCACTCTATAACCCTTAGAGATAGGCTTTAAAACAGTTGACCCTAAATCTAGAATAATGAATAAAATAAAATCGGTGAAATTTAGAACAACTAAAGTCAATAATAACCACCATGTGGCTGACTCGGGAAACAATAAAGTAAAACAACGACGTGGATGATCCAACAAGAATCCTGAACTCTCACGGATGTGCGATAATTCTGGAGATATTTTAAACATTATCCAAATAATAAATCTTAACAAAATAGGAAAACCTGTATTACCAATAATAATGAACCAAATCATAACAACTAAAGGATAAACAGCTGTATTAAATGAACCCATAGAGTCTGGTGTTAGTGTTAGGCCCAAATCGTTAAATGCACTCATAGATGTAAAGAAACCCCACCAGGCTGGGGAAACCCCAGCCTCTCTAACTATATGCGCATATTTCGAATCGCGACATATCCAAGGAAGCATTATTACAAAACATAAAATATGGAAACCAACATAGTATACAATTAATATCCGACAAAGAAGTTTAATCGCTCTATATTCAACACCACCCAATTCATTCTTTTGAATATTTGTCAAACCAGTAAAATTAGAGTTACGAGATACAGTTGGTTGCCATGAAAGGTAATTTGAACTCATGGTCTTTGAGAGAGGATGGACTTGTTCAATGAAATTTGGACTTAAATTGTCATCAGGGTGGAAACCGTAGTAGCTTTGCTGACTATCGTTATCTTCATAATTCCTATCATAATCATCATCATCGTCACCCTCATTGTTATCGTCATCAGCGTCATTATCGTAACCATCATCATGGGAAGTACCATCTGTTGTGAACCTACTATTTGGACGATATAGATCGTTTGGATGCTTATTACTGTTACCTGTTGATTCATACAGCAGATGAGGTAAGCCCGATGGTGAGCTATTTTTGTAAATAGTAGAAGCTAGATCAGGGAGGGATGCCGCGGATGTAAAAGATACTGAATCATCCTGGGTAGTTTGTTTCATTATCGCAGGATGTGTTGTTTCAGTTCTAAATTTTTGTACCCCTGCTGAACCGTCCGTGTTATTCTTTCTTCTCTGGGCGATATATCTTTCACCCATTTTTCTTGGACTTCTAAGATGATGCTTATTCTTGTGTTCTTTTTTCCACTGCTTATATACCATTTTTTGAAAGTCTGGTTCTTGCGCTAATTCATTTAGTTTTGCTCCATCATTCACATCGAAAGTCAAAGAATGTGCCAACATTTTATTCATGCTAGGTTTCGAATTATTTGGTAAAGGATAATGTTCTTTTTCTTCATCAGTCTCGTTATCAGCAAAATAATCTTCAGCCATGTGTTGCCCTTGATTATGACTATTACTTTTGTTGGGATAATCCTTCTTTCTCAAAATATCGTCCTTTTGATCCTTATCAAATGAGCCACTTGATAATCTCCTTTTTAAGTTTTTTCTGAACCTTTTCCCTTTACGAAGTTGTTTTAGTAAGTACTTGGACGTAGAAGGGGCTCTTCTAAATGGGGGACGATTAGATGCCCAAGTTGGTGCTTCCTGGGTAGATTCCATTTTTACTAAGTGTCTTCTCGGTGGTTGTTGTATGTCAAAATGAATAGTTTGTCTATGTTGAGCAGGTTCAGGACCAAATGTTACTGTTGGCTTTTCTTCAAAATCACCTGTTATAGGATGCATAGTTACTTTTTCATCAAGATCTTGATGATTTTGCGCAACCACTTCTGTGGTCGACTGAGTTTTCACTAATGAAAAAGGACTCTCGTTTATGGGTTGTGACGGAATTGAATTGATGCTACTTTCCTCTCTTGGTGAGATGTTATCTCTATTAGAAAGGGTTTCAGATTCTATTTCAGAATCTGTTGGTTGAGAACCTGAGTCAGATATTGAGTTATCAGAAATTGCAAATGAATCGCCCATCTCCATTGAATGGTTACTTTCGTCTGATGTGTTATCATCATTTATATCTGCGGCATTACCACTATTTATACTATCATTAACATCCGATGACAAAATTGAAGATTGATGAGCATCTGAATTTAAACCACGTATTTGTAATTCATCAGTTTTTATATTATTAGCTCCTGATGGTAATCTTTCTTGAGGGTGTAAGTTAATACTCTGTGGTGTCACACGGGGGCGTTTTGAATCTCCGGACTCTGATCTTTTATGCGAAGTATTCCAATTTAGCCGCGACGCTTCTGAATTTAAACCGTTTGGATTAATTGTCTTTGGTTTAGGTATATTTTTTTGGTTTTTATTTTCATTTGGAGCTTGAATGACCAATGCAGGTCCGTCATTTTCTTCTGTCTCCTCGTGTTGGTCTCTTAACATCTGGAGAGATCTTAACATATCCTGAGGCGTGATCTCTGCGGAATTCCTCCTTTTGGCGAACCTTTCCTTCTCGGACTGCATATTCAATGTTGAAGAAGATTTTTTAATATTATTTTCTTCATTTTGGCCTTCCAAATGTCTTTTCGAATCAGAATATGCATTGGATTTTCTTGGTTCTGGAGATATATCATCATCCACTAATATGGGAGTTTTAGCCCTTTGTAAATCTTGTTTAGGCTTTGAAACATTTGATTGCGAATCAGAGGGAGCTTCTTCAGAGATATAATCTTCATCTCTATTGACCATCTGTCCACTAAACAATTTTTCTTGGAAATTTTTACTATTAGACGATTCACGCTTTGTATTATTATGATTTGTATCAGGTGTAGTAGTTTGTCCTGATAATGTGGTATTGTTATTACCTTCGCCTTTCTTATGCGAGGTTACATCAGTGGAGTTTTCCTTCGAGTTATCGTGTTTAGTGGTATCGCTTGAGGTGATGGTAGCGTTATCATTAGGAATCGCTAAAGTTCTTTTTGAAGATTCTACCTGAGAAGATAAATTACTAGAGGTTCCATTTTTTACACCACTGATATTATCGTTACTACCACTATTATCATTATTCTTAGTTTTGTTATTTAAATCTAGATCGTCATCTCTAAATGTTATCGTGGGCCTTACACGCATTTCATAACTTTCGTCCATATTACGATTACCTTCATGTCCTTGACGACCTATAGAATCAAACCTCATCGAAGGTTGCCTGGGCGTTGTCAGAGTCCTCCTTGTTAACTCTCTTTGTAAAATTGTCTTCGTTCTTCTCATTTTGAAATCCTTCTTAGAAAAATCACTGATACCATCGAAGTATCTCTCAAACCAATATAAACGAACAAAAGCTAAGAATCCATGTATAGCTATTGGAGTCGTTAAACAACATGTAATATAAACAATGATCTGTTGATACAGAGTCAAGGAATTCACATCAATAGTATTCAGACCACCCTGCGTAGATGCACCTGTTGCTAGAAACAGAATGTCTATATACTTTGCATTCTTTACGGGATATAATAAAATCGATGTGATAATGGTCATCGTAATGATATAAATATAATGAACTGCAAGAAAGTTTGGGAATAAATATTTCTTTAGGGGTTCGATCCACGTCCCTATCTTGGCAATAATATCACGTATTCGATGACCTGCAGATTTCTTATATGATTCTGGTATTGTGAAGTTTGGAGCCAATGTCGAAACCCTCGTTAATGTTCTTCGGAGAGGATGTATTCTCTGTGGTATATGCATGTTTATTTATTAGATGTCGAATGTTGAATATTATTGTGTATCGCTGTGAAGAAGAAGGATATATTTTGACCAAGCTATAGAATTGAAAATGTATCTTCTTCGGAAAATGCTATATGAAGGAATAGAATCAGTTTAATCAACTTGTTCTAACTCTTTTTTCTAAAAAGAGAAATGAAATTTAAAATAAAACGAAATGACAAATCTATTATAGTTATTTTTTCCTGTCTCAACAGATATGCCACTAAAAATAAACAGTTGTCCAATAATCAGCAATGCAGAATACTAAAGTATTTCTAAGAGTCTATCAAAAATATTCTTTTGTGTTGTTGTAAGTCTTCTCGTTTCAAAAAAAAAAGATAAAAGTCGTTTACCTTACGTAAACACCGCAGAAAATGCACTTGATATTGTATAATATTTTGTCAAGAAACGAGTAGATACTTCAGCCCTAATGATATATATTAGAGTAAAACAATATTGGTGATCCTTTCAGTATTGGCAGAACAGTTGTATAAAAAAAGCCTTATTCAACTTGAGATCATCCAACAGCAATCACATATTAGACCCCGTTGTCTATCTAAACCACCGGCCAATTTATGGATATTTTTTTTTCTTTGTTATGATTTTTTCTTGCTTTGTTTTCAATTCTGAAACGGGAACGGTCTTTTCTTGGTGGTGAAAACAGACAACCAATAATAAACCGATCGATGCCCACATAGAAAAGACATAAAGACATATATAATCTTGATATTTTTAAGGAAGAAAACAATCTATGTTTACTTTTAAAATATATATATACATATATATATTATATGTGTTTGTTTTTGTATTGCTACGAAGGTTTGATTCTTCTTATCAATTTTTACGTATGAATATGGCCACAAAGAGAAAATGAGAAAGAAATAAAAGCCTATGTATATGCGCTGTTGATTGGGAGGAAGAAGGGAAACTTAAGGTAATCCACCCATATGTAATGCTGGGACAACTTTTGGCAATCCATTTTCACCCCTTTCAGCAAGGATAGCTTTCCGTTTTTGTAATCTTGTAGTAATGTAATCACTCATTTTAACGTCGGTGTCTCTGTACCTTACCAACCATGGATGCTCTATCAATGCTGCATAAGTTGGTCTTCTTTCAGGTATCTTTTGTAAACATAATGATACAAAATCTTGAGCTTCGGAACTAAATCTTTCCGAAGGTAATTTAGGGGCAGGTCCATCGACAATAGCACTCAATTGTGAAAATATGTTATCAAATGTCTCTGGAGGGTAAGGGTATCTTCCTAGAGCCATCTCGAGAATACTTAGACCCAGAGACCAAATATCAGATTGGACAGTATACGTAGCGATATCTGGATTCAATGATTTTATACGTTCTGGAGCCATATATGATTGACAACCGATGTTAGTCTTTGCCATTGATGCAACCAAGTTCCCTGAGACACCGAAATCACATAGTTTTATGGTACCTTGTTTAGCACTACATAGGATATTTGTTGGTTTAACATCTCTATGGATAATATTATGAACATCTTTCAACACTTTAAGACCTCTAATGACTGCGTTTGAAATATAAGCTAGTTGAGGTTCATCTATTCCGCCAATTTCAGGGTTTGGATCATATATTTTATCTAAGGACCCACCGTCCATATATTCCATGCACATATATACAGCACCTTCAATGAAAAATGCACCATAAAAATCCACAATATAAGGTGATTGACATTTATGTAGAATTTCTAATTCCATCAGGATTTGTTTAAATTTTGCTTCATCCAATTCTAATTTAACTTCTTTCATTGCCATTATAACGTTTGTTGGTTTATGTAATACTTTTGATACATTCCCATAGTTACCATGACCCAATTCTTCAATGAATTCCAATTCATCCAATGTAATTCTAGAACTTGAACCATTACTGAAATCTATCCCAGTTGATGATAAGGATAACTTCCCAGCAAAATTCAAGGATCCCGATTTAATATCGACATATTTTGAGAAGATGGAAAATAGACCACCACTACCTGAACCACTTCCACCACTAGAACTTGAACCACTCCCATCAGCAGTTGCAGTATTATTATTATTATTTTTCGTTCTATCGTTCGAAGAGATTGAAGTTCTTTGTATACCATTCACCAAAGAGCCATGATTTGTACGTCTTGCTGCAGTTTCATTAGTCGGACTTCCTTCGAATTCTTGTACTGTACTTGCATTTGATGATGAGGAAGGAGCAGAAGATTTAGTTAGATTCTTTAGAGACATACCACCTGGCGGTAACTTCAATCCTCTTCTTGCACTTAGACTTAATTTTGGTTGTCTATTTTGAGCAGCAGCACTAGTGACTCCACTACTTATACTATTACTACCAGTGATCACTACAGGTCTACGTGGAGCTCTTCTATTTGGATTAAATTGAGTTGGACCCGCAGTATTAATTACTGGTGCATGAGTAGTACTGCTATTATTATTATTATTTGGTGTTCTTAAAAGATTTGTATTAATAGTTATTTTATTTATAGGTTTTGGAGTAGATAATTTACTATTCCCAATTGTCAAATTATTCAAATCTTTCGTTATGCTATTATTAGTTTTAGTATTATTCTTAGTTGCCATTGGAGTACTATTTCTATTATTATTTTGAGTGGGTGGTAAAGGAGGTAAAGGTTTATTCACTATACTTACATGTTTAGTTTGTGAAGAAGAAGACGACGACGACGACGATGCTAATGCTAGTGATTGATCTGTTGCTGTGGTTGCTGTTGCTGCTGCCGTTGCCGTGCTTGTATTATTATCAGTGGTAGAAATATTAATTGCAGTAGTAGAAGTTTCTAAAGTAGTGGATTGTGTCTTTAAATGTGATCTAGATCTATGATTTGAAGACGATAAACTTCTTTCACCAGTAGTACTGTTATTTTGTTTATTGCTATTAGCTGATTCCTTATTACTATTATTGCCCTTAGTATTATCATCATTTGTAGTATTTGATTTTGCACTAGAAGTACTTCCGACACTAGCAGATCTTTTCAATGCTCGTTGTTCTTGGAAAGCTTTCACTCTTGCATGTAAATTTGCATTGATGTTATCGTAATGAGACGAAGTTGACGATGCTCTCTTAATAGAACCATCTTGATCTGCGACTGTATCGCCATTAGGTATCCTCGGCATATGGCTTTGTATATATATATATTAATAAATAAAATATATCTATCTGCCTATGGGGAAAGGGTATATGTTAAATGAAGGTGGAGATTATAAGTGTATACTCCGTCTATGCAAATCAATAAAAAGTTTTAAGTTCTAAGTAATTCGTTTGTTAAAAATAATAATACAAAAGAGGTAATCTTATCCCATATATATGTATAGATATATATGACTTCGCAATGTAATAGCAGTGTATGGTGTCTGTTTCTTTATTTTGTTTCCTTGTGTATTATTTGTAATATTGTTATTTGATAGTGGGTTTTTATTTTTTTTCCTCTCACCACTCCACCACTTCAAAATATTATTTATTTTATTTAATTTTATTTTTTTAACTATGTATTATATTTGAAATTCGCACTTTTCTCGGGTCGGGATATATTATTGTAATTGCAACTTCTTAGCACTGCAATCCGACGCTTTCAGTTCTGTCAAAGCGCTGTTTGTAATGAGCAACAGAAATCACTTTTTCTCTTTGGGGCAGGGAGGGTGAGGGGGGAAGCGCGAGAGCGAAACATGAAAAAAAATATTTGGAAGTGGGAGAGGGTAACTGCACGCGGTGCACTGTCACGTGCACTGTCACGTGCCCGGTGGCATTGGGCGGGTGAGTGTGACTCTGCTAAGCACGAGCTTGCCGCCACTGTTTGAGGAAACGGGATTCGCTCCACTTCTCACGCTCATCAAGTATACAGACAGTTCTGGTTGGTCATTCTCTCACTGTCAAGATTCCTGCTTAGCACTAGCATCTTTGCCACGGCAGCACACGCCAAGTGCGACGCCGTCGCTGGCCAACACACACACACACACAGATTGCGGTGTTTCGTTCGACAACGGCGGCAAGCAGCACACAAGTATTTCTAAAAGCGGCTGTGTTGCTGGGAACAAACACAGACATATATATCGAGACTCGTCTTTTATCATAGCAATAGTGAGAGCAATCCCGCACGATTGCATACAAGTATGAAACGCGTCTCGCGAACATTATGGCGTTTGTTTCCACGTGACTCAGAGCACCACCATCAAGTTGCGAATTTGCGGGAATATCGACTGCTTTTCTCTGGCTGCTAAAAGCAATAAAACACATTTAAGCCGTGTTCCCAGTACGGTTTTCTCTCCAGCCATTCCACCAACGTCGCTGTCATTATTATTTATAATCATTTATAAATAATGCCGTTCTCCGCGCGATTGTGAGGCGTGTATCCAGAAGCCCGGCACAACGGCAAAGTCACCTCCTTCTCTCTCTGCCTGTCTTTGTTTGTTTCTTTTTTGCTTGCTTGTTGCCCTGTGCCGTGCTGGTGCTGGTTGTGCGTGCGCTTGACAGTCCCTTTTTTGCGGTTGGTACACAGGGTATCGGCTGTTATTGGAATATTTTAGATAACAATGTTCTTGTTTTGCGTGCTGCAGGGATGTCTGTGTTAGTCTCACGGATTCCAGAAAAAAGTTTTTTTTTTACTTTTTGCATGTTATATGAGCCGAGATTATTTTCATCTTGCTGTTTGCTGTTGTTTAGCTTGTTCCCTTTTGTTTGTTTATTGACCGTTTCGAGGTAACTGATTAGCTCTCCAAATACTTGGTATATACAGGAGTAAAAATTTATGAACCGCGCTCATCTGGTGAACAATTCTTGTTTCTTTTCTCTCTCTGCCACTCTGTGGCAGAGAGAGAGAGAGAGAGAGAGAGAAAAGATTCGCTCATATAATATTATCATCGGTTCTCTTTGTCTGTACACCCTAGATGATTGAAAAAGAGAACTGCACTGTGAGATGACCACTTTGCTGTAAAAGACTCGAGAGGCATTATTGGGATATATTTCAACGAACCAACAACAATCATCATCATCACCTTCCTTTTAATAGATCTTGTTTCATTAGTCAATGAATAATGATACGTATTTATTTTGTATTATATAGACATTTAACGGCTAGTATATTCCATCGTATTATTCTTTAAAGTAACTGAACTGATTGATATATAAAGAATGAACAATCTGGATGATTAGTTTATTTCACATTTCCTGTCTCTCTCTAATTACAAGAAATTTTTTCACTTGATAACATATCAAATCAAATCAAATCAAATAAAAAAATTAATAGTTAGATTATAGTATATTTTTTTCTTTTTAATTTTTTAATAACTAGAACAATAAAAAAGATAAATTATATACCCTAATTTTGCATACTTATTTTTAATACATTAATTCAAATTTATACTTTTTTTCTATTTTTTTAGAATATTAAAAACATACTACTATATTAATTATTTTTTAATTTGTTATAACACATCATCATGTCTGAGAAGGAAACATCTTCTAAATCAGGCGCTGATGACTCAAATTCAATGAATGGGTCTCTCGCAGATTCCGTTCATTCCTACGAGGCTTACGAAGGTGCAGGCCCAGATATCGAAGACCAAGGTAACGAGTCGCAATTGTCGCGTCATCTTTCTCACATCCTTTCCAATGAAGAAGGTATTAAAAGACTGGAATCCCTAGGGAGAGTCATCTCTACTAAGACTAAAAAACAAATGGATTCATTCGAAGTCGACGAAATGGATTTCGATTTACGTGCTCTATTGAACTATTTAAGATCGCGTCAATTGGAACAAGGTATCGAACCAGGTGATTCGGGTGTCGCTTTCCGTAACCTAACCACTGTGGGTGTAGATGCTTCCGCTGCTTACGGTCCTTCCGTTAGTGAAATGTTAAGAGATATCGGTTCTGCTCCTGCTAGTATCTTCAAAAAAAATGGTAACGTTCCATTGAGAAACATCATCCAGAATTGTACAGGTGTTGTTGAATCTGGTGAAATGTTGTTCGTTGTCGGTAGACCAGGTGCTGGTTGTTCCACTTTCTTAAAGTCTATCACTGGTGAAACTGAAGCTTTTGTTTCTGTTGACGGTGATTTCTCTTACGACGGTTTAGAACAAGAAGAAATGATGAAGAAATATAAAGGTTACGTCATTTACTGTCCTGAATTGGATTTCCATTTCCCAAAGATTACCGTTAAAGAAACTATAGATTTCGCTTTGAAGTGTAAAACTCCTCGTGTTAGAATCGATAATATGTCTCGTCAAGAATATGTCGATAATTTAAGAGATTTATGGTGTACCGTGTTCGGTTTAAGACATACCTACGCTACTAAAGTCGGTAACGATTTCGTTAGAGGTGTCTCTGGTGGTGAACGTAAGCGTGTCTCTTTAGTCGAGGCTCAAGCTATGGGTGCCTCCATCTATGCTTGGGATAATGCCACTAGAGGTCTAGATGCCTCTACAGCTTTAGAATTCGCTCAAGCCATTAGAACTGCTACTAATATGATGAACTCTTCCGCCGTCGTCGCCATTTACCAAGCCGGTGAAAATATTTATGAATTGTTCGATAAAGCTACTGTCTTATACAACGGTAAACAAATTTTCTTCGGTCCTGCTGATAAAGCCGTCGCTTACTTTGAAAAGATGGGTTGGGTTAAACCAAATAGAATGACATCTGCTGAATTTTTAACTTCTGTTACTGTCGATTTTGAAAATAGAACTTTGGATATTAAACAAGGTTACGAAGATAAAGTTCCAAAATCCGGTGGTGAATTCGAAGAATATTGGTTAAACTCCGAAGAATATCAAGATGTTCTAAGACAATACGATGATTACCATGCTAGACATCCAGCTGAAGAAACTAGACAAAGATTCGAATCTGCTAAAAAACAAAGATTACAAAAGGGTCAAAGGGCTTCTTCTCAATACGTCGTCAACTACTGGCATCAAGTTTGGTACTGTATGGTACGTGGGTTCCAAAGAGTTAAAGGTGACTCCACTTATACTAAGGTTTATCTGTCCTCTTTCTTAATTAAAGGTTTGATTGTTGGTTCGCTGTTCCACAGAATCGATGATAAGTCCCAATCTACTACTAAAGGTGCTTATTCTCGTGGTGGTATGTTATTCTATGTCCTGTTATTCGCATCTGTTACTTCCTTGGCTGAAATTGCTAACTCTTTTGCTACTCGTCCAATTATCGTTAAACATAAATCTTATTCGATGTATCATTTATCCGCCGAATCTTTACAAGAAATTTTAACTGAATTCCCAGTTAAATTTGTTGCTGTCTTAACTTTATCCTTGGTCACTTACTGGATTCCTTTCATGAAATACACTGCAGGTGCTTACTTCCAATATTTACTATATTTGATCACTGTTCAACAATGTACTTCTTTCATTTTCAAATCTGTTGCTACTTTAACCAAAGATGGTGCTACTGCCCATGCTCTTGGTGGTCTATGGGTTTTGATTCTTTGTGTCTATGCCGGTTTCGTTCTTCCATTACGTGAAATGCATCATTGGATCAAATGGATTCATTGGTTAAACCCTCTAAGTTACGCCTTCGAGAGTTTAGTCTCCACTGAATTCCACGGTAGACAAATGAAATGTAGTGCTCTGGTTCCATCAGGTGTCGGTTATGAAAACATTACTATTGCTAATCAAGTCTGTGATTCACCAGGTGCTATTAAAGGTCATGAATTCGTTGGTGGTGATGACTATATTAGAGCTCAATACCATTACGATTACTCCCACGCTTGGAGAAACTGGGGTATTAACGTTGTTTGGACTTTCTTCTATATCTGTTTCAATGTTGCTATGTCTGAATTTATCAAGCCTTTGGAAGCTGGTGGTGATCTGTTACTTTACAAGAGAGGTCATATGCCAGAACTTGGTACTGAAAATGCCGAAGCTAAGACCGCTTCCAGAGAAGAAATGATGGAAGCTCTAAACGGTCCTGATGTTGATTTACATGCTGTCATTGAGAGTAAGGATGTTTTCACATGGAATCATCTAGATTACGTTATTCCTTACGATGGTGCTACTAGAAAATTATTAAGTGATGTCTTTGGTTATGTTAAACCTGGTAAGATGACTGCTTTAATGGGTGAATCTGGCGCTGGTAAGACTACTTTGTTAAATGTTTTGGCTCAAAGAATCAACATGGGTGTTATCACTGGTGATATGCTTGTCAATGGTAAGGATCTACCTGCATCTTTCAATAGATCTTGTGGTTACGTCGCTCAAGCTGATAACCATATGGCTGAATTGTCTGTTAGAGAATCTTTAAGATTTGCTGCTAAATTAAGACAACCTCAATCTGTTGCTCTAGAAGAAAAATTGGAATACGTCGAAAAGATTATTACACTTTTAGGTATGCAAAACTACGCTGAAGCTTTGGTCGGTAAAACTGGTAGAGGTCTAAATGTCGAACAAAGAAAGAAACTGTCTATTGGTGTTGAATTGGTCGCTAAGCCTTCTCTATTGTTGTTTTTAGATGAACCTACTTCTGGTCTGGATTCTCAATCTGCTTGGTCTATTGTTCAATTTATGAGAGCTCTAGCTGATTCTGGTCAATCTATTTTGTGTACTATCCATCAACCTTCTGCAACTTTATTTGAACAATTCGATAGATTGCTATTACTAAAGAAAGGTGGTAAAATGGTTTACTTCGGTGATATTGGTGAAAATTCTAATACTTTGTTAAATTACTTCGAACGTCAATCTGGTGTCAAGTGTGGTATTTCTGAAAACCCCGCTGAATATATGTTGAACTGTATTGGTGCTGGTGCAACTGCTAGTGCAACTGCTGACTGGCATGATCTATGGTTGGATTCTCCTGAATGTGCTGCTGCTAGAGCTGAAGTCGAGGAATTACACAGAACTCTACCATCGAGACCTGTTAGTGATGATCCTGAACTGGCTACTAAATTTGCCGCTTCCATGTTAACTCAATACAAATCTGTTATTACGAGAACTTTCTTACAATTCTGGAGATCCCCTGTCTACATTAGAGCTAAATTTATGGAATGTGCTACTTGTGCATTGTTTATTGGTCTTTCTTACGTTCGTGTCAATAATTCTGTTGGTGGTGCTGTCGAAGCTTTCTCTGCTGTTTTCATGTTACTACTGTTATCTTTGGCTATGATTAATCAATTACACGTTTTCGCTTTCGATTCAAGAGAATTATATGAAGTCAGAGAAGCTGCGTCAAATACTTTCCATTGGAGTGTTCTGCTATTATCTCATTGTTTAATTGAATTAGGTTGGACCATGTGTTGTCAATTCGTGTGTTGGTTCTGTTACTACTGGCCAGCTGGTTTTAATGGTAGTGCTCCTGAAGCTGGTTATTTCTGGTTCTTATACGTTTTGATTTTCCCAATGTATTTTGTTACCTATGGTTTATGGATTCTTTACTTCTCCCCAGATGTTCCATCTGCTTCTATGATTAATTCTAATATCTTTGCTGCTATGTTGTTATTCTGTGGTATCTTACAACCATCTGAAAAGGCTCCACGTTTCTGGATCTTTATGTTCAGAATTTCCCCATTCACTTATGTTGTTGAAGGTCTAGTAGGTCCTGAAATTCATGGTAAAAAGGTCAAATGTAACCGTGACGAACTAAACATTATGGATCCACCATCTGGACAAACTTGTGGTCAATACCTAGATGCTTATGCTAAGGGTCACACTGGTTTCCTACTAAATCCAGAAGCCACTGCTGATTGTGAATATTGTCCATATTCTACTCAAGATGATGTTGTTGCCCCATTCCATGTCAAGTATCATCACAGATGGAGAAACTTTGGTTTCATGTGGATTTACATTTGTTTCAACATTTTCTTAATGCTTTCTTGTTACTACATCATGAGAGTCAAGGTATGGAGTTTGAAATCTGTTCTAGACTTTAAGAAATGGTTCAATGGTCCAAGAAAGGAAAGACATGAGGACAAGCCAAATGTTTTCCAATCTACTGCTGCTGATCAAAGCGCAGTTCAAAAGAAGGAAGCCTAATGATCATACTTATCTTCTTTTTTTATCTTTATATAGACAACTCAACATTATAGATTCTTTAAATATTAATTATTATTTGTTACTTTTCAATTTTTTTGCTTATTTTTAATATTAATTATATAACTGATCGATTTAAACTTTTCAATAAAATTACACGACGCTGCTGGCGACCTGATATTGGGTGACTTGCAATATAATATATCTTGATATTTGAAAACCACAAAATATGAATTAGTCTGAGCGCATAGATAGCTTATTGAAATTTAAACAATATTATGAAAAGTGTACAGCAATCTTTATATTAACCTCGAATTTCTTGAAGATACTGTTTAAATTTGATTATTTATCATATTCATATCACAGATTTGATAGATTTCAAATATCAAAAGTGGATCGGAGTCGTTTTGTTATTAACCCTAAATTTTTGAACTGTAACGATCTATTAATGACTATTCAGTTCGGAAAGTACTTTAGCTCTAATTATTACTTTAATATTGGAAATAATCATTCAAGGTACTGTGATTGTGTTGCCAGAGAAATGATTACACATCCTCCTAAGTACCCCAGTAACTGGAAGAACGCTCTCCTTGATAACCTGACTTGTTCAGACTTACTGTGGGATTGGGCAAAAATGCCCCGAATTTGTTTGAATATCAGTGTTATACCCATATTATTCAGTATATTTAAATTAAAATGCCTGAGGATGGAAGAATGAGACACCCAGTATTTTGAATACTAGTCCTGACTTTATAAGTCATCTCTCTTTTAATGATTATTTCAGATTTATTGCTCAGATACATCTTATCTTTGTTTATTTTTCAACGCGAACAATAATTTCAACTTTCAATTTTCTCTTTTGTATGAGCATCCATTTGACTAAGACAAGACCGTATAGACCTGCCAACCAGAGAAGGAAAGAGAAATGAGGACATGCAGAACAACTACTAGGGAAAATCTTTATATATCATATATCATGATAGTACATCATCGAGGGTGTTACTTTGCCGGAATCTACTACAGGGTCAACATCTGTTGGTATATCCTGGGACTCACTTTGTCTCGCATCTTCTATATCGTCATCATTCGGGTTATCATCATCTATAGCATTCTCAATCTCGATTTCTTGTATCTCTTGTAACATTCTTTTTCTCTCGCTAATAAATTTGTCATATCTTTTATAATCATTGGGTGTATTACCTTGAACCGTAGAGTCCCTATCCCTGGAAAAATTATTTCCTTCGGCTGTTCTATCACCATATAGTTCGTCAACTTCATCGTCATCGTCATCGTCATCATCGTCATCGTCATCGTCATCCTCACCGTCGTCATCGTCATTATAGTCCTCATCTTCCTCTTCATGATATGCTGCATCAAAATCGAAACTTAGTAAGAATTGCTCGTTCTCTCGTTGGCGTCGTATCATGGAAGCTTCATCTTCTGTCTGTTGTTGTTCGGCCTGTTCCTTTTGTACAATTTCTAATGCTGCCATTACATTATCCTCCAAGTTCAGCATTGCATCGTTCATGATATTATCACTATTATTTTTACCTGTATTTGCTGTACCGGTAACGTGAGTATTCTTTTCATTCATGTCGACAAGTACTTTGGTTGCCGCATCAATATAACTCGATCTCTTTCTATTCATCTCATCTGTAATAAATTTGTTAAATGTATTAGTGCCATTCAAACTTGAATAATCATTTTGATGACCATTATACTTTGCTTGCTTCGATTTAGTAGAATCAAGTTCGCGTGTTGCATCGTGATCTACGCCCTTGATATTTTCAGATATGCTTCTTGATCTTTTACCTTTATGGGTATCATTTACAGCAGGCAAACTGGCCCCAAGCTTTAAATTTGACTCACTAGTACGCGTACCATTATACACTTCTGTTGTATTCATAATTTTATCAGTATTTATCACATGTGATGGTAACATATGTGCCTGTGCCACAGGTGCTTCACCAGCTGTGACAATAACCCCATTCTCATCGGGGTATCTCATTTTACATTTCTGACATTGTGCAATCACTTCAGAAACTGTGTGTTTAATCCGCTTCCAATGGTATTTTTTTGCAATTTTGGACGTTATCTTATTTATACCTTCATGCATGACATTATGTGTCTCCAAAGCGATTTGTCTTTGCTTAACAGGGTCGTAAACAACTTCTCTTCCTTTAGTCATCAATTTTCCATTCTGTAAGTTATGGTTCTTGGCACTAACACGAAGCCGAGCTTTTTCACTTCTGTCACAATGTAACGGATATTCTCCAGTTTCCAGATAGTACCGTAATCGTTCGTATTTTGCAATTTCGTTACTCTTCTCAGGATCACGTAGTAAATCGATACTTCTTTTGATATGGGTAAATTCCTTAGCGTATATAAATGAATCTACAGGTACATCATAACCTTTTAAAATACCAGCTTCTGGTAGTTTTCCTACTCTTCTAAAATTTAAATCTTCCAGTATTCTTCTAATCCCAACGTTTGTACCATAAATCAATGGGAAACAACATGACGTAAAGCCCAGTTTCTTGGACCATTCAATAAATATTTCTGAAAGTGTCTTGCCAATACCTTTACCTCTAATACCAGCATTGACTAAAAATGTACCCGTCACTACATGAGATGATCTACCAGGATATGCAGGCTGGAGTTGGAAAATACCCAAACACTGTTTCTCCCAAGGTATCTTGAAATTAAAATTGCGTAATTTCTTTCTTTGTAAATATTTTTCTGAATTCTTTTCACTATCATTATTATTAGCAGATCCAGAACCCTTTTCTGTACTTTCACTACTAGGATATATATCCTCTGCACTATAATCGAGTTCTGGAATCTCTCCAAGAACCATAATACATATATGTCCATCCCTATTAAACCAAACGTCCTGGAATTCTTCCAAGCTTAATGTTTCGTAATAAGGGAAACTGTCACCTTTTTCTATCTCCATATTGAACTCATCTAATAAAAACTGAAGTAACTCTGGCGGAAGTAATTGTGGAAACGATGGTATTGGATACATTGTAGCAACTGTCTCCCCATCTTTAAGAATTACAGTTCTCGGGCGTAGGGGGGTCACTAGTTGCTGGTCTTGTTGTGCTGAACTGGGCATCATCAGGTTATGAGATGCCTTGTCCTGATTAGTTTGCTCCATCGTCGTCAACTTGCCGCTGAACATAACTCACTCTACAGATAACAACAAATAAAATAGTATATTAGAATATCACGGATGTAACAGTTATATGCCTAGGCTTCGCATTTGCTACTGTATTTGTGATTGGTGTATCCACGAAACGTTTGGCGTTTTGGCGATTCTAATGTTTATTATATAATTAATAAATCCTATCTCGGCCGAACAAGGAAATTTGTATGTGAGTTTGACTTAAAAAGCACAGTTGATATATATACTATAATGAATACCTGAGACACCGTATATCAATGATAAAAGGGTTAATACAGATGATTATTACCGTTAGAAAATTTTGTATATAGTCGACTTACAATATGCCGCCTCAATTTAGAATTGCGATAGGGCAACTTTGCTCTTCATCTAATCTTCAAAAGAATTTGAAGATCGTGACACAATTGATCTCGCAGGCGATTGACAAAGATGTAAAATTGATACTATTCCCAGAAGCTACAGACTTCTTATCAAGAAATGCATCACATTCTCATTATTTGGCTGATCAAACACCGGCTTTTATTAATGACCTACAACATAGCATACGAACATTGGTACAAGAGAAATCAAAACGAATAGATGTATCAATTGGTGTTCACCTCCCATCTTCCAACCCAGCCGAAGATTCCAGAACCCAAAATGTACTTTTATATATAAACTATAATGGTCAGATTCTAGACACCTATCAAAAATTGCATCTATTCGATGTTAATATCAAAAATGGACCAATACTAAAAGAATCACAGTCTGTACAACCAGGAACAATACTTCCAAATGTGATCCAAACACCTGTTGGAAAACTCGGGACTGCAATATGTTATGACATAAGATTTCCAGAACATGCGGCTTACCTTAGGTCTATGGGTGCACAATTACTGTGCTATCCAAGTGCATTTACAATGAAGACAGGTGCGGCCCACTGGGAAACGTTAGGTAAAGCTCGTGCTATTGATAACCAATGTTACGTTATCATGCCAGGACAACAAGGTAAACATAATGTTTATGACGACAATTGGCATAATGAGACAGAGAGTCCTACCGTTCTGGTAGAACGCCAATCATGGGGTCATTCAATGATTATAAATCCATGGGGTGATATAGTAGCAGAAGCCAATTCATCTATCGAACATCAATTAGTGGTAGCTGATCTTGACTATGAATTAATGCAGACTGTGAGGGAAAATATGCCATTACTTAAACACATGAGAAAGGATATAATTTACAATTAAATATTTTATGTATATATTTGACTGAGTCACTTATTACGTTCAAACATTACTGAACAACAGTATCACGTCTAGACTTGTCAGAAAGTTTTGTTGCAAACGTTAAGTATGAAGTGTGAGATTTAATTTCTGACTCAATCTTTGTAACTTGTTTCCATTTGAAATTTGGATCACCTTCTTTCACTCTAGTTCCCTTTCCGAATGGATTAAATTTTGATTTCTCAGTGAATGGCTCTCTAGGGGTGGGTTCCGAGTCAGGTTTAGTTTCACCTTTATGCTCGGCTTCAATACGAAGTCGTTTCAGTTCAATACCTTCCTGTTTACGTCTTTTTATATCTCTACATCTTTCCATGGCATCTTCTATCGACCTTACCATCTGGCGTCTACTCTCATATTGTCTACCTTGGATCTCTACCATTTCAATGTTTGCCCAACCATTTTTTTCAAGGGATTCGATAGTCTTATCAACCTGCTCTATACATGGTGAAAAACAACATACACTAACTATTTGGTCTTGGGCGATAACTTTATCTAAATGATGGATGGCATCCCAAGGCGCTGGTAAATCTAGAAAGACCGCAGTCGCTTCCAATTCTTTTGAGTCCTCATCATCGAAAGTGGCCGAAGTTTTATCGCCTTTCTTAATTGTAAATCCATCCTCACAAACGTCTCTTAGAGTGATTGTTACATTTTCATTTAAGAGACCATGCTCCTTAAATTCTAGCATAGCTTGCTCGTAACGAACTGGATGGAATTCATAAGTAAACAATTTCTCTACTGTTCTAGCAAATGCATGAGAAAATGAACCTGAACCTGTACCAGCCTCAAGCACTCTAGTGTGTGGTCCACAGTTCATTCTCTGCATGACGTACGATGAATCGGGAGTATACACGATCTGAGTTCTATGAGGAAGTGATAATGTCCATAATTCGGGTGTAGGCTGTAGAACATGAACAAACGCAAATCTACCTGTACCCCTGGTACGAATAGCAATCTGCGAACCGTATTGTTTACCAATCATATCTTTATGTGGGAAGGTACCATATCTTGTATTGAAAGATTCCTTAGCGTCTATTGTTACAGCTTTGATGTTACCACGAGAAATCCAGATCAGCGCCAGATCACCTTCCTGAATGAGATCCTTATACTCAGTAAATTGAGATTGATGTGAGGCCATATTATATATGCACGTCAAAGGGATGTTCTTGCCCTTTTTCAGTTGATGAAATAATTTGTTATGTCTGCTCATCGCAAGCATCTCTTTTTAAAGTATGGCACTTATTGGATTTTCACTGAAAAATTTTTCCGCTAACAAATTGGGCAATGTAATACACATAGTGGAATGACATTAACAAAAGAAAGTCTTGAAGGTACAACATTTAGATACCTAGCCGAGTTGATCATAATCCAAACTGAGTTAGTCTTAAATTATACTGTGGAAAAAAAAAGAAATATCAAATCTTTTTACCTGTTATATATTTGTATCTATATACGAGAAATTATAATAATACATTATTTCTGTTTCGTAAGAGGGTGGAACAAAACTGTTCATTTGAACTAGTACATGTCGGTCTTATGGAAATCGTGGGTTAGACCATGACGGGCGAATTCCTTGATTTTAGAAGCCTCTGTTATACATCTATTATCATCTGCCTGTTTTTTAATGGTTAGAGCCTCAGCAAATGGAATCTGTTGCATAGTCTCTAAAGGTTGATCCTCTCTATCGATATCCACCTCACCCAACATCACGACATTTTCACCACGGATCATAAATATACCACGGTCCTCTTCAGCGTATTTACCTTTATGCTCACCAGCCAAATATATCCTCTCAACACAGTGCTGAAGAATTAGATTAGCGTATTGGTCAAATGTCCTCAGGACACCAAACAGGAGCTTACCATCGCGCAGAAGAACGAATATCTTACGGTCGACAGAACTTACAATAGCAGCTGTGGTAGTGAAATTGTATTGGTCTAAGTATAGGTCAGCTTCACCTTCTGTAATTTTCTTGGCTTGTTTCTTGCTTTCCTTTTTGGCCGGAGCAGGTGAGACTTCAGTTGGTACCTCTGTAACAGGCTGTTGCGCATCGGTAGGTAGAGCCTCAGACATATTTGATAGTGCTATTATATATATTAGATTCTAGCAAAAATTGTATGGTATAATTGTGCTCCTTTGTTGTTAGCTAAACGTACTAGAGTTTGAGAGAGGGCTATTGAAACTGTTTCCTTTATATTGTTATGCTTCTTATTTTCGGTTAACTAAAATTTCCGACGAAATTCCGTTTGGAATGATTGGCATCAACAATTTTTAATATAGAAAACAACAATATTTAATTTTTAGAACAAAATAAATAGATAATAAATACATTTATATGATGATTAAGAGCGAATCAAAGACAGTAGCTGGATTCTAATTAAAGCCCATACGTTCAACTACATAATTTTGAGCAACGACACCCAGCACCAGGCTGATCCCGTCTTCGACCCAGTCTTGAACCCATTCGCTAGGGTCAATTTGTTCTTCTTCTTCATCATCACCATCGCCCTGGTCAGAGTCATGTTCCTGTTGGTTTTCATGTTCCTTACGTAGTACAGACCCACCTTCCAACCAATGTATCCATTTGGCTGGGAAACCTTGAGATCGCGTAGTACTTGTTATATCGTTTGTAATGTCCTTAAGAACCATAGTGAAACTGAAATTACCAGGTTGAGAAGCATCTGTGGCAGTATTTCTTTCGTCAGAACCACTAACAGTCGGAATAACCACTGGCAGGATGGAAATGAAAATATCGCTTATGTTAGCACTATCGTTAGATGTTGTTTCATTTTCATTTTCCTTTTGTTGTCTAATTACTTCTTCATGGGCTTTATTGAATAATTTCACAGCATTGTCCAAGTTTGCAAAAGCAAGTTTTTCACCATCTGATACCTTACCACTGAACGCATTCAACTGCCTCTTTATAGAAATTGGGTTCTTTACAATGCTTACGTTTCCATTGTTTCCAATATCGTCACTGTTTAATATAACAGCGTCCGGAACAGGTTGCTGTTGTTGACTAGAATTTGGTTTCCCCCATTCATCCACGAAAATACGAATCCCACCTTGAACTTGATCACTTAACACTTGGTCAAATCTTTGTTCGACATGATATTGTAAATATGAATAATTGACAAGATCGTGAACTAAATGAATACGCAAAACTTCTTCTGTCTCACCGACAACTATTTTCTGTAAAGATTTGGCCAAATCACTGATAGTGGTCGAATTGATAGGTGGAATAGGTAAAGGCAGTGCAGCTTGTTCCTGTGCCAAACGGTTCTTTAATTGAGTGGCTTGTTCAGTAGTCTTACTCCACAAGCTCGAAACAGTATTAGCGCCAGACGATGACCACCAATTAGATATGGATGTGATTGGATCGTCTAATTGTTCATCTTCATCGGTTGGGACAGCCTCCTTATCTTGTTCCGTTGCCTTTGATTCTTCAATTTTTTTGTCGTCTTTAACTTCAGGTTCCTTCTCAAGTTTTTCAGTAGTAGTAGTAGTAGGTTCTATTTTTTTGGAATCGTTTCCCTTTTTAGAATCTGTCTTAGTGTCCTTCTCAAGATCGTCTAGAAACTTCATAATATCCTCATTCTTATCGGTTGATCCGTTTGCACCCGCAGCAGCAATTGCAGCCCCACTTTTGGACGTGCCCTCTGGCAAATTGTCCAGAAACTCCATCAGTTCGTCTGCCTCCATTTTCTTATCGGTACTAGCCACCATTCTCAGTCTTCATACACAAAAGTACCTCGTCGTAGTAGCAGTTACGATTACCCTTCAAACTAAAACTCTAATCTGTCTTTTCAACGTGTTCAAATGCAACTGTCCCTATTAAAATATCCTGTGAATCCTTAATTTTTGTTTCGTTTTTTGGATTCTCTGTGAGATGAAAACTGAATATTGATTATCTGAACGGAGCCGCAATAGAGAGGTGTGAACCGAAAAATTTTCACTTTCAGAATTTCCATTTTTGATTGCGATGAGCTTTATAAATGAGAGAGAGGTTGTGGTGAAGTACTTTCTTTTGGTCACATTTGTGACTTTTATAGAGTTTGACTGCGATATATTATTAAAAGCTACGATACCATACATATTACTGCATTATGCCATCCAAGAACTCTATCAACAGGCCAAAACTGACCACTAATGTGCGTAGTAAGCAACATAAGCTAGCTCGTAAGAGAGACCAACGTGAACGTGCAGGTCATTTCAACCAAGCTAGATCTGCCGAGGGGTCTCGTTCAGGTGAAGCCAAATCCGTGGCCTTGGACATATATTTCGGTAAGGAGGATGCCACGACATCAAAGGACCAATCTCATCGTGGTGGGTTGACTAACAAGACATTATCTAAGAAGAGAGCACAAAAGATTGAACGTAATTTGAAATATGCTCAACAGAGACGTCTATTGACTGATGTGCAAGCCGATTTGGAAAATAAGGATGACACTATGAATGTTGATGGAGGCAACAAATCTTTATTAAGAAAACAAGAAATCGAACAAAGTAAGAACAAGAAAAATAATATGTCTTTGATCAGAGAAGCTTTATGGAACGCCATTGAAGATACACAATCTCAAGGTCTAACTTTGGCTACTGGTCAAGGTACAACTCTAGGTGGTCCATTCTTCCCATGAAGTCAACACACCATATCATAGACATATGTAACAATCAAATTAACAGTTTATTAACCCTCATTTCTCCAACCATCTCTTTTGTATCATAGTTTTCAACAAATTGTTTCTTTTTTATACTAAAACAAGAAATAATAATAATCATCACAATACATACATACATATATATTTATTTATTTATAATTACTATAAATTACCGATATACAATATTAAGTTTATTCGGTAAGAACACCACGCTTATCCAGTTGATCATGGACCTTGGACTTCATGAACGAGATGACATCAACAGGGTCCTGAGCTGTAAATACAGAAGTACCAGCAACGATGACATTAGCACCTGCATCTGCAGCTTGTGGGATAGTTTCTTTACCTAACCCGCCATCGACTTGAATATCCAATTGAGGGAATCTTTCTCTTAAGGCACTTACTTTAGGCATCATATCAACCATGAATTTTTGTCCACCAAAACCTGGTTCAACGGTCATCACTAGAGCCATATCCAAATGAGGAGCCAATTCAAATAGCACATCCACAGGAGTACCTGGTTTAATAGCACATGCTGCACGAATCCCATGGGATTTAATCAATTTAACAAGGGCTAATGGATCCTTAGTCGACTCGTAATGGAATGTAAATTGATCAGCACCACAGGCAACAAAATCTTCAACCCAACGTTCCGGGTTCTCTATCATCATATGACAATCAAAGAATGCCTTTGGTTTATCAGTAGTAGAGTCAGTTGGTCTAGGAACGGCTTTACGTAATGACTTCACAATTGGTTGGCCCAGAGTGATGTTAGGAACAAAATGGCCGTCCATGACGTCGATGTGAAGCCATTCAGCACCTGCGTTTATCACACGGTGACAATCACAACCCAGATTGGCAAAATCAGATGCAAGGATACTTGGAGCAATGATAGGTCTGACCATTAGTAACAGTAGCAATAGCAATTAGCAATACGAAGAGCACAGTTGTAGTCGTCGCACTCTTCACTACCAATAAGATCAAACGCCCAACTCTCAACTTCCACTTTCAAATATCAAAAGCTCTCATCGTTTTGCCAATCTCGAGAAGTTGAGATTACCAAATCAAATTCCAATTTTTTCATTTCGAAAAAAGTCGCTGCGCTTTTTTCTCCGCCGCCCGGAATTTTTAAGTGGTGGTCACGTGACAGGTTGCGCAATTTGTTTGGAATACCTGGTGATCTGGTGACCTTATGGGGGACGACGGTGGGAGGAACCTATAACAGCACATGATAAATTCGGTTTTAATGGCATCGATCACCATATTATTTCGATGCTGGTATGATCAGCAATGTTCCTGGTTCGTTGGCGTAACCTGTGGCTATGGTGTGTCCGTCTATGGAGCAGGAGAGATCGTTGACACTGCCCTTGCCGTTATGTTGTGTATCATCTCTTGATACGATCGGGATTGCTAATGGAAGTTGCAATTCGTTGTTGTTTGATTCTATTAGTTTGGCAAATTCAGATATTCCAGCCACATATACATGCCCTTCCATTGTACCTGCGATGTATCGGTTATGGTCGTGAGTGAGTTTACCAACAAATACAGGGACACCTTCCAACATCAGTAGACCTTGCATTAGATTCTGAACAACCGACCATATACGGACAGACCCATCCATGGAGGCACTGATTAACAGATCATCATTGATCCATTGGAGAGAAGTGATTGCCTGTGTATGACCATAGAAACAATGTGTGGAGTTACTGTTGCTTCCGTGCCATACACGGATGGTAAAATCATCAGCTGCTGATGCTAATAGTTTCTTGGTAGGATGGAACGTTAAACAACTGATAGCTCCCTGATGACCCATTAGTTTCCCAACAGCCTTACTTTCTGTGGTTTCATAGACATTTATAGCGCCTCCAATTCCAGGTAGAACAAATCTTCTTTCGTCAACCCATTCTATATCTACACCAACGGACTCTGTATTTCCTGACCCAGATGATTTTAATTCGTAATGTTGTAAAACGGTCCCTGAACTTACATCCCATAGAATAGCAACATTATCAACATCCATACTGACAAAATGGTGCGAATCGGGACTCCACGACATACAAATCACGGGACATCTATGGAAATTAAACACGTTTTGTAGTTGGCCCTCTTGGTTCCATAACCTAATTTCACCATTTTCAACCCCAGTCACCACCATATGCCCTTCAGGTGACCATGCCAAACATGTGACCTTGTTGGTACTCTTGCCTGAAGTTGAACTTAATGCAAATGGATGTCTTAACTCTTTCGTAGTGGTCACTTTATTATGTGACTCATCAAATGTTACCAACTGGGCCACTGAGTCCTCTTGTCCCAAACATAACAACAATGGATTGGTTGGGTGCCATTCACAAGTAACAACAGGAGTCTTGAATTCATACAATTGACTAATTTTACCCAGTGAAACTGAACTATTGAGACCAATAGCATTAACGGGTGGAAAGTTATAGCCAGCCATATTAGTCACTGTAGTTTGTGTGTTCATAGCTGTAGTTGGAGTAGTGGATATACCATTTGACGGTACTGAGCTTGTCTCTCCATCAACATATTGTTTAACAGATATAGTCTCGTTCAATGACTGTTTCACTTCTTCATCAGTAATTTTTTCCTCTGCTTCATTTTCCAAAGCGAATCTTCCTGTAGATTTAATCTCTGGGGTTTCTTCAATATTAATCCTTAATGCATTAGCTAAATTGAACTTTTCATTAAAATATGTTTGACGTTCATGAAAAGTTGATTTCCCCAATTCCTCAACGTTCGATGCTAAAAGCTGACTTTCAGTATATAGTATCCCTTTCTGTACCAAATCAACAAGTTGTCCTACTGGGATATGTTCCTTATAACGTTGATCAAAATCCAGAACTCGGGTCTCTTCTTGCATTGCAAGAGCAGACAGTTCCTGGCCCATCTCTTGCATGTACCTCCATACCATATAATTCAATTCTTCACTAGATACACTCATGATTTCGTATAAATTGGCAGTTGATTTCTTTTTAGTCTTTTCTCCCTCTTTGTCTTTTCTTTCTTGTTGATTTATTTAATTGATTGTCTTCGAAAATCTTTAAATTTTCTTTTAAGCGACGAACTTTTTATGAAATTTGAATATCAAAATAAAAACACATTTGATTGATCTTTCCTCATATTCAAAAGAGGGGGGGTCAAATAAAAAGTAGAAGAAAAAAAGGAGAGTATATTAGTGATTTGGAGAGGATAGATAACCTTTTAAACAATAAATATATTGATTGAGAAGTTAATTGATACAGAAAAAAATGGTCGAAATTTCATTGAGAAAAGCCAGGAATAATTGGAAGAGTGTGACCGGAGGCTCACCCACCAAGAATAAAAGTAAAACTACTGAACCTCAAGAATTAACCTCTATACCTTATGAGAGTACAACGAAAGAGGTCTCAAAAAAAAACAAGAAAGATAAGAAAGACAAAAAGAAGACAGCGGGTATAAGTCCATACAGCAATATGGATACTTCATATACTGAATTACCTACGATCAATGCAAGAGAGAAAAATAAAGCTGCATCATCAATGCAACGTAGATTATCTGTGCACACGCAAAACTATATCCCACCTACTCTAGATTACTCGATGCCATTACCAATGTCTGCATTGAATGGTTTAAAGGATGGCAATATGTCTGCAACAACATTAGGATCTGGGGTAGATATTAATGATAGACCGATGTATAGCAATGGTAATAATAACTCTACTATGAGTCATGATTTAGCTAAACAAGCAGCTTCGACTCAGACAACAGCAACCTCTCAAGCATCTCGTGGAGAACCTATTACAGACCTATTACAAATGTCTGTGTTGAAGGGTATATTGTGTGACCCAAATTTCAACACAAAACAATTCGTACGTGAACGTCTGGGCAATGCTTCTGCCGTCGATATTGATGCGTTCACTACAACCCTTACCATGCTTTCTGATAGAGTTCAAATAGATGTCAAACAAAATCTGAACAAATCATATAATGAGATTTTGCAGGTGAATGATGGTTTATATGTTGCATCCAACGAATTGAAGATTTTGAGAGAGAATTTTAAACAGTTAGCAGATGTAGTAGAAGAATTTGATACTAGTGCCAGAAAAAGACTCACACTTCAACAAGAAGCCGAGTCACAACGCAAAAGTCAAGCATTGTTACCACCGATCTCTGGTGTTCCAAAGCAGAGAAGAGATAGAAGTAGTGTGATGGTCTTAGATAAAATATGGAAGGAAGAATTGATGAGATTGGTCGACACTGTAGAGGGATCTAAGAATGTAATATTTGAAGGTGGGGCACGTAAGGTGGATAGACATATTATATTGAAGAGTAACGATTGGGTCGAACTAAATGTTACTACTATGAGATTTTTACAAATTGTAACACTTTATATTTTGAATGATCTGATAATAGTCGCTTCACGCAATAAAAATAATGATCTAATGTTGAACCAGTGCCTAGATCTAAAGACAATTAACGTGACAAAAGAACCAAACAGTAGTCGTATTTTATTTAAGCCAGATTCTAGGATTAATGAAACAGCTGTCGTAAATGGTGTTAGTTCAAGAAATGGAATAACTAATAGAAATATAGGTAACAATGGTTTACTATATGAGACCAGAGATGAAAAGGAGTGTCTGACTGTGCTCGATGCAATTAGAAAAGCTAAGGATGAGTTGTGCGACATATTTCAAACAGAGGTAGAGAACGAGAGAAGAATCAAAGAATCATTTAGATACCTACAATCAACACAACAAACACCAAGTGGTGATAAGTACAACTCAAGAAGTCCAGTGAAAAGTAATAGACGAAGTGTAGGAGCATCAATGACACCAAAACGTAACAGTAGACATACTTCTATGACACCAGGTGCTAATCTCTCTTCAAATGCAGGAAACGGGGTTGCTGCCGGGTTAGCTTCTTCAACATCGGGTGTTTCTACTATTGTGAATTCGTTCATGGATCAAAATTTGTTACAAAGTCTAACATTATCAATGCATTCTAACTCTCTAGGGAATGATACAAACTCGATACCAGGCCAGTTGAAATCCCTAGACGATAGCATTGAAGAAGTAGATGTACAAATAGCACGTTTAAAATTTTCTGAAGCAGTTGATTCTTTATCAAACATTGAAGATAAGATTAATCAGTTATATGCAAATTCATACAATGGTCAGAATAGGGGCGACAATAATGCTTCTGATAATTACACAGGAGACATATCGATGCTATACAATTTATTGATCCTTAAGATCAATCAAAGACGAGATACTATAGGGAATAAGATCTCACAATCGGTTTTATTTGATAGCGAAATTTCCCACTTGCTTGCCAATGTGGTAATTCTTTCCAAATTAGGTATGAAAGAACAAAGTCTGGATTTATTCTTACAAAATAGAACTACAGTTATCCAGAAATTGACGCTTCAGATTGGTTCTTTCGATAACCCTGTGAATTATCTAACACAGCTTGCGGTAGTGCGATTCCAAACTATCAAACAAACTATATTAAATTTTGAAAAAGTGTTCCCAGAATTTTCAAACAAAAATGCACTTGATAATAAATTTTCATCTATTTTAGTGAATTGGTGTAGTAGTGAGGTCGATAAACATTTTCAACTGATAGATAAACAATTATTAGATGATGAAATGCTCTCACCTGCTTCGATAAAATCTACTAGAAAGCAAATAGATGATCTGAAAACAGTAGGTCTGGATTTTGTATACAAACTGGACGATTTTATTAGAAAAAACACCCATAAAATTCGCTAATTTCATTCTTTCTTACCTATAGACACACATATATAATAAACATCTTCTTTTTATTATTAACAACCAATAACTTTCTACAAGAACGAAATATATTTCTTTAAAAATTGTATTCTATGTCGATAATGTTATTAAGATGGAACTATTTGGGGGTATCTTTCTCAATGATTACTGTTACTGGCATTTGATATGTATCCTCTTCCATCATTCTTTTCTTTCGAAAAAAGTAGGCGACTACCCTGGTAAGTTCTTATAATCACTACAAAGTCCCCATGCCCTTAGTTCATATCTGTTATTTTATTCTTATTGATTCTTGAACGTTCCAGAAGGTTCTTTCTCGCTGAGCGACGGAAAACTGAAAAATGTTTCCATTGATTATATAATGAGGATGAATATTAAAGACCAAGCATAGTGTTGAGATGCCCTCTTTTAATTTACCTATTTGAAAGTAAGCTATTAACTGTGAATTCGCTATTCGATAAGATATCTGCTTAGTTTGAATAAGTTATAATAGAATATAATTTTGAAAAAATGGAAAAACTTCTACATTGGTCAATTGCTAACGCACAAGGTGACAAGGAGGCGATCGAAAAGGCCGGGAAACCTGACCCAAAACTGTTAGAACAATTATTTGGTGGTGGTGGCCAGGATGACCCTACTCTGATGATGGAAAATATGAAACTAGTGACTAATCCTGAGGTAGATTTGGAGAATAAGTTGATTGCAATGGATAATTTTGAAATGTTAATTGAAAACTTGGATAATGCAAACAATATTGAAAACTTGAAGCTTTGGGAAAGTATCATCAAAGTATTATCGTATGAAGAAGCAGAATTACGTTCTATAGCACTATCTATTGTTGGTACAGCTGTACAGAATAATAGTCAATCCCAAGATAACTTTTTAGGCCATGAAGGTGGTCTCGCTAAAATTATTACACTGGCTCAGAACACTGAAGAACCATTGGACGTAAGAACTAAAGCCTTCTATGCCCTGTCTAATCTTGTAAGGAACCATCCACATATGACAAAGGCATTCATTGATTTGAATGGTCTAGATATAATAGCGCCCGTATTAAAAGATGAAACTTCCAAACCAAAGTTAAAGATGAGGAGTGTCGCTCTATTAACTGCAGTTTTGACATCCACAAATATAGATGCCACCATAGTAAACGTATTAAGAAAGGATGGTATAATAGAATCAGCTATTGATAATATAGCCAAAGATAATGATTTAAATATTATTGATAGAGTCTTGGATTTTTTATCGCAAATGATAAGCGCCAGGGTAACATTTACTCCAGAAGAACTAGGAAAGTTAGGCAACGCTTACAGCGATATCGAATCTTTAAAAGATAGATTGAATGAGGATAACTATCAAACAGTTAAGTATGTATTAAAATAATAAATTTAAAATTTGTTTAGCATTTCTTTATTTTATTAACAAAAAATCATTTTACACAGCACATTTTGCAAGTTACAATTCATAAAAAGAATGAGAAAATAAATAATCAGAAGTATATATTTATATAAATTTCAGTCCGGCTGATATCATGGGGATTATATATTTTTATGATTGATCTTTAAGGTATAGATTCAGACGGATCGTGGGAAGTAAAAAGTTTGTATAACCTACTTTCCATGGCAGGAGTCATTAGATGATTACCATTTACATCTGATCTTAATTGGCCGTTTTCAAAATCACTCAATAATTGAACAAATTTAGGGTATGTTCTTACAATACTGCCAGATTTTAGATCAGGAATCTTACCTATATCATGAATAACTTTGCGTAATATATCTGATTGATCCTTGCCCGACTTTACATTGATATAGGCGTACTTCAAAAACCTTAAGGTTGGGTCCGTCCTCTTTTTGGCAATCAGCGTCACTATATTTGGAAGAGCATGAATAAATTCCATAGCAGAGTTGACTGTGACAATCTGTACACCCCATCTTCTATCAATAAATCTTATTTTTTGTTCTAATGTAAATGCACTCATTCCAAGTTTCTCAGCCATAGCCAGATTCGAAGAAGATTTAGATCGATTTTTAGATGTTTCGGTTGTACCAACCAAATGTTCATTAACCTTCGCCTTGTACTGTTTATCTTCTACTGCTTCTATCTGACGTTTGAATTTATTTATATCATTTAGTACAACTATGATCTGTTTGCCGTGTTTTGTATAAAAATTAATACTCTTGTAGAGTTCAACTTTTTTATTAATGTATTGATCAAAAAATTCTTTAGTATCATAAAATAGAAACGCTACATTTTCTTCTATAATTTGGGATTCGCAAGGGTAATAGTAATCATGTTTAAAATCATATATACTATCGCAATGTCTAAAAAATCTAATGATTGGTAAATGGTCCACATAACCCCGACGTAATTTACCAGGTTCAAGTAATTCTTCGACGTTTATTTTGGTATCCTTAAATGTGTCAATCAACGACTTAGGCATATCGACAATAATGCATTCACGCGCCTTTTGATTGTCTCTGTGGATTTGATTGACTTGTCTGAATTTAATTTTATCATTTTGTAGTGACTGTTTAATCAAATTCTTTGATTCTTCGTCAGAAAAATTTCTACCATTAATAATATATTTCGAAAGAGTGTTTACAAAATCCGAATTACCTCCTAACATGTTAGATATAGTATCTGAGTTTTCCGGTAATAGTGTAGTTTGAGATCTTTGAATAACTGGAGCAACCTTACCTAGTTTCCTTGCAGGGTTTTCGAAAACGGAAGAGCTCCTCCTATTAGGAATCTTTACGGGAGTTATTTCAGCTTTATCATCATCTAAAAATAAACTGATATCAAGATCAACTGTATGTAATTCGTCATCTGTATTTTTTGTCAACAGTCGTATATTAGATTCCTTTCTTTTCTGTATGGTTTCTGAATTATTGGAAGTTGACAAGTTCTTTTTCTTATTCTGAGAACTAGTAACAATGTTATCATCAGGGAACGTAGTTATCAATGCAGAATCTTTCGTATACAGTGAATCACTGTCTATTCTTCCCTGAGAGGATGCTAGAAAATCTTTAAGCAAGTCCTGAGAAGCTAAGCTCATTTTAGAGCTCTCTTCAAAAGTTTTCGGGACTGAAGATTCCGTTTCATCAATTATAATTATATCTTGTTTTGAATTATCGACATTTTTGGCACCTGCTGTACCCATTTTCTGTTTTTCACTATTCGGAAGTAGACTCTGCCTCTTACGACTTTCAGTATTTTTAAAGATCGAGCCAGAAAGTTGGTTATAATCGATATCTAGGGAATCTTCACTACTTGACATATCGCTACTAAGTTCATCTCTAATATCGTCTAATAAACTATGTGATCTTTTAAAAATTTTCTTGTTCAATTGATTTGATTTCAACTGTGAGACGTTGCCAAAGGTTGTCGCTTTTACGTTACTGTCCGTGCTGTCGTTCACAAACGGTAGATCAAACTCCACAGAATTATCAATAGTAGTGGTGGGCTTTGCGACAGATTCATTTGGGTCATCAATTTGCGGAGATGACGAAAGGGAAATTTCGTCCACTATTTGGATTTCCTCACTAGCTTCATATTTTTCACTCCGTTTCCTTTTATTGTTTCCAACTGTTATATAATCACCATTCTTGTTTACACATTGGGATAATCCTTCAAAACTCAAAGAGCTATCTGCAGTGATCTCTATGATATCATCCATCGGATATCTTTATCTATCTTTTTTCTTTTGGTTATCAATTCATCATTCCTATGTTTACACATGCTATTTTTAATTGTTGTTACTTGTCAAGTGTCGCGTACCTAATGCGCAGGGAGGGGACATTCAATTAGGCTCGCCATTAATATTTCTTTAATTTAGTTATGAAATAATGTTAAGGTAATAAAAGTTATATTCCAAATAAATAAATTGTTGATTCTTCTTCTCCTAATATTAGAAAAGTATTTAAAATTTAGTTTACAATTATCAATTAAATCTTTGGATATTACTAATGTTGTCCGTACACAGTGAGCTTTAACTTTTATCTTGGCAATGGCAATGTTTTCTGAAAATATATAGCAACTGTGGGTCTACTCTGAAACGTTTGTGTCACAGAAAGTTCTCTGATGTCCTTCTATTAGTAAGATGTCGGAAATATATTATAAGAATAATAATGACCAAGGTTATGGTCTGATGACAAATTCATCCCGCAATGATCTATTGGTAGGTTCATCCCGCAACAACTTAATAATAGATTGTTACGCCACCATCCAGTGAGTTTATAATCATGACAACAAGAAGTCCAACATATATAAATGGAACTGTAGAGAATCTGAGATAGATTGTTTGCCTCTCTTTGTCTCTTCAAGCTTTACTATATTTAATTCGGACATTTTTTAATACGATAATTGATCGGTCTCTTTATATTATATATAATTTATAGAACGAATAGAATCTAACTTCGAATGGAAGTTCAGAATTCTTTGTCTTTATATATTATTTAATTTTACCGATATATCATTTCTTCTTGCTACCTAAACGATTATGGCCTAAACGACTATTACTTAATAATATTTAGTTCTTATTAGGTTGTTTTAGATATCTTGGTTCCAGATAGTTTCAGTCATAAAGGTATTTCTTTACCTATTGAAATTAAGAGTTGTGCATATTACTCTTAATTTCTGACAATATTTGTTAAACAGAGTTGATGTTGTGAAACTGCTCATCTTTTGTGCATAGTAACGTTGGACAATGCGGCTCCAATAAACCCAATGTAGGGAGAATGAATACTACATTATGCAGTATATACTATGTGTCATTCTATATACGGCAGTCCAACACACTCTAAATTCTACTTATATGTTAGCTATCTTCTCCTTCAGATAGGTTAAGCTAATATTAGCCTTCTTAGTGCTGCCGCTATATTTCCACAAGTCTAACAATTTCAGGGAAATATGCTTTCAGAACTATTCGGAATTTCTTGAAATTGATATTTCTAAAATTAGCACCATATTCCTGAAAAACATTGTTGTATTGGGATCTCGGATGGTTGAAGACAAAAATATAACAGACGGTTATATTTGATGGGAAAATTGAATATTAGACATCTTCTATTTAACTGAACAAATTTTATTATATTACAAAATCAACTTATAATCGTCTGATCTTTTTATATCTTATATAAAAATATATAAAGTAAATTATGGAAACAATTATATTCATAAATGAAATATTGTTCCATTTATATATGTTGGATTATCATTGTCGTGATTATAGACTCACTTGACAGTGGCGTAAGTAATCTATTATTAAGTTGTTGCGGGATGAATCTATCAATAGATCATAACCTTGGTCATTATCCCTCTTATAATATATTTCCGACACTAATTAGTTAACAACATAGTAATAGTAATTAAATATTGTCGGAAATATATTATAAGAGGGATAATGACCAAGGTTATGATCCATTGATAGATTCATCCCGCAATGATCTAACAATAGGTTCATCCCGCAATGATCTAACAATAGGTTCATCCCGCAACAACTTAATAATAGATTACTTACGCCACTGTCGAGTGAGTTTATAATCACGACAACAAGAAATCCAACATATATAAATGGAACAATATTTCATTTATGAATATAATTGTTTCAATAATTTACTTTATATATTTTTATATAAGATATAAAAAGATCAGACGACTATAAGTTGATTTTGTAATATAATAAAATTTGTTCAGTTAAATAGAAGATGTCTAATATTCAATTTTCCCATCAATTAGAACTTATTTCAATAATCGTTATTTTATTATGTTTTATAAAGAAAGTTTATATAAGGAAGAATATATATTTAAAGTTAGCATATGTCGTCCTTTTATACTTTTTGGAAAGGCAGCCAGTCTATCAAATATTGATAGTATTCTTACTAAACATTCTTGAAACATGTTCTAGACACTTCTGAAACGATTGGTAATACTTACTTAATTGACCATTCTCAAAGAATATTCTAGAACCAATATTGAACCGTTATTAATAATTTCGTACTAAACATTAAATTGTAATAACTAAGTATTGGTACTTTCTACATTATAAGAGTTTCAGATACAACAAACATAAATTAAAAGGTCCCTTGGCCCAGTTGGTTAAGGCGTGGTGCTAATAACGCCAAGATCAGCGGTTCGATCCCGCTAGGGACCATTTTTTGGACATTTTTGATATACTTTCGTGTTAAATGATGTTTTGGTGTAAACTTATTATTAACCATGTAGTCCCAAGTATATTAACTTAGCATATTGTACGTTCTTGTTTTTTGGCAAATTATGTCATTTTTATTAGGATCAACGACTTCTATTGGTTATAAAGTTTTTATTTTTTTGTTGACAAAAAGTTTGTTTACAAAATTTGTTTATTTAATGTTTTGTTCGAAAACTGGTTACTTTTTATAAGATATAAATACTTGTATTTTTGCCTTATACGTAGTATTTCGATATAGCTATACGACTTACATACACGCATATACCTTTATTAAATATTATTACTTTAGATGCACCATAATGATAATAGTCCATTTCTGTTGAACAAGAAAGTAGAATAGTTCTAACTGTAAACTACTCATTTTTTGGACTTCTTTTTAAAGAAACCAAATTTCTTTTTCTTTTTCTTATCTTCGTGGCTTGACGAAGATTGATCAGCTAGAGATGAAACATCTGGTGATGCTGGTATGACTGGCGATTGTGACTGTCCCTGTATTGCTGGAGAGCCTGACATCGAATTGTTCATGCTCATTTTTGGAGGTCCAGATGTGCCCTGTGAGAGTGATACAGGTGCATATGATTGCTTTACACCTGCCACATTGTTTGTGCTAGCAGGTTGTACATTGTGAATAACGGTATTTGATGTTATATTTGGGTCCCCGTTATTGGAAACAGACACGCCACTAGTTTGCCTTTGTTGTAATGATGCCATGCTTGTACTATTGATACCAGGTGCAGCGTTATTGCTACGAGGATTATTGGTATAAGGTCCCACATTTTGTGTAGATCTATTCCTTGCTTGACTAGCAAGCATATTTTGACTAGTCATGGAACCAATTCTTGATTGGTTCAAGTTTGGTTGACTAGAGCTCCCATTTTGAGGTTTATTATATGTAGCAAATGACCCTGTTGGACCAGTTGCACCTGAAGCGTTTCCTAGCATTTGCATATTACTATTTCTATTTTTTCTACTTGTTGGTTTGAAACCATACCCTTGATACTGTTGATTTGAATTTATCTGGCCTTGATAATTATTATAGTTGCCATTGTTATAACCCATCGTTGACGACAATGGATCCATGAACTCACCGGCAGATACGGTAGCTGAAGGTGCAATGGCACCATGTAGCATTCTATTGGAACGACCATATCCATTTTGAATAGCCTGTTGTTGCTGTGGTTGTTGTATATTAGCATAAGATGACTTTCTACTGGCCCCATTAAATTGCTGCTGCTGCTGCTGCTGCGGCTGATTAGGGAATCCTCGCATTTGCATTTGCATTGCTTTTCTTTGCATCTCCAACTCACGTTCTTGTAATTGTAATTCCTTTCTACGTAGCTCGAGTTCTCTTTCTTTCAAGGATGTATCACTTCCGTTTGCTGATTTGGTTTCACTATCATTGCTTATTGGGATATCCAGCCTGTTACCATTAGAATTAACTAGATCATTTGGAGGATAATTGCCATTGTTTGATTGCAAGCTGGGGGATTTATTCATTTGTGCTGGAGAATCACCATAATTAACACCATACCCTGCGAAATCTTGTAAATCATGCATGATTGGAGTTCCTGACAAGTTATATGCTTGTTCTTGTTTGACACCATTCAAATTATTCTTGGTCAATGGTTGTTGACTGTCAGATTCATTAACTGAACTCTTTTGTAATTCGATTTGTAACTTTTTAATCTCGTTTGCATGTTTAGATATCAACCCTGAGTTTTCTTTTTCAAAAGATTGCAATTTACCCTTTAACAAATCTAATTGATTTTTCAAATTAGTCTCTGAGGTCCTCAATGTTTGAATTTGAGATTGATCTCTATCAATTGTATCATTCAATTCTTGAATCTTGATTAAATTGACTTTATTTTGAGAAGTTAAATGTGCTACTTCTGTACTTGATTGATTAATATTCTCTGATCTAATAAACCATTTTGATTTATTATCATTCAATTTTTGAATTTGTATCATAGTAGAATATAAGAATTCCAAATATGGAGTCTTTAAATTGAAATCATCTGCCAATAAGATTACCTGCAATAAGATAATATCAAAATTTAAAGGAGCTGTCTTATGTATGAAATGATATAATAAAGGAGGCATTGAATTATGTACCGAATACATTTTCCCCCAATTATCTAATAAATCATTTTCATTATCCCAAGTTAATTTCAATTTCATCGATTTAGTAATCTTTAATACTTCACTGACTAAACCCGAAATCAAAGGTTTTGCTAGGATTTGATCTTTTAAATGTTGAGGATCTGTCTCTTCCAAGAGAATCAATAATGGATCGAAACAGATCATTGGCAAAGCAATATTCCATTGAATGGTTAAAAATCTGGAAGGGTTTTCATTACAAAGGTTTATAGTATCACGAGGGAATAATTTTTGAAACAATCTTTCAAAGGTCTTCAAAAGATTCCTTACTGCAGGCGCATACTCGGCTGACTTTACGGAGGAATCACCTAAATATATGGTATTAGTTGATGATCCTAGGTCATTGGTTCTAAATTGTCTAAATTTATTTGTTGCTATCTCTCTAATATCGAAATCTGTCAAAATGCTAAAAATGTTCAACTGTGGAACGTTCATGGACATCTTAACAAATGATTCTAATTGAACAAAACCTGTACTTTCTATAAAGACTTTAGTACTATTGTTCATATATTCGGTCAAATCATTCGACAATGTAGATAATTCTTGCAATGAAGAAGCACCAACGATAATAACATCGAAGACGAATGTTTCAGCGTCCATCGATTTCTCAGTCAATTGAGCCACAGACTTGTAATGATTCTGCAATACAAGTCTCTCAGTGCCATAAGCATGAGTTTCTATTTCAAACACATTTGAATCAGTGGTACTAATATGATATAAATCCACACTATTAGCCAATTGAAAACGAGATGTGTATAATAATATATTAGGGTTATTACCCAATGTTAACACTTTAAGCGAAGACATTTTGATAGATCTCTTTTTTTTCTTGTTCTTCTTTTCTTAAAAGTTTCAAACGAGGAAATTGTAACAATACAATTGATCAGATCTGCTATAACAAATAAATAAGCAAAAAAAAAGCTCCCTTAGCAAAAAAAACAGCAACAATAAAGGAGAAAAAGATAATATATCAATATGTAGTCCTTTCTTTAAATCGATACTATGTTATACCTTCTCTAATGTAGCACGATCAATTTCTTCAAAAAGCAAAACAAACCTCAACAAAATATCAGGAAGAACGAATCAAGCGAAGGTAAGAAAACAGAAATATTCAATGATACCAGGTCAATGCACTATCTTAATTAGACTACCTAATACACACCCACGAACAAGTAACTTCCTCTTTAAGTTTGCAATTTGTTCAAACGCCAGTTATAAAGAACACTAAAATAACCTCTAACGTAGCCTCTTTTCTGTTTATTTTTTTTCACTTTCCTTGTCGAGGTCGAGTCGCTTCACTGAAATTTTTTATATTTAGAAAAGCAAGAAGCGAGGGGTTACCCTACAAGTTACTGATGTGGTGAAGCTCAGAATGAATTTCTCAGTTTATTTTAAATGATGAAAGGGAAGCTGAAACATCCAGGATAAAGAGGGCGGGCACGTTATATTTTTAGCCGCTGAGGTGGCAAATATCGTTTCATTATTCAATAAAACAAGAAGAAGAAGAAAAAGAAAAAGAAAGTTTGCATTCAATAGTGATATAATTACGTATGTGTATGTTTTATATTAGTGGCTATTCGGTTTAAGAGGATCTAGATCAAGTCTGTCTTTGGTAGTACTCAGAGAACCAAGTATGATGAAGAGCCTGTTTAGCGCTGAGGCGCATATCTGGGTTCAGTTGTAACAAGCCGTGAAGAAGATTGATTACAACATCGTCTAATTTCTCTTTGCAATTAGCTTGTAATAATACTTTTAGATCCTTTGATTGTTGTTGCTGAGGATATTGTTGTTGGAAACTGGCACTACTTGTGGCATATTTAGGCAACTGACTAACACCTGGCCAGTTGGCCTCTGTAGGCATACCCATCATCTCAAAGATTAATTTCAATTGCTCTTCATCGTTTGTCCCTGGAAATAATGGTTTCCCAGTAATCATCTCTGCTAGAATACAACCACATGACCAAATGTCGATCGATGTAGTATATGTTCTGGAACCCATTAGAACATCGGGTGCACGGTACCATAATGTCACTACTTCACTTGAAAATGTATTTACAGGGATACCAAAGGCTCTAGCTAAACCGAAATCACCAAGTTTCAATTGTCCTCTTTTATTAATTAACAAATTTTGCGGTTTTAAATCACGATGCAAGATTTTATTCTCATGACAAAATGCTAATCCTTCTAATAATTGCCATTGGAAATATTTCACTAAATGTAATTCTAATCCTTGAGGGTTGTTTCCTACTGTTAAGGAATCCATATATTTTTTTAAATCGTTATCCATATATTCAAATACTAACGTTAATTTATTTTCAGTATGAATCACATCATACAGACGTACAATATTCTCATGCTTTAATTCCTTCATCAAAGATATTTCACGGATCGCAGTTGATGGTGTACCTTCTTCTGAATCTAGCTTCACTTCCTTTAAAGCAACATATACACCGGTGGTTTTATTCAACCCCTTATACACTGTTGCATAAGTACCATTCCCTAACTTTTCTAATTGCTTAAACTGTGACGACATAGTGTTATGATCTGTGTATACTAAAGATTATATTATATTCGATCTCTTATTGACTTTAATTACCTTTTAGATATAACATTTTTTATCCTTTTACTTTAAGAATTGTAATAACTTACTTAACAAGTGGAATATACATGCATGCGTTGAAGTAAAATTTAAAAATGTTATCCGTTTCTTTCTATTTCACTTCATTTTGGTTAACTGCTTTTACCTGTAATAAATAAATGGCGGAAAAAAACAGAAAAATATTTTTCAATTTCATTTTTTTTTGTTTCGTCCTTCATAGTAAACTACTTTTCAGTCATAGTGGGATGGGCAAAGGTTTATCACTAGATTCGAAAACACTTCTAAATATAAAAAGATTAACTGTGAGAGATTACGTCAAAAACATATCCCATTTGTATCTGAAAATCATTTAGAAACAATAAAACCCTATTATTGGCTCTAATCTCCATCAAATTAGATTATCGTAGAAGCATATTCATAACAAGTACCTACATTTGTGTTTATTTTTTGCAATTTAAACAGTTGACTAGAGATATCGATTGAATAACATATTTCAACCATAAATTCAGTAGCTTTACCAAAATACAAATTTTAAAGAAATGGGGAAACCAAATGGATCTGTACACAAGGATGGCTTCCAATTCATTGTAAATCAACCAAGTATCATGGGCCCTCCATGGATAAGTATGTATGGGACAGATCCAGCTGTGCCTGCAACTTTCAGTCGAGAAAATTTTGAAGCAGCCATGCTTCACGTTATTCGTGAACCAAATATCAATTCTACTGCTATCCTTAGAGCAGATATCTTATACGAGGACCATTATGAACTTGAAGATGGGAAGCCCACATTAAAAGAATCTCATAGAGAAAAATTCGATTTATCTGATACTGATGCAAAGAGAATAAACGTAGATGAAGATACACCAAGAGAAACTTTCTTACCAGAGGATTTACATCTTTTTGCAAAATATTCTATTGTGAGACGTATATTACCAAGAAATCCTTACAAAGACGCAGTCATCAATCAGACTTGTCTTGTAATGAATTCCACGGACCCGGAATATAAGGAAACTTCGGCTATCATATACAATCCACATTTAGACAGTAGTGACATATGCCCATTTTATATCCCTAATGTCAAGCAAGTGGCAATCTTATTCCATAAACAAAGTATTACAGTTCATTATATCCCTTTTGAAGAGGTTAAGAATAAGGAAGTACCTGAATTATTAAAGGATGAATCGCAAAGAGTTGTAAGAACAGCATACAGATTATTACAAACTGCATACAAACATTCACGAGGTGTTATGACTGGCTATGAAAAAAAGGTCAATCATGACGTGGTGGTCGATAAGGTCAAATTTCAAGATCAATATATCAATTTAAAAAAGAAATACTCTAAATTTTTAGTAGAAAACTGGGCTGAATCGACTGATCCCAAAAAGCATGTTTTCGAAGATATCTCAATTGCCGCATTCTTAATTGAACTTTGGATTAAAATCTACGGTCCAGATTTTAAGAATAAGATGCAATTCAGAGACCTCGGTTGTGGGAATGGTGTCCTTGTCTATATTTTAGTTAGTGAAGGGATGAAAGGCTATGGTATTGATGCGAGACATCGTAAATCATGGAGTATATTCCCACAAGAGACCAAAAACTGTCTGAAGGAACAAGTCATCATCCCATCTATTTTACTACGTCCACATCCTGATATTAAGAAACAATACCCTCACCTCGAGCATAACGGTAGGTTATTCCCAATGAAAGTGGCACATGAATATATTGCACCAGCAACCATCGTTTATTCTAGTGAGGATCTATTGAAATCACCTCAAGTCAATATTGCAGAGTTCCCAAGCGACACTTTTGTCATTGGTAATCATTCAGACGAACTTACCTGTTGGATTCCACTTCTGGGTTACCCATTTATGGTTATCCCATGTTGTTCGCATAATTTATCAGGTAACAGAACTCGTTTTAATGTCCGTAAAGGTATAAATAATGGTATTAATGGCAACAGTTCATACGCTGGCCTTGTTGATCACGTCGAAGATATCTCTGCCAAGTTAGGTTGGAAGGTAGAGAAAGAGATGCTGAGAATCCCAAGTACCAGGAACGCAGCTGTTATCAGTTATGAAAATTCAGATATCGGGAAATTCCCAACAACATCTGCTTATGACCTACTGTTGGCCGAAGGTGGTGCCGATAACTGGATTCAGAACACTATGACCCTAATGAAGGGTCATCCAAGATCCCACTAGAAAATAGTCATGAACAATTACCCATTGTCTTATATAAATAATATGCATCATCTGTAATATAATATTATTTAATTGTGTCCAAAATTCTTATTAGTATTATTTTTTTAATTTTAACTAGTGAAATTTTCGAGGTCTTTCCATTGAATTCACAGTTCTTATTTCGAAAATAAATAAATAGCTTATAGCATATTTTGGACACAGCCGTAAAAAAATGCAAGATTGCAAAACATGTAAAGAACACACTGCAAATCGGGAATATATATATCTATATATTATTATACATATATCTGGGTTTATTATCAATAATCGAGTACTCGGCGATACTCAGATGAATAAAGAGTTATGCAACGAAACCTACTCAGACGTAATTTTATTCTGAATTGTAGAGTACATATACAATGCAACATCAGATCATACATAGGTTGTTCTCCAAATATAATCAATAATGTGTTCAATAATGATACATGGGTTCTTCAAAAACCGTCATTAAAACACTTACCAATTCAGGAACGAGATGTAACACATTATAATGGAATGACCACTAAACCATTTGAATTTCAGTTAAATGAAGATAACAAATCCATCTATAAAACAGATATTACGTTTAAGAATCAAATAGATAACTCATTACGACAATTATACCATACACATATCAGAACCGAAACATTCGACCAAACTTCTAAGTCACCATTTTTAGAATCTTCATGGTTGAAACTTCGAGATTATATATATATGCAACTTACAAACCCACAGCTACCAACACAAATCAAAACATATAAACCTACGGTATCACAGTGTGTGCAACCCACAGAACCTTCATGCTTAATTGCACAACTGTATAATAGTAATAAAATACCATCATCTACGTGGCGTACTGTAATGCATTTATCAGAAGAAACACCTGTATCAGATTCACTAATATATCACCATATAATTTCCAAGACTATTACATATATAAATGAGAAAGAAATAATACCACAACGATTAAAGACAATAGATACAGATGACACTGACAGCGTAGATGTTGGGAACCCAACCGAATGGTACCCTGAAGCAAGAAAGATTAAACGTCATATCATTCTACATCTTGGCCCTACCAACTCTGGTAAGACTCATAGAGCACTTAAAAAACTTAGAGAGGCTGATAGAGGGTATTATGCGGGACCATTAAGACTACTTGCAAGAGAAGTTTACGATCGATTCAAACAAGAAGGAATTCCCTGTAATTTACTTACCGGGGAGGAAGTTATCAGTGAGTTAGACTCATTAGGAAATAAAGTCGGCATAACTGCAGGTACAGTGGAAATGTTGCCCACCACTTCTGAATTTGATGTTGTGGTATTGGATGAAATCCAAATGATGTCAGACGAGGATCGAGGTTGGGCATGGACAAATGTTCTCTTAGGTGCAAAGGCAAAGGAGATACATGTCTGTGGTGAAAAAAGTGCGTTACCCTTGATTAAAAAGTTAATAAAAATCACAGGAGATAAACTAACTGTGAATGAGTATGAAAGACTAGGAAAATTAGTCATTGAAGATAAACCTATCGGTAATAACCTAAAGGGTTTACGAAAGGGTGATTGTATTATAGCCTTCTCAAAGAAAAAAATCTTAGATACAAAATTGAAAATAGAGAAGATGACAAATTTGAAAGTTGCAGTAATATATGGCTCTCTCCCACCAGAGACTCGTGTTCAACAAGCAGCCTTGTTTAATAATGGAGAATATGATGTGCTTGTTGCTTCAGATGCAATTGGGATGGGCTTGAATTTAGCCATAGATCGTGTAATATTTAACACAGACATGAAATTTAATGGTACAGAGATGACTACTTTGACAGACTCTCAAATTAAGCAAATTGGTGGACGTGCTGGCCGTTTTAAATCAACAAAGACTTCATCGTCGTCATCATCTGTGGGTGAAGTAAGACCTACTGGTTATATTACAGCTGTCGATCACAATGTTCTCGCAACAATCAAACGTGGTATGGAGGCTCCCGTGACATATCTGGAATCTGCTGTGATATGGCCAACATTCGAGATCTGCTCCCAATTGATGATCCGATATCCACCTGGAACCAGTTTCAGTTTCTTATTAAATCGTTTCTCTCAACAAATGAAAATTCGTGAAGATAAGATATATAAGTTGCCTGAATTCGAGGATCGACTAAGGAATATAGCATTATTTGAACACATCGAGGGACTTTCATTCACTGATCAATTGAGATTGAGTTGTGCTCCGATCAAAGATATGCCATTAGTGAAAGATGCCTTTAGAAAATTCTGTCGCACGATTGCCAATCGTCATAGTAGAGGACTCCTATCGTATAACTTCCCATTCGAACTACTTAACTATCAATGCATAGACAATGAAAAGTTCACACTAGAGCAATACGAAGCATTATACAACATCATAATGCTATTTTTCTGGTTAAGTAACAGATATCCGAATTATTTTATAGATACAGAGTCAGCTAAGGATCTGAAGTATTTCTGCGAGCTGATTATCTTCGAGAAACTCGACCGTCTCAAGAAGAATCCCTACATGCAACGTGGAGCTAGCGGTGGCATTCGTTCCCTCTACATCAAGAATCGTAGAAGATAGCAAAAACGTCTAAGAAAATCACCATCATATAGTTATATTATTTAATAGATACATGTAAATAAAACTTTCATAATCAAAACTCAATTCAACAGTTGTAAGCATTCGACCGATGCGATCATCGCTGTCATTCTTCCTGTCTCGTTTAAGTTTTAGTCTCGTTTGGATAAAACGGTACTGGGCTTATTATTCGGCTTTGTCGCTCCAAAGGCTTCGCGAAACTTCCTTCGAATGGATTTTACCAAACGAAACAAACAGCAGAATCGAGCTTTTAGGTAAGTATATATATAAAGAGGGCCACTGGTTCAATTTGAAAGGAAAAAATAGACAGAGAAAAGAATGAATTGATAGTTGAACCTGAGTTTCTTCAATATATAATAACTTCTACAATACTGTGTCATACATTAAAACTACACTCACACATATTTTCGCCTTTTTACAATGTCTAATAACGTCTATATTGTTGCAGCCACCAGAACCCCAATCGGTGCCTTCCAAGGGTCCCTTTCTTCGAAGACCGCTGTTGAACTAGGTTCTATTGCAGTCAAAGGTGCTCTGGAAAGAGTTCCTCAATTAAACCCGGCCTCTGATTTCGATGAAATCATCTATGGTAACGTTCTATCTGCCAATTTAGGTCAAAACCCAGCTAGACAAGTTGCGTTAGGTGCTGGTGTTAGCAATACCATTGTTGCATCCACAGTCAATAAGGTCTGTGCTTCTGCTATGAAGGCTGTAATTCTAGCATCTCAGTCTATCAAGTGTGGTAATGCGGATGTTGTCATTGCAGGTGGTTGTGAGTCGATGACCAATACACCATACTATTTGCCAAGTGCAAGAGGTGGTGCCAAATTTGGTGATGTAAAACTTGTAGATGGTGTCCAAAGAGATGGTTTGAACGATGCGTACGATGGTTTAGCCATGGGTGTTCATGCTGAAAAATGTGCTAAGGACTGGGACATTACCCGTGAACAACAAGATGAGTTTGCTATTGCATCTTATCAAAAGGCTCAACAATCTACTAACGATGGTAAATTTGTACATGAAATCACACCTGTTACAATTAAGGGGTTCCGTGGTAAGGCTGATACTATTGTTGAAAAGGATGATGAACCATCGCGTTTAAATATCGCTAAACTAAAATCTGCCAGAACTGTATTCCAAAAGGAAAATGGAACAGTTACAGCTCCAAATGCTTCTCCAATCAATGATGGTGCTGCTGCCATTATTCTAGTCTCCGAAAAGAAATTAAAGGAATTGAATTTGACTCCATTAGCAATCATTAAAGGTTGGGGTGAAGCTGCCCAAAACCCATGCGATTACACGTGGTCTCCATCTCTAGCTGTTCCAAAAGCTCTAAAGCATGCCGGTATCCAAGATATAAATTCTGTTGACTACTTTGAATTCAACGAAGCATTTTCCGTTGTTGGTCTAGCAAATACTAAGATCTTAAAGTTAGACCCATCCAAGGTGAACGTCTATGGTGGTGCTGTTGCTATTGGCCATCCATTGGGCTGTTCTGGTGCTAGAATTATCATTACTTTACTATCTATCCTAAACCAAGAAGCTGGTAAAGTTGGTGTTGCTGCTATCTGTAACGGTGGTGGTGGTGCTTCATCTGTTGTCATTGAAAAATGCTAATTATCTTAACATAACCTTTATGTTTTATTTGAAAGATAATCCTACATATGTATGCGTATAACTTGGCTAACAATTGCAGAGGTACATAGAGTGCAAAGATATATATATATTTACATATTCCTTCCTATTACTTCAATACTATTTTTGTGTATTAACTTACTCTATCCTTTTCCTGTGAATAATTTGTTAAATTTAAAATATAAATGGCTCAAATAAGAATATTACTTCTTACTCATAATACAAACGACATAACAAAAAAATATATTCAAAAAATCTTAATTATGAATTAAAACAGTTAATGAATAAAGTTCGAAGTTAATATTATATATATATATACATATTTATATAAAAAAAATTAAAAAAATTAAAATAAAAACGAAATTAGGTGTATAATGAATATTAAGTGAAGGATGTAGTGACTTTATTTTTATTATGGATCCCTTTTATTTTAAAGTAAATGATGCAATAAGTGATAGTAATAATATTGAAGATAATAAGCAGAGTTAATATTGAGAACATTGGTCGTAATAGGTTCATGATTTTATGTACGATTAAACGCTTATAAAATTATGTGGCTAATGCTGATTTGCTTCAATTAGATTGACCACACAATCTTTTACCAAATAATTACCTTCTTCAGAAGTACAAGTACTTTGAACAGGTTCTCCAAAAATTTCGCTTTTTTCATAATCCATATCAAATAAAGTTTGAGAGCTGCCACTACTGAATACAGTTTCTATTGCATCCGGTACAGGAATATTATTAGTTTTATTATTGTTACTGTTTTCAATCCTATAATTAGCACCAACAATCTCAAACTCGACGATATCAACTGCGCATAATGGACCATCCAATGTAAAGGAATCCAACTGTGCAACATCATACATTAAATTATGAATATCTTTTCTTTCCAATGGATTAATTTGTAAGATTTGAATTAATAAATCAAAGAATGATTCTGATATTGGTAATAATTTTTTCAATACACTTGGATTACTAACAAAATGTCTGAATGTTTTATCTTGCAGTTGATGTGCTTTCAACCATGGGTTTCTCATACATGCTAAATTGATTAATATTATCCCTAATGACCAAATATCACTCTTTAAAGTAGGATATTCTAAACATGCACTATCTATGACATGAAGTCTTTCCGGTGCCATATAGTAAGGACTACCAACACTAATATTTTTTTTCAAAGCCTTATCGGTGGATGATAGACCAAAATCACAGATGTAAAGATTATTGTCATTATCTAACAATAGATTTTCAGGTTTCATATCGCAATGTGATATTCCACGTTCATGACAATATTGTAAAGCAGAACAAAGTTGTAAGAATACCCTTTTGATCAAAGTTCCGTCATTAGCAAAATGTTGTTCATCGACTATACTTGTGAATAAATCTTTACTATAATAATCCATAACCATGAATGAAATATATGCGGAATCCATGGCTTCATGAATGGTAACAATATTTGCATGTTGATGAACCCTCAGTTGAAATGATAATTCTTTAAAATATGGAATTTTTAATAAATCTTCAGTAGTCATATTTTGTATCAGGTCCAAATCTAATAGAGGTAAATCTAATGGTAGTCTAGTTTCATCTCTATATAATAATTGTAATAAATATTTGTGTAATATTTTCGAACATTTGTTACTATCATCAGATGAATGTATATTATGTCTTACTTTTAAAATGGCTTTGATAGCGTACTCTTTACCTGTAGTAATATCTATTGCTAAAAATACGATACCATAAGCACCTGAACCTAAAGTCTTTATAATTTTATAATTATTGAGCATGCAATTTTCAAACATTGCAACGTATGTGAAAGTATGTGAAAGTATGTGAAAGTATGTGTGTATATTTAAGTATTTTTTTGGCTAAAAGGAAATAATCAAATGAGTAAAAATTTTATGTTTTAATTCAAATGGATGTTTCTCCATATACATATACATATATATATATAATTATTGATATCATTTAATAAAGATAGAATAATTACAATATACCCCTTCCAATATGTATAAATGTATATTATATTATATTTTAGTGTCGGACAAACCACTTGATTCTATACTCATGAGGTTAAAATAACTAAATTGTTTAATGGATATATCGAAAGTAATTCAAAATTAGATAATAAAATTAACTGGATTTAAATCTCAACTGACAGGTGAGTACATACATACCCGATCAAGTTAACTGAGTTAATAATAACCAAAAAACACAATAAAAAAAAACATAAGAAATAATAGGAAAAGCAAGACAACATGTAACATGTAACATACACAATAACATGAAAAAAGAATAATAATACTAAAAAGGTATGCATAACAAGGGTAGAACAGTGGAAAGCAAGCAAAAACCTCACAAAAAAAGAAAGAAAAGAAGTAGTGTAACAAACGTACATCAGATACTGCGTTTTGATATATATAATTTTAAGATCAGCCTCTGATTACAAAAACAGACAAACATAACTTATATGTATTTCTATAAATTTCTCATCCTCACATCTCCAGTAATAGTAATAGAGGTAGGTATTTCGACCAGTGAGGAGGGGAACTAAATCAGCAATTCATCTAAGTTATACTGTTATAATCGCTACAACCCGCAGATATATGAGCCAGTTTCACTATCAATACCCGTCTACTCTTTACTGAACTAAGCAAGAACTAACAAATATTAACCGAAGTGAGTATTATTGCATCAACCGACTCCCCTTCCTCCCCCTCTCGCCCCTCTTCTCTTCTCTTTTCTTCTTTCGTAACATTTTTCTGACTTAATTATCATCTAATCTTAATAAGAATGAGTATAAGAATGATGACAATAGAGGGAATCGAAATAGTAGCAATAGGAAGAATAAAATACACACAGAAGGAGCTCTCCCCAGCGGTCCAGTATGAAATGCAACTGAGTTATTATTACTGAATATGTACCGGTACTTCTTCAAGCTAAGTTGAATATTATTTTTAAATGCATAATAAATTCATATCAAGAAAAATAATAACATCGGCAAGATAAATCGAGTCGGTTTTTCCTTTTAGGGGACAAGCCGAGTGAAGTGGAGGGAAATTCATCAACGAAGAAAAGTGTCAGGAGCTTGATGCAGTGCATTAATTAAATATTTTCATTCAAGTGAACCTAAATTCTGGAGGAGTTTATCATATCAGCCCGTGGGTTGATGGTAGAAAGAGGAGTGCTAACGTTTCTTTTTATATTATAATTATCAAATATTTTAGTCCCGCAAAGTAACAATAGCCGCAGTGCCCAAGTACAGCTGTTTTTGCTTTTTTTGTTGTTCCTGCAGTGGTTTTAATAGAGGTGTTAGAAAAGGGGAAAGAGGAGACACATAGACGCAAATATTCACAGGTGTGCGTGGTTTTGTTAGGGAGATCGAGTTCTTTCTACGAAGCTTGATTGCTGGCTTTGTTTCGCTGGAGGACCATAAAGATATTTCTAAGATTGCCTACAACAATGCGCGCAATATGTTTTTTTGGTTTTTCTTCAGTTGCACAGATTTTGAAATTAGCTTAATTTTCTCTTGGTCGTTCTCATTTTCTTTTCTGAGAGAGAAAATATAACTAATTTCCCAATGTTGTTTAATTCACGGAATCTCCGTACAAGTTTATATCGGAGAATCTGTACGCGAATGCATATTTATATGTCCGCCTCTTTGCGAAAGAAAAAAAACGCTAATTCGCAATGTTGCGCGCAAAGTTTGGAAATTGATTTTTAATCTCCCTGCGTACTCAAATCCTGCCGGAAAAACTAGTTTAGGAAAGAGTAGATAGAAAACACTGAGAAAAATGTAAATCTTGTCATCTTCTTGAATTAATTTTCAAATCAACAGATCATTTATTTTTGCTGATATTCGATTATCCAAACTTGATTTTCTCAGGTGCGGAGACGGGAGGAGAAAAGAAAGGAGTCAAACCATATATGCTACCCCATCCTTATACATCATGTGGTACGAAAGTGTATGTGTGCGTGTGTGTGTGAGAGAGTGAGAGCGCCTTGCAATAGTTTCTTTTAATCTTCATCTTGTTTACGACAAGATGTTTACACCATCGACATACGTAATTTCATTAAGTAATTTAAGTTTAAAGCGAAGAATAATTTTTTAAAAGAATAGAGTGATTCTATTACATAAATTCCAAATAATGTCAGTACATGTTTAACCATATACGATTATTCGGTAATATCTAATTTACGCGTTCAATATTTTCTTTTTGTTTGTTTTGTTTTGGGAGAGGAGGAGCAATAGAATAGGTACTAGTAATAATTAAAAGACGTAATCGCTCTGCTTATTTAAAGAGGTACATATTCTTCTAGATATTATTGAATATAGCAATTAACAACAACAATAAGAAATGTCGAATTTTACTAATATTTTAATCAGTAATCTTACAGATTCAAATATTCAAATACCCAAGAAAAATGATCCATTAAGAAATGTAAATCCAATATATTCTCAATTATATGATACTTTTGAAAATGAACCCTGGTTACCTAATTCATCAAAGGATAGTACTCAAATGAAAATGATAAAGACTGATAGTGATTTACTGTTTCAAGTATTAATGATCGAAAATATTTCAAAATCAAAACAATCTCAGTTAGATGATTTAAGTACAAAGTTTGATCCAAAAAATCAACGTGTTGATACTTTGAGACAATCTAAAGGTCCAAAAAAATTTGATATAGTTAACCAAGTGGATTTAGATAAAGATGACAATGCTACTACTTCTAATAATAGTAATAACACTACATCGACAATTCCTTTAAAATCATCATCTGACCTACAATCTCGTAAAACTGTGTATAAAATAACATTACAAACCAAAAAAAGTGATATTTTTTTTGCAATTAATACTTATCCAATTCATTGGGACAATTGTTGTGCAGGTGCAAAATTGATTATTAAGAAAGGTACTATTTTTAATAGAGGTGTCTTTTATTTAAAGGAAGAATTAACTGCAATGTGTTTTGGTTCCGTTCATTCATGGGTGGAACAACAAGATTTGAAAAAATATTCTTATCTTGAAGGGAAATTGAGTAGAGATAATGATGGTTTCAAAGATGTATCAACTTCTAGAAAGAGAAAAGCTATAGATATAAGTGAGGACGACATATGACACATAAAAATACCTCACATTTTGCATCCATTTTTAGAATACTCACACCCTCTCTTTCCCACGCACAATATTTATCACCTCTTAATTATGTATGTAATAATAAAGTATATCAAAATATAAATTAATTATACAAATTATTTCTCAATTTTACTTATGCTCTTGAATGTCTATCTAATCTAATAGAATTTCCCATAATTCATCCGTCTCTATGAAATCATGATGTACAATAGATACAATACAATATTCAGAATGAACATGTGTGAGGAAGCTATTGGTAGGAGTATTTCTGGGGAATAATTTTGCCCATTCAGACCATATACTAAACGCCTCATCTGTCCATGCTTTAAATGATTCTTCTTCAACAATAGTAGTTTGAATAACTTGGCTATTAGGGAAAACACCCCATGTTACAACATTAGAACTCCCTTCATCCAAATTAGTATTAAAAGAACCTGATGCATCCCCGACATAATAACTAACTTTTCTACGCCCATAATGGTCTAATTTAGGTTTTAAAATGGATTCCCATTGTTGTTTATGTAAAAACATTTCAACAAATCCCTTTTGATAGACAAGACCATTCGCAGGTCCCCAACCAAATATCTTATCTGTACTTTTGGCCGCATTTGCAGCTGGCTGGGACGCTAATGTTAGATATCCTCTATGATTTAATTGAATAAGTTCTTCTTGAATTAGGGCTGTCTCTGGGGATAATCCAAGATCACTCCAAGGTAACGCCTCTATAGAACCTTCTAAATATTTAATAAATATTTTTTTCAAATCTTTGATATTCGTTGGTCGACCCCACATTTCATGGGCCTTTTTAACACTAACCTTAATGGTTGGACCATACCCATCAATTTCACCATATGCTGGTGATCTTGAGTCACCGAATCTACCATTTGGAAATTCATCCCAAGTAGCATCACGCCCAAGTGCACCAGAACCTCTAGAAATTGATAACAAGAACTTCTTGGATGGCATGCCGTTCTTATAACTATATTCATTAAATCCATTGCGTGCACTAGTAGAGTCTTTATTAATAATAGCTCTATTAAACAGTAAATCAGCTGAAAGTACACTGGAACGTCTTCTCTTTCGACCATCATGGTTCAATGATAAATTATCTAAAGTAATATCGCCGTTCTTATCTAAATGTTTATTTGTAATATCATTTTCATCATCCTCGTTCATATTATCAGTGGAGCTAATATCAGCATCACTCTCTTCACTCTCATCTATGATATGAGAAAGAGTAGGGGATTCAGATACAATCTCAGCTATAGATTTCTCCAAATTCAATGTATAAAAATGGAAACATTTAACTCTTCCATCTGTACCTTTGTAAATCTTATCAATAATCTCCATCAAAATGTTAACACCAATTGATTTTACCATATTATCATCAGCTTGTATCTCTGGTGGAAATTTATCCATAATGTGTTGAGGAATAGATGCATGGGATAATTTTGCAGCTCTATTGAATAAAAGGTACGAATTTATTGGCATTAACCCCGGAAAGATCGGAATAGTCGTAGATATCGTCTCCCTGAATACTTTTTCAAAATTTAAAAATTTATCAGCATCATAAAATAATTGAGTGATAACAAATTCAGCACCTGCATCAATTTTCTCCTTTAGATATTCCATATCTCTGATAGGATCTTGTTCAATTGAAGAATCATCCTCAGTACTATAATGACCTTCTGGGTAAGCTGCGACACCTACGCAAAATTCATCCTTATATTTATTTTTGATATATTTAACAAGATCGACAGCATATCTAAATTGGTCATCGGGTGTGCCATCCTCATTTGCAATAACGGATGGGTCACCTCTTAATGCTAATATGTTCTTGATACCCAGTTCCCTACATTGTTCCAATGCATTATCAATAATACTAACATCCATATTAGTGCAAGTCATATGCATACAAACTGGTATATCAAATGATTGGGCAACAATTCCTGCCAAGTCAATGGTCTTTGCAGCAGTGGTACCACCTGCACCCCATGTAACTGTTACAAACGTGGGCTCTAAGACATTCATACGACCTATACGTTCCAAAAGATTTGCCTTACCTGACGATGTCTTTGGAGGAAAGAACTCTAATGATATCGATGGTTCATCTTTTTGATAATACGTTTCTATTAATGACATTGTTTATGCGGTTGACTCCTTCTATCAATAGTCCTTTTTCTCTTTTTTCTTTCTTTTGTTTCAACTTTCACTAATCAAATTTAGTTTAAAAATATCAAATCGACTTCAAAGTTGCACTTTCTATATTATATTGACAGTAAAATCTGGTATTGAAAACAATCATTTGTAGTGGGAAAACGAGACTTCGTCTCTCATCGACTTTTCTTTAAAGTTGTGAAAAAAATAACTGAAAAATTGTTTTTGTTTAGCTTCGCTTTTCCACTTCACAAATATTTGGAAAGATTGCCAAATTCATTAGGCAAATTGTATACATCAATAGCAAGATTTAAGTTTATTGAACCTCACAGATATCTAAAGAGTACTGACTGATATCAAGCAATCAAATTATTTATTGACGTAAATGGAGAAACCTGTATTACTGTGGTAATGGCCGGTTTATTTGTTCAAGATGAAGATTTAGACGATGAGTTTTTACAACAGGAGTTATCTAGACAGGAGGAAGTAATAACTAGAAAAGTAAGAGATTCATCTCCGAAAGTGACAGATAATGATGATCTTCCTATAATGAGCACTCAGGAAATTGCTTCCGACAAGATAATTGATAATATATCTGACGAAGAAGATGAAAAACCACTGTATCCCCTAATACCAGTAGATACCGACCAAGGGAATGACTTAAAACCCAATATTGAGGATATCAGACCTGTTGACATTCAACTGAATGTAGAACTTCCATTCCAAACACAAATTATAGAGAGTTGTTTGGTTTCAGATGATCCGCTTGTGATTCTCGGGAAAGGTTTAGGTGTGACTAATATTGTTTCAAATTTATTGCATATACTTGCGACACCAACTGTAGTAAATGGGGAGTCAAAGAGATCTCTCGTAATTGTACTAAATGCTACCAATGCTGATAATAAACGATTATATCAGGGTTTACAAGAGTTTGCTTGGCTTGATGATCGGCATGAAAATGAACACGAACAAGCTTTTCAAACTCCATTCCATATTGTTACTTCTGATTCGTTAAGTGTTGAAAAAAGAAGGAAATTATATTTAAGAGGGGGTATTATTAGTGTAACTTCCAGAATTTTGATTGTTGATTTATTGTCTGGGATTTTACACCCAAATAAGGTAACGGGGATGATTGTTTTAAATGTTGATTCTTTGAAAAATTATTCCAATGAGTCGTTTATATTAGAGATATATAGATCTCAGAATAGATGGGGGTTTATTAAAGGGTTTTCTGAAGTCCCAGAATCATTCATAATGGAATTTTCACCTTTAATGAAAAGAATGAAAGAATTACGTTTCAAAAATGTTCTTTTGTGGCCTAGATTTAGAGTAGAGATTTCATCGGTTTTAAATAAGAACTCTGATTCAAATAAGGTAATAGAAGTTAAAGTATCCTTGACTAATTCGATGTCACAGATACAATTTGGCCTTATAGAATGTTTGAAAAAATGCATTGACGAATTGAATAGGAAGAATACAACATTATCGTTAGAATGGTGGAATTCTGAAAACTCATTGGATCCTAATTTTTTGAAATCAATAAACTCCGTAATGATGCCAAATTGGCATAGAATATCGTATGAATCCAAACAACTGATCAAGGATATCAGATTTTTGATACATCTGCATAAAGCACTTTTAAGTGCAGATTCTGTGGATTTCTATGAAGATATTCAAACAAGTTTAGACGCGAATAAACCATCCGTATCTAAGAAATACTCAGAATCTCCTTGGTTAATGGCTGAAGAATCTCAGTTGGTGATATCGTATGCTAGAAAGAGAGTTTACGATAAAGAAGAATATTCTCTAGAAGAAATGCCTAAATGGGAACAATTAATGAATATTATAGAGGATATTGCACAATCTAGGTTGAAAAATAATTATACGGGTCCGACTTTAATAGTTTGTTCTGATGATAATACTGCTATGCAATTGTCTCGCCTACTGAAAATAGGTAATGTAAAACAAGGCTTAAGAAGATTAATGCTTTCAAAATTACAACATTACAAAGAGAGAAGAGAGGAAAGGAAAAAACTATTAAATGAAGTTAAGGACAAGCATAATCAACCAACGGAATTAGATGTCAGTACTACATTTTCTAAAGAACATACGGAATCTAAAAGGAGGAGAACCAGAGGAGCTGCTGTTGTTGCACAGGTTCAAAGGTTGAAAACTGCAGGTTCAGGAGAAGATATAGAAGGTGCTATCGATTCTTATGATTTACATAATGAATTAAGCCTCATTGAGGATGAAAATGATAAAGTTTCCGATATCGATTTAATGGAGAACTACGCTTTAGATAATGAAGGTAATGATATTATTACACAAATGGAAAATATTCCAGACGATCTTGAAACTATTGATGATAATCAAGATTTTGAATTACATCAGATAATGGCGGAAACCCGCACTAATTTGACACATGAGACTTTTGAAAAACAATTAGATAATATTAGTTTCATAGATACATCAGAACAAATTATAATTGAAACTTTTTCTAATATTGATGATGAAACATTATTACAAGAGATTAGACCATCATTTATTGTGATGTTTCAACCTGATTTGATATTTATTAGGAGAGTAGAAATGTATCGTACAATTCAAAATGAGAAATTAAAAATATATTTCATGTATTATGCTGAAAGTATTGAAGAACAACAACATTTAACATCCATTAAACGAGAAAAGGATGCATTTTCTAAATTAATCAAGGAAAATGCCCAACTGGCCAATCATTTTGAAGCCCCTGAAGATATTTCTCATTTTAAAAATCTTGCAGAGAGACAAATGAAAATGAATAAATTGAATAATAAAAATACCAGAAATGCAGGTGGTCAAAATAGGAACGCTCATTTTACTCAGGATGTAATCATTGTCGATACACGTGAATTTAACGCTTCGTTACCTGGTCTTCTATTCAGGTATGGTGTGCGTGTGATTCCAGCAATGTTATCTGTTGGTGATTATATCATAACACCTGATATATGTCTTGAAAGAAAGTCCATATCTGATTTAATTGGTTCTCTTCAGAATAATAGACTGGTAAGTCAATGTAAAAAAATGTTAAAATACTATAAATATTCTGTTTTACTAATTGAATTTGATGAAAACCAATCTTTTTCGCTAGAGCCATTTAGTGAACGAAAAAATTATAGGAAGACAGATCTATCAACCACACCTCCAATATCAAGCAAATTATCTCAGGATGATATACAATCAAAGTTGGCAAAATTGATTATTAACTTTCCTGCGCTCAAAATTATATGGTCATCGTCACCACTTCAAACAATAAACATTATATTAGAATTGAAACTTGGTAGGGAACAACCCGATCCTAATGTGACAATCTCTTTTGGTACACATTTGAGGCATAATGCGAAGGCAAATGGTATTACATCGATCAAGGACATAGAAAATAGCGAGAAATTTTCGAACTTGTTAAGTATTGAAGGTATTTCGAAGATCGATTACTTTAATCTAAGAAAGAAAATAAAACAATACAATAAGTTAACCAAGATGGATATTGATCAATTAACTGAGATTACAGGTGATTCTATGTTAGCATTCAAAATTTTAGATTTTATTCAAGAGCAAAAGGAGCTCGAAGAAGATATTGATATCGATGGAATATGAATATACATATATATTTAATGTAAAAAAAAATAACATAATGGTCTTAATTTCTTATAATATGATAACAAATTATATAATATTTAGATTCGTAAAAACTGAAATAATAAGAACGTTACTATATTTTATCGAAAATTCCTTGTCTAATGTTATAAAACAACTGAATTTCGGCTGCGAAGTCGAGGTCTACAATTGGATTACTTAAAACAGTGAAAAATTCAACTTCACTAGGCAACAAATTCGGAATCCTAATTAACTTCTCGCATGCATCTTTATCAATGGCACATTTGTCCAATAATAACGTCAACAACTTTATTGTTTTACAACTTATCATTTTGTATATCACAGGCGCGTCTTTGCTTTGCATTGTTAAATTTTGGAAGAAACCGTACAGTCTCCTGAAGCATACACCAATATTTTCATATGTCATTAGCCATTGCAATGGAAGATCGTAAAATTCTAAAGTACCTTGTTTATTGTCTTGCGTTGGTTTCGAACTTTGATTAGAATCAATTAACTTAACAATCTCATAAATGGATGTCAATGATTGCAAAATAATAGGTGAGTATTCATCAATAATTGACGGTTGAACAGTTACCTGTTGAAAAGGAATGACTGATATTAAAAATGAAATAAGGTCATTCATCAATTTTGTTTTGTTTCCATTGTTATATTTATTAATAATATACTTCACAATTTCAATATTCTTAGACTTTCGAGCCTCGTTGAACTGTCCTAAAAGAATCGATTGCATAAACTTACGATTTGGATGGCCTAAAGACAATATTTTTGCCAGGATGTCTACACCGAAAGATTGATACTTCCCCCAGCTTACAGAATACTCTGAATAGGAAATTCCATTTTCTGCAGCATCCGCGTTCTGGGATTTCTTTGGTTCACCAAAACTTAAGATTAGCAATAACAGAACCATTGCATCCAATTCAGAATCCAATTTTAAATTATGTGAGATATTTGATAAAATGATTATTATATCTTTTTTGAAGTTTAAAAGTTTTCTTTCAAAAATTATCTTATTGTTATCAAAAAATAATAACCACATCATATCCGACAAAAGTCTCTTTAACATGTGACTAGAGCACATAATATTAGCATTGACGTCTGAGAATGATATATTTCTTAGAATCATAGATATTGTCGATAGCTGATCGATAATTAATACTCTAGGGTCTTCGGCATCTCTTGTATTGACTTTCGTAAACGGATTGTCAACCTCTTGTTTGATTTTCTTCAATGATTCCATATAAGAAGGAAAATAGAGATTTACATCTTCTAAATGAGAAATATGTGAGAAACATTGTCTATCTGGTAAGTATTTCCATTTTCTAGGGTGTTGCTGTTTCTTTTGCCAATCGTTTAAATATGCACCTATATCAATCGAGGAGTTTGGTTCATCTTCATCGTATATGGAGCTTGCAGGAGAAGAAGCAGATTCATCCTGTTCGATATCAATACCCGTTAATGAATCAACAGTTATGACATTATCATTGTTTTTACTTTTTTGTTTTGTGTAAAAATCAAAAATTGCATCTATTTTTTGAGAAAACTTATTGTTTCCTATAGTATTCCGATTTAGATATTTTTCAGTGTCGTACTCCTCACAATAATGATTAGTTGAACTTGTTTGATTTTGTCTTAATTTTTTAGGCGTTTCCCAGTTCTTACAGAGATCCTTGATTATGTTAATACCATGTATGCAGATGGAATTTAGTATATGTGGGTATTGATTTAATGGAATAACTAAAGTACCATCAGCACTTGCCACCAGCAATGAATTTAATGCAGAGTTTATTTCACCTAAATTATTAGATTGTAACGACATTGAAAGGGCATGCAAATTTATTGTTCCTAATTCTGGAGCAAAAAGGTAAATAGGCTTGTTTCCGTCAATCTTTTCGCCGACATTAGATATATAGTTAATATCGTAACCATTAATAAATTCAAGATGTTGATCAATTGGCTTATAATTCCTTATCATACTCCTTTTATAGACTTTCGGTAATTTCGCCATTTCTCTTTGATATCTTTCCTTGATTCTCCTGTCCAAACTAGCTTTTTGTTGTTTTTTCATTTCATCCATAATTCTCTTTTGTTCTTTTTCCTTTTCCAGTTGATCCTTGCGTTCTTGTTCCAGTTCTTTCTTAGTTTTCTTCTTCTGTCTTGGTTTCCGTGGTTTCTTTGCTACTTTTTTCGTTGTTGTAGGTGTGGCAACAGCTGCAGTTTGTTTAGCAGCATTTGCACTATTAGCAGCCGTCTTAGACTTCTTATTCTTCGTCGCCTGTGGCTGCTGCTGCTGTTGTAATTGCATGGCTTGTTGCTGTTGTTGTTGCTGCAACATTTGTTGCTGTAATTGCTGCTGATTCTGTTGATTCTGTTGATTATTCAAGTATTGCTGTTGAGTTAAATTTGGAGAATTTACCCCAGTTGAGGAGCGTATCTGTGTTTGGTTACCTATTTGATTTCCGAATTGTTGTTGAACTTTTTTTAATAGTTCTTGTAAAAATTGTTGCAAAAATGCTCTTTTGGCTTGTGATTCTTTCGTACCATCTGGTGAACTCATATGCTTCTCGTAAGGATGTAATATTTTAAAATATATCGCTTCTAATTGTTGAGGATCACCTAATTGCAATTTCAACGATATTTGAGGCCATAATTGATTTCTCCTCACTTGTTCACCACCACCGAGACGTTGTGCTAGGATATACAAAAAAAAGAGATTAACTTTTCTTCCTTGTATCTCTGGAATATTAGTCATTGGAATGCTGATTCTTTTACAGTTATCTACAAGAGATTTCATAAACAGTTCATACTGTTTGTTACTTAACTCGGCGGATATTCTTTGTTGAAGTGCAGGACTTAAATTTTGTAATACTGCTTTCTGCTGTTGAGCCTGTTGTAACTGTTGTGCAGTCATTCTCCCATGACCCATTTGTTGTTTATTGCCACCACTTGCAGATTGTTGTCTTTGTAATTGCTGCTGCTGCTGTTGTGGTTGCTGTTGTTGCTGTTGTTGTTGTTGGTACGTTTGTGCTCTCTGTTGTTGCATAGAGGCAAGCATTGCAGCCCTGTCTTGATACGTATTTCCACTACGAGATGTATCATGTATTGATCCCATTGAATGACTGTTATTACTAGAACTTCTATGAGTTTCATTATTTTTGATATTGCTCATTTGAGAAAAATCGTTTCTTTGCATATTAATATTATTGTTGTTGTTTGCCGGTGATTGAACATCCATTGGAGAAGCTTGGTTTGATAATTGGGACATTGGATTTGGTGTCATTCCACTAATACCATGTAGAGCATTATTTAAATTATTTTGGCTCTGAGCATTATTTCTTAACAATATCTGTTGTGGTGTTGACGGATTTTGAGAATTCGATAATTGAGGTGACAGTGTTGAATTGTTGAACATATTTGGGTTATTCAGATTAATGTTTGCAAAGTTAGGAGATCCATTCCCGGTACTTTGTTTACTATTTTGTCTGAACATCTGTTGAGCATTAGCTGGGATTTGGTCTCCATCTAATATCGAACCCTTTGATAAGATTGCCTGTGGCGACAAATTACCACCTATTCCCAAATTCACGTTCATATTATTTGAACTATTACTGTTATTGTTGTTATTATTATTGTTATTGTTACCACTACCACTACCACTACCACTATTAACGCTCAGATTCGAACCGTCATTGGTTAGATTAAAATCAAAAGGTGTTTGGTTGTTGGAAAAATTGTTAAAGTTATCGTTACTGCTTTGATTATCGGATATTTGTCCAAAGGATTGATTTCCAAACATGTTTCTGAAACTATCATTGTCATTATTAGACATACTTCCGCCATTGCCAGAATTAAAGAAATCCATCTCAGTCAAATAATTTATTCAGGCAATTTTATAAGATAATTAAAAGCAAAAAGATATGTTATTCTTTAAATAAAAAAATGGTATTGGCCTTAGGTACGTTATTGCAATATATCCGTCTGTTCCTTGAAATATTTCAAGATAAGCTGTCCCAGTTGTAATTTATTTTTCACACGCGAAATGTATATAGTAAAAGTTGAAATAATAAGCTTTGACACTATTTTTACTTATGACTCTTTGTCTCTATAATGTTACAATACCGTACACACCCGTGGTTAATAATATATGTATATATTTATAAAGGTACTCTTCTTAAAATCGCTTGTTAATCGATTTAACAGCTTCTCTAATTGAAATGCCCTTTTTATTTCTGTTGATTGTTTTGGTTTTAATTTCAAATTTCGATTTCACGATTTTCAGTTCGTTTTTTGCTTCGGAGAGTCTTTAATATCGTGGGATATGATATCGTTGTGCACGACGAAAGACCAACTAGAATCTAGATATGGTAGTCAATCATTAGAACCAATAGCATGGTTATCTCAGTTGGGGAGGGGGAAAGGTATGTACATAGTAATACCATTTGGCTCTACTCAGTACGCTGTCTCTTGGGGCTTTGTTTCAGTGGCATTCCTCTAGCTTTCATTCTAGATATGGCTTGTTTCATGAACTGGCTCTGTCGCGTTTCAGTATCATCATTAGTTGATGCTGCACTTCTTTTCAAATCGTCAGCTTTTAAGTTATTGGAATTACGTTGTTCGGAAAGCTTCTTCAGAATATTCAGCATTTCTCTTTTGTCATCTTGATCTCTGTGATGTTTAGCCTCAGGGTTTGGATCATCATTTGCCCATTTGACCAGTAAACCTGCACCTTCCAGTCTCTGGTCCCATTCTTTATCGTTCGGCATTAGAAGGCTTTGGTTCATCATAGCCTCCCGAGTAAACTCGGCATTGATCTGTCTTTTGTACTTCACAAATGCACAATTCTTTTCTGCAATGTATCGAATACGATCTATACTTCCTAGCCTTGTAAATATAAACCGTATACGGCTTTCTATCTGTGTTGGTTTTAAAGATTTTCCATTCAAAGCATTGGTGATACCTCCGATATATAACGTCGCATTCTGTCTCTTAAATGAACCTACACCACCCATATCTTCTCTAAACTCGGAATGTTTTTCTCTTCCAAAACAGTCAAACATATCATTTTGGGACCATATCGTTGCATCATTATCATCTGGTATGTGATGCATGTAACTACATTTATTCCCCATTACACAACATCCTCTAGCAAAATAGATGCAGAACTTACTATCCTTGGAAGATGCCCTTGTAGTACCGGAGTCTTTCTTAGGGTCCAATCTAAAGGGGGTAACATGTCTCTCACTAGGATTACCAGTACCTCCCTGGGACCATTTATTGTACCAGACGTTAAATGTTAACCCATTTTGTGGAGGTATCTCACTTGGCAGATCTTCATCCTTTATTTGTTGTCTTGCGGGTCTTGATTTCCACATCTTCAATCTTCGCCACAACTAGTATTGCAATATAACTGATTACTCCTGCTAATATCTAATAAATAATAGTAGTTTATTTATCATTGTATAAGTAAATTATCATTATATCCTCAAGGTCATCGCACATTTTTATCTTAAACAAATTTCCCACTTACAGAATGTTGCACTTCGCTACCTGCGACTAAAAATTGAAATTGAAATTATATTTTTTTATGATTTTTCAATCAAGTATTGTCTGTTTTATTGATAAAAGAGATGAAACGGTTTGCTATTATTAGTAACAACGAAACAAATAGCGAATTGAACAAGTGAATTAGTGGTTTATTCCTGTGTGTCTGTGTGTTTTAAGTCCAGCTTCAAAAATATATATTACTTGACACTTGTATCTGATAGAACTGAATACTACGCTGAATAGTGAAACAGCCAATCGAAAAAATAATTACATATACATACAAATTGAAGATGTTATCTTTTCGTTACAATTTCTATGATATGATAGAATCAGACTCAGATGATGAGGAGACGACTCCTTCTGGCCTAGTGATTAACAAAGTACATGCATCACCATCCACCCAAATAAGGAATGAGATGTTGTCTCCTCCAGCATCATCATTTTGCAGATCACCTGAAACATCGCCTGTACCAATTACAAAGACTGATAATGATATAAGATCTGAGTTAGATCTAGATCAACGTAATACCAAATCAAATACCAAATCGGATGCCTCGTATTTGCAAACATATAAGGCTTTACAAGAGACTATGGTGAACTTAAAAATTGATTCAAAGCTACCAAATTTTAATAATCTTGGATTTAATCAATTGATAATACCTTCAAAGGACTCAAAAGATACAAACGTATTGCATAAGGGGATTACACAAGATGAATATGTCACCAATCAAGCCACTAGATCATCATCTATAGGTTCGACTAAATATTTAGTTTCAGAACTTATATCCTCTATTAGTGAAAGATTCGAATCAATAGAGATAGCAAATAAAAAAGAAGTGGCTAGGATACTTAGTGAAAAGAAACGTAAAGAACAAGAACGTATAGCTAGGATAGAAGAAGAATGTAAAAGGAAAGAAGAAGAAGCTAGACGTCTCAAAGAAGAAGAAGAACACCAAAGACGTGAATTAGCAGCCAAAAAGAAAGCTGATGAGGAAAGAATAAAACAAGAACAACTTAAGGCAGAACAGGATGCAAAGAAGGAAGAAGAAGCTAGAACATTAAAATTGAAAAAAGAAGCGGAAGAAAAAGCTAAAGAAGAAGTACGTGAGGCAAATCGTAACAAATATAGTACCAATTTTAAAAATATTGAGAAGACCTTTTTGAAATATAAAGAACAGATACAAATAATTAAAAAGGAAATTGTAGAACCGGTTAAAAATATTGATAAGGATCAAAAGAAAATATTATCCACTCATAGGAGGAAAATCAATCCCAAATTTGGTCAACTGACCAATTCGAATCAACAATTAATTGCGGTAGCCAATGAATTGGATAACCTAATCTCTCAAACGACATCACAGCCTTTAATGTTCAAATGGATCTTGAATTTTGTTGCGAAGGCAATTGTACATCAAGCAGAAAATGAAGTTAGAGTGAAACCGGAGTCGGCACTTCCATTGGCTAAACTTGCATTGTATTTAGTTCAAAAATTCCCAGATTTAAAAGAGTTATTAATGGCTAGATTTGTTAAGAAATGTCCATTTGTTATTGGTTATACTTGTTCTATTGACACGGAAAATGGACGTTCTGCTATGGGTTGGAAACGTAATTCTGAAAACAAATGGGAAGCTTCAACTTCATATGATGAAAGGATCGGTGGTATGGTTACGCTATTTTCTGTAATTACTCGACTAGATACTATGGTCTCAGGTTCTCAAAACCCATGGTCATTAGAGTATTCGTGGATGATGCTTGCCAGAATTGCTAATACGCCAGTTGAACTATTAACTAATGTTCATTTCATCGTTCTTGGGTCATGGTGGGACGCCACTGCATCATCATTCTTACAGAGATATGGTAATCAAGGTGCAAAATTGATGAGACTAATCGGCGATGGTTTGACATCATCTGTTGCCGAAAAGAAGTACGTCGGTGCAGCAAGATTAAGAATATTGATGGAGGACTGGATCTCTAACAATAATATAACGGCATTCCCTGAAATGGACCCATGATAACATACATAGTATATAGGAATATATAGAGATAAACTAATAAATGAATCAACGAAATCAAACATCTTGTTCAAGGTAAACAACTAACTGTTCGCTGATTGTTTTTATCAATACTCGTCCCTTGTTGTTGTTATGGTTATTACGCTTTTGTAAGATGCCGGCGCGATGAACAAATCTCTAAAGTTTCCTTAAATGGGAAGGCTAAGTGAAATTGTTTAAAAGCAGAATATTGGAACTGCAAGACACTAAGGAAGCTATTAGATTTATACATTAACACAGAGTATTAAAGAAAATTATTTAACATATAGTGGACTATATATTTACACTAATTTTGCGAACTCTTTGGTTTATCACTTTCAAATACAATAAAAACAGCTGTTGTACATATAAATATATATATATATTTTGCATAAGATAAAGAAAATTCGCTATTACACCACATATACATTGCAATGCAAAGATTAATACGAACATGTATTGCAGGCTTCTTTTACTTTATTAATGCTATATTAATAATATCATATATGTTTAGGCCGGATCTCCTAATACATCAACTGTACACAATACCCGTATCATTAGGAACATGTTTTATCACATTGGGTTTACTTACATCAGATTTTTTAACTCCGTCCCTATCGGAGATCTCTACTAATATGCTACACATATCACCTCGTATTGCTGGTATGACTCTTCTGGCATTAGGAAATGGTATCCCTGAAATTACCAGTGCATATCAATCTATGAACGCTGGGGTGACATCGTTGGCGATTGGAGAATTGATAGGTGGTGTCTTCTTTCTAACCACAGTTGTTATTGGACTAATGGGATTCATACGGACTATATACATCACGAATCATAGTTTAGAGTTAAAATATTTGAATATTTTAACTTATGAAAAGCGACATTATATTGAAGACATATCAGCCTTGACTGGTATGATTGTCATTACATCTTTGGTCCTTTGGGACGGGAAATTACGATTATATGAATGTTTTGTATTAATGACCTGTTATATTGTACATGTTATATATTTGGTCAATCAAATTAAGAAAGAAGAAGTTGAAGAATATCCCAGTAGTGAACTTGATGTTGAATTAACTAATGACATTTGTGATATTGTTAGTATAAACAATGAACAAAGTCTAGGTAGTAATCTAGTTTCTGGACCGATTGATTTGGAGAATCAGACATTCGAACGCAATATCTCACTTTTCAATCAAGATGAATTAATGAGAAGAGACAAGATCAAATGTCAAATTAAAGGTTATTTATCGAAGAACTATAAAGGTTGGGTAAGAATGACCTTACGAGATTGTCTTGATATATGGGAGAATGATGATGTCTTTGATAAAGAAAAGGAGAAAGAATATTCAGATGATAATACGTCTGAAGGAACAGCCGAAGAGATTGTCCCCTTGTTTCATCCAAATATCACGACGGGTTCGTTACAGGAAGACACAGACGTTATTGTTAATGTCGCTCAGGATGACGGTTTGTTAAGAGTTCCTGGTCGAACTAGTAATAAGAGTGATAATAGACCTCCCCTGAGAATTTCTAGAAGTCTGGATTTTGTCCCTGCATTGCTAGATGGTATTCCCAGTGAAGAAGTGATTGAAGAGGTTGTAGACAATATGGTTGACTCAAATGGAATAACACTGACCCAACAAAGATCTCCAAATGTTTCAATAATGTCAACAAATTCACAAATGAGAAATCATTCATGTTGTTATACTCGGGGTTATAGGTTATACTATTATGTGACTAGTTGCAATCCAATCACAATGTGTCATGTGGAGTTTCTAATGTTATTATTTACTACTCCGATCTCGGTGGTGATCCATACTTTATTACCTACTCCAAATGATAGTCATACTTTAATCACTGAACCTATTTCCTTTGGTGAGAAAATCCGTGTATTAATGTCTCCAATGGTGATATATCTACTAATAGTTCGTGGATTACCTAATATCGCGATAATCGCCAGTTTCGTCACGATAATTATGGTATATACCGTATGGACGAAATATAATCCTTTACAAAGTCGAATCCTAACTAAAAGACTTGTATCGATCATGGGGTTCATTTCATCAATATGTGCGATTTCCGTCGTGGTAGATGTTATCGTAAGCATCCTACGTATGTGGACCAACAAATTCCATGTGTCAGAGAGTATTCTGGGTATCACGATCTTTGCGTGGGGTAATTCCATTGGAGACTTGGTGTCGAACTTGACCTTTGTGAAGACTGGGATTGTCGAGACCGCGTTGGGTGCCTGTTTTGGTAGTCCCCTGTTATATTTCTTGTTTGGGGTTGGTTTTGATGGGATGGTGTTGATGGTGCTAAGTTATATCAACGATACAAATAATGGTGTTGTCAACTGGGAAATTGATTTTACTATAGATGCACATTTGAAATTGAGCGGAGTTGGGATCCTTATTGCGATGTGTATTTATTTCATTGGAATCCCATTGAATGGTTGGAAGATTAATAAACGGATCAGTATGTTATTACTGTTGAATTATTTAATCGTAACGTTATTAAATATATATATAGAGGTTGGTATGTAGGTTCATATATTGAAAAGAGGAAAATAAGGGTAACAAATAAATAAATAAGGTTTGGTTTGGGGGGTCATTAATAAATAGAAAATAATAAATAAATAAATAAAAGTGAATGTGTGAATGCAATTAGATGGATGAGGTAAAGATTGGAAATCAGCAACAACAAAAAAAATGGGGGGATGGCAATGGTTGATTATTTGATTTTGTTTAAGTTAATATTGTCCAGGATCTTCTTAGCGCCATTTTCAATCATTCTATTAGCTAAGATTGTACCACATTCGATTGCATCTTTCTTTAAGTCTACAAGGACTCTCCTTTCGGAGTCTTCTACCCATTCAGTTCCTTCGACTCCAATGACAATAGCTTTAAAAGTTAAAGTCTTTGTGTTAATATTGAATTGAGTCTCTACACCTATTGGTACCGAACAACCACCTTCCAACGTTCTCATTAACGATCTTTCTGCAAGACAACATACAGTTGTCTCCAAGTCACAAATTTCTTCTAGGATACGATGCATTCTAGGGTCGTTTTTTCTAATCTCTAAACCTAGAGCACCTTGACCTACAGCATGATACATTATCTTTGAATCGAATCTTTGAGTGATTCTATAATCCAAATTCATTCTAACCAGGCCTGCAGTAGCCAATATAATACATGTATAACGAGATTCCGGGTCGTCGACTTTATCTAATCTCGTATGAATATTCCCTCTAACACTTTCGAAGATTAAATCAGGGTATCTTCTTTTCAATTGGGCAGATCTTCTTACAGAAGACGTACCTACGACAGCACCTTTTGGTAGATCATCTAAGGATTTGTATGGAGAATTTAACGCCATAACAAGACAATCCGAAGGATCTACTCTTTTTGTAATCCCTCCTAATTCAAACCCGTCAGGTAAGATAGTAGGCATATCCTTTAGCGAATGAACAACAACGTCTAATCTGAGGTCCATATCAGAAGAGTATAGTAAATCTTCTAATTCTTTAGTCCAAAGAGCTTTCCCACCGAAAGAATAAAGAGGTTTAAATTGAATTTGATCACCTAAAGTTTGAGTCTTTGTCAATTTACAATTATATTGTTCGAAAGCATCCTGTATCATTTCTTTGACTTTTTCAGATTGTACTACAGCCAGTTTAGATCTTCTTCCTCCAATATGAACAGTATCTTGAGTCATTATGCAAATAAAAAAAGAATATATTAGTATGTGTGTGAAGGATGGTGTACCTACGTAAGGTATGTGTGTGTGTGTGTGTGTGTGATAGAGTAAAATCTGTACAGGAGTAGCAAAAATAAGTAAACCCAGTTAATAATAATAATTATTATAAGGTATATCCTCTCTGTCTGTCTGTCTGTCTCTTTATATAACGAGCTGTTATTTCCTCCTTCTCAGCCTGAAAATATCCAGCAATCACCCTACTACTGCCAGAGCTGAAAAAATGAAAAATAGAAAATGGAAAAAAAGAAAGCAAACTCGTTATACGTCTTTCGCCATAAATTTCAGTCAGTCAATCATGTTAGTATTAGCATTTCTATTGGGCAACCCCATACCCGAGAGAGAACGGCCGAATGTTTGCACTGCAATAGCAAGTGCAGCGACAGAGCGTGGGAGTATTTGGTAAAATTGATGGTCAACAAACGGGAGGAGCCACTGAAACTTTCACTGTCGGCACTGCCATACCATTCAATATTGTTATTGTTATTATTATTATTATTACCAACCAGGTCGTTTGCTTACAGGGCAGGCATCAGTGTCTCTCTCGCATTGCTTCTGTTTTCTGTCAAATTGGTAATTAAATTGAAAATTGCATCGTAAAAGGGTCTTCGTTCATTGGTCAGAGCGCAAACAAAGGATGCGACGAGTGGGGGCCACCATGGGCTGGGTGCTGTTGTACGCACCATTCAGTGGGCGAGACCACAGTCAATCTCGCTTTATGTCAGCAAATCATTGAAGAGATTAGTAAGAAACGGATTCGCTTCGTTTAAGAAAAACAATGCGAGGATGGGAGCCGGCCACTGCGGGATTCGTTACCCGTGTGGATTTGTATGTCTGTGCATTCAATTTATCGGTTGATGCGCGACCGCCCGGGGCCAATCAGCGTGGAGTGAAAAGAACGGGCCTCGTACTCGATGATGTCATCGGCTGGTTATTGTCTTTTTAAACGACGAGGCGGGCGGGATCACGGCGCACGGTGGCCCTGCTTTGCATCGGTGTTAGGGTTTGATGTCACAGTATACGGCAGCCTGCTACTACTAATACGATTCCATAATAGAGGTGGTTGTGGTGCTTGTCTAATTCAATTTCATAGTGGCGGTGCTTGCTATATTCAATTCCATGATCCTGGGCATATTACGATAGAACGGTTGATTTATCTTTCTTTTACTTTTTGACACAATGTGGCAAACCCTCTTATATATATATATATATATATCCAGGCGGAAGATGTTTATCCTGGACCCTCGCACTCCTGTGGGTGGGTGCATTTCACGTTGTCAGTTGAAATTTCTTTCATTGTTCTCACAAATACAATGGATATGGGCATCGGACTATGGACATAACGGAGATACATCATGTCTAAATTTGCGTAATAGTACGCAAAGAGCCACAAAACGAAAAAATGAAATGCACGAAAAATACTCAATGTCTATTTTTTATCTTATTATGCTATGTGTTATAGATATATCCTATTTATACTATTTAGAGAATTGAGCTATCCATTCGATTGATTTCGAATGGCCTAATTTAGCGGCGTTTGACATATGTAACGTAGCCATTGGTAAGTTTATTGCTGTACCAATCCCATTATGATAGTAGTATCCTAATATATATTCTGCACGAGCTAATTTTCCTTGCGATGTAGTACAACTGCGTTGTATCCATTCAAATGACAACGTATAGTCTGGCGACATGATATCTGTAGATCCAGTAAAGAACCAGCCGGCTAACGATAGCATTGCTACAGGGTTAACATTTCTTTTCTTTGTAGTTGTACTTGGAGTCGACGCTTTCATATACCATCCAATAGATTTCTTACAATTGATTGGTAATCCCATCTCTCCAAATTCATAGCATGTTCCTAATCGCCATTGCGCTAAAGGATAGTCATACTCATTCGCACATTGGTAATAGTATTGTAAAGATTTGATATGATCTCGATCGATACTCTCTTTGTTTAATCTAATTTGTAACAAATCGTTCAACGTATCAAATTCATATATCTTACCTAATTCATAACATGCCTGCGTTGAATGACCTTCATTGCAAGCTTTTTCAAGCCATTTGATACCTGTGGTACATGGTTCGTTTCCTTCTGCTGGAATCGTTCCATTTATATAATACATCCCCAATTTAAACATACAATCATAATGCCTATATTGAATAGCTCCAAGTTTATAATAATATATCGCATGTTCCATTCGTTCCTTAGAGCTCATTTCGTCAACACCTTTGTTGAATTCATAGCATATACCTGCCCTATAACTACTCTCTGAATGTCCTAATTTTGCAGCTTCACAATAATATGTTAATGCTTTCTTATCATTTTGATTAATAAAATCATAATTTATTAAGTCAAAATGTGTTACACGATGAGAATACAGACATCCCATTAAAAAATACGCATTTGGCCATTTCAATTTAATTAATTTAGTCAACACTTTAAATGCATGTTCAATTATAATCTTCTGATTTCGTTGTAATTCAACTGAGTTTAATTCTCTTTTCAACTTCTCGGCATTTATTGTATAATGACTAATAAAATCGTGATCCTGAGATACTGATAATAACATCTCACACCATCTCATTTGGATCTCCGGCGTAAAAATCTTTACATCATTCACAGTTTCTTCATACACTTTGTAAAACGCTTGACCTCTTGGAGAATAGTCACTAATATCACGTCTTCCATGACGTGATTTTTTCTCTTCATTACTATCATTGCTGCCACTGGGTCGTATTATCGGCTCATTGGTAGTCTCCATGGGAATGTTACATTCGCTCACTGGATATGGCGCTCGTTGTTGTACTGTCGAAGGGTTTTTGGTATTTGTTGTCATCGATAGATCCGTCCTATCGGGAGGAAAACTCTTGAATGGAGAATCATACCGGTCATGACCACGATCGTTGTTCGTGTCCCCATATGAACCAACCATCGGACGTGTTTGAAACATTTATTATTTTGAATTACCGCCTATGCTCTCTTTGTTATTGTTGATATTACACGAAATAAATTAGAATTGGCGATGCACACACACAGAAGTCCTTAAAGAATGTGATATTTGCTGAAAACAATATAACAAATCAAAAAAATAGCAGGCTCTTATTCCAAACTGTACGTGATACTTATCGTTCTTGCTTACAGTACAGTCAGATAATAATCCTGAACCTTCTCTCTCATCATCTACTTATGTAGCATAATATCGTGTTTTCCCGATTATCTTATTTCATTTTTCCTGTTCTTCTGTGACTTTTCGGTATATTTTCGCTTTAATTTTATTTTTTTTTTGTTTCTTCGTCCTCAAATGAAACATTTTCTTTATCTTTGGTGAAGTTGGGATATCTGAATAGAGAGAGAGGTTGAAAGTTGACTTGACGGAAAGAATAAAGAAAGAGGACTGTGTACATTCATATTGACGTGATTCATCTGCTAACTGTGTGTAAGGTTTTTTGTTTACTGATAAATTTCGTATTACAAAGTATAGACAACCGATTAATTGTTTTGTTTTGTGTGTGTCTGTGTCCCCTTAAACAACTGCATCATCTACTGCCCATATACCCATATACCCATATAGATAAATACAACCTTATTACAATGTTGAAAAACTCTCTATTTTTAATTAATCCTCATCTGCTACGTTGCAATGGTCGCTCTTTGACGAGAATGAGCTCCATCCGTTTTGGGTCAAGTGCTGTAATCACTGCAAAACCTCAAGATATTGAATTGAATAATGGAAGACAAACTGTTAAAGCTCCAAATTCAAGAAAGACATTTTTGATAGACTCGTATAAACATATGATGGAGACTCATCCGGTCGTGATCTTCCTACATTATAATAATTTGATCAAATCCGAAGATCATTATTTTAGAGATCAAATTAAAACTACTAATGGAACATTACATAAAATTCGTAATAATTTATTCAAAGTTTATTTGAAAAATTCTAGTCAAATAGATCCATGTGCTCCAATAGATAGTAAAGATGAAACGTTGATTAAAAACCATCCTTTGCATCCATTATTTTCAGGTCCTACGGCTGCAATCACTTATAAAGATATTAATCCAACAGATATTGCTAAATTAATTAAAGTATTGAATTTAGCAAAGGATAAATTGTTCGTTATTGGTGCAAAGATCGATGCTGAAGTTATGGATCCTTTCCAATTAGGTACATTCAGTAAACTACCTTCATTACCGCAATTACAAGCTACATTAGTATCTATGTTACAAATGTCTGGTGGTGGTGGTTTAGTACAAACATTAGAATCGTCAACTCAAAAATTGTATTTAACTTTGAAATCGCATGAGGATAATATTAAGGAACCAAAAGAATAATCTTTTTGCTCTCGTAATTGTACATATACACATGTATATTTATTCAAATTTCAAGACTAGGTTTTTTTTTATTCTTCCATTATTGATGCATTCATGACATAACATGTAAATAATAATATTAATATTAATAATAAATAACATATACATATATATTATTGAGCTTTTTGTAAAGGTTTGTAACCTTCATTTACAAGTAATTCTTTTTTAATTTTAACCCCCCATTTGAAGGATACATAATCTCCTGTTCCACCAAGAACTCTATGACATGGTACAATTACAGGTATGTTATTAGCACCACAAGCTCTACCTACAGCCCTCGATTTCTTAATGTCTCCCAATGCAGACGCAATTTGACCATAACTACGAGTTTGTCCATAAGGTATAGCAACTAATTGATCCCACACTTTCCTTTGAAATTCTGTTCCAAATAAATATTCACAGTGAATACAATCGGTATCTGAACGAGCACCTTCCATCAACTCAATGAACTCGGTAGCCTCGGATTCAAATTTGTCGTCTGTATCCCGTATAAACTTATAAGTAACATGAGTGGTCTTTGATAACTGTTGAAACACTTTGTTTACAATTTTAAACAAACGCGATCTATCATTACTAAGAGATCCATACACTAAATGTCCATTCGATTGTTTGAAGACTAGTAACACAGAAGAGATGTGTGTATCTACGAATTTGTAAACCAATGGAGTTTGTTCTTTGATCATTTTTTTTGCCGTATAATTTGATGTGATTTGAGTGGAAGTGAATTGTTCAATATGTGAGTTTATATAATTTTTTCTTATACTTTACGTGATTTATATACAAACACGAGAATACATATAGAAGGAAAATGAAAAGCGAAAACAGCATTTTTTACTCTAACAGGTAATTATTAAGAAAACGTTTCAAAAATAGATCTAGTCATAGTTATGACTCATCAATTTCACGTCTTTTCTAATGCATTTTATTATTAGTTGTGTTACATTTGATATTTATATAAGATATATACAAAGTTGATAAAGGTGTGTGTGTGAGAGAGAAACAGGAAGATGACGATGTATTAATTATTTATTATTTCTTTTGTAACATAGCATCGAATCTTGGGATCAAGGATTGAGCCAAAGCAAAGGAGAAGACCAACTTTGGACCAGTAGTCAACAGTTTTGGCACCAACCCTTTGAAGAATGCAGTAATACCTTCATTCTTCAAAGTGTTCTTAATGATAGTAACACCACTCTCTGGGTTGTCGAAGTTTTTGTTTTGAATTCTAGTCTTGATAACGTCTAATGGTGCAGAGACAATTAAAGAAGCAGAAGCACCGACAATAGAAGACACAAAATTTTGAGACCATGTAGCAGCGTTGTAATCTTCTAAATGTAGGATATATTCTTTAGCAAACGCATTACCACCGAACAAAGCAAAAGAGCCTGGTGCATTTCTAGCAGCAGTCCAACCCCAACCTCTGTACAGGTTACGTAGCCCTTCATCCTTCAAGATTTGAACAAATCCTCTACCTTTGAAGGATTCTGGGTTTGTTTGTCTCTTAATCTTCAAGACATCCAATGGCAACAAGATGATTTCACCAATACCAATCATGGACCCTGCAGTGGCAGATCTCAGAGCTTTCCCAGTCTTAGCCCCAAATGCAGAATCGAAATCGTTTTGGAAATGCTGGTTTAAGAACTCGTTAGCAAACGGTTGACCACCATACTTGTAGACTCTTTGCAACACTTTATAGGCAGCAGCGTAACCAAGACCCGGAAATAACGTGAAAAATCTCTTAGCAAATGGTAAATCGGAGTATTGCTTGAAGATAACAGTGTTCAATTGAGTAGATGAAGCAATCTTTGTGTGGTTAGACATCAAACGCTTGGAGATGGTGTCGACCGGGTGGAAAACACCGATCTCTAGAATACCAGCAGAAGCAGATCCCAGCAGACGGGCATAACCGGATTGTTTCTTGTCAGATGGAGCCATTGTTGATCTATACTTATTTATGTTCTTTTGCAAAAAAAATACAAAACTCAAGTGGTGAATGTACGTGTGTAGTGTCTACTTCCAAAGTCTGTGTCAAGAACGTGAGTCAGGAACCCCAAGCCCTAAGTCATCCGAACCAATTCCAAGTCTCGTTATCTGCCATTATTTATATATTTATATATTCATAGTGAACCCATCCAGAGATTCCAGCAATCTCGAAGTCCCAAGCCAGCACCGCCAGCGATGACGGCGCAAATTTTGAAAAAAAAAAAATTTTCAGCTGAAAACGGACCCTATGCTCAATTGCGATAAACCCTAGGGCATTGAAGTTTTAAACGAACCCTGATCTTGATTTCAGTAAACCCTAGGGTATCGTATAATTCTAACAAGCCCTGTTTTTTTATTACATCAACCCTAGGGTATCACAGAATTAAGACAAGCCCTAACCTCTGAAAAGCCGCATTCTCCTCTCACAGCGCAAATGAAATTTCAAATTTATTATCTGCAAAGGTAAAAGAAAGAGAGAGAAAAACAAACTTTGAAAATAATGCATAAGGCAGGAAGGTAAATATATAAATAACTACAAATTGGGGGATTTTTGATCTAAGAGTTGGAATTCTGAAGAGAAAATAATAATAGAGAGTAACGTTAGTTTACATCAGTGATAAGGAATTCATTGTTTGTTTGTTTTGAAAGGTTTCAATTATTTATTCTTTTTTTTTTTATTTAGAAAACTATTGTTGACACAGCAACCATTTATTGGCCTTTTTTTTTTTCTTGATTTTGACATAATTTGAAGTACACTTTCAAAAACATAAGGAAATTAAGTAATTGAAGTGTTTACAAGATTCATTTGTATTATTTGCTGTTGAAAACAAGAAATTAATTGATTTACTAGGAACAATGGTATTTGGGTTATCTAGAAAGGAGCATAAAGTTCCAGATTTGTCAAGGTACGACTATTATTATCAAAACACTCAAGATTTTAATAGAAGTGCAAGATTATCGGCTGCTGCTGCATCTGCCGCAAGCAATGCTGGTGGTGCAGCTGCTGGTGCCGGTGGAGGTAGAAGAATAGTCAGTGCACAACCAACAACTAATACATCACGACAACAGACTAGATCAAATTCGTTGGTACATTCTAAAGAACCACATCGTAGAGCATCAAGTGCTGTGCCCCCAAGAATAAATTCCACTATTGGTACAAGACCTCGTATGAAAGTGAAAAATAATAATAATAATAATAATTACAAGACTTACTCATTAAGATCAGAATCCAGTGAGGATCGCTCGATTGAACAATCAATTAAATCAAAACCTATAGTGAAAGGAGTTAAGACAAAAAATACTCCGAAGATTATTCAAAATAAAAAGGACACTAAGAAGGAAGCTTCACACTCAATGCATACTACTAATATTCAAAAACAACAACAACAACAACAACAACAACAACAACCAAAGAAGAAGAAGAAGACCATTAAGAAACCAGTAACTACAACTTCTAGACTCAATTCGTTAGCGTCAAATAATAGCACCAATAGGCAATTACGAAAAATGTCTATGAATGACTCTAGAAGTAACTCAATTACAACACAGATCACTAAAGTCAAAGATCCCCAAGGGAGGACTACTTCAATCACGCGTAAGACCATTAAGAGAATTGATGGATACGAATATATTGAAACAACTACTACAACAACCAGCGTCGCTCCTGTGAATGAAACTGAATCTCTAAATTCAGATCAAAGACATTTTAACGAGTTCAATGATGATTATATTATGGATAGTGATTTTGCTCCGATTCAAGATATTCAAGAAGAAACTGAAAACGAAGATTCTCCACCACAGATTGATGAAGTGATGTTACAAGATGGATCACAGACTCCATCATTGAATGGAAGTTTAAACTTGAAAGATGACACATCACAAGAAGAAGGAACATTGTCAAATGTTGTAGACTCTAACGACTTATCCAACGTACCGCCGATCCCAGATGTTCCGATTGTTGGTACAAATTTTTCACAAGGTGTACATAATAACAGTGACGGTGACATTGATACCCATGACGATGATGAAATATACAAGTCTCAGGATCCTGAACTGTCAGAAACTCCAGTGAGTGATGAACAAGTCCCTGGAACATTTGAGTATGAGTACGCAAATCCTTACATGGAACCAGAAGAACCTGTTGATGATGAAAATGAGTATAATATATCTGATGAACAAGAGGTTTCTACAGAGAAGAGACAAATACATCCATACGCCCAACAAACATTAATTCAGCCCCCACCTCAAATATATGATAATGATATAGGTCAAATCCAACAATCACAAAGTAGCACTTCCATATTCTCAGACGCTCTAGATGAAATTCCAGGTACCGATATTGATGATAATATACAATATTCTAAACAAAGAACCGCAAAACCAAAGACAAAATCTAGGGGCAAATCAAAGAATACAAATAAAATGCCTGTCAATAAAACAAACAAACAAGGTAAAAGGCCTCGCAAGGAAGCACAACTCGTTGAAACTTCAAGAATTGATACAAGACAACACCATGTTGCAGCTCAGAAGGAAGCTATAAAACCAAAGAAACCATTGACAGAAGCTGAAATGTATCAAAAGGCATTAGAGATTGCTACTAAGAAAGTATACAGTGACCGTATACCATCTACAACTACAAAGACCCCTACTAAAAGTATGATGGGTAAACGAATGACTTTAAGAAATGATCAAACCAATGCGAATAATATTATGTCTCATACACAACCTCAGAATATGTCAAATTCATCATCAAAGAAACATAAAAGACTTTCATTATTCTCTTTTGAAAAACATAACAATGAACCTGAACTTGACTATAATAATGTCCCATTACCTCCTGATAGTGCAGCAGTGATCAATAAGGAAATCCAAGCAAACCCAATAAAGGAAACAACGCTAGCAAAAGAGTCATCTGAAGTGAAGAGTACTATGAGTGATGCAGATATGTATGCGAAAGCACTAGAAGTTGCTCAAAAGAAATATCGCGATGCTCACTTCATTCATACTAGTGGAATTCCTGTTAGTACAAGTAATATGAGTGCTAATAGTGGATTCAGCAGTGGTATAAGAAGCAACGGTAATAATAATAATAATAATAATAATAATAATAATAATAATGTAGCAGCAGATAGTGCTGCTAGGGTAAGCCTGAATGATCAACTTTCTAAAACAACTACTGGAAGTGCACGCCCTCAAGAGGTCACATCGAACATATCATTTTTGCGTAATGACCCAATTACAAATAATGAATCTGGTGGTGGTATGAGATTATCATTGGATTCTAAAAAACGAATTAATGATAATTCTTATGATACTAAAAACGCTGATGAAACGTTGGCTGCTGTAAACCATACAGTATCTATTCCAGAAAATGACATGTCAATTAATGCGTCTTCCGCTATTGCTCGTCCTGCAATTGTCATGACAGTTCCAGAACCTGATAGATATATCACTACGGATATAGATCATAACATAACAACTATATCTAACAATACCAGTAATATACCTGTGGATTTGTCTATGACTTCACCTATTAAAAAACTACAAACTAATGAGTCAGGAAAACACAAATCAAAATTTAAACATTTTGTTGATAAAATGGTGCAATTCTCAACTGAAAACAGTGGATATCAGTTGTCAAAGGATGAACAATATCGACTAAATGGTGATAAAGGTGAAGATATTGCAGAAGGGCGCAATTTCTTAAACGTTGCTCCACCGCAACATCTGATTTCGGCAGTTCCTGTAATTCAGGAAACTCCTGTTACCTATTCAGAGCCAACTCCTGTGATGGGAGTTCCAATACCAACAACTGGAAGTGAAACATCGTTCAAGAGAAAAAACGTCATGCGTAATGGTAATGTGGATAATGGTAACAATACTAGTGCAACGTTAAACACTGTTTCTTCTAGCATTTTCAGCAAGGATAAGGGTCCTATAGACGATTCACCTCCCCAAACATCTACAAACTATGTCCCTAATGAGATTTCGAATCAAGCACCTATGAAAAAGGATATTTCCCTGCCCCAAGGTTCTATCCAACGACATAACCAGAACCTCCAACAATTTCATGAAGATAGTGTACAAATGGATAGAATTATTACACCAGTCACAGTTGTGGCAAACAATGTAGCCACAGTAGAAACTCATGCAAAGAGTATACCTGCACCATCAAAACACCCCAAGAAGAAAGGCTTTTTTAAGAAATTGTTTAAGCGCTAAACATGATAGTTAAACAAAATAATAGGGTTATTGGTACGGTTTTGGTGAAGCTCTTAAATCGATTTTCTAACTATTTCGTAGTTGTAATTTTATTCTTCCGAGAATCATATTGAACATTCTTTCATTCATATACTTTTATAATTTTATATAATTATATTTTGTTAATTAATTCTTAATTAAATTATTCAAATTATTCTCAATGTATTATTAAATTTATGAAAAGTATAGATGTCTAAGTAGATATAGCACTGTCATTTTCAATTGAAATGATTTACTCGATCGTTGATATGTTTCATTGTTGTTCTGTAGTATACATTGAAGGTACGTAATAATAAAATATGTAGTTAGTTATTATTTTCATTTTGACTCAAGAATAGTTTTTAAACTGTCTGTCTCAAACATGTTTGAACCCTCTTTCAAAACATTTGCTAATAACACCAGTGATTTATTCGTAAAGTCAGGGGCGTTTCTTAAGGCATTGATATCCTCCCCATAATTGTCAAACATTAGTCCGAGATATTCTTTCTTCAAATCTTTTGAATTTTCTCCAGAATTGATAGCATTCTGTATCAGGTTGCTATTCACCATTTCAGTCTTAGCTGCTTCAACAGTTTCACCTACTTTCTTCATATCTATAGTACCCTTTTTATCACCACTTGAACTACCTCTCTGCGTTAGTTGAGTTGTAGTAAACGGTATATCAGAAAGCTTATCTTTAGTAGTGTTGTCTAATATTTTCTCATCAACCTCCTTACTTTCAGGTTCATTATCCGAAAGTTCGACATCAGATACCTCAGCGTTATTTGGGGTTTCAGTTACTTCCAATGTTCCAGATTCGTTGTCTGATGATGATGATGATTCTGATTCTGAGCTATCTGCTGTTCTTCTCTTCTTTCTTCTTCTAGACTTCTTGTTTCCTTTCTGCTTTACAGCTTCGATATCACCTGCGGACATATTCGATGTATTTATATATAGATGAATGCACACTTGCTTTTGTGGTTTGAGTAATTTATAATGAAACTGTTTCTCTCAGGTGAACTTGTTTTATTTAGTATTTGTATGTGGTTGTTATATAATTTTTAAAAAAACTCATCTCATCGCTTAGCAAATTTTCAGTTTTCTGTGCTTCTGAAAAATATGTCCGTAGAGCGTTCATACATTAAGAAGAACAACACAAATAAATAAAGAAAATGTAACTAAATAGGTTTATTAAATTTGAATAATTTTTTTAGTTATTTCTCTCGTAGTTTCAGATGACTACCCTTTACTCGTTTTATTATTTTACATATAGTATTTAGTGAGTTAAAATAGTTTGTCCATTTCAACTAATGCGTAATCTAAAATGTAGCTTTGCTCTACTAAGTTATCCACTCTTGCAAAATGTCTTTCAGTATAAGGGATAATACCATCTATAATTTTGATAATACCTGGAATTTCACTTAATTCAGATATGTTTTGTTTCTGAAGTATGCATTTAATGGTCTTTTGAGCAACACTATGAGTACGGGCGTTTGTGTTCCAATCACGGCATCTCTTGAACAGTAAAAGAATTTGGTCATGGTTTAGTTTTGAAATAAGTTCATCTAATTCTTTGTTAAAGATAGAATCCTTTTCAGCCTTGTCACCTTCACTTCTTAGTCCCGATTGTCTTAAAACGTTAAACAATCTCATTGGGTGGTCTAACATTAGAGCCAGTAGAAAAGCATTTGTCCAGTCACCTTCATTTAAGTAGTTTTGTAATGTCTGTTCTTGTTCAACCTTTACTTTTTCCTTTTCCAGATCCTCCTCTCTCTGTGCTTCAGTACAGTCCTTCCAGAATTGTATTACCCCATCAGCATCAGCACTTACTATTAATTCACCATCATTGATAGCATTTAATGCCCATATTCTATTAGCATGGCCATCAAGGGTCTTGACACATTCACCAGTTGAGCAGTCCCAGATTTTAACCAAACCATCGGCTCCTGAGCTGACAAGTTGATTTTGTTTATTGATAAATGTACATCTTTGAACAGCATTTGTATGTCCCTCTAAGGTCTTTTGTACCGTAAATGTTTCCAATGACCATATTTTTATTGTCTTGTCACCAGAACAGGTAGCTAGGATTTTATCGTAGTGACAAAATGAGACATCCCATAAACCACGCTTATGGTTAGCTAACGTTGCAACTAAGTTACCAGTTTCTAAATCCCATACTTTACATGTTTTGTCATATGAGGCAGTAGCAAAAACAGAATCGTTTGGTGCGATAGATAAGGCATTTATATCCTTTTCGTGAGCGTGACGAGTATATTCAGATGTATTTATTGTATGCGTTAAGGATTCCTTTTCGCTTGTATTTGTTGATGGTTTAGGAATTTTCCACTTTTTAATAGTTAAATCATTTGAGCCAGTTAACAGATATTCAGGATATCCATGAAGAATGACATTGGGGAAACTTATTGCTGTAACAGATGCAGAATGACCAACAAATTTAGCGAAAAGAACAAATTTATTAATTGATTCATCGAATTTCCAAACAATAGCAGTATGATCCTTTGATGCAGTAGCAATCCATAATCCATCTTCAGTTGAGGTCACAGCATTCAATAAATCACTGTGACCCTCATAAAAATCAACATTTATTAATAATTTTTCCTCTGATGATTTGGATTCCATATCTAATGATGGAATAATTCTCAAAGTTGGGGAATTTGTTGCTAATGCTATTTTATTATGGTTGGGACCCACAAAAACCATGTCGGCAATAGTACCATGGTTACCGGCTATACATGATTCGGCAGTAATTATCGGTTCAGATCTATCTTGTAAGGATTCTTCGACATTTAGTAATTCTATCGTCTGATCTGACAAAACAGTGTATACCTTTGTCTGATTCAAAATTGGTAAAACACCCACTATGAACAATTCTTCCATTGGCTTCTTGGTACTTTTGACAACACTACCATCTGACAAAGATAAACATTGGAATATAGCATCACCACCAGCGGTATAAACCAAATCATTATCAATGTTACTTGAAACAAATCCACATGATTCGATTTGTTGGCTCACTGGAATGGTCTTGATTAGTTTGCATCTTTTCTTAGTATCAAATTCCCAGAAATTCAAAATATTATCTCTACCACCTGAAATTAATTGAAGTGTATTATTATTGTCCTCGGATTCCTTGTTTAGTTCACGCACGTCGAGACCTCTTATGGCAGATGTATGCTCTTGGGTGGTATGTAAGCATTTTCTTTTCACTAAATCCCAAATCTTCAATACCCCATTTGTATCACCGGAAGTAAGAAGCCAGTTGTTAGTGTTTGGTTCGCCATAGAACTTCAAACTAGAAATTGTCCCCCCGTGGCCTTTAAATGAATGAGTTATATAACCATTTTCAATATCAACCACAATTATTGAACCATCGGTACCCCCGACACTGACCAATGTAGATGTACTATCGGTATCTATAATGTAGCATGGTGATGAAGTCTTCATTGATCTTATTATCTTACCTTCCTTTATAGAAAATATCTTTAATAGTTGAGCTTGAGATACAAAACAAAGGAATTTTCCGTCTGGAGTAATGTGTAATGCAGTAATGTCTTGCTCATCGTCATTGGTAATTTTATGAAGTAAGGTAGGCTCAGGTTTTAACTGGATAATGTTGATCTCATCCAAAACAGGTGTGGCCATCAGGGTACCATCTTCGGATACAGATGCAACTGCACCAGAGCCAGCATAAATTGGGGCTAGCATCGAGTTACTGTAACTTGTGATCAGTTCAACTTTACTCATTATGGCGGCTTATCTTTGGTTAGGGTTCTAATTTCAAGAGTAATATCAATTCATGAAATGTAATTATATACATATATGATTGTCTTTTATCTTTTTAAATGGCTTAGCATATGTAACATAATTTATTTTGGCACTATGTTTCTGATGAGATGAGATGAGGTTTAAATTTTCTAAAATTTTCAGATCGCCTTGTACGATGTGATAATGCTGTTTGAAGAAATTCAAGAATAATACCTAAATATATACGGATAATAAGAAATGTGATTGTGAAAAGTGTATTTTATTCAGTATTTAGTTTATCCATATATGTGAAAAACTGTATATACGCTTATGTTTATGTAAAGTAGGAATGTTTCTATTTGTTTCTTGTTTATGTTATGGATATAAAAAAATGGATAAATATGCTTTAAAGTTTTGGGAATATTTCTATAATGTTCTTGGAATAATGATAATGTTGAGAGAAAATGCTAATTATATAACAGCATTTAGAGGTAGTATTGTATGCTTGTTATCTTGATGTAATAAATGGTGGTAGTAGCTGCTTCTTGGTTTTATGATTTTTAACATTTAAAAAGGGCAACACGTTCAAGTTTTAAGGATTGGAGGACTTGAAATTGGTTTAATTTATTGAAGGACTTCATTAAATTCGAATGCACTCGACGGATTACCATTGTTCAAAATTCCTTCAATGTCAGCCAAGGCAGATTCACTGAATAACCCATTCTTGGTAAACCGAAGATTCTCAGCTGCTGCCTCAGCCATACTTTGTCTACGTTGCTTCCATAACGAAGTAGAGCCATTGTCATAATCATCAAAGTCGACCGGTGCTGTTAGAGAGGCTATGATATTCGCGTCAGAATCTGGCATCAAAATATCCGTATGATCTAGGCCATTGACATATCCTAGTGGATCGTGTGTATCATCCAATAGGTTACTGTCATCTTTACCAAGAATCTCATGGATTTCGTCGATACCAACACTTTTCACCGAATTCTTTCTGGAAGGTGTCTCTGTAAATTCGTGATCCGGTAGTTGTAAATTATCTATCAGCTGAAGTTTGTCGTCGCCCATCGATTGTTCTAAAGAAGTGGTAGAATCATGTGGATGACTGTCGAGTATAGATTTCTCCTTTTCAACACGAGCTTTTTCACGTTGAATCTTTAAAATCTTTCTCTTTCTCTTCAGCATTCTTTTCTTTTCTGTCCTCTTTCTTTGGAGTTCTTTCATCTTATCAATTTTCTTTCTAGTTCTTTCACCACCGACATAACCGATAGGAACTTTTCTTCTACTCAAGCTTGGTAGCATATATTCGTCCTCGTCATACATGTCGACTCCTTTATTTCTGAATGCAGATAAGGGAACCTTCGGTTTGTTGTACCAATCAGATGTTATTACTGTTTCATTGTTATTGTAGTTATTATTGTCATCACTTCCTTCGTCCATATCACTCATATTCAATAATTCATTCAATGTAATTTCTTCTTCAGCCGGAGATGCATTTTCATTATTGGGAATAACAGTTCCGTCCTTTAAAGTTCCTACAATATTCTTTTGGGCTTGTTGGTCATGTAATTGCTGGTGATCTTGAATTAAAGTGTATAATGATTTGGTAGAAAGACCGTCTATAATGCTAAATGGCTTATTATCAGTTTCCCAAGTACCAAGTTTAGGTGGACGAAGACCGACAGTATTTGAGCTAACGATCTCCTTAGCATTTGTACCGATATTTTTCTTCCTTTGCTCAGGCGGTGGAATATTGTCATCCTCATCTGTAGATTCGTCATCGACATAAATCACGGTTTCAACAACACTATCTTTGTTTTTACTTTCTGTAGTTTCCGAACTCGAATGTGTGTAGGAAGAATCGTCATCGCTGTAATGGAAGTAGAAAGAATCAGGATCAAGATCATCGATATCTATGAATACGTTAGTCATACTTCCTTCATCATCAAGGTCATCTATATCAATATCCGATTCTAAGTCCAGTATATTCTCGATTTTTTCACTAACTGATGCACCAGGTTTTAACCCACTACTTTTCTGAGATTCATTATCGGATGGCATGTGGGCATTTTCTAGTAAAATATTATCAAAATCAGAATCAGAACTGTTATACTCTGAATGACCAAATAGAGTACTTCTTTTTTCCTTGTTCTGTTGAGACTTCTCTATCAATGATTTATCTTTCGATTCAGCAACCTTCTTATCGATTTCTTCTTCTTCTTCTTCATGATCGCTATGGAAGAATGCGCCAAAGCTGTATTCATCTCCGTCGATATTCAGACTTCTGTTAGTCATAGCATTTTTACGTAATTGTTTTCTTGTTTGGATACGTTCCTGACGTTCTCTTTTCTTAGCTTCTCTCTTTTGCAACCTGTTTTTCTTTTCTTCATTCAATATAAGAGGTAATGATGTACTTAGACTTAATTTTGGTTCTCTACCATCCTCATAGTAATATAAATTGGAGAATTTAGGATCTTCATAAAAGGGCATATCGAAATCAGACATTATTTCATCATCGTCTTCATCGTAGTCGTCCTCATCATCCATATATTTATTCGTTATAAGTTGAGGGCCCAATGAGTCTACTGGATCAGGTCCATCCTCATGTACACTGCCATTAAACGACAGATTATCATCCTCTTGGAGTTCCTTCACTATGTTTTGTTCCTCAGCCTCCAATATAGGTACGTCATCTTCTCCTGTCTCCAAACCTGTATCAATTTCTCCAATAGAATCTTCGTCATTATTAATAGCTGTAAAATATGTGTCCTGATCAATATTATAATCAGATTCTTCTGATTCCGAAAAGACGGGTGCATGTAATGGGTCAACAGTATCCTCTATATTTGATATTATACTGGCGTCATTATTAGTGTCCTTTAAATCTGAAATTTCTTCACCTATATCCTCTTCGCTACCAGTTTTCGGCGATCCCATTTTGTTGAGACTTGTTGACTTATTTTTGTTGGTTTCGTTTAATTGTGGCTTAGAAGACACAGACGAATTCTTATCTTCAATCTTAGCACTCTTCATTTGATCTTTCTTCTCTTTCTCATTTATAACATCTGCTGCCGTTTTGCCTCTTTTTAACTTCGTAAAGGCTTGCATGACTTTCTTCTTCCGTTGAGCTGACAATTTTACGAAATCAATGTTTTCATCGTCTGAACTACTTATTTCACTATCACTATCATCGTCGTCATCGTCGTCATCATCACTAGAATCGTTGTCATCGTCGTCAATTACTCCATAGTCAGATGATTCTGTACTTTCGTCCCCTAGTTCATTATCTGTAGGTTTACTAATTTGGGGTCTACCTTGTATCAGTTTACTTTGTTTACCATATGAGTTATTTGAAGATTTTTTCCCTTTATTCTGATTATTGAAATTCTTGTCATCATCACTAACATCACTTAGTGATGAATCTGAACTGTATATTAAACTAAATCGCCTTGGTCTGGCAGCCATTGTGGGTACGCCTTTCCCGGCTACCTTTGATACCGCCTGATTTATGGGTGATTTATTATCTACCATTCTTTTGTTGACAAAAATTGGAGATCAGAGCGTTGTATTATAATTAAATTCGATCGATATTGTTAATAATCCAAGTTAGGTGTTGTCAGAGTTTGTGTGTATTTGTATATATAAATTAGAACAGAAAAATTATGTTTTAATTATAAGGAGCGATGGATTCAAAATTTACCAGAATGAGCTCTTCGTTATTTTGAAAAATTTTCTTCCTTACAAAATATCTTAGTCTTTAATTAATCTCCTTGTAAGTTGGTATCAGTTTAATAAAGAATGAGGAGTTATATCGAATTTTGTATTGTAGTTGTTATATTAAAAAGAGAACTTGATTATAATAATAACAATATCAATTGCACATTTATTCTAGGGAGAAAGGTCTAATTTTGAAAATTTTACCTGTACTGAAAAATTAGGTAAAAATGGGAAAAGTTCAATAATAAGAAAAAAGATGATGAGAGATGGGATGGTCTGCGCAGATACCTGTTTTGGGACATATATAATTTTGTCTCAATTTGTTTATTATTTAATATGGCGTAGAAAAAAAATTTTCAATAAGCACATAGAAAATAGGAAGGGCTCCGGCGTTCCCGTTGCAACTCTTGTCTTTCTTTCTTTTTTTCCCAGCCTGATTTTTTATGTGGGTTGACAGTTCGCTGCAGCTCGTTATAAATGATTTTCACTGCCATCGCATAATTAAGTACGTAAGACGCTAATTTAAGCTCATACATTCTGTATTCTTACGAGTATTGTTTAAAGAAAGGGAATAGAAAAAAGGGTGAACGGCTTAATGACTTTGGTAAAGGTTTTGAAAGGGATGTTAACCTTCAAGGGAAGGGTCAATTTATTAACATTGATATGAACGAACGTACAATAGTTTAAGCCACAGTTTTTAACAGGGTCATGGTGGTTTCCAAAATTTGATAAAATACTCATATGAAGGTGTGCCGTTGTAATAGCATTCAGGTATGTTATGGAATTGGGTTCAAAGTTTATTTGTTTGAGTTTCGATGGATAACGTTTATTCCCTCTTTAGTCCATTGAGTTATAGTGAAAAGCCAAAAACCACCAAATAAAAGTATCAACTTATGAACATGATTTGAAATATATTAGTGAATTACTTTAAAATATAGCAATAGGTATAGTTCTAACTTTAGGATGAAACTCTTGAAAACATACTTTCATAAAATAAACCAATCTGGGGTTGGCATACTCTTCTGTAAAGTTCTGCAAAATCTTGCAATAAAATACAAGCGCACAGCGAGCATTCTACTTACCGAGAATATAAATATCTCTTGTCAGGGACTGTAGAAATGTTTTAAGTTAATTAAATTCACTGGATCCAAAACAAACATTTGAACTATTCCTTAAAGTGAAGTAAAAAATTAAAATTAAAATGAAGTTAACCGCCAATGGCACCTTTTAATCATTTTGAATTTTCTTTATCTCCCATCACAAAGTCAACGGGCTAAACTCCGCGAACACGCACGGCAGAAAACCCAAATTCAAATATAAAGAAACAAATATATACATTTTATGGTTCAGAACAGATTACACAGTTTCAGGAGAAAGGGGAAAGGGGAAAGACAAAAGCATGATATTCAGCATAATTTAGTTGATCTTTCTTTGCTCTACTATAGAACTAAGCACTACAAGATGTCACTGTTACTGCCAGATCTGCCGTCAGAGATTCTTTGTTACATTATAGGCCTTACAAAGAGGGACCTCTGTGGTGTCTGCAAGTTGTTCATGACCCTGTACAATGATACATACATGCACAAGTGTCTGAACATATTCCCTCTTGGGGATGAGACTTGGAACATATTACAACCGTCATTAAAGGAAGAAATTAGTAAATTGGATATTTACAGAGGACGTATACGGCAATCTCTATATGCGGATTTCCTGGAGAACCAGAAGAACGGATTGGTCCATGATTCTTTAAATACTCCTCCGTTTGGAGGATACATTGCAGATTCGTGGTATTTGGTTTATAGTCTGTTGTGTACTTCTCCCTTTGTTCCAAATATGAATTTATTTGATGATATTCAAGAGGATGAACCTATTATGCATAGTACACGTTTCTGTTTACCAAGAGAGTGTTTGTTAACATCTCCACGGATTCCTCTTAATATTTGGCTATCCATCAAAGATGTATCATACTTATATCCAATCAGAAACATTATTACAAATGTAATGGCTGGCTCAGATATACGACGTAACGAGGAATTTTCTCCGTTAGGTCAACTTTGTGACTGGATCAAAGAGCCAGGAGTGTATTGTATTAGACTTGGAACAATCTCAGCATCTTATATAAATTATCAGAACGATCGAATGGTCGATTTTCTGTCATTGAAAATTGTAGCATCATTGACAGGTGACTATGATTGGAACAATATATCATCTATCAAGCTGTTGGGTTATAATTTTGATTCATATATGACACATTTAAAGAGGCCGTGGATTCTTTTCAAAATAGACTTGACGTATGAATCATTGTTTTTTCCGGATCAAATTCCCAAAGTAAACGCTGTATTAAGTAATCTAGATAAAGACATCGAAAATGGTTCAACAGGCATCACACCGATCGATAAAACTACCAGCCGCGACTCTGCACCTAGAAATCCTCCAAAGATAAGACAAGATTTTAAGATACCTTTGGAGATATTATCAACGTACAAAGATGGTCAACTTGATCCTACTGACATCCCATCAATGCCTGATCCAAGAGTACCTTTTATTATATAGGAATATATTGTATTTTATGGGAGGGAGGGAGTTGCTCGTGGAAGGCGATTTTTATTTTCGGCACGACGCTTCTTTAAAGATCGAAATTCGAAACTTGTTAACGATCATCCACACAGGTAAGGTATCCAAAATATTATTACCCATTGTGCATTACAATATCGGACTAACGACAGTCCCTGTTCATTAAAAGATTGTATTATATAGTAGTATTTATAATAAAGTTATTCATCACACCCTTCATCTTGTAAATTAGACAATCAGTAAGTCAACTTTTCCTGTCGATTATACATTCATAAGTGTATTTTTTTTGCTGTGATAATTTTATTACCTTTGCTCTAATTTTGTTCTAATTTCTATTGCATCATACACAGGTTCCCACAAAAAACTGTTTACATTAAGATCACTAAAATCCTTTGAATAAAATGTCTGACGATAAGAAGCTAATGGTAACCAAAATTGGCAAAACAAAGGCTGACTTGAAAGCGAATCCTTCTTCTTTGCAAAGAACAATGTCCTTTGATGACGCCATTAAGGAAGCTCTACATTCGCCTGTCACAGTTACAAAGACTACTCCTACCCAGAAAACAAATAAAAAGTATAACGCAAGACTATATTGGCCTGATATCATTAATACACCAGAAAATAAATGGACGTTTAGTTGTGTAGAGATTATAGATAAACTTGATAAAAACGAACAAAGAGCCACAGAGGAAAAGAAAAATATGGAAAAATGTTTAATGTATTTTTACACCATGAAAAAAAAATTGAACCTCTTTGACCATACTTATACCGCAGCAAGTATACTATTTTATCGTTTCTGGTACTTTTATGGTTTGCCAACATCAATGATAAATTGTATACATGTTTCGCAGGCAATTCTAGTCACAGCTTGTAAGACTATGGAAAATAATAGGCCGATTGACGCGTATATTAAGGCAACCTGTGAGTATATAAACCAAGTAATATATGGGAATAGAAACGGTGGAAATATTGATAAATTGAAATGGGAAGTCAGGGACAAGCTTGTAAATTATGAACAAAGAATCCTTACCCATTTTGGATTTGATATTAATATCGAAAATCCAAAAGAAATTGTGGAAGATATATTCAGTGGGTTTTATAGATATAATAGAGATTATGATCTACCTACGGATGTTAAAGAAGCATTACCAAAAATTTTAGTGGAAGTTAGAAGTTTCATTATTCAGGCAGTAACCCAACCTGTCTCTTTATTGTGTGATGGTTATTCTTTTTTGGCTCTAGCAATGTTATATTGTGGTATTCAATACAAAAAAGTTGTCAATGATGATTTTAAGTATCCAAAGGATTTCTTTAAAGAAAGATTTCCAGTGAAAGTAACTGCAGAGAAGTTCGAAGCATACTTCACTGATTATAGATTATTAGAACAAAGTTTCTTTGATTTAAAGAGTAATAAAGGTGATAAATTGCAAATTAATAAAGTAGATATCGAGTCGATAATAGAAGAGTCCTCTGATAATGAGGAATCTATTGATGATCCTTATTCCTACAATAAAATAAAATCTGGCCAGGTCCAACAAGACTTATTGGATCATATTGAAGAAAGAGTAAATGAATATATAAATAGAATAACAACAGGAAAGAAGCAGGCGCATTCTGATGACGGCACCTCTTCCCAAACTGCATCAACAACAACGTCACCATTTCGTAATCAAGAACCCAAGGCCAAAAAGATGAAGGTATAATAGGTAGTGGGTATTACCTCACCCTATAACTAGTATTAAATATTGGTATGTAGGATGTAGAGTGGAAAAAAATAAGGTCTATAGGATTTCAAAGTAGTATATAGGAGGAATGCATAAAGTATATCAATCATTCCAAATCGACAGGTAGTGAACAAAAATTAAATGTTTTATCTATATAGTAAAGAGGGGAAAAATTATTTGTTTGGTTTTTTCTAAAAGAAATATAGTGTCATTAATACGTTAAATAGATCTATAAAACAACTTTCTACATAAGCTCAGAAAGATTGGTGGTAGTCATTGAAGGTAATCCACCACCCAAAAAGTCCAGCATCATATGCATCCCACCACCTCCGTTATATTCGTCAACATCTTGTGGTAGAACATGCGATACACCTTCTAAGAACCAAATTCTGTCCTTTACTTCGGTGGTGAAATTGTGTAGCATTTTGTAATAGCTTCTCATAATTCTCATTGCATCTAAATCACCAGTCATTAATAATGCCAAAAATGTTTTATCTAATAAAGCAGGGAATGCAAATACTCTCAAGATAAAATCTAGTTGATTTTTTTCTCTGTGTAGTTGATCCAAATATGCTAATGTTACAAAATATGGAGAATCCACCTCTACTGGGTATAAATCAGATATACTTTCGTCAAAACAAACAAGGTCAGAGATAGCACCATTTTCTTTAGTCACTTCACTACTAAAACCACTTAAGTCTACGGATATAATATTTGAAAACTTGGAGTTTGCTGGCAACGGCCAAACTGCTGTCAGAATAGTCACAGCACCTTTAACATGGAAAATCCAAGCAGAGGTATTTCCTTCCGTTGAGTTCAATGCATTGGCCAGTGAATCCATAATCAAAATCAATGCAGATGCCACTAAGGCATCTGTATTGTCATCTGATATTTCCAATACAGCTTCACGTAATAACTTTAAAGCATTTAAACGATGTTCTGAAACATAATCCTCTAGGCCAGGGGTTGTACGGGATAAATGAGTGGCACTGAATGCAAGAATTGTATGCATCAAGAAAGGATATTCAAATGCTAGTTCCGGAATGTAGGTCTTCCAAACTTCAGGACCAGATATACCGGCATCAGTGATAGTTTTCCATACTGTAGTACAATAGTGATGAAATAATTTCAAATCTACCAGATTTAGGCTTGATGAATTAGACATTTCAACTAATTTTGATGTCTTAGCTCCTATTCCTATACCATAAGAATTATTTGATGACGTTGTCATAGGGCTTTCATTTTGACTATCGTCTGTCTTGTCGAGACCTTTGGGACTTGAAGTCAAGGAGTCTCTTGCAGACGTTTTTTCAATGTTGAGAGCAGTTTCTAAAGAGGTCTTTAATAAGGGGTTCATAGAGTCTAGTGTAGATAATATATTTGCGCTCTTTGCCAATTTTTCTTCTTCTCTTGAATTATTCTGTTGTTTTGTTTGTTGTAGAATTTGTTTCAATTCTATACTCTTATTAACCCTCTGTTGTTGTTGTTGTTGCATACCTGCTAGGGCTTCTTCTGCATTATTGGCTTTTGTAGCTCTAGTTATATTGGAATTGTTGTTGTTATTATTTTGGCCGCCACCTAAACTATATTTGTTTCCTAATAATTCTTGGAAATCAAATGGAAGAGAATTCAGATTGAAACCAGTACTTGCTAGCACACTTGTTGCGTCTATACCTTGATTTGCCAACGTTGGTAGGATATTTTTCAAATTAATATTTAATTTGTTTAATTGAGATAAAGCTTCAACATTGAAAGGCATATTAATATTGGCTAATCCTGCGAGAGAGGATTGTTGCTGCTGTTGCTGTTGCTGTTGCTGCTGTTGTTGTTGTAAAAGCATCTGACTATCATTTTGCATGCTTAATTGATTTACACTTGCAGCCACTGAATTCGAGGATTGGTTTGTATTTGACCTATTTGGGGATAGTAAGAAATTTAAACTATTCGATGCAGCCATCCCAACAGATTGCAGTTTGGGGCTGTATGTACCTTGCATACTTATGAATCTATCAGTGCTATTACCCAGCGTACCAGAATACTGTGGTGTATTTGTAGAATTTGTAGCATTAAACATTGTTGGTGCTTCAGATCCTGTGTTTGCACTAGTGCTACTATTTCCAGAATTACTAGTACTACCCGCAATCAGAGGAGGTAAAAGTAAACCGTTTGTACTATTGGTGTTGTTGTTGTCATTGTTGTTAGCAAGTCCTAATAATGAGGCCGCTAAGTTGTTTGTACTACTACTATTACTGTCATTACCACGTTGTTGTAAACCATTCATTATTTTATCATTTTGTAACTGTTGTTGCATGAATTGCAATTTTTGTAATTGTTGCAATTGTTGTAATGGTTCTTGGTCTTGAATTAATTTTAAATTTTCCAAAATATTTAAAGTACCATTAGAGTTATTCATTTTGGAGGGAGTAGATTTGTTTGTAGTATTTATCGAAGATGATGAAGAAGAGGGTTTTTTAGTTGTATTGCTTGTCGTACTAGTGTTTGTTATACCGTTCGAACTAGATCTTGATGGTTTGGTTACTGACCCATCAGATTTTGTAGTTCTTTTCCTCTTTCTTTGTTTGGGTGGAGAATATACACAATCTAATTTCATATTTTCACATTTCTTACAAGTTGGTTTACCTTCATCACATTTAACTCTACGTCTTTTACAATTATCGCAACCTGTCTTGGATTTATTATGAAACTTTCTCTTACCCATAGAGGTTCTACTGACTTGTTTCCCGTCGATCATAATAAGATCAGGGTTGAGAGAGTCTGACTGTATTTCCGTCTTAACATCGGCATTTAACAGATCCATATTTGTCACAGAATTATAGAAAATTTTATCTTATTTTAGGATACTATGGTTATTGTTTTTTGATAAGTTGGTCCAAGTCCAAAAAAGAAAATGAATGAATAATAAAGTTAGGTGTGCTTTAGAAGAGAGGGAGTCCTTGTCTACTATAACTAATTAAAAATAAATGTTATTTTCCTTATTCTGTTTATATATATATATAGGCACAATTAATTAAAGAAGAAAAATATCTATCAAAAGTGGGCTTTGATAAATAGTTGCCAGTAAGTCAAAATATCCTTAAAAGATAATTTCTTAATTCAGGCTACAAAACTAAAAAAGTGTACTTTCCTTCTGTTTACTTAGTGTCCCATCCTTCTCCTTCCCTCTAATGACTAGAATCGACTTATCTTAGTTTCGAATTCCTAGACGTTTTGTCTAGATGATAGAAAGAAACCTGGGTTTTTTTTATGTGTTTGTTTGTTATTTTTCGTCATCGACAGATTTGCCTCTCTCTGTTTTCTATCGAAGGGTTGGTTATTTGGAGTTGTTTCTTTTTTGGTGATTTTTCATATGTCTAGTTTACTCAGAACATGAAGCAGCAATTCCCGAAAAATTGGTGAAGATGCAGAATTTCTCCTTCTGCGGACAATCACTGAACTTTATTCAAGTTTTTGTATCGTTTAATAAAATATGCAGTATGTCGTTTAAAAATACTTCATTTTTTAATAGACTGTTTGTTGAGCTAAACGAAAGGGACAGAAGTATAAGATGATCTTTACTACATGAATTTGTGTGTGGAATGTACCTATACGAGAAGATATATTAGTGGAGAAATTAAAATACCCTGACTTAGGTAAAACCTTGTTTCGGGGTGTCCACGATGTTTGTCTGTTTTCGTGTACCTGTCCTCGTTTATTATATATCTCCAACAGAAACCCCACTTTTCTTCCGGAGGACTCTATACGAATCGACTTGCATTTTAATGAGTCCTTCTTTCCTTTGGCGGTTAAGTCGACCACGCACTCAACTTTTCCAATCTCTCTCGTACAGGTACCGAAAGTGGAGAGGCTGTCACAATTTGGAACACTCAATATGAACTTGGTAGTTGAACGAAGACAATCAATTTAACTGGGGTTGTTAGGGACTTTCCGGGAACGTTACCGTGGCGATGTGGGGTTCCTACTGTCAAATTATCAAAGAAGGAAATAGAAAGAAAACAATTATAGTAATATGAACATGTTACTCTGTTTAACATAGGATTACGTATACTTCTGAATATATTTGTAGTTTATCCGTTGAAATATTAATTTTGGTGGACACTTCCGCTTAGTTTGACCCACCATCTTCGGTTAAGCCACATACATATTCTTACACAAACAGAAGTGGTGCAGATCTATATGTCTGTATATCAATATTTTGTTAACAATGAAATTATTTGATACATATACGACGTGAGTTATTTCAAGCTAATCAATTATATTGAGGTGTCATTATATCATATTTGTTTGTGATTAGTACTAGTAGTGTGAATGACAATAACCTTTGCTACATTATTATTTTTCTTAGTATTAACATGTCAAGCGTTTAACTATCACGGTGGCTGTGCCATTAATAGATTTTTCCATATTGTTGATATGGAAAAAAAAAAATTTCCTTTTTTTGAGTCTTATCCTTCATTCCAAACAAATAAGGATTGTACATTTCGAATACAGAATTCCAACAACAATATTCATCGATCAATCACTTACTGAACTGTTTGGTCAACAATTTTTTCACCAACTTCTAATAAAATAGATTAGTAGAGTTTCAATAGTAACTGTTTTAAGTTTAAAAAATATTGAAAAATTACGTGGTATGGACCATCATTGCATTGTAGAAGAACTAATGAAAACAATATACTTGTACGGTAGTTTCTTAATTTGTAAGTCACGTGATTTGAAAATTTAAGTGAGAAAAAAGAGAAAGTGCTCGAGGTGGGGATTGAACCCACGACGGTCGCGTTGCTTGCAAAGTCTACATTTAAAGACCCTAGGCATAGAAGGCTCCCTTTTAAGGAGTGTGCTATAAGCACGAAGCTCTGACCACTGAGCTACACGAGCATTTTCGGCCTTTTCAGAAGAACTGTTATTTAAATACCACAGAAAATTTGAAATTCTGATTTTACTAATTTCATTCAATTGTGAACACAGATTGGATAGTTACAGAAATTATAAGGTAATAAGTGTCGAAAATATATTATAAGAGGGATAATGACCAAGGTTATGATCTGATGCTAGGTTCATCCCGCAACAACTTAATAATATATTTCTGACAGTATCTTCTCGATTTCAAACTTACGTTTACATGATAAAGAATGTCTTATTAGAAGCCAGTTTTTATAGCTTTCCTCAGACCTTTATTATAAAACCATGAAAATTCTTTCGGTTGGAATTTCAGAAACAATAGTAGAAGAAGGAAACGGGTCTCAGGAATATACTACTGATTTTAATTTAAATTTCCGTTTACCTGTTTTTAATAATTGTAATGATAAGTTTATAATATTATACATTTGGAATAATCAAAATATTTTATTACTTTCTTATTTCTTCATTATATTGAGAATACAATTATCGTGGAATATCACTCTGGGAATGTTTTCTAACAGTTTCATTTGTTTGCATTTTCGAATTTAGTAATATTAGCGTTAATAGTTATTGATTTTTATTATTATGTAATTGTTGTATTTATTTTATATATTACTTGTTTTTGAAGTGTAAATCGTCCTAGTTCCTTGGTTCTTTGTCATTACTTATTGAATTTTCTATGAATTTGTAGAAACGATCTCCATAATTCTTAGGTGGTATCGCACTAACTACTTCAAGCTTATGATTTATACCTCTCCAAAAAGTTTCCAGTCTTTTAACAATAGAATAATTAGTTAAGCAATCAATTATTCCTATGAAATATATCATTTGAGATCCATCTGATGTGGTATCAATACTGAGCAGGCCACCATCAAAATGAGTGAATAGATTGGTTGGTAATCCAGAAGGATCATTTTTGTTCACAAAATTCTGAACAGCAGGTTTATCTAACCTTCCGAAACTTTGATCAGCAAAATCGGTCATATCATTCTCTGGTCTCTCTATAAAATGGACACCAACTAACAGAGAATAATCCATGGTATTTAGTTTAGATAGAATATCTACATCATTTTTCAATTGTTTCAGCAATAATTTATTGCATGTTCTATCAAAATGTAATTTCTCATCTTGATCTAGCCAATTCAGATCCTTCAAAATTATACGGCTACCATTGGTACTGGTACTTAATAGGTTGGTATTGGCATTATCATGTCTATGTGAATAGTCAGGAATCTTTGTGTATCTACCCCAGAGTGAACCCTTTAAATCAAAAGTGGTATCAATTTGTATATCTGGTGGGAATAGGTTATTCATCACAATAAAATAAACTTTTTTATTTTTGATACCTGTCTGGAAAGTAATTGGTAATTTTACTCTATGAAGACCATAAAATTGGCATATCAAGGTATTAGGATTTCTCTTAACATAATTATAATATCGTTGGAGTGTCTTTCTTAAATGTGTATGTTCAGAATGATGAATAGTTTTGATAATGTATTTATAATCTCTTGAATAATAGAAAAACGAACCACTCTTACCAGGTGAATTCAATTCGTTCAGGATATATTTTGATGTCAAGGATTCAAGATAATCCTTTTCATTAAGACCAAATGTCTTTCTAAGATCTTTGAACACTTTTGGAGCATAATCTTTAAATTTAAATTCATAATGGGTCAGGATTGAGTCCTGCAACGGTTCACTACCTTTTCTATCAAATACGAGTTTATTGTTAAATGAGAAATCTTTATTTGTCAATTGAACGTCAGTCTGCGTGCTCTTCATTCGTGATGAAACAGTGTATCGTATACCGGTTAACATATCGTATACTATATTGAAATTCACATCGCCTTCTCCTATTCTGTGGCCGGCCACATGGGTGACCTCTTGATCATCATCTATAATAGTTGTATAATGTCTTCGCAGCGGACTACTAAATGTAGTTCTCGGTGTATTGGCATTCCCTATATTGAAGGGTCCCTTTGTACTTCCTGGTCTTACGCTTAATCTTGATGATGTACTGGCAAAACTACTATCCATATCTATTGTGGATGCTGAGCTATTTGTAGTAGTAGTGGTTGTAGTAGTATTAGATTCTATCATCGGTGGTAAAGATGATGAAGAATCCAGAAGATGTTTGCTCCCCTTCAATTGATAAATAGGCAACGAACTCATAGTGTATGTTGAAGATCTTCTGTCTCTCTTCGTAGCTTCATCAGGACTTACCAAAGTATGGTCTATAACTGGGAAAATCTGTGAATGATGACTACGTGATTTGAACAGAATATTAGAACGTTGATACTCTCCTGTGTTTCTTTTTACTGCTCGTTGCGTGTCCATTGAATTTCTATGGACGTTGTTGTTATTCTTGCTATTATCATTATTCTTTATTGGTGTAGAAGAGACAGTCTTGGCATGTTTCATTTTAGAATCCTGATTTCTCCTAAGAATTGAGGCTGAGGATACACTCTTTGTTTTCATATTTGGTCTCATTGGATTATTTAAATGTGTCTGTGATCGTACCATTGCATCCACTGCATCATTAGTTTTGGGTCTGATAGAATAATCTCTGTATATCGTCATATTCTTCTGCGGCGTAGACAATGATGATCTACTTGTCTCAGAGTTATTGGACAAATTGCGTAAATCACTCATCGTCATACTCTTTTGACTTCGTATGAGTTTACTACTTGTGGTGTTATTCTTGGATGAGGATGCCAGAGTCTCATTACTGGAATCGATCGGGGTTAAAATATCCCTGTTCAACTCCATCGAATAGGAGGTATCTGATATGCGCATCTAATAGTATGAAATTCGAAGGGGAAAATAGGGCTAATGATGCAGATATGTGTGTGTTGTATAGGGATGCCTTCTCTTTGCTTAAGGTTCCTAATAAAAGACTGATAGAAGGAATGGTTTTCTATCTAATGTATTCCCTTTTTCTAAAGCTGTTAACGAGTGTATAGATGTTGAAAGTAGTCTCGTCGTTGACGTTGTTGATTTACTTAAAGATCGATCTGGCAAAAAAAAAATGGCAGCAATGATATAACCTAAAGACGAACAGGTCGAATCGGATAAAATGGTTCAGACTAATTACCAATAATGTAAAGACTATTAAACTCCAGCTGTACTCTCTGCTTTGCCTTTCTTTTTCCTCTCTCTTGTAACGATCTGTCCACCTGCTGTCACTTAGTTCTTTATTTTAAAATCTGAAATCGAAACGTTTAAAAGAGGCATTGGTGATATCGAAATTGCTATACTCTCGTTCTGTTTCTCTCCCACTGCCTGCCTATCTCTCTGTGGACGGTTTCTTGGCTGCGCGCGGCCAAGGATTATATAATTAGTTGCATGCAGGATTACTTAAACAGAAAGATAGAGAGACATTTATATACAGTTAGTTATTTAGTTATTTAGTTATTTAGTTATTTAGATGGATGGATGGATGATACTTTTGGGTTGTAGTCGGTGGTGTTCATATTCGGTCGAACTAGTATCCTGTAACGTTCTTCATTGCGTTGTTGAGGATCTGGACGCTCTCGTAGACGTCCTGGAAAGTGTTGTAGAGTGGCGCAGGTGCAAGTCTGATTACGTCCGGTTTACGTTCGTCTGCGATAACACCTTGTTGATTGATGATTTCAAAGATAGTTTCCATGGGTCTTTCGAGACCTTTAGAGAGGAACAGTAGGGACAGCTGCGCGCCATGGTCCTTGTCATTCTTGCAAGGAGTGATAACAACAAATCCCAAAATTTTACCTGTTTCGGCAGCCTTCTCTTCGAATATTGGAACATTCTCGTAATAGAATGGCGATTCTTGTAGTAATTCGAATAGAAATTTTGTTAATAGTAACGATCTCTTCATTAGCTGTGTAATCCCACCATATTTTTCAAATATCTCTAGAGATACCCTTAGTGCCACTACGTCAAGAACACTTGGATTAGATTGACGAAATCCTAGAGCACCTGGAATCGGATCAAAAGTATCCTTCATTAGAAACCTTTCTTCCTTTTTATTCCCCCACCATCCAGCTTGTCTCGTTAAGTAGGTATTATTGTTATTATTACCTCCTCTAGTATGGTATCTTTCATGGACAAAGATTCCACCGATACCACCGGGGCCTGCATTCAGATATTTATAAGAACACCAAACTGCAAAATCAACATTCCAGTGGTGTAATTTCAACTCAGAGTTTCCTACAGCATGTGCAAGATCCCAGCCGACTACGATACCTGGGTAACCATGAACAGCCTTCGTGATAGTCTCTATGTCAAATAATTGACCAGTATAATATTGAATACCCGGTAAACATACCAAAGCTAGACACTCGCAATTCTTCTCAATGGTTTCCAATATGTCTTCCGTTCTTAATGTGTATTCACCTTCACGAGGTCTTAACTTAATTAAGCCATCTTCAGGATCTATCCCATGATTTCTGCATTGATTTATGAAAACATAACAATCAGAAGGGAACGCACCTGCTTCAAATAAGATCTTATATCTCATTGGAGTAGGTTTATAAAAAGACACTAACATATTGTTTAAATTCACAGTTAAACTATTCAATACTGCTACTTCCTCAGTGTTGGCACCTACAATAGAGGCCATTAATGGACACAATGGTAGATCGATGTCAACCCAAGGTGTACCATTTTCTTTGGGATGTCTGAAATGAGATTCAACACCACGTTCAGCCCATGCTTGTAATTCATGATTTATAGCTATTTTTGTCTGTTTAGGCATTAATCCCAAGGAATTACCACAAAGATAATTTACCGAAGAAGTCTCAGTTTTCCCTTCAGGGATATTGGGTATTCCCAGAGACTTATATGTTGGAATGTGAAATTCATCTCTAGACTCACATGGGAATTTTTCATCAAGTTTCTCCCATTTTAAAGTAGAATTGGTCGTCATGATCGGATGGAGGGATATCCTGGATCTGTTCTATTACGGGGATTCTTGAAACTTTCGAGAATGGTATGATATATATTTATATTTAAATATATATAATTTTATAAGTGACAGGACAGGACAGGCGAAAAATTGTCTGACATGGCGAACAGAGTCACATTCTGGTGATTTAGACAGTCAGTTCGGTAATTATATAGAAACGATGAAATAAGAAAAGGAAGATTGGTTGATGAGAAGAATGGGCTCTTTTTTAATTATGAACAACAAATAGTTAACAGTTTTATCTGTTGCTCCTATGTTTAATATTTTTTCTTTTTTTAAATCAAACAAGGTACCCTGAAATGAAATAAGTATTAAATCATCGATTATCTACGTGGTTGTTGAAAATATTACTTGCCCATATGATATATCAATTACTCTAATTGGGACTGTATACGACCAATATCATGAGATTCTTAAGGAGCAAAAGCATCAAAATTATACGACCAATAGCAGTCGTTGGTAATGGTAAATTTGGCTTGTTCGACTTGATCTGAGATCAAGTCATTCTACCTGAATAGGAAAATAAATTTATACCAATCATTTATAAATGGCATGGTTTGCCAAAACACAAAATATCATTGTACAATATTTTATGTATTTTTTAATTCGGTTTCTTAAGAAGCCACGAAGAATACATTGTATAGTACAAGTATGAACTTCTAAAATATAATTAAAATTATCAAAATGGAAACTGCTCAAAAAAAATAACAAGCTAATGACGGTAATCGTTCTCAAAACATCTGGTCACAGTTTGAAAGCTGATATTGATTATAATTTTTATTTTTTATTTTTTATTTTTTTATTTACATATTATAATATTTTTAATAGATTTGGTACTCACTCCAAAATAACACTTGAACTACTAAACAATAAACAAATAAACGAAAGTGATAAAAAACAAAATTATGAATATTTCAAAATATACATTTCATTACTTCCTTTCAATGCGCTCTTACATAAACTTACAGTACGCTACAAATCATTCATTAAATCGACTATATCCAGAATCGAGGAAGCTTTGGCGTTAATGTCATAATCAGAGTATTTCAGTGAAGGTATTTCGTCATCATCAATAAGTGATGAGAAATGAGAATCATCAGTGAATGGTATTGGATTACGCCAATCTCCTTCTTTCCCTTCACTGGACAACAATCTGTCCTGTATGAAACATATCCCACTTTGAGAACATTTATCATCTGTTGACTCCTTCTCTGGAGATGACGATATATCAGTAAGTCTTCGTTTCTCCAAAACAGCTTCATTTACTTGTTGTCCCTCTCCTCGTTTCTTCTTTCTGGGACTCAATTCGCCGATTAGAGTAGTTAAACTAAAGATTTTTGTTGTTGGATCAAGTTGTTGACGAATTTCCTTTTGGTATAAATCAATGGATTTATCCAATGTAATAGTCTCTCTTCTCTTTTCGTATTGCTCAAATGATGTTAAGTCAAAATTAAATATTTTATATTCCCGATTCCACACGATTCCAAATTTATTATTAGATAAAAATTTTATAATACTTGAAATAATAGCTGTTAATCTTAATAAATTTTCAGAGTAAACCGATAGTTTTAAGGAGTCTTCTGGACAACCTAATAAGCCATTAACAATATCTTTATGCTCAAAGATAATCTTATCATTAAAATCAGTTAATCGATATTTAATATAGAATAATTCACGTACCAAAATATCTTCTTGAAATAAATAAGGACGCTCCGGACGATGTTCAACGTATAGATTAGTCCCAACTATATGATGATCGTTGAACATATTAACTGAATTTGCTAGAATCTTACAAATACCCCTGTTTCGATGTGCATATTGTAATAAATATTTGTTTGATTTAATCCAACACATAATAAATCGTAAGATGCCTAATGAACCTGTCTCATTATTAAATTTTTCTTTATAATTGTTAATAATTATTACATTAAAAATTCCTGAAACTAAATCAAAAGTCCAATCTAAATATTTTTGTTGATTTTTAGTCAAAATAACTTTATGGAAAGATTTCATTTTCGTTTCATCCTTAGGCATTCGTTCGTGAAGGCAACCTGCAATGACTATAATCATTTTAAAGATTATATCAGTCCCACGAGGACCGCCAGAGAATTTAAAATCTGTAAAAAACATTTTGCTAATTGTATTTATAAGTTTTGTATTAGAATAATTATGATTATAATAATACTTTAAAACCATCAAGAATGCGTCTTCAACTCTCATTTTTCGTATGTCATCTGAGTCAATTATAACATTTCGAATGGAGTTTCCTTGGATAATGTTCTTAAACATTATCATGCTGTGTTTATGTCGTATCTTGGTTCCAAGACTTCTAATCGAATAATACAACGCTTCAAATGCATCTCCTGATTTTAAATACAACAATGACATTTGTGAATATGTCTTCCCATATGACGGTAATAACGAACTTGCCATTGCTAAATAACGTCTCGATTTACTAAATTTCCCAATAGAAAGAATTATCTCTCTAATTTCTAATAGTACTTGCCAATAATGGATCTTACCAAGATAGAATATGCACTGATATATCGTTTCCGTCAGTACTATAGATACTGTCTCCCCAAATTCTAGCGGATTAATGGGAGGATCTATCCTATTAGACACTTTAATGTTAAGTTCTTGAATTATTTGATTTGGAATGATCTTACTTAAGTTAAGTCTACTCAATAATTTCTCGATAATGGTATAATAAAATCTATGCATAATTTTAAATATACGTTTTAACCTGTACAATAACTTCCTGCGTTCAACTGCAACCTTCAAACCACGCCTTTTTTCCTTGGGTAAAGATAGTTTCCAAGTTTGGAACCAAACAAATAAAGGTTTTTGAATTTTAAACCACACATCGTCAAATACAGACGACATTTGGTCTTTGAATTGAATGTCATCATTTAGATTAGAGTCACCAACATTCTCAAAATACATGGAGCTTTCTGCTAATAATAATTTATAAATATCAGCATGAATATCTTGAATGGTTTTAATCGAATCATTATAAGTATTTCGCATTAAGAAATTTCCAAAAGTTAATCTGGTAACCACATCATGCCCCCTGTCGATTGTGCTTTTAAGTTCTGAAATATTAGGTTCACTTACCATTCAGAATCCTAAGAAATCTTCTCATTTGCATAGTCTTCATACCCAAGTGGTTCAGATTAGTTACTTATGTTGTTTTATAGTTAGTTTTGTTATTATGGTTCTGTAGAACCAGTATTCATTATTTATCTTAACAAAAGTATGTTACCCGGAATAATTCAGAAAGTAAACTTAAAAAAACGACCTCGGTGAGGATTGAACTCACGATCTTGCGATTAACAGTCGCACGCCTTAACCAGCTTGGCCACGAAGTCTCTAATTCTGGTTTAATCGGAAAAAAAAGTAATATATATGATAATGTAGACATTCGGATAACTTAGTTAATTCTTAACAAAATGGTCTGTTCTTGTAAACATTGATAGGAAAATTGAATATTAGACATCTTCTGTTAAAACAGAGTTGCTGTTGGTAAACTGCTCATCTTTTGTGCGTAGTAACTGAGCTGGAGCAGACATACTGTGGTTAGACTTATATTCGTTCATATTATATAGTGGCAGGTAGAGAGATATAGGTATTAGCTCTCTACCTGTGTTAAGAAAGCAAAGTGTATATGTTATACTTTTCTTTTATTTGTAAGTGATTTTTTATATTATATATAATTTATAGAACGAACAGAATCTAACTTAGAATGTAAGTTCAGAATTCTTTGTCTTTATATATGATAGAAATTATGTGGAATTGAGATATCTCAAATGTATTACGAAGCATGTTAAAAAATGAAACAAAATATGTGGCATTATGAAACAAAGTTAATCGTATTATGAAACAAAACATAATTCGAACCTCAATTGATATTGGAATAAAAATATATATAAAGACAAAGAATTCTGAACTTACATTCTGAGTTAGATTCTATTCGTTCTATAAATTATATACAATACAAATAATCACTTACAAATATAAGAGAAAGATAACAAGTATATTTTGCTTACCTAACATTAAAACTCAAGCTACACCATTCACCTCTATACCTAACACCTTTAATAATGAACGAATATAAGTCTAACCACAGTATGTCTGCTTCAGCTCATATTTATTTTCTTGAAACTCTATTTCTCTTATTCCTTAATCATTATATGTTGAAGTATTATTACCTAATATTTATTTCATAATATCTTTATTTAATGTTTAGTTCTTATTAGGACATTTTAGATATCTTGATCTCACATAATTTCTGTCATAATGAAATCTAATTAGATACTATCCAAATTAGGTTACAAAATACTTCTTTTTCCTACCAGATATGATATTAATTCGAAGTCATCATACCTTTCATTTGAGTTTCGTTATATCTAAGTTGATTTATTTTTTTATAATAATATGAGGCTAGCTTCAAAACTGAAGGTAAGATCCATCCTTTAAAGTATACTCAAAAACTTTATCTAATAAATTGTACAATCAAAAATTAGTGCTTTACTGTGTTCACACTCCATCTATTCTCATCGTGGAGACCCTTTATATAACTATTGGCGGCAGCGATGAGCTCACTACACTTTTCGCGTCGAATCATCAACTGAAAAGCAAACCAGTATTTGAGCTCATTGGTGTTAAAACTAAACAAGTTCTACATGTAAGGGAAAGAATTACACACTATCTGCATACTCTGGACCACCCCACTGTGAATTTACAAGTTAATTGACTAGATGTATTTAGACCTCACAGCAATTCCTCTTTAATATTTATGAAAGTCCTGTGTGTTGCCGAGAAGAACTCTATCGCGAAAGCAGTCTCGAACATCCTAAGTGGTGGTCAGTTAACAACTAAAAATACCAACTTCCCGTATGTTAAAAACTACGAATTTACATATAGTGGGTTTAATTTTACAGGATCAAATGCCAGCTGCGAAGTTGTTATGACCAGTGTAGCTGGTCATCTAACTGGTGTTGATTTTGACAACCAACAGTACGGGTGGGGAAAGTGTAATCCTTCAGAACTCTTCGATGCTAACTTGAGCAACACTAAGAACAAAGACCAACAGAAAATTGCTGAGAATATAAGAAAATCTGCCAGAAATGTTGATTACCTAATGATTTGGACCGATTGTGATCGTGAAGGTGAGTATATTGGATGGGAAATCTACGAAGAGGCCAAGAAATTAAATAATCGTTTGAATGATAATACATTATACAGAGCCATCTTTTCGCATCTAGAAAGAAACCATATTCTGGGGGCTGCTCGGAATCCTCAAAGACTTGACAAGCGTGCTGTTGATGCAGTTGGAACAAGAATTGAATTGGATTTGCGAACAGGTGTCTCCTTTACTAGACTCTTAACTGATACAATGGCCAGAAAAGTGCAGGCATCACAACAACAATCTATGCCTCCACCAAATAACAGTAATTCAAATAAAAAAGAAAATGTGGTAGTTTCATATGGTCCTTGTCAATTTCCTACGCTAGGGTTTGTAGTGGATAGATTTGAAAGAATACGAAATTTCAAGAAGGAGGAGTTTTGGACCATTCAGTTAGTAGTCTCAGAACAAGATCAGGGTGTACAATCCAATAATATTACAAATTTTCAATGGGATAGAGGTCATTTATTTGATAGGCTAGCTGTGCTTACATTTTATGAATTGTGCCTAGAATTAGCAGGAAACAAGGCCAGAGTTGTTGACATAAAGTCTAAACAAGTTAATAAATGGAGACCCTTGCCTCTCACAACAGTTGAGTTACAAAAAAACTGTTCGAGGTATTTAAAAATGAATGCCAGAGATTCACTAGCTGCTGCAGAAAAATTATACCAAAAGGGATTCATATCTTATCCTAGAACTGAAACAGATACATTTCCACCTTCTATGGATTTAAAGTCATTAGTTGAAAAGCAAGGCCAGGAAAACAGCTCAGCTTGGTTTGCATATGCAAAAAACTTACTTGATACCAACAACAATAACCACAACAAATTCAAATTTCCACGTAGTGGTTCACATGATGATAAAGCACATCCTCCAATTCATCCAATTATTGGACTAGGTAGAGACGCATCGATCACTGTAAATGAACGAAGAGTGTATGAGTATGTCGTGCGCCATTTTTTAGCCAGTTGCTCTGAGGATGGGAAAGGTCAGATGACATCAATTAGCTTAAACTGGAACGATGAGATATTTAACGCCAATGGGCTAGTAGTTCTCGAACGAAATTGGCTCGATGTATATCCATGGATGAAATGGGAAAACTCTAAGACAATGCCTCGACTAGAGATGAATCAAGAAGTTATTATTAGTAAAGCAGAGATGAAAAACGGGTATACATCACCTCCAAAACCCATGACCGAAAGTGAACTTATTATGCTGATGGATGCAAATGGTATAGGCACCGATGCGACCATTGCTGAACATATTGAAAAAATTAAGGCAAGGAAGTACATCACAAGTGATAAAGTGGGGAAGGATTCGTACTTGAACCCCACTATCCTTGGTGTGGCTCTGGTACATGGATTTGAAACAATTGGTCTAGAAGATTCATTTGCCAAACCGTTCCAAAGGAGGGAAATGGAAGACGATTTGAAAAAGATATGCGGAGGGACATTAACTAGAAGAGATGTTGTAACTGATATTATTAATAAATACAAAGGTTATTACAATCGTACGAATCAGAACAAGAATAGACTCTTACAGGTATATGACCAAGTCAAAAGATCGCTCTCGTGACTCTATAACATATCCATATACATACATGTGTAATTGCATATACACCATCATATCAAGAAATTTTTTACATATTCTAGGTGTGACGATGTTCATGAATAGTTTTGTAAACTAATAGCCGGCTTCTACTTTTAAGGGCTCTTTTAAAAAATAAATATGAGAAATATTCTATAAAGCTGATATTCCTACCCCACGAGGAGACTCGAATAACACTAAGAATAAACAACAAACTTTTTTTTTAAATTGATTTTAAGACATACTCATCTATTACTGCACTAGAAGGGTGAACTGTGGTTGTTAACTTCTTGCGTTTATAGAAATTATCGTTACTATTCATGTCAACTGAATTATACAACTACGATATAGCACAGGAAAGTTACAAAGACAATATTGAAAAGGACCATATTAATGAATTGCGATGGCTTATCAAGGATATAATTAAACCAGATTTACCATATATAATTGACGAAGTGGAATATTGTTTAACTGTACTAAATAGTAATGAAATATCACGAATGCCGATTACTACTGGTGGCTTGGCGAGCGATCCAAATGCACCTCAAATACAAGGCATAATAACTCGACAAGGACCTTATATACTAGATATACAGTTTACAATTAAGTTTACACATTATAAAAAAGGTCAATTGATTTCATTCCAAGGAAATCCAGATATGAGTGCCGCAACACCTATGGAAAAATATGGGATATTACAATTACAAGTAGCCAACAAGAAATTATCAGAAATGCTAAAAACTTTAGAGGATTTAGAAATGATAAATGATGATGAAAAGTTTGTTCAGCTTTTTGGAATGATTTTAAGCTCTTTAACCCAATTAATTAATATCTTACAGAATCCCCCGAACGAATTAAATTTCCCTTTTGATAATAATAACATTTTGAAACATTTCTATCACAAAAGTTATAGTGAGCTCTGCGAATCCATACATCACTTATTAAGTTTAGAAGTTGTACTTAGTGGGAATAAATTCATTCTTGATTTCAGAAATTTGGATAAAGTGGTGAAGAAACCATGGTGCGAAATAGATCCCAATACTGGTAAGTCTCTGGTTGACAAAATTAAAGAACAGCAGAGGAGAGAACGAAGAAAGAAACTGCAAGATATATTAATAGAAAACGATATCGCGGTAGAAGAAGCTAGTTTATTGAACAATATAATGCAATCCACGTTCAATAAAGAATCTACCACTTTGCAAAAGGCCCAATTTTTCACTAGCAGGTGTGTTACTTTCGATGGTAAAGTGATAATGGAATTAGAAAAAACATCTACGTCATGTAGTGACCAACCATTAATAAATTTAACGAATAAACTTAACGAATTAGAAGAAAAACTAAGTAATCACTTTAATAATCTATCTATATAGAGGTTGGGCTCGGAGATCACTTTTTATTACTCATATTATTTACATCATCTACAATGGTATTTCAAAACATAATACATCTATTTACAATTGGTTCATTTCAGAGCCATCCGTTTGCATTCTCTCGACTGTATCAATTCCGAGTAGTTTTGCAAATTCTCTCACAAACGCAATCGATATATCTTGAACGTTCACGTTTGTATCAGGCATTTCCTTTACGATACTCGTAGCTTTACCATCTGGGGTTCCACACATCTCAAAACTGTTCAAATATGAAAGGTCCGGGTAAACATTAAGACATACTCCATGTGATGTTATGGAGCGCCTCACATGAACTCCAATACTGGCTATCTTGTTATCATTCAAAGCCCATACACCAGTTTTATCACCAACCCTCTTAGTGTCAATATTTAGCGGTAATCTTTCAATTCCTATTGGAGCTGCCTTCAACGTGTTCTTCGCAGCCTTTTCAATGGCAGATATTAAACATCTTGCAGGAAAATTCTTAAATGCTTTCAAATCCAATACAATATACGCAACCATTTGACCTGGTCCATGGAATGTTACTTCTCCTCCTCTTTCTACTTGTACAAATTTTGGTGAAGGGTTTGCGATTTCCTTTGTGGGTTTAAAATTCTCTAATTTTGATATCTGTTCTGGTGTAATTATCTTTTTAATTCTTTTCCCTCCAGTATAAGTAGGTTCGTATTCAAACGTCAAAACCATAGGGTTAGGTTTCATTGCCAGTATCTTATCCAATATTTGCTTTTCATTAGAGTTTATAGTTGCATTCCCTTGATACTCCTCATCCAATTCGATTAGTTTCTGTTCAATTTTAGATTGTACTTTTTTCATATCCAAATTAGCTCTAACAAACTGTTCCTGAATCGCCAAACCTTGCTCAAATGGTATCCTCTTTGTAAACTGTAAATGACGCAATACTCTGGCAGATGGATCCACTGGTTTTGTTATGCTCGGTTGTTTTAGACGATCGCAATTGTCATCTTTGGCACTATTTGAGTACCTAGTCCTGCCTAATATCCTTCTATTGATGCTTATGAAGCTTCTATTAGTGAATGGAGCGGTCCTTAACATCCCCAAAGTCTAGGTAATATATCTTGAATGTTCAATTTATTTCGTAGCTTAACGTATGCTAGCTTTTGATCTAAATATTACCTTTCTCTGCCTGTGCTGCTGATTATATCCTGACATGATGAAAGAAGCGCTTCTCTAAATTAAATTATAGTCGCTAAATAATTTAAAAGAGTTTAATAGGGTCGACTTGTAAAATATTTAGAAGGAAGACATCAAAGAACGACACACAAAAACTCTGAATTACAAATTTATATGGTCACTAAGTCCATAGATTATAGACTGTTCCAATTGAATTCCACTGCAACCTCTCTATTTGTTGCTTAGATGTCCTCCACAAGTGTTGCGTTTTGTATATCGCAAGATTTAGATATTCCACTAAGGATTAAAATAATATCTCTAGATGGCCACCGAAAATTAGTGAGGGTTTCAGAACGTTTACTTGACCCTAAACTATCTTTATTGGAGTCCAATGTAGGTAGTATGAGCAACCTGATTGTATCGGTGGAGGTTTTCGATAGCGAGCGTGGCAGGAATATGACCATACCAGTGTTTACCCCATATATACCTTTCAAAACTTCAAGACTGTGGGAACACTGGTTAACGCTCCCAATTACTATAAAAGATTTGAATTTAAATAGTACTCTAAGAATCGTATTGTGGGAATATAATGGAGTGAAACGTATACCTTTTTGCAATTTAGAGACCAACATATTCCAAAAGAGCGACTGCTCACTGAAAAGAGGATTTGAATCGTTGAAGTTTGAATATAAGAAGAATGATAAGCAATATTTTAATGAGGTTACAATAGAAGAAAGTGAGATACAGAAAAATTTAAATAAATTTTATCAAGGTGAGGTTAAAAAAATTCATTGGTTGGATCAGATAAGCCTGAAGAAACTAAAATTGGAAGAAAAATATGTATCATTCCCACAAGATACGTTTCTATTGAATATTGAATATCCATTTTTTGAATTACCAATTGTGTTTACAGAAAAAATTGCTAGAGATACCCAACGGAATATTCCTACTTTACACAATTTTGAGACCACTAATGATCCCTTAAACAACCAAAATATAATAACCGACACAAAGATAAGTTTAGGGTCACCAAGTAATTCTACTCTGAAATTTTATGACCCTGATCAGTATAATTCAGATCCTATTGAAGAAAAATATAGGCGACTGGAAAGAGCATCCAAGAACTCTGATTTAGATAAGCACTTGAAACCAGATACAAACAAAAGGAAACAACTGAACCAAATAATTCAATATCCACCTGGTACTAAACTTACTGGCCACGAAAAGGGGTCTGTATGGAGATACAGATATTATTTAATTAATAATAAGAAAGCTCTAACAAAACTTCTACAGAGTACAAATTTCAATGAAGAAAACGAACGAACAGAGGTCCTAGAGTTGATGAATTCATGGGCAGAAATTGATATTGATGATGCAATCGAATTACTTAGTCCCTCGTTTACTGATCTATGGGTTCGTTCATATGCTGTAAATAGATTGAAAAAAGCATCTGACAAGGAGTTAGAACTATATTTATTACAATTGGTTCAGGCCGTGTGTTTTGAGAACAAATCAACACCATTCAACAATTCAGACTATAGCGAGTATCAGATCATCAATAACTCCGTAGTTGCAAGCTCTCGTTTAACACAGAAACACCAAAAACTTTTAACATCTATCAATGGAATGGATGACGATATATCCGAGATAGATGAGGGAATCATTGTCATATCCCCACTTTCAGAATTTCTCATAAGAAGAGCATTGAAAAATATTAGATTAGGAACATTCTTTTATTGGTATATATTTACCGAATGTAAGGACAAACCTTATTTGAAACAGATTTTAGAATCATTTCATAGTAGATTATCTGATAATAGTCTTCAGATTTTGAAGAACCAAATAGAATTAATCAAATTACTGGGGAAATGCTGTACTGATATTAAAAAATTAAAGGAAACAACTGAGAAAAAATCAGAGTTTTTAAATCAGTTGCTAACGACCAAATTCAGACATTGGTTGAAAAAAAGAGGCCCCATAGTATTACCGCTCGATCCTTCTGTACAGATCATTGAAGTAGTTCCTGAATTATCAAAAGTGTTCAAAAGTTCTTTATCGCCATTAATGATTACATTCAAGACAACTGATAACGATGATTATTCGTTGATGTACAAAGTTGGTGATGATTTAAGACAAGACCAACTTGTCATACAAATCATCAGATTAATGGATGAGTTGCTGAAGAATGAGAACGTTGATCTGAAGCTATCTCCTTATAAGATTCTAGCTACGGGACCTGATGAAGGTTCTATCCAATTTATACCAAATGAGACTATGACAAACATTTTAAGTAAATACCATGGTATTCTCGGATTCTTAAGGAGACATCATCCATCTGAAACTGATAATCGCGGAGTTGAGGCATCGGTTGTGGACACATTTGTCAAGTCATGCGCTGGTTATTGTGTTATTACATATGTACTAGGTGTAGGTGATCGTCATCTGGATAACCTGTTAGTAACACCGGATGGGCATTTTTTCCACGCAGATTTTGGTTATATTTTAGGGCAGGACCCTAAACCATTCCCACCACTTATGAAATTACCACCACAGATAATAGAGGCATTTGGAGGAGCGGAGTCCCCAAATTATGATAAGTTTAGAAACTATTGTTTTGTCGCATATTCTATTCTTCGTAGGAATGCAGGATTAATCTTAAACCTATTTGAATTAATGAAGACTTCAAGTATTCCAGATATCAGAATTGATCCTGATGGTGCAATTCTGAAGGTCAAGGAAAGGTTTAACCTAGATATGTCGGAAGAGGAAGCTACATTACATTTCCAAAACTTAATTAATGATAGTGTTAATGCCCTAATGCCAATTGTAATCGATCATCTCCACAATTTTGCGCAATACTGGAGAACATAAAAAGCATTTATACTGACGTTTATAGAGACTATGTACAAATATTTTAAAGATGTCTACTTCACAACCCCTTCTTTCTTCGGTTCAATTCGAATATTTGTCATATAAAGTATATCCTCTTTTATAGAAGAGATCGATAAAAATAGTCGGCTTTACTGCAAAACGAAATTTGACAGTATTCCTATATTTACGCTTTAAAAGACACACCAGAACATAAGAATTGAGATAGTCACCAATCACTGGACAGTCGATACATATAGATCTATAATAAGAATAATAGCCATCTGATTAATTAGTTCTCGAAGTACATCTTACTCTCCTTCTCAGAATAATGACATTTCCTGACATCGTTTCGCTGATATCCGCTATGGATATTGACATTACTTCAGATAAGGACGATCACGACTTTAGAAAACCAACGACCATGGTTGTGACAACACAGCTAGGGATTGCTTCGGTTCTAGGCATTTTTGCATTATTTTCATTCTCTCTATTGCTTAAAAAATTACCACGATTGTATGCTAGCAGGAAGTATAAGGATCAAGGAATATTACAACTCCCTACGTGGAACGAAAATAGTTTATTTGGTTGGATTCCTGTACTGTATAGAATAAATGATAAACAAGTCCTGGAATATGCTGGGTTGGATGCCTATGTGTTTTTAAGTTTTTTCAAAATGTGCATCAAATTATTAGCAACTTTCTGCTTCTTTTCCGTTTGTATTATATCCCCTATTAGATACCATTTTACTGGTTATTATGATGACAATTCTAACAAACCTGAAGGCTCATCGGTTGTCACACATATATACAAGAGATTGATAGATCCAACATCTGATGAAATATTGGCTCCTGAGACTACCAGCATGTATTTATGGATGTATGTCCTGTTTACATATTTCTTTACATTTCTAGCAATAAAAACGTTAACTTCACAGACAAAAGATGTAGTCAATACAAGACAAACATACTTAGGTAAGATGAATACTATAACAGATAGAACTATAAGATTATCAGGGATTCCCATTGAGCTTCGAAATATGGATGCATTAAAGCGAAGAATCGAGGAGTTGAAGATCGGTCAAGTGGCATCAATCACCATATGTAGGGAATGGGGTACACTGAACAAACTTTATCATTACAGAAATAAAATTTTGAAGAAACTTGAATTGGCATACGCTGACTGTCCGCCTCATCTTAGAGATCATACATCATCTCCTGAATCGTTTACTATGAACCAAAGTTCTTCCCAAGAAGAATATAATAACAACAATTTACAACCAGAAATTCAACAGAGAGAACCTACGACTTCTACTATAGACCCGAATGTTCCGTCTACTAATAATGTTACCGAGGACAATGAACTTTATTCAGAAATACACTTAAAGGAAAGACCTACAATGAAAATAGGACTGTGGGGGATACTAGGTAGTGAAGTAGACTCCATTGATTATTTGTCAGACCAATTAAAGTTTATTGACAAAGAGATCGTCAGGGCTCGTAAATCACATTATTCTGCAACACCTACCGCCTTTGTGACGATGGATTCCGTTGCCAATGCACAAATGGCAGCACAGGCGGTCCTAGATCCTCGGGTCCATTACTTTATCACACGATTAGCTCCAGCTCCACATGATATAAAATGGGATCATGTCTGCTTATCTAGATCCGACCGTCTAATAAAGATTTATACGGTTACTGTATTTATTGGAATTTCGAGTGTCTTCCTTATTATTCCAGTGTCATATCTAGCTACATTGCTGAATTTAAAGACAATTTCTAAATTTTGGCCAAGCTTGGGTAATCTTTTAAAAGAAAATAGATGGGCGGAAAATATGGTAACTGGACTGTTACCAACGTATCTGTTTACATTATTAAATGTAGGAATTCCATATTTCTATGAATTTTTAACTTCATATCAAGGTCTCGTATCATACAGCGAAGAAGAGATATCGTTAGTATCCAAGAACTTTTTCTATATATTCGTTAATTTGTTCTTAGTGTTTACACTTGCGGGGGCAGCCTCTAACTATTGGGGTTACTTGTCGGATACCACAAAGATAGCGTATCAATTAGCAACTTCTGTGAAAGAGTTTTCATTATTCTATGTCGACTTAATTATCTTACAAGGGATTGGTATGTTTCCATTTAAACTCCTACTAGCAGGTAGTTTAATTGGATTCCCATTGATTAAGATTCAGGCCAAAACTCCACGTCAGAGAAAAGAACTTTACAATCCACCAATTTTCAATTTTGGTTTACAATTACCGCAACCTATTTTGATTTTAATCATTACTTTAATCTACTCTGTCATGAGTACTAAGATTTTGGCTTCCGGGTTAGCCTATTTTATCATTGGCTTCTATGTTTATAAATATCAATTAATTTACGCCACAGATCATCTTCCACACTCGACTGGGAAAGTGTGGCCTCTAATCTACAGAAGAATTATGGTCGGATTATTATTGTTTCAATTAACTATGGCCGGTACCCTTGCTGGTTTCGAAGGTGGCTGGGTCTTATCATCTTGGCTATTTCCTTTACCCTTCATTACTTTCAGTTTCTGGTGGGATTTTGAGAAAAACTATTTACCTCTATCACAATACATTGCCTTGAGTTCAATCCGTGAACATGAACGTGATAACTCCATGATAAGTGCACCATTTGAAACAGAGACATATCACTATCCTTATTTGATCGAAGAACTTGAAGGTCCCATGTTGAGCTAATAATAATAATAATAATAATAATAATAATAATAATAATAATAATAATGACAGCAATGTACAAAATACACATGATGGTAATATTAAAATTAGTAAATAAATAGAATATTCGTAATAATAGATAAAAGCAAGTAAAATTAAATACTATAAGAACATTATTTGCCTCATCCATAAAGTACTCATAATATAATTGATAGTTAAAGGCAAATTCCCCCCAGTCAAGAATAGGATCATAATAAGTCTAACAATAACAATCCTAATAAGCGTCACAGTCAAGAATATTCGTATAATCTTTCCGTATGACAAATTCGTGACTATCTTTAGTGATTCGATGATATAAAGGTTGGCTACACCCTTAATAATATCCATCGATATTATAGTGTCATAGGGCCAAATCAGCATCAACACAGGAAATATCTTAGCACCATAAGATAACAAAATTGTGTAGGACACGACTTGTTTGGCATATTTGATATCATGTCCCCAATTATAGAATACTATTACTGCATACTGTATCAGATTATGAAATAACAAAATATCCAACAGAGAATATAATGTGAAATATATGTATTGGAATTGCGCACTTCTCAAATGAATCAGGTCTAAGGGGATATTTGATTTCGCAGCTGATTTCCACAATTGCGAATAACGAGATTCCTCTGTGGCACACTTTAGATATATTTCAAAAGTAATTAAAAGAATCCATAATCTATTGAGTAAATCAAACTTATTCCACCAACAGCTCAAGTTATTCATCATGGTTCCATTTATCTCACTATCCATATCAATGTATTTATCTAGATTGCTCTCCAGTGAATTAAATACTAAATGTCGATAAGCACCAGGTTTCAACAGTAACAAGTCGATGAACAGGATCACATTGTCTCTCTCAACATATTTGTCTACTGGCTTGTGGCAACGCTTACATTGCGTTAGCTGTATATGTCTGTTCGAATATGTCACGTATAGCGACTCAGTTTGTTCCAGGCAACTCACACATAACATTTCCAACAATCACTACTGAACATAAAAACACCTCTTGTACCTTTCTTCTCTTTCTTAATAATGCCTTACTTTTCATCTTTGAATTGTTTATAAATTTTGTTTATTTAAGCTGAAAATTTTTTCCAGTTTACGTAATCGCGATGAGGTTAATTTGATGAATATAAAAGCAGAAGAGGGAAAACTATTCAAATATTAGAAGAAGTGTTAGAATAAATAGTTCCAGACCAGAGAGTATAAGACATATTGATCATTGGTCTATTAAGAAAAAGATAACCTTATATAATGTCTAGAGTTGGTGTGATGGTCTTGGGGCCTGCGGGCGCTGGGAAGTCTACATTCTGTAACAGCATTATTACACACATGCAAAATGTAGGGCGTCGAGCCCATATTGTGAACTTGGATCCTGCTGCCGAACCAAACAAATATGAGTTTACTGTAGATATTAGAGACCTGATCTCTCTAGAGGATGTCATGGAGGAGATGGATCTGGGGCCCAATGGTGCTCTGATTTACTGTTTCGAATACCTTTTGCAAAACCTGGACTGGCTTGATGAGGAGTTGGGGGACTATAACGACGAATATCTGATCTTTGATTGCCCAGGCCAAATAGAATTATACACACATGTGCCAGTGTTGCCAAATATCATACGTCATTTACAAGGTCAACTGAATTTCAGTCTTTGTGCAACATATCTATTAGAGGCACCTTTTGTCATTGATAGTTCCAAGTTCTTCAGTGGTGCATTATCGGCAATGAGTGCTATGATTCTTTTGGAACTACCCCACATCAATATCCTAAGTAAGATCGACATGGTAAAGGATGAATACAGTCGTAAACGTTTAAAGCGATTCTTAAACCCGGATAGTTCATTACTTATACAAACGGCTGATGCAGACACAAATCCAAGATTCCACAAATTAAACCAAGCAATTGCAGGTCTTGTCGATGACTTTGGTATGGTCCAATTTCTACCATTAGAAGCCAAAAATGATGACTCTGTCAGCACAATCATTTCTTACATTGATGATGTAACGCAATGGGCTGAGGGCCAGGAGCCTAAGGAACCAAACGATGAAGTCGAAATTGAGGAAATGTAATGCAAACAAAGGTTATTTTAGAGTATTCAAAGAGATAAGACAAACACACACACATACATACATACATATATAATAATAAATGGATGCTTTGTTCTAATAGGGCTGGTTTTGCTTAAAGGGTAAAATTTCAGTCTCGTTAAAAGTGATACTTTCCACCATTGAATTTTTTTTTCTCTTGAAGCTGAAATTTCTTCAGTCAAAACATAAAAAAGGAAGAAGAGCAATCAATCTAAGCAAACTTAAATGAGAAGGGATGTTTTTAGAATGTTTTATTACTGCAGAGAGACATAATTAGTCAGAGTATTCGAGGAATTGAGGAAGTAACTATGGCTGTAATTACTGAGGTTAAGGATCAAAATAACGGCACTGAAACGAGTGGAGCTCACCGAACCGCTGCACATACACATATCAAGGGTCTAGGGTTAGATGACACAGGGGTCGCTAGAGCGGTAGAAGGTGGATTTGTAGGCCAAGTTGAGGCCCGTGAAGCTTGTGGTGTGATTGTAGACCTTATTAAAGCACAGAAAATGTCTGGGAAAGCCATTCTGTTGGCTGGTGGTCCATCCACTGGTAAGACTGCGCTAGCTTTGGCAATCTCTCAGGAATTGGGACCAAAAGTTCCCTTCTGTCCTGTCGTTGGTAGTGAACTTTACTCTGTAGAGGTTAAAAAAACTGAGGCTTTGATGGAAAACTTTAGGCGGGCTATTGGTCTTAGAATTAAAGAGACCAAAGAAGTATATGAAGGTGAAGTAACTGAATTAACACCCGAAGATGCTGAAAATCCACTTGGTGGGTATGGTAAAACCATTTCTCACGTTGTTGTTGGATTGAAATCCGCAAAGGGTACCAAGACTTTGAGACTAGACCCTACAATCTACGAGAGTATTCAAAGAGAGAAAGTTAACGTTGGGGATGTCATATACATAGAATCCAATACCGGTGCAGTGAAACGTGTCGGTAGATCTGATGCTTACGCCACAGAGTTTGATTTAGAGACTGAAGAATATGTACCTTTACCAAAGGGTGAAGTTCACAAGAAAAAAGAAATTGTCCAGGATGTCACATTATATGATTTAGATATTGCTAATGCAAGACCTCAAGGTGGTCAAGATGTAGTATCTATGATGGGTCAACTATTGAAACCGAAGAAGACCGAAATTACCGAAAAATTAAGATTAGAGGTTAACAAAGTAGTAGCTAAATATATTGATCAAGGTGTGGCTGAATTAGTCCCAGGTGTATTATTCATAGATGAAGTCAATATGTTAGACATTGAAATATTCACATACTTAAACAGAGCTCTAGAGTCAAACATTGCTCCAATCGTTGTATTGGCATCCAATAGGGGGATGACCACCGTAAGAGGTACCGACGATGTTGTGTCGCCACATGGTGTTCCACCAGATTTGATTGATCGTTTATTGATCGTACGTACATTGCCATACAACAAACAAGAGATTAGATCTATTACAGAGAGAAGGGCTAAAGTCGAAAATCTGCAATTAACTTCCGAAAGTTTCGATTTGTTAGCAGACTTGGCTATGTCTACTTCCTTACGTTATGTACTGCAATTATTATCTCCTTCAGGTATACTGGCACAGACTGCTGGTAGAACAGATATTTTACCAAGTGATATCGAGGAAGCCAAATCGCTGTTTTTAGATGCAAAAACCTCTACAAATATTCTTCAAACTGCAGGTAATTACTTGTAATCACTTTATTCTAACGTAAACATTTTGTAATCATGTAATCGACCTCATTAAATATATGTAGTAAGATCATAAGAAAAGCCCACTTTCCATTTATATCTGCCCAAAATTGTCATTTAAAGATGTCTATTTTTTTAATTATATCGCTATAAATTATATATGAAGACTTAATTTCAAATCAATTCTCAGTAGCGAGTGTAGTAATTTCTTCGAGGAACTCGTTTGGTGTAATTAAGTTTGTACCACCATACATGACTTTCTTCCAATTATGCAACTGCGAATGTGCCCATTCTTGCAAGTTTTGATACTCCAAATAATTACTACCCCCAATAACAAAAACGATAGATTTGTTATATGACTGTCTCTTTGGTTTCTTGGTATGGGAACCCCTTGTAATCTTTGGGTCAATATATATATAATTATCTGTTGTCTCCAAGTTCTTTTCAGAACTATTCATTGGGTCCATAATAGCCTCTACTACATTCGTAATTGGAATAGTCTTTTTCTCTGGTAACAGTTTCTTAATACCTGAGATCAAGCTACCAACAGTACCTGGGAGTCTACCTTCAGTAAGACTGTAAAGACTAGACAAAGACAGATTATTCTCCGTAGAATGTTTGTTAGAGGTTCCATCCTCTAATGATTTATTCTGTAAAGTCTTACTAGATAATTGCATATATTCTCTTAATTTGTAAATATATTTCAATACAGTGATGTCAAATTCGTTCTTTTTGAAATATTCTTCAACTTCTTGGATGAAATCCTTTGATAATCCAGCAGTTGAGGTTAAATATAACACAATGAACGATCTCATCTTATCTTGTAGATTATTGATCTTACCGTCATTCAAGATTTCTTGGAAACTTGCTCTCATCTTGGCACCGTTAGGGTCTTGTTCAATTTCAAAGAACGTATCTAGTTTCTTATCCTCCAACTGTTCTAATAGACCACTGAATATATTGACATGAGTATCAATGATAGCTTTCCTCTTTGTCAATTCTGGTAACTTCTGAACGACCTCTTGAATTTGTACAGTGTCGGCGTTTGAGTTTGGATCCAAATCAGCTATATTTTCTACACCAGTCTTCCTGGTGATCTCCTGAGCATCTTCTTTATATTTGTTTAACTCATTCTCTACGTTTTCGGCAGCCTCAGGGAATGGTAAATGGGAGTTTTGACTCCAAAAGAAATCATGAGGATCCAAGTCATATCTTTTCTCTTGTGGTAATTGAGTCTCTTTATCTATTGTTTCCACGGTAATTGTATTTTTACTCAATTTAAATATATCGAAGACCATACATTGATAGATCCAAGAGTGGCAAAACATACATGCAAAATCAATCTGTCTATCCAATAGGATCAAGACAGATCTTTCTAATGTATCGCTGTTTGGCAAAATAGATACGGATGACGTCTTAGTATTCATAACATAATCCCTCAACAGTTGTCCCAGCTTTTCAGCAACCATCTCTGCAGGACCATTTTTGGGAGCTCTAATGATAGGAATAGAGTTTGTAGTCATTAGAACGTTGAATATACCATTTGCGATGGCAGTGCACAATAAATCGATGGTTTCCTCACTAGACTTGGGACTATTTAATACTGAATATGTGTTTGACAATTGTAAACTGAATAATTCAGGTTCAGTGACTACGAAGTTCAAGTATTGATCAAACACTTGTTTTACTCTCTCAGACTTCCCAGTAGTAGATACACTCTCAGCAAAATATTCAAGGAGATCACGTTCCAAAGTGGACGTAAAGTTAATATAAAATTCTGAATACTTATCATCCTTTAGATCCTTAATAATCAAATCCAAATTTTCTTTTGTGGGCTCCACAAAATAAACAGCTGGAACATCGGGCAAAGAGGCTCTATCAGCATGAATTAAAGTATGAACAGTAACACCAGCCTTCAACAGATCATTTACACGCAATACACTCGATACAATCGCTGTGCTTTGAGTGTCTAGCACCAAGATCTTCCAATATATTTCGCTTTGGTTATACGTGTCCTCCAGGTCTTGGTTTACAACACTTTGGTTCAAAAACAGCATACGAAGTACAGCTACAACTTGCATGTCACGAAGACTCACCTCCTTCTGACCTAGTAACTCCTCAGACATTTTTAAGTTATCAATTCTTCTTGTTCTCCTTTCTTTTCTCCTCTTGTTTTAATATTCCTGTCTTCAAGTTGTCCAACTTGCAATCTATTTATATATATTTCACTTTTATATTTTCGCTTCGCCCAATTTGAGTTTTGTTGATAAAAACAACCCAAAAGGTTCCAATGAGAGAAAGTTTACCAGTCTCTTTGCAAACAACGTGGTGATTAAAGAAAGATAAGACGCTCAGGGGATCTTAAAGAGAATATCAAACAAATTATCAGTTAGTGATAGACTGTAAATTAAACAAATTTGAAGTTACCAGTGCATAATTCCAAGTGACTGTTCCACAGAGAGAGCTAAAAAAGTTATAAAATTAATCACACTGCAACTCCAGATGTCTTTCGATCCGAACAATTTAGAGATAAATTTGCGAGCTGATCTAGGTATAAACCAACCACAAACGGAAAGTATGACTACTAGACCACCAACGGAACCCCCAATAACTTTACAACCACAACAGCAACAACCTATTAAACAAGAGATGACGCCGAAACCAACTATACCGGGAACAACACAGACAACATTTAATAATAACAAGAGTAATAATAATGGTGCACCATCGAAACCACCTTCAAATGAATTTGTACGTAAACTTTATAATATCCTGGAGAGTAATCTATATCCAGATATTGTTCGCTGGACTGATAACGGTGATTCGTTTGTTGTACTCGATACAGGGAAGTTCACTACACAGATTTTACCGAATCATTTCAAACATTCAAATTTTGCCAGTTTTGTGAGACAATTAAACAAATACGATTTCCACAAGATTAAGAAGAAACCTAACGAGGAACAAAGATCTCAGACTGGTGAATTGAGCTGGGAATTTAAACATCCATTCTTTAAGATACACGATGTTGCTGGACTTGACCGTATTAAAAGGAAATTATCGAATGCAAAAAGAGCAGCCGCTGCAGCTGCTGCGGGGATAAATAATGGTACCCCATTACCTATAAACGCTGTCTCTCCAGGTGGCACACCCATCGGAAATGGTACATCTGCATCAAATATAAACATTCATCGTAATGGACGTCATGGTCATGTATCTCATGGTCATACAAGACATGAAATTTTAAATGCTGGTTTAAGCCAGTTGGGGATCACGAAGGAACAGTTTTTAAGTCATACAGTTTCAAGGGAAACTTATACCACACTAAGGAAACGTGTTGAAAATCTGGAAAAACAATTAGAAATATCTAAGAACGAAATATTCATAGGGAAAGTAGAAAACCAAAAATTAAATTCTAAATATAATACTGTGGTAGAAAGTTTAATTACTTTCAAGACTGTAAATGAAAATCTAATCAATAATTTTAATATATTATGTTCGGTATTATCCCAAAACGGTATCAAGGTACCGGAGGGCCTATACGAACAAACAAATATTACACCCAATGATGGAAAATCTATTTCAGATAATAATAATAACATAATAAAAAGTGAGATTCAATTGTTAGAGACACCCAACGGGATAACGAGTCCCGATCAAAACAGAATGCTTTCATTTAATATGTTGGCCAACACAAATAACTTACTGAATAACCAAATGGATGGTCTTGTCGGAACACCATTAATGAAGGAAACAAGAAAGGATATACAAAATACCGTGTTAAGAAAAGGGTTCCATGTATTGTTAGTCGAGGATGATACGATATCTATTCAATTATGTTCTAAATTTTTACGCAAATATGGATGCACTGTTGAAGTAGTGACTGATGGTCTTTCTGCAATTTCAACCCTAGAAAAGACTAGATTTGATCTTGTCTTAATGGATATTGTTATGCCAAACTTAGATGGTGCTACAGCTACATCAATCATCAGAAACTTTGATAATCAAACACCTATTATCGCTATGACTGGGAATATTGATGACCAAGATTTAATTACATATTTACAACATGGCATGAATGATATTTTAGCTAAACCGTTCACTAGGGATGATTTGCATACAATGCTGGTACGATACCTAAAAAATAGAGAACCTTTGAGTGAACAACAACGGATGCAATCTCAACCAGCACAATCGCTCCCACAGCAACCACAACAACTATCTCAAAATGTGACCCCAGGGAGCAACAACACACAATCACCTATGAATCAATCACAAATCGGTCAGATGAATATACAGCCACCCCAACAAAATGTTCAAACAGGTGGATCAGGTCGTCATACACAGGGCTTAGTTCATGATAACAATCCTAGTTTACCGACACTGAACATGGATGACAACTTAGGGGTACCCATGACTCAAACGCCACATGCATTACTGGCGGACACTAATTTTTTAGAAGATGAGCACATAGATAAGAAACCGCATTTATAATAATATAATTTGGTCTAAATATATAGTTTAATATACACTTGTGTAATTAGATCTTGGACAAGGATAAACATACCTAATTGAACAGATATATTTACTTATGCATCTATTACTGGCCCATCCATTGTACTTTTTATTATCTATCGCTATCAACTATCGGAAGCCATGCCAAGTTACTCCTCCTCGACTGCCATCGAAACAGTTCCATCGAACCTAACAGATGTACGACGTCTACTGGGGAAACCTGGGTTCTCTGGAATATCAAGATCGAATTCCTGACCGTTTTTTAACAATTGTGTCAAATCTGGTCTCTTGCTTCTCATTGATGATTTTCGTCTTGAGGAAGCTGGTGGTGACATGGACGATGGCTCCATTGGATGAAGTATTGTTGGTGTTTCTGTTGTTTGAGATAGTTCAAATTTACAACGATGGCATTCACAGTTGAATCCATATTTTTGTCGTAGTTCTCGCTGTCTTAGATATACATTATGCAATGGATTGATATAAGTAATAAATAGCTCATCTCCTGGGGAAATACTAGCCCTAGCAAATAATCTCCATTCATTCTTCTCGTTGACCTCAAAATGCGCGTTTGGTTCACAACTGTGATTCAAGAACGATGCAATAAAATATAACTGTTGAGAAGTTTGGTTGATATCAAATCTACCAGCAAGTTCCATGAAACTTTCAAAATCTGGCACCAGTTCAGATTCCGGGAAAACGGCCTGCAATAACTCAAAACAATGAGACCCTTTTTCTATTTCTCCCGGTTGTAATCTCACCTTCTGAGAAACTGTTGCTAGAGAATCCCATTGTCTCTGTAATCGAGAATCATTATTCACAAGGATAACAGCTAGAATCACTGCCACAGAGTGCGCCGCTACCATATCATTATCATGACAATAACTTTCAAATGCCAACCACTCTTTGTAATGTAACTGAGCGCCAAGTTTATGCTTGCCATGGTGCAAAGCAGTATGTACCCGCTGGTCTTTAGTCTTACATCGTTTGCTACACCATATTACATCACAATCGGAACAATCAAGTCCATGGGTCATGATAAAATGGGGACTAATGTTACTACCAGAAAGAGATTTGCCACAACATGCGCAGCATTTACCTCTTAAGGCGAGCGTAAGCTTATCCAGCGGTGGTATCCAACATATGGGGTCTGATTCGACCGCGAGAGGTTCCCCAAGTTTGTAGTTCTTAGTCGCGACGACCCTTCGTATTCCTCCTTCTTGTTCTATTCTTATACCATTGTGTGAATCAGTTTCTAATGACTCATCAAACTGTGGGAACCGTACCTGGTCGCAATACAGATCTACATTTTCCAGCCCCTCCTTCTCTTCAGTTATCTCGTCAGATAGATCTTCCTCCCAAGTATCATTCAATGCTAATCTTTCAATTCTCAAATGCATCCCATTCAGATCTCAGTAATACATTCTATGTACAAAACTTGTTATGTCCTCGTTCTGATCTGTCATTCGAACTGCTCTGTTCTTAATAGCAAGAAATTTCACGGAGCATTTAGGGTGAAATATTTTTAAAAATGAAAGAAGTTGGGATAAACTTAAGGGGGTACATTATATAAAGAAAAGGACAGCTATTCATCTTAAAGAAAAATAAGAAAGTGTGGTAGGTGCTTCGATTATCAAGATGAGTGGATTAATATCAAGACAAAGTATCAGAACGGCGAGTAGTGGGTTAGTAAGAAGATGGATGGGCCCGAGGTATTTGAGAAATGGACCGAAATTTACAACCGGTGCTCCACGTAAGGGGAAATGGATTCCGTGGACAATTTTTGGTGCTAGTTTTGCTACTGGGTGGTTTTTCACTCAACATATGACTTTCAAAGATGTCATGGCTTGGTGGAGATACGATTCTTTACCTAAGGATAGTACTGAAGTGAAGGACTATGAAGCCCAATTGACTGCCAGAGCCGAACAATTACCAGTTGTCAAGCAATTGATTGCAAAGGGATTTGTTGAGGTGTTTCCAGCTTCGAAGGATACCTCAGGAAAACCTGTCATCAGTGGATTAGTCACCAAAGCTCTAAGAAGTCCCGGTGCTATTGCTATTGAACCTAAATTCTACTATAACCCTCAGAGTAATGATACTGTTGGTTTATATCACCTTGGGATGAAACTAACTGGTTACCCATTTATTGTACATGGGGGTATGCTGGCTACTGTGATGGAAGATCTGATGCGTCAAGCAATGTTAGTTCGTGGTGGTAATAGTGATATGACCAATTGTGAGAAGACCAGAGACTTAAATGTGTCTTATAAATTTCCTACATTTGCTAATCAATTTGTTGTAGTGAGAACTACTGAATTCGAACAATTTGGTCAAGGAACCAAGATGCGCTGCGAAGTATTAGACCAAACTGGTAATAACATATTGGTGACTGGTGGTGCCGTGTTTACCAAACCTTAGATCACGCAAAGAGAAAACTGTGTCTGTAAATAAAGATCCATCATAGTTCTAATCAACTGAATCTATTTATTCATATATATGTATGTACGTACTTATAATTGATTCAAAATAAGCTTATAATATTGCGGTATTTCTGAAAGTGACTGTCAATTTGGAAATGAATGTATATAATAATAGAATATGGAGTTAATTTTCCGATTAGTACGTCTCAAAGAAAAATGTATGTAACAGATAGACCAAGAACAAACAAAGAAGCTCTAATATGATATATATAATAATTATGATAGATCATCATATATCGTGGCATCCTTGATATAAAATAACGATCTAACAAATTTTTCATGGTATAATGAATAATAAGTAGAAAATTACTCAACAACATTAAAAGGTGTTAGTGATCCATCACCTACAACAAGACAATCCATTTGTTGATCATGAGGCTCACAATGAATATCATTAGTTATTTGTTCTTTTAAACAGACCCCGACAAGATAAGGCAGATGAGGATGGCGCAGTAGATATCTTTGAAAAAAATCATCATAGTAACCAGCACCCCATCCGATCCTTGCACCTGTATCAGGAGCAAAACCAACGCCAGGTACTACCATCAAATCCATATGTGGTGGAATCAATGAGCTAGATTGAGTCATCGGTGGCATTGGTGGTTCCCGTAACTTATATTTCCCTGCAGGCTTCATAGCCACTATATCCGACCAATTCGAAACTTGTAGAAAAACCAAATGAGGATGGTTCGACCGATCTGGTCTTAAACTGACTTGACCTGTGACACTTGTTGTTGTGCACCTTGGCAAATACACTTGAGAGATAGCCTCAGTACAACCAAACAACCATTTCAACAGATCTAACGTCTGCACTTCAGCCTGATGGTCCATTCCCATATAACAGCCCACATTCAAAGGTCTCCCCATGTCTTTACTCTTTTGAAGAACCAATTGTTTTAAAGTTTCAGTTACAACGACAGATTGCCTTGCGACCTCATCGGGGGTCACACGATCCAGTAAGCTCCGCAAACTCGTTCTTAGCAATTGCTTCGACATTCGCAAACCTGTTAATGCGTCACCTTTCCCCTACTTCTGAGTCACTGCTACAACTTACTTCAATTAGTTCCATTACTTGAGCAATTTTTATCTGTAGAGAAGTCTGCCAAGTCTTACTACTTTTGTAGCTTCATCACCAGAATTGTGGAACAGCGTTACCGGCGTTCTCATTTGTCTCTCTCTTTCTTTCGCTGGGCGTCCGTGACTCACAAAACCAAACAGGAATTCTTAAATAATCAATCAATTTGAAATATAAAAGGAATTAGAAACAACAACTGTATTTAAACTGGGGGGAAGGTCCTTCCTTGTGTTTGGAGAAGGAGGTAAGACAGCTTGTCAACCCATTTGTGTCTGATATTTATTTTTGATCTTTGATTTACTAACTGAATTTTAGAGATGTTGAAACAAACACTACGTACAGCAACGATGTCAAGATCATTCACCTCTGTTGTCTCGAAAGCTTTCTCTGAAGGTGCTGCACTTGATGCCTCGAAGTTACAAATCACTAAGAACCCAAATCCTTCCACCCCATTGCCAAATGATCAATTGAAGTTTGGTCAAACTTTCACCGACCACATGTTGACCATTGAATGGAACAAAGGTAAAGGGTGGAGTGCTCCAGAAATCAAGCCATATGGTCCTTTAGTGTTGGATCCATCTGCTTGTGTCTTTCACTATGCGTTTGAATTGTTTGAAGGTTTAAAGGCTTACAGAACCCCTGATAACAAGATCACCATGTTCCGTCCAGATAAGAACATGACCCGTATGAACAAGTCTGCTGCTAGAATTTGTTTACCTACTTTTGATTCTGATCAATTAATCACCTTAATTGGTAAACTGATCGAACAAGATAAGAACTTAGTTCCAACTGGTCAAGGTTACTCTCTGTACATTAGACCAACTATGATCGGTACTACTGCTGGTCTAGGTGTCTCTACCCCAGATAAAGCTCTATTGTTTGTCATTTGTTCTCCAGTGGGTCCATACTACAAGACTGGTTTCAAGGCTGTCAGATTAGAGGCTACAGATTATGCTACTAGAGCTTGGCCAGGTGGTGTTGGTGACAAGAAATTAGGTGCAAACTATGCTCCATGTATCCTACCTCAACTAGATGCTGCTACCAGAGGTTACCAACAAAATCTGTGGTTGTTCGGCCCAGAGAAGAACATTACCGAAGTTGGTACCATGAACGCATTCTTTGCCTTCAGAGACTCCAAGACTGGTAAGAATGAATTAGTCACTGCTCCTTTGGACGGTACTATTCTAGAAGGTGTCACTAGAGACTCTATACTAGCTTTAGCGCGTGAAAACTTAGACCCTAAGGAATGGGATATTAATGAACGTTACTGCACTATCACTGAAGTTGAAGAAAGAGCCGCAAAGGGTGAACTACTAGAAGCCTTTGGTGCGGGTACTGCTGCTGTCGTCTCTCCAATCAAGGAGATCGGCTGGAATGGTCACGATATTAGCGTTCCATTGCTACCAGGTGAACAAAGTGGTCCTTTAACCAAACAAGTTGCCCAATGGATCGCCGATATTCAATACGGAAGGGTATCACACGGTAACTGGTCCAAGGTTGTTGCTGACTTGAACAAAGGTGTGTAAACATTCATCCATAAAACCTACATATATAGATAACCATACACATTAATACATATATACTTATATATGGTTTATATTCAATTAAGTAAATGAAAAGAAAAACAAATTCGACATTTCTATTGTAAGTTGAAAGAATCAGAAAAAAAAGAATTTCTGGATTAAATAATTGGCTGTTGAAAAGAATGTTCAACAGACAGCAATGTTACCAGAAGAAAGAAAGAGTTTTTATAGTTATGCATATATTACTGTTTATCGCATCGATCACCAGATGACTAACAAGTTCAAGAGGTCTAGATATGGGTGTCAGAATTGTAAAACCGATAAAGTCAAGTGTGATGAAGGGAAACCCAGTTGTGGCCGTTGTGTCAAGAGAGGAACTCCTTGCAATTATAACGTTCAGTTACGATGGTCTCTATCAAACGCAAAAGTTCAGAAACAACCAAAACTAAGACATCGAAAACTTGTCCAAAGTTCGTTGAATCGCGATGTCGTCTCACAAGAGCTCATGACTTGTCTTCAAACAAGGACGATGACTGACATGGAACCTGTAAACACCATTAATACGGCGAACGATGATATGTTCCAATCTTTCTTATCTATGTTTAATATGCCTGGGAACTATAACATCTCCCCGTTCGATTTAATCCCTCAAAACTTAGTTCTACCTTCAGCTTCTGTACTATCGAATATACATATTGAATCTTTGAGTTTACCATTACCATTACCTCGGTTATTAACAGAGTCACCATATAATATGGATTTGTTTGAATTTTATATAAAGGAGACTAGTAGTCTCTTAACTCCCACACAAGAATCCCCGTTTTTCAAAAATCCTTTTAAATTCTTAATTTCCCAAATGGCTGTTCAGTCAGATACATTGATGAACATTTTATTAGCCTTTAGTGCTAACCATAAAAATCAAATAACTAATCAAATAGAAGAGTTAGATGATAATGGAAACGTAACTGATAAAAGACAAGCAGAATGTTCAGATATTCCATTATCAATACAAAACATTTTGTCACCTTTACACACATTAAGAGACTCACACAAGAACAAGACCTTTGTAAATGATCTTCTGTCAAAGACAATAAACGATTTGACCAAACAATTAAGAAATGTTACAGATAGAACTAGTGATACAACATTAGCTACTGTATTGATGTTGACCCTATTTGATATTTTCTTTGGGGATAAAAGGAGGTCATGGAGAGAACACCTTGATGGTGCAAGGAATTTATTTGCTGAACGACTTAAACAATCAAATATCGGGGGTGTAGATGACCTTACAATCATACTACCATTCGATACACAAATATCAACCAATTTTTTATTTTGGTGGTTCTCATATGTGGACATCGTCGCTTCACTGTCATCGGTTAGTCCCTTTTCCTCGTTAAAACAGACCAATTTGTCCACAGATTCTCCAAATCCAATGAATAGTCCTATCTTTAGTTATCGTTTCCCTAATTTCTGTAAAACTCAAACAGACTTGGACTATCTAAGCGAAAAGAGAGCCAATTTGGATGATATAGAACGTGGTATAGGTGTTGATCCTAAAATTTTATCACTAATGGGAGACATATCTGTTTTAATATACTTTCATGACGATTTTGATACCAGTAGTCCGAACCAAGATACACTAGTTAGAGCTCTCGAACTTGATCACAATCTACAAGAATATGTGAGAATCTCTGAAAAAGAACGTGATCAAGTAATGAATAAATTGAAACACGACAGCCCTGATGTTATGTCAGACAAACTCGAAGCATACAAGATTTTGAGGGCAACAAATATTGTTTTTGCCTTTAGTGGACTATTGCAGTTGAAGAGAAGAATTCTAAGGATTCCCTTGTCAAGTACCATCATTAAGGATATCCTGAAAAAGATAACAAAGTTAATTGATCATTACATACCAGTTCCCTCCTCAACAACATCCTGTATCATTTTCTGTCTCTTCTGCTGTGGCTGTGATTTAATAGATCCAGGAATGGAACAATATCGACACATTTATCTGGAGAGAATAGACCAACTGACAAAGAAGGGGGTAAGTAGTGTCTTAATAGCCAAATCAATCATGTTAGAGTGTTGGCGTGACAGCAAAAACTGGTGGGACATCCTATTAGAGAAGGACCTAGATTTGACATTTGCCATTTAATACATTATACATATATATATACGTACATACATACAAGGAACTAATATTCAAAAAAACAAAATAAAAATGGATAGAGCATTACAAACCATCTATAAGTTAATGTAACACCATTTAGAATTCTGAGCCAACCTAGTCGGTATCGAAATTCTGCCAAATAGCGTGATATACTTCCGGGAATATATCAAGATTCAAAAAATCTTCCAAATTAATCAACGAGAGTAATTCGTCTTGAGGGGTGGTAGATGAAACTCTACTATGACCAGTACCCGTTGAATCTTCATTAGAGACAGGCTTCTTAAAATTTGCGAAAAATTGGGAACCGGTAGTTTTGTTAACGAGATCTAGGACCTCTTTATGCATATAACTAATTTCGATATCACGCAATAACGGCTCAAAACACCTAGAGGAAGTATCCAGTAAATCACAGTACATATTATACGTAACTTCACTTTCGTCCTTTAACCGTTTACCTAATTCTTCACTTGATAAGTTGGTGGCATACAAACAAGTTTGCAAATAAATTCTAACAAGGATGAACGAAAACGAGATACTTACTGTTGGTTGTTGTTCATAGACATAAGATATGTGCTCGTCAAATATGTTCTCCTGTCGTTCATTTAATGTAAACTGACCCAAAATTGAACATAATAATGAGACATTAGATACCATATCTTCAACAGGACTATCAATTGCACATATAACAATTACAATTATGAAAAATGTTGTCATTTTAGTCATTCTAATTTGGTAATATTTCTCCTTAAGAAGTAGTAATTTTCTTAATGCTTTTTGACTTGCATTTACACTTAACGACCTTAAAAGTATTAACTTATCATTTAATTTATCCTTGAGTATTGTCTTTTCGGTACCCATGATTCGTATAAGGACGTTTCCGACGGATGACAACGCCTCTGTAGCAGAAAAGTAAAAAATAACACAGTAATCTAAATCTGGTCCAGGTCCCTTTAAATTGTCAAATAATGGGAGCAGTTTGGTTTCTAATAATTCAAAGTAATTGCGAAGTAATTCAATATTTTCCAAAAGATCAGAGGAAATTTCATCGAGATTTGGGTAATTTGCAGAAAATATTCTGTAACTTGTAAATTTATTATTATAAAGAATTTCATCAAAACAATATTGAAGAATCTTCGCTAATATGTAATAAGCCAGATCTGTCAAGACGCCATCTTTATATGCTTTTTCAAAATCTGCAGATTTAAGTAGTGTATTAATATCCATCTTATCATCGATACCACATTCCAAAAAGGATTTTGGAAGTAGACATTCCACCTGACGTTCCTGTATGAGTGTTGGTTTTCCAGTCAAGAGAGAACTCCATTTATCCCACCAATATAACTTCCACCAAAGCTTCCTTTTATGATCTGCGGTTTCTTCGGAAAGACCTATATAATATTCCCATCTATTGTAGCCACTATCCACTGCTCTGTTGATGATTGAACCAACAAATCTTCTTAGATTGGTATAATCTTCCTTCCAGAAAAATTCATCTAAGAACCAAAGAGTCGACTGGATGACTCTATTGTCCACAAGCAGAGCAAATGTACATCTCTGAAAGTATTCGAGAAACAACAGATGCATATATTCTTCTGCCATAAAAAATTGTTTGTTCAATAAAGGAGTAAATTTGACTTCAGGGTTAGAAAAGAATGTTTTATGTTTTTTCATCAAATCTACTACTCTTTCTAATACCACCTCAGGAGGAACTCTTTTAATATCACTAAAATCTGTTTCTTTATCATTTATTACATTACACACGTCATTGGATACGCTAATCACAACGTCAGAATCAGAAACATCCTTCGGTAAATTTGACTTATAATATTTTTTACACCATTGCAAAGGTCTCGTCGACTGTTGTAAATTTTTACTGAACCATACGGAACCTAGATCAACACATTTCAAATATAAATAGAAAGTTTTTTTAGTCTCATCTTGATCTAATGTTGAAATAAACATTTTTTTAAATAGCCAACCAAACCCACCATTCGAAAACAAGGTCAAGGCAGTGTATAACCCAAAATAGACGCTAATGGTAGAGCTTTCAAGATTTTCAGAACATTCACTCATATATAGTTTTTCGTAGTAGTTAAACTTTACAAAATCAGTTTCCACAAGTGAAGTCTCTAGCGATGCCTTCTGATGATAACTTTTGACAGCTTTGTTTGAGAATGTCAATCTCATATCATCTCTGAATTTATCCAATTTTGAATCTAACTGAGTGAGAAGTGGCTGTAATTGTATTGAGTCCACATCTACCAAGTTCTCGAGACATTTTCTATAGTGAGATAATGTACCTAACTCTTTTCTAATATCATCTTCTTGTTTGTATAATGAAACACGTTCTGCGATTTTCTTTTTTTCGTATGAACATAACAATCCGGAGATTTTACAATTCTGACATGGTTGAGTCCCATCACATTTAACTTTTCTTCTTCGACATACTGCACATGCCTTATTTACTCTACGTCTTACACCAGCGCTGTTGCTGTTATTGTTATTCTTGTTGACTTTCCCTTCAACTTTAGAAACCTTCGACATAATGATTAATCTTAATTGCCGCTAGTCAGTCACTATTGTTTACATTGATCACTAATAGCAACAGAATACTAGAAATCAAACGTCAAACAAATGCCAATAGATATACTAACTTTATATGTAATTAAACCGATTTCTGCCTTGATGACGATCGTAATATTTTTCAAGTTTTTCCAGTTTCTGTGATCTGCTACAATTAAGTGCAGACACGATCATACATCCGGATAGATATATATTTTCTTACTTGTTGCGCTTCACCGAGTAACGTATGTAGGCGGAAAAAACAAATCAGTGCTTACTATAACCATTAGCTAAGCCTCGTTTTTAACTGGATAATACCATCTACCATCAATTCTTCCGTTAACAAAGTTTAAATATGTAATAAGGAGAAAAGGTGGTAAATTTAAATCTTTACATGCATTCAAATAATCTATCAATTGCCAAATTTGAACTAATAATGAATTACTCGAAAGACTGATAATCTGTGAAAGGAGAAACACGCCTCTCGTCGAATATAATATATATAGTCCGATAGCCGTTAAATCTCAATTTCTTGTTCAAATTTCTTTGATCTAATAAGAATAATCAGTCATTCGTATTGGTCATATGTACCTTCTTCCATATATTCTCTTAACAACGCTTGCAATGGAGTACCAGGAAAGCTGTTAGCTATTCTTTTTCAGGTAATACGGATTCTTATCAGTCAGTCGCGAACAGGTAAACAGTACCTGCCATTATCTTAACATCAACAAATATTTTGATTCATCCAAATGTTCTAGTTGCAAATGGTTACACGTATTAAATGCAATGGATGTTGTTCTTGTCCTAACTTTAACATATATACATGTAACCTGGATACGTTCATTCCACCATTTTAAAAGACAGCGGCTGCTGGTTCTGCAGGGAGAATTTCGCTTCGGCCGGTGGCGAAATTCTTTAATGGGATCAAATCAACATACAAGAAACACAACTGGAAGGATGAAGTTAGAAAAGTTATTCAGGAAACAGCCATTAATGAAGGTCTGTAAAGTCCTATGCTTTAACTAATAATCTGTTATTTCCAGAGTTTTGGGTGTGTAAGCAGCGTAAGAGCACTTTTTCTTTCCTTCTATATTGGAATATCTATATTTAAAAATGAATTCAACTGGAAATTTAAAAGTAGCGAAGCCAAAGACTTCAAGAAGAGCAAGACGAACACTCGTTTGTCTTCTATGTAAGAGCAAGAAATTGAAATGTGACAAAGGTAGACCTAGTTGCCAGAGATGTATAGAATCTAAAAGATTATGTGTTTATGAGAGCGATAGTCAACCTTGTAATACTGCAATTAGCCCCAAGGATGAACATCTTTCATCGAAAGACCCAATTCGTGAAAAGTCATCCATATCTTTCATGACGACTAATACTAATACTAATACAAATAGTTCTCCAGATGGAAACCAAGTAATGACACCGAATACTTTACCATCTGTCAATTATATAAAATCTTCATATCTCCCAAACGAAAACAATAGTATTGTTGCTCAACCAATCATTACCCCAAATTCTTCTGCACCATCGGGACTAGATTCAGATGTAACATCAGATATATATAGTATGAAAAATAATAACTGGAACCGTAATCATGCTAGAGATGATCACCCAACTATGGTGTCTCCAAGAGATGCTCTATCCGATAACAAAGGTACTTCTTCGAAATTGATGCAAACACCTTCAGATTTAAAAATGAAGCCCGAAAGGATCACTACTGTTCCTAATATTATGATGGATCTTTGGAACCCCAGAGACATTTTAGTATCATACGGGTCTACTACGTATTATGATTTACCCTATGGTACCCATAGCGTTGCTCAATCAGACCCATACCTAAGAGCTTTATGTGGATGTCTACATGGTGATACAATTACTGAGTTGAGAGCTAGACTCACCTCAATTTCAACCAACACACCTGGTCTAAGTAGAAACATCCCAGTTGGTAATCAGACACCACAAAGTGATACTTCTATATTACTTGATAACAATCACTATAAATTAAAGGAAAATGCAGATTCTCCAGAAAGGGAATTACATCCATTGAAGTTCATCGAGAAAGCTATTGTAAAATGGATCGAAAATTCGAACGAACAGGTCTCTAACCAATTACCTTTAGATTATTTTAACACAACTTATACTATTGATGATTCTATGGATCCCAATTTACTTTCTTCTTTACAAACACTGATACGAGAAATTGAATTAATTTTAATGGATAAGCCTGTTATTGATTCTTTATTGAGAAAATTCTACGAAGAGATATATCCATTTTATCCTCTATTTGACATTCGTACTTTCGAAACTAATTTAATATACATATTGATGAACTCTAACGGGAAAAGGTATGAGTTTAATGTCTATAATAATAATATTAGGAAAAAATTAGAGATGCTAGTATTGTTTTTAATCATTCTGTCAATTACTTTGAGAAGCCCTAATTTAGATAGCGAACAATATCGTATAGATAAAAACGTTGCAGACAATTCAGCTAGACAATTATTAATTTACGCTCAAAAGTTGTTATCTTTGTTGAATGGGTTTAAATTTACAAATGAGAATATTATATGTTGTTTGTTATATTTTTTCATTGCATCCTTATTAAATCCTGAGAATAGAGATATTGATACAACACATGATAGAGTTCTAACGTTGAGGTGCATCGAAAATTTATCAATGACTATTGGTCTTTTTAACGACCCTGCTTTATATCCGAGATACACAAAAGATCAAACTAAAAATGAAGCATTCCACGTGTTTAGAAGGAAACTTTGGATCGGACTTCAATCTATGAAATTGGAAATACTTACTTCTAATGGTGGGTCCAATTGCTTGGATGTCCAATATTTGAATACCTTCTTGGGGTCAACTCCAGATTTGATTTCAAATCTAAGTTCCAAATTAGAAACATCCTCCGAGGTTGATAGAAGAATATTTTCAATTCAAGAGGATAAATATCATTTCCATATTTTGTTGTCCCGTTTGATGACCTCATGTACTGCAATAGGTCAACAACAAAACTTACAAGAAATTTTAGATAATATTAAGATTGTTTTAGATTTTATGCACCAACGGTTCCCATTGTCAAAATTAACCCAAACAACTGATTTTAAAAATATTATTGTCGAGCCCAGTTGGAGAGGGGCAAGAGTTGACGTTGGTAGTTTAGAAGCCATTGAAATATTCCATGTTAATATACTTGGCCTGTCAAGTGTTATGAGTATTTACAATAAATTAATATTCCATTTTGAAAAAGAATGTATCAATAGTTCTGAAAAATATGAGAGATACTATCATAAATTTTTCTTAGAGGCCATTAATATATATTTACAACTGGCTAACTTAATAACAGATTTCCTAAGGGATAAATATGACCATGTCATGTCATCCAATCAAAAATATTCCATTAACAAATATATCGTATTTTCATTAGTTAGACTGTGGTTGGTAGAGATGTCATACGCGGCCAGGTTCTCATATAAGAAGGAAATTTTAAAACAGCAGAGATTAGCTAGCTCCAATGATTTTTTCAATGAACAACATGAAGAAGATATACAATTGAATTCTATCCTTGTGTTTAATATATCACATATTAAACAACAAATGGAAACAACAGTAAACCTTGCGGTGGAAAAATTACAAGATCCTTACTTTGGATGTTACCAAGCAACATTGATGGTGAGATATCTACTGTATGTTATGAATAACGCTGGTCTTGCAGAGGTGATAAACAACTTTTGGGATAGAGCCTTCAATACTACAGAGATTCCGGAGTACGTACTTCAAAAATTGAATATGAAATGGGGGTTAAGTACGAAGGGTACAAATTTCGTGGCAAAATATTTAATGAATCCAGAATCACTACAAAATTTGAACTTGTCATTATTGAAGCAAGTCCAATATATGTTTGATGAAACTACATTTTACAACCATCCAACTTCTGAAGCTTTCGAGATCGATAATTCGCCACCTGGATTCGATAACGAAGAGATGTTAAATCAATTCCTTGAATCAAACTTTGATTTGTTCTTAGGTGTGATAAATGATAATTTGGGTGAATTGCCGTCTTTGTAATAGTATATACTATTTTAAATGTAAAGAACTTTATAAAATAAATCCTCGGTGATGTCCGGGAAATAAATGGTTTTATTCTCGGTATATGTTCTTATTGATATCGATAAAAACGTTATCAGTTGCGTTTTCGATTGCAAAAATGCGCTCTGATAAGAAGAGAATTGTTACCGATAAGCTGTACCCTCTAAAAAGGAAGACCAAGTAATAACAGATAAGATGAAGTTTATTTCCGATGGTTACCATCTATGGTAGGGATATGATATTTAGCAATGACTATATAAACGTACACAGGGGAATACCTAAGATGCCTAATTTTTTCTTTTTTTGCATGTTGAAGACGAACATTTATATGTTCCCTTAAGATCAAATATATAATCTATATAGCAATGTTAAAAGTATTCAACGAATCCCAAGAAGGTGAATTTACACACGAGATATCAAATACATTTAAAAGTGTTGATGTTACAAGTGAACAGCTAGGTGGGGAAATAATTGATTTCTCAGACCAGTGGTTCGCAGATGCATGCAATTTGATTAAACCAACTAAACCTATTAGAGATGCAACTAAGTTTACCCACAGTGGTGCTTGGTATGATGGCTGGGAAACTAGAAGACATAATGAGGAAAAATACGACTGGGTTATTATCAAGATGGGGATCTCATCAGCAAGACTCGTAGGTTCAGAAATAGATACCGCATTTTTTAATGGTAATCATGCTCCATTAATTTCCGTAGAAGCGTTGTATGATGAGAGTCCAGACCTCAATGAAACAATAATCAAAGAAGATGATTCAAGATGGACTGAAGTAATAGAAAATTTTGAATGTGGACCATCCCAAAAACATTTTCTTTTGAATGATAATGGTCTCACAGATTCCAAATTTAACTATGTTAAATTGAAAATGTATCCAGACGGTGGTATTGCAAGGTTTAAAATGTACGGTAAGATTTGCCATCCACCTGTCACTGCTAATAATATTACAGATCTAGCATTTGTAGGCCATGGAGGTGTTATAACTGCTTACTCTGATCAACATTTTGGTACAGCCAATAACTTGATCTTACCGGGAAGAGGTCATGATATGTCCGATGGGTGGGAGACTAAAAGATCAAGGGCAGTGGGTCATGTTGATTGGGCTATTGTACAATTGTGTCAGATCTCAAAATATATCGATAAGATTATTATTGATACAGCTCATTATAGAGGGAATTTTCCTCAATATATCACCTTACATGCTATGATGCATCAAAGTGAAGATGACATTGACCCACTTTCAAACGATTGGATAGAATTACTTCCAAAATCTAAAACAGGTCCTGATAAAGAACATGTATACACTATAGAGAGAGCGATGAATATATCTCACGTGAAACTTACGATTATTCCAGATGGAGGTGTCAAGAGATTAAGGGTGTGGGGTTATTGAAGTTTTATATAAGAATCACGTATTTTATTCTATTATATAAAATATAGTAACCTTTAAAATTCTCAATTTCTTTAGAGCAAGATGGTTAAGTTAGTTTAGTATATATGCGAGCTGCATTTATAAAGAATATGTGTTACTACTTTTTTATTTTTAATTTTCCGATTAACTATTATTTAACGATAGGTGTAGTACAATAAAACTATAAAGTATATCTAAAGTTAGGATTTTCAAAATCAGTACAATCAGCAAACTCTAAGTTTTCTAATTTCTCAGGACCTCCCCTTTCTTCTTGTACTTTATCTCTTCTCTTATTTTCTCTGACATTTATAAATAGTAAAATAGACAGAATGACAATCATACAGGCGTAGCACACAACCATAGCAATCTTGGCACCTTGATAATCTGGGGCTTGTTTAGCAATAAATGTTTGTGGACCAGCCAAATTTGCTGCTGCATATGCGACCAAATTAATAGATGAAACAGTCCATTTCTTCGTATAACCTGAAGAATTGGCGCTAATATTCGATAACACACAGATAAATGATACAGGAGATATATACCACAAATAAGCACCACCTAACCTAGCACCCTTGGATTTATTAGCGAAACCTAACATACAACTGGCAATTAGAGCCAATATAGCTGCAAAAATAGCCCAGGTTAACCTGTGTTGCCAAAATGGAATCCTTTTTCTGGCAGCATAAACAGCAAGTATACCAAACAATGGACAGCCAACAATCTCTACAGCACCTGTTGGGATACCCATAAGTAATGTGTCCTTTGTACTATAACCAAAATCAGTATGGAATAAAATGGAGATGAAATTTGAAATACCACCATTTGGAATATTTGAAGATACGGTAAAAGCGAAGTATAACCAAGTCCTGACATCCTTCAAGGCTTCAATTATTTGATATTTCTTTATTTCACGGTTACCAAAACCTTGTTGGTTGGATCTAATTCTTTGAACAACCATCAATTTCTCTTCTCTTGATAAAAACCGAGCCTTCGATGGATCATCTGGAATCCATAAATATATTAAAATACCCAGAAATATAGTGATGACACCTGTAATTACGAATAGCAATCTCCAAGCTTTTATTTGATATGTATCTTGGTGAATATAAATACCATATGCCATTGAGTTTAAGATAATGGAACCTAAACCATTCATACCAAACCAAATGGAAATTCTAGTGAATTGTTCACTGGTTTTCCAATATTGAGCTGTAATGATTGTGAAACATGGAGTCACAACACTTTCAGCGCATCCTAAAAGTACTCTCAATGCAATAAAAGCAGCATAATTTACACTTGGTGCAGCATGACAGGTAAGAATCAACCCCCATATCATAATGAACACAGCAAGGTATTTAGCCATATATTTAGTCTTTTGGAAAATTAATTGAACCGGTCCTAAATTCATAAATAAGTAACCAAAATAAAAAGCAGAACCAACCCAAGAGTATTGGTTCCCCTTCATTTTTAAGTCCTCTCTTAAACCCATAACAGCTGCAGAACTGGTAGCAATCTTATCCATAAATTGAACGGCATAAATTAGGCACATAAGTGGGAACATGCACATATCGATTTTCCAGCAAAGTTTTCTGTCTTCTTCAGGCGTAACAACAATATTTTCAGCTTCTTTGACAAATTGAAGGGCTTCATCCGCATGAGCCATGTCAATCATTATCTCCTCACCGTTGGGAGATATGACCATACTTAAAATTGGTTCAACCTCTACATCTTCAGGAATATGATTTACAAAATCATGAGGAATTTTCTTTTCGTCAATGTAGTCATTTTCATCGCTGGATACTTTTAATGATGATACTTCAGTCATTGAGGCAGAATGTTAATTATAAAGTAATTATATGATTTTTTGATAGTTGTTCTTCTAAATAAATATAACTCAATATATATACATATACATATAATAAATACAAAGAAGGGATATATGAAACTAAAATTATCTACTTTGGAAATATTTTCTCTTTACTTTTATACATTTGACACGGTTTCTTTTGAGCATGTCCATCACTAAGATAATATTTGACATGATAAGTCCGTAATCATAGAACGTAATATGAATACCGAATTCATATTTTGATTTCATCTCAAATCAAAGGCACAATACATATAATCAAATAAATAAAATTATACTATTGTTTATCAAATTTCTTTGAGCGCACTATACTGTAGCTATAGTACAAAAGAAGTAAATTGATGTCTAAGATAGCGGATTTATAGCAAAATCTACATGATCTTGAAAACAAAACAAACAGGAATTCCCTTTAATCAAATCATTATGAAAAAATTAGATTATAAGAACTTTATTCAAACAATTAATATTAGTGAAGTAGCTGATATCAATTCTAAAAAGTCCTGTTAGGTCAGTTATCTTTCCTTTATCATAGAATCCCCTTCCAATTGAATCGCAATGTCAATGTTACCATTTTTGTTTTACTGCGAAAGCGACCCGATAACTAAATAGAATCTTACGTACGAGATAACGATAAGAACACGCAGAACACGACGATAACAATAGCTGATAAAGAATTGGTGGGAGACAGACAAGTAAAAACATATATTGTAATAATTCAATGGAATGGAAGACAAGAACTCATTGTCGAAGTATTTCGATGATGTGGCTACTTAAGAAATTTCTTTACAGCACTACAGGATGGTGACAGAGAGGAACAGTGTAATTATGTCCGTAATGTAATTACGGTTAACAAGGTAACGCAATGCTACAGCCAGTCATATCTTACTTTAAATGAATAACGTATCCTTTGTTCAAAACAAATAATCAACTGTCGTGGTTTTATATATTTTTTTACTTACTATCTTTTTCTACTTCGTCAAGGGCAAAACCTGTGCCTTCTTATTCTTTTAACTATATAAGCTGAATTGTTCTATTTTGAGCTGATAACAATTATCCTGACTGTTCCGATATTCGTGAATATTTTCAGTATTTTATATTATTATTGAAGTTAACAAAAGCGAACTAACCTGTTATCTATGTACATAACTGCCAATCATATTTCTACCAAATCATTTGCTCCCTATGGCTCTATAATATCTCCAGATGACGAAATAGAACGGCTGTCCAGAATGACAGGACATACAGAAAATAACGCTAACCAAGGGACTGCAATAAAAATAACTTCTGTGTCAACTGTTGAGAATACTTCAACATCCAATGTTCCAAATATTAACATATTTCGCTGTTTTGTAAGGAAAATTATCAAAAAAGATCAAGATATTTCTGTTGTTGTACCGATTTTAGAACAACATCCAAATAGTTCCCAAACATTTATTCCAATGGGAATCTCGAATAGCAATATTTCGCATGTTGTTGTCGTTGCATTACGAGACCCTAAGAATCCCAATCAACCGGATTTATCAACAGTTAAAGCATTTCTATGTAAAGGAAACCAAGGTGTAACTTATGGACTCGGTATTTGGCACGCACCCATGATTACTCTGGCAACAAGATTAGAGACAAAATTTGTTGATTTCGCAGTAGTTATTTATGAAGATAAGGTCCACCCTGAATTAAATTGTGTTGAACATTACCATGAAGACCCACTTTATATCACTATCGATTCAAGTTACAGTAATTTATAATCAAAACTAAGGTGAGTGTATATTTATATTTCCATGTTAGGTATTTTTTCAACATCTACTCGTAAGATGTTTGCCGTAGTGATATATATGGCTACTGGAGATTGATATTCAGCTACACCGAGCTGTCATGGGACAGGTCTATATAAGATGTATATATTATCTTTTTTATACAACCATGCAATTGCAGCTATATCTTATCGATTTCAATAACTCCTTTCTCTAATAAGAATTGATGTTAATCCTAACTTCCGCCTCTATTTTGATCTTTTTGGTTTCGATCAATAGGTGAAATATGCGTATCATATATCAGCAAGAAATTCAAGAAAATTACAATTTTCTCGCAAAATTTCATAACTGATTGTATACATCAGTTTAAGTCCTCAATATATTTCACAAGAATTATATATCTTGGTGCTTAGCATGACATGATAATTGTATTCGCATCTCTTATCGTCTGCCATTTTGTGCAGACACTTTGCGTGAAAATTTGTGTTTGTGATCTAAGCGACAATTTGTACAGCAATTGTCGCTAATTATCATCAGAGCGCGCCCGTAGCCAACCAAAGAAGAGTTGATAATGGACATAACTGGTAATAGATAAGAAATTTTATATAATTTAGATCTTGTAACAAACTGATAAGAATTGTTATCTTGGTTATTATGATTCTTAAAATATAAGAATATTTTATCAATCCTCACGAAGTTATAGAACAAATGCTAAACGAAGTATATCTACTAATTAATTCATGATTATGCATCAAACATCTAGTATTCGCCTGATTGCGTTTCATAACTAAGGAAGCCTTGTATACGCATAATAATGAAAGCCCAATAATACACGACCACCCAAACGTCGTTATTCTGATAACATTTTAGTTTAAAAGAACGTTGCTCGCCTTTATTTGGATGACTTAGCATGTACACAAAAGAAGATGTATATATAAGGCACATGTTTCGAGATCACTTTGATTGCTACGTTAGGATTAGAATAAATACAAGCAAAAAATTAAGAACTAAGTATTATTTTTATTTTAAAATAAAATAACAATATATTCAAACTTTTAATTCATCAATATGGTTAAAATTTCTCTAGATAACGTTGATATTTTCGGAAACATCGACAGTGAACCATTGTTTTCTCCTGCGACAACTACTGTATCTGACATCTTAACCAAGTCCGCTTTGGAATTTGTTGTTCTTTTACATAGAACCTTCAATGAAAAACGTAAAGAATTATTGCAAAATAGAGAGATTCAACAAAAAGGGTTAGATAATCGTACATACGAGTTCGGATTTTTGTCGGAAACTGAACATATTAGGAATGACCCAACCTGGCAGGGTCCTGTTTTGGGTCCTGGTTTGATAAATAGATCAACAGAAATTACAGGGCCACCGCTACGTAACATGTTGGTAAATGCATTAAATGCGGAAGTTACAACATATATGGTAGATTTTGAGGATTCTTTATCACCAACCTGGAAAAACATTGTTTACGGTCAGGTCAATCTTTATGATGCCATCAGAGATCAAATAGATTATGTAACTCCGAGAAAAAGTTACCAATTAAAAAAATCATTTGAAACATCCCCAACCGTTATTGTAAGACCAAGAGGGTGGCATATGGAGGAAAAACATGTTTATATCGACGGAGAACCTATTAGTGGTGCTATATTCGATTTCGGTCTTTACTTCTTTCATAATGCTTTCGAATTAATTAAAAAGGGGAAAGGTCCTTATTTCTATTTACCCAAAATGGAACATCATCTTGAAGCTAAGTTATGGAATGATATTTTTAATGTTGCCCAAGATTTTATGGCCATTCCTAGGGGCACTATTAGAGCTACTGTCCTAATTGAGACTTTGCCTGCTGCATTCCAAATGGAGGAAATCATCTATCAATTGAGATTACACTCAAGTGGGTTGAATTGTGGTCGTTGGGATTACATTTTCTCCACTATTAAGAAATTAAGGAATATCCCTGAACATGTTTTGCCAAACAGAGATTTGGTTACCATGACTTCTCCTTTCATGGATGCCTATGTGAAAAGATTAATCAACATATGTCATCGTCGAGGTGTTCATGCTATGGGTGGTATGGCTGCTCAAATTCCAATTAAAAACGATGCCAAAGCAAACGAACTTGCTATGAACAAAGTCCGTCAAGATAAGATTCGTGAACTTACAAATGGACATGATGGTTCCTGGGTTGCTCACCCTGCTTTGGCTCCTATATGCAATGAAGTTTTCAGTAATATGGGAACTGCTAACCAAATCTATTTTGTTCCTGATGTGAATATCACCGAGGCTAATTTACTAAACACAAACTGTACCGGAGCTCAAGTAACAACAGATGGTATAAAGGTTAACTTGGACATTGGATTGCAATACATGGAAGCTTGGCTAAGAGGTTCTGGTTGTGTACCAATTAATAATTTAATGGAAGATGCAGCTACTGCAGAAGTTTCTCGTTGTCAATTATATCAATGGGTTCATCACAATATAGTTTTAGAAGACACCAAAGAGAAAGTCACTCCAGAACTTACAACCCAATTGTTAGAGGAGCAAGCTGATATATTAGCGGCTACTAGTCCTTTTGGTGATAATAACAAGTTTAAGCTTGCTGCAAAGTATTTCTTACCTGAGATCAGAGGCGAGAAGTTTAGCAATTTCTTAACTATATTGCTTTATGATGAATTAGTGCATAAGAACGATCGTCCTTTAAATCTGTCCACCCTGAAACCATAGAACGTAAATTACTTTATACAACTAAATATATGTACCAATAAAATCAATAGTTCTTATCTTATCAATATCTGATTACATCATTATCTAATCTTGGATGTCAAGTCATATATAAGAAGGCTTGCATTTTTGAAAATAACTCATTTTGGGATGTCTCTTCCCCAGTACTATATAGTAATATATATCACCCAGATCAATAATGAGTGTTTACCCCAAGTTATTGGTGGTGAATCCCAATAGTAGTACGGAAATGACAGCGGATATTGAGGTAAACATTTCTAGGTATTTTAAGTTAAAGAAGCAACCAGAATTTCTTAACTATATTTCATTTTATACAGGATCATCAGAAGCACCAAAACAAATATCTGGTAACGAAACAAGTCTACTAAGTTTAAATACATGCTTACCTGAACTGACTGACCCTAATGGAAAATATTACTACAATAATTTCGATGGTGTCTTAATTGCTTGTTTTTCGGATCATCCACTAGTCAATGCCTTAGCAATGGAAGCTAAAGAGGCAAATAATGATACTGTTATAGTTGGATTACTAAACACAAGTATCAGTTACTGTTCGTTGTTTCAGACTAAGACGTTTTCAGTATTAACATCAAATAACGAATGGAAGACTATCCTGGATGAATCAATCGAGGGAAAGTACCTAACAAATGCATCCAAACCATTGTGGAAAGGGACAGTTCCAACGAACCTAGATGTTCTTGATTTACATGATCAAAATAATTATAAAGCAATTGCCGATATTATTCGTTCAAAGAATCTAGGTGAATTGAAGTCTAATCTCATCATTCTCGGATGTGCAGGATTTTCTTCTATTCACACCAAGTTACAACAAACATTTAAGGATGACCTGACAGTAGAATTCATAGAACCTGTCACTATCGGTATCGAGACATTGGTCTACCTCTGTAACGGATTTTTGTAATCTTATTCGGCAGAAACGTAATAAAACGGGAATATATATATTTTACAAATACTTTTTTCTTTAAATAACAAAAATAACTTAAACTACGATACAAAGGAATGTTTGTATATAACTATGACTAACAACATCAATAGATCTTTTTCATACTCCTCACATCGTATAAGGGATCAGCATCAACATCTAAAACTGGTTTACGAATTTCGTTCTTCCAATCATTTTCGAAGTCTTCTACGTAAGCCCATGTTTGAAACCATCCTTTATCCTTCAAAAAATTCTTAACAGGGACACCTTCAACAGGGGAAAAATAACATAGGATGGAGTATACTGTGAAACTAATCCCAAACCCAACTGGGTACCCTAAGTAATATAGATGGATGGCTCCAGTTGAAACTTTAAGTTGTGGTGCTACATCATTAATGAACCCCGGTAAGTTTGGTGCAATACCGCACAAATAAGCAACCAGCGCTCTCCAGTTAATTCCATAACGATTGTTGTACATGTAGTAAGACCCCTTATGTGCTAGGAATAGATGCATCAACTTAACATACCCTCTTCTAATGAGGAAATAGTCTGCACATATAACACCCGCTATACTTGACAAGAATATGGCATAGGCACCTAAGGCTGTGGTGAATTTATTGGAAGAAGCCATCAAATTCCACGGACAGATACAAAGAGCCATTGCTGCACAGAAGAGAGCGCCTCTCCTGATGTTAATATATCTGGGGAATAATGAGGTCATATCTGTACCACAGGAAAGGGAGTTGGCTGATATATTTGTACCCAATTGTGCTAATGCGAATACAAACGAAATTAAAAATACCCCAGCTCTTGTACCTCGAGTAAACGTTGTCTCTAAGAACTGCTGTAACACATCTAATGGTGACCAGTAGTTAATCCCATAAAGATGATAACCAGCAGCTGTAACCAATATTCCAATCAGACATGTTATAGCAAAAAACAGAGGGATAGCAACCAATTGTGGAATTAATGATGAATTTGGAGTAGTAGCAAACCTACCAAAATCAGGTGCATTAATAATAAGAGCTGCGAAATTTGAAATGCATGCCATCAATGCCTTGACAAATATCCAAGAAAACGTAGAACCATGTGGAGCATCATCATTTAATGTCCCCAATGCGATGACACCATGTGATTTCTTTAAAGTCCATATCAAAAATCCAAAGGCAGCAAATGGGATCAATACAGCTTTAACAGTAAATAAATGTCTTATATTATGAGGTGCGATAAGAACAAATGGAAGACTAATTACCCAAAAGATAAAGAAACACATAAACTGATAGGTCGTTGAATTTGGAGAACCAAAATGATCTGGAATTCGAGATGGTAAATCCTTTCCGAATATTGACTGTAACATTAATGAAATTGGTTGTGCACCTAACCATGCTTGAACCGAATACCAAACAATTGCAAGAACAATTCTGTTTATTACTGGCCATAATGAAAAGAAAATACCAAAAGATGCCCTTACTGTGATTGGGAATGACAGATGGTATGCAGTACCAAACCTAGAATTTAGTACAACATAAACAGCTGCCCAAGTATAACCGATCCATACTGTCAACCAACATTGCCACCAATTTAGGCCAAGTTGCATCCCCGTAGCTGCCACCTGCCAAGTATTAATATTGAAACAGTCGGCTAACCAGAAATACAGATAATTATACCACGACCAAACTCTTCTTTCTTCTTCGACAGGTTTAAGATCACGGTTATATAAGAAAGATTCCTTTAATGATACGTCGAGATTAGTCTTATCCAGTATGATATACTCATAATATATTTTCTGCCATAGGGATGGGTAAGCAGGAAGCGGATTAATATTTTCTAGTTCTAATGAAGAATCTAATTCATCAAAAATTGTGACAGTTTGAATCTTTTCACTTTTGGTAGGTTCGATCTTGTCATCTATCACATTTGATCTCACAGATACTATGGATGTTACTGGTTGGACATTTCTTCTTGACTTGTTACTGAAGACAGCAGAAAACCCATCAGTTACGGTGGTCATATTTTAAAGAATAAAATTGTTTTTAGTAATTGGTAGGTATTTGAAGACGCTATTTGATATTTAAAAGCAAATTAAACTATAAAATTTCATTTAAGAATAAGATGGAAGAATAACATAAATTAAATTTGCTTATTCGTACCGTACATATATATAGGGTTTATAATTGTTACAGTCTAAGAGGTGAATATACTGAATCATTTTGGAATATCCATTTTAAGAATATCGATGACAAGTTTTAAACCTTTTTGATTAGTCACTTCTAATTTCTTTTTGCGTTTTACAAATTTGCGTTTTGATGATAAAATATAAGAGTAACCACTTCCAATCATTCTTTTCTTAGATAAAATTATGATACGATAACGACAGATAGAAATTCTATGGAAATCCGTAACATTTGTAGATATAGCGAAGTACTGCTATGAACAGGTCGTTACCTCCGCAACTGTCTTTAGTAGGACAGTTGCTGATACCATTGAGTACCTCATCTTCTCTTCCCCAGAGGAACGGCTTCTGGAAGGTACTGTGACAAAAGTCGCACAGTGGGAAATTTGCGCTTCTTATCATTAAAATTTAATATTAAGCTTATCATGATAACGAGATTAGCAGATATCAGCAAAATATTTTGGTAACTCTACATTTAGATACAGCAACAAAAAACCTTTGATTATATATATATAAAGCAATATACATATACTTTTAGATATTATACAGTAGATAAGAACAATTATAAAATTTATTTTCATTATAATGGGTTATGTGCGCTGTACCAGTAAAACACTGATAAATAATGTCTATCAGAGCAATTACTTCTACAAAAGTAGTGGTCGACCAAGAAATCATCCCGGCTACAATTCTATATTCAACTGAGACCGGAAAGATAGTTGAAATATACAAGTACGATACGATTTCCTGTTTGAGTCATCCTAAATTGGTCGTGTACGATGTGCTTGATTGTCTCGACGTTTCGCCATATGTACTTCTTCCAGGGCTAGTTGATTCGCATGTACACTTAAATGATCCAGGTAGAACCGAATGGGAAGGCTTTGAAACTGGTACGAAATCTGCTATAAGTGGTGGTGTAACCACTGTTATTGATATGCCGCTTAATGCCACACCACCTACGACGAATCTCAGAAATTTAAATAGTAAGATTACTGCTAGTAAAGGTAACATTTGGTGTGATGTTGGGCTATGGGGTGGGTTAGTTCCTGAGAATCTGCAAGATCTTGTTCCTATGGTGAAAGTAGGGGTTCGAGGATTTAAAGGGTTTCTCTGTCATTCTGGAATAGATGAATATCAAAGCATAGATGAAGATTATATAAGGAAAGCAATCGAGCTATTGAAACCTTTCCATACAAAAATATTGTTCCATTCTGAATTGATACACAACGACCACTCAGGAGTACCTTCATTCGACGATAAATGTAAATATGATACATTCTTAAGGTCAAGGCCTGATGAGTTCGAAACTAATGGAATAAAATTAATCATTGATTGTCTGACCGAAATTACGGATGCTCATCCGAAGTTTGGGGCTCATATTGTTCATTTAGCATCAGATAAACCTTTGCCACTTCTGGTCGAGGTACAAAAAGAATATTTGCCATTGACTGTGGAGACATGTTTCCATTATTTAGCATTAAGTCCAGAAGATATACCAGACTCATGCACACAATATAAGTGTTGTCCACCTATTCGTTCCAATGAAAATCGTCTTTCCTTATGGAGAGCATTAAGAGAGGGTCTGATAACTTCTGTCGTCAGCGATCATTCTCCATGTGTGCCTGAATTGAAAAATCTTGAATCGGGAGATTTCTTAAATGCTTGGGGTGGCATTTCTTCTGTTGGTTTGAATTTACCACTTTTATGGACAAGTGGTTCCCAGATAGAGGAGCCTATCACTATAACAGAAGTTGTCAAATGGTGTTGTGAAAATACAGCCAAACATGCAGGTATAGATCATATAAAAGGGTATATCAATGTTGGTCACGATGCCGATTTTGTAGTATTTGATCCAGATCAGTCGTATACTTACGAGGATGGAAAATCCCATTTCAAGAACAAACTAACACCATATAATAAGATGAAACTAAAAGGAAAAGTACGTTCAACTATTCTTAGAGGAAGGACTGTGTTTTCTGATGGTTTATTCAACTGTGATATAGCACCTGGGAGACTTATTCTAGACGTCTAGCGAATTGTAACTCAAGTATAGGTTACTGTATATATGTGGGTAAATGTGACATAATTCTGTTTTTTTTTACTTCATTCTAGTCAGACATGAATTCCTAACTATAATCAGTATCTTGGGTCAAGATACTCGTACTTTCTACGCTTTTGATATTCAATATGTAAATCGTTTTTACTACGGTCAGACACCTGGTTTAATGACCTGAAGGTTAAACATTACAAAATGATTAAATATATAAGTATATTATAAATATGTTTCATAGAGTTCTACTAACCAATTAATATATTTTCAAGAGGTCATTAACTAAAAGAAACTCATTGAAGACAACAAGTGAAGTGTATTGAGTTGTATATGTATATTGAAATATACTCCAAACTAACTACCGTTTTGACTCTCTAATTATGTAATATGTCAGAAAACAAGATAGTGCATTACTCACATAATCAGTTCATCTGACCAATCGTAGCTTAATGTTTAACAAAATATTTCTGAATTGACCGCTATGTTTTGAACTTCCCTATGAGAACTGTTCCAGTTGTACTTTTTAACGACCATTGTAAACTGTTTGAATAATGTTTTAACGTTTTTGTTTTTTTCGCCCTTTTGGTGACAAAATGAAATTATTTATTTATCTTTTACCCGTTTTGGTAGGAATAAAAATAAAGAAGACAGCAAAAATGTACATTGTAGTGCGGGAAACATATAGCAATCTTAAAATGTTAGCTGCAGCTTATGTATTATAGGAATATATATACATAATTTGAGGAAAATCATTTTAAAATGAGTAATTTAGGGGTTTTATTTAGAAAAATTTAAAATAAAAGTTTAGCTATAGAATTAATACATTTAAGAATATAATGACAAATTGTAAGATAATAAATAATCCTTAAAATCTTATGTTTCACTCTCTTTTGATAATAAATTATTTAAAAATATATTTATTAATCTAGTCGTTCGATACTTTGAGCTATGTGATAGATGGATAATTGATCCGAAGAATGTAAAACATACCCTATCCCTTCTCTTATTATTTGGATAGACTTGCAAATAATTCAAACCCATTAAGGTCTGGATGTAAATTTCTCAATTATAGGGTGCAATAGAATGAGATGTTAAACCTATCTGGTGTGATGTGTCAACTATATTACTATTTTTTCTCTAAATTAAACAATGCAAGGGGATATCCATTTAGAGAAATTTATTTTTCAACCGAAAAATGGTTTACATCCAGACCTTAATGTGTTTGAATTATCTACGAAGTTATTCAAATAATAAAAGAAATGGGATTTAAAAAAAGACACCAAAGAATGAATTTTTATAACTTAACGTCACGGAGGACCTTTTTTTAAAAGTCCAGTCTAACTTTATCTTAAGAATAAGCAATTACAACGTAAAAAATGATATGAATGAATAAACACAGATTTACTATAATGGAAAACAAGTAAATGCATCACCATGAAATATCCCGAAGTTTCCCGTGGGTAATGGTCTCTTGCAAGGCAAATATCTATATTTCGTACGTTTCCCTTCTTTGCAAACTCTTTTATTTCCATTTTGTGTGTACCGGACAAACAATGCTATTGTTTATTCCAGGTCAAGTTTATTTTATGGAGCCGTTCCACATCCCACGCGGGTTTCTTTTTTTTCCCAAAAAGGAATGCCTCTCGCTCGTTTCGGTCTCGCCCCTGTCAGATCTGCACGGAATTAAAAGGAAAAATTCATAAAAACACATAACAGCTACAGGGAAGGAAAGGAGAGGGGAAGGGAGAGATCAGCAACCCAGGAGGATAGTCAAAACTGGGTCATCCGACTGAAAATGAAAACAAAATATGCCTCAGATTCTCTTTACTTTCAATCATATGGAGCACATTCTCCTTAATCAATACAAGCCAAGCAACTTTTGATACTTCGATTTTTCCGTCTCTCTCCATCCGTATGTATCGTTCTTCCTAATGGAATCATAATGTGAGGGACAATAATAATAAATAAAAAAGGCATAGTTCTTCTTCTTCTTTTCCTTTAGATTAGGGCTGCATTTGGAGTACCTAGCAGAAGGGGAAGCTTGTTCAAATATTTTTAATAAAAACAACAAAAACAAAAACAAAAACAAAACTATAATTCTGAGCATAATTCAATATAAGAAAAATAACGAAACCACCTTTCTGTATTCCTACGTGTGTATGTGTGTATGTGTTTGAAAATATGTACTGTTTATTATTATTTTGTGTTGCACAACCCCTTGGTATCCTCATAAATTAATACCGTAAGGCCCTACAAAACTGAGAGCTTACCAGATTAGTCAGAGACTCAACTAAGCTGCATTGTTCTTCTTCTTCTTAGTTCAAAACCTGTTGCCTGTGCATTAGTTTATCTTTTCTGGTCTCATTTCTCAGACTAGAAACACGCCAACCACAGGGGAGCACCTTAGCAGAAAAGAAGGATGGCAGAAATTGTTTTGTTTGGATAATGTGTCGAATACTACGCACAATTATGAGGGAAAAGATCTTATTCAAAATCATAGTAACCATATACTACCTCACTTTCTATCATATCCATTAAATTCTTTTTTTATTTGTTCTTCTTATATTGATATAATTTATTATTCTTACTACTTAAATAGAAAAGTTTAAAAATATTAAAATAAAATGACTAGCACTATATAAGTGAGAATGAGATGCCAAAATTTTACAGATTCTATTATCCTCTTCCCTTGTCTAAACATAAGAAGTTAAGAAATGATTTATATAACTAATGCTACGGAGAAAATATATATACGTATAATAATACTAAAATATACATACGTGTAATAATACTATTAAACATTCAATGTTGTTCATAACAATTTCATTCCTGTTGTCATTAGTGAGGTTTAGTCAAAGTTATACTTATGATTTGGGTACAGCTCATGTGTCACCAGGGTTGACTGCTAAAATATACGCCCTTTCTCGAGATCCACCAACAGGTGATCCGGTATCCTCTGAAAACTATGCTCTATACAGTAAAGATTCTCTTTATTTAAGATATGAAACATTTTTAACTGACCCTAATGTAACTTATTTGACAACAGTGAATGGTGTTACAGATTTTAGCATATCTTTCAAAGATAACACTAATATAACTGTCTATGGGGAAAAGATCGACGCAACACAATTCATCGTTGAAGCAAGAGGATATTTTATCCCTCCAGTGAATGGTACCTACTATTTTTATAACGTCGCATATGCCACTTTTGATTCTGACAATACGTATATTCCTGAATATTATTCTTCAGGGATCAGTTTAATAGGAAAGACTTATATTACTACAGATGATGCAGGCGATGCGACTTGTAATCAATTCGATTATACTATCGCGCCAACAAATACCTATTCAGCTGCACTTATAACTGAGGGTACTAGTGCTGGCGCGTTTAACATGGGTTCATTAATTGCAGGTCGTGCATATCCAATAACGATTACCTCAATGAGTCTTCAAAAAGCTCTAGATTTATCTATTTGGTTTGAAGTTGGGGATCAAACTATTGCGTTAGATGCATCCAATTTTGTTACCATGGATTATGATGGTTTAGACTGGTCAGATATTAACGCGGTTGAATATCCAGAAAACTGTCCAGCATTAGCAACTACAACTACGTATGAACGGTCTGTTGTTTATTCAACGACTACAATGTCCACATACGTAACGACAATAACAGGTACAAATGGTATTAAAACAACAGAAACTGTATATGTTGTCGTTTTACCAATCCCAGGGGTTACTCCAACTAAATCATCTACTAGTTCTTTTGTAAGTTCTTCATCTGTCGTTTTGACAAGTTCAATAGTCATATCATCTTCTACTTTTAGTAGTTCGATCCTGGAATCATCTTCTACTATTAGTAGTTCGATCCCGGAATCATCTTCTACTATTAGTAGTTCGATCCTATCATCATCTTCAACAATTATCAGCAGTTCGATCCCAGAATCGTCTTCTACTATTAGTAGTTCGATCCTATCATCATCTTCAATAATTATCAGCAGTTCGATCCCGGAATCGTCTTCTACTATTAGTAGTTCGATCGCAGAATCATCTGGAACTACTAAAAGCGCCATTAAATCATCTGCTCGTGGAAGTAACTCAAATGAAGTAGCGTTATCTACTAATGTTCCAACTGGAAAGGCATCACTTTTCACCAGTAATGCTGTAGAAAATTCATCATCTGATGTTATTAACTCCATTGAGTCACAATCATCTTTTAATACTAAGTCGGTAAAATCAACCAAGAGTATGGATTCAGTGGAAATATCTTCCGGTAGTGTTGTTCTAGTTGAAACGTCAACTGGTGATGTTAATCCAATCAAAAGGTCATCTTCCATTATCAGTGCTCCTGTAAAAGGGGTATCTTCTGATATAAGTCGTGAGACCAAAGTTGTATCATCTGTCAACGGTAATTCCGACAAAAACCCGACATCCCAAAACACTGACACTGCAAAGATATCATCGAGTATTGCACCATTGACAAAAGAGTCATCTTTGGCCAACGGCAATTTGGGAAAAAATTCTTTATCAACTACAACTAGACCCGCTATATATTTATCATCTGCTAATTTTGATGCTACTTCAACATCTGGTCATAATAGACCTGACTTATCTAACACTGATTCAATTTCAACTTTGTCGCAAGTTGGGGAAGGTTACAAATCACACATAAATGATATCACCGTTAATCCTTCAAGCAGGGAATCTACTTATTTAAGTTCTACATCTGGTCTTCATGAAAAACCTACTGATCGTATATCTCGCGCAGCTATGATAGTTAATTCAAATTCACAGGATATCACTGGTACTTCTACCAAGATGTCCAGGAAAACTGGTTATTTTACCCCAACAACGACGACAGGTATTGTATCATCCATTGCAACAAAACATATGTCGGAACGAAAAGAACCTAACGACCAATCAACATCGAGTACTCAAAAAAACGCCATATCTGCATCATTTATGACAAATTCCGATACGTCTAGAAATACAGTACTTGATAGCGAGACAGCATATAATGGTGATTTCAAATCCGATAGTCTTACAGCATCTCAATTTGTAACAGATAATGACCCGGGACACAATACTAAATCATTAATAAGCAGCAGTGGGAATGTACAATATAGCAATATTGTACAACTTGATTCAAGTGATTTGCAAAGCACAAGTGCTGGTGTTTCCGATTTTGCTGGATCAAGTAACTCATTATCAATCGGTTTATTGGGTATGCTGTCATTGATTGTTCAGGTTTTAATATAATTATAAGTTGTTATGAATGATATCTAGCAACATTTTTTTAGTTTCACATGAATTAATTTCATCAATAAATAATAAATAATAATTTTCAAGTTCACTTTTAGCGTCATGTATTAATTACTAAAATGTTTTATATTGTCTGTATTGTAATTGAGACATTTATGGTTTCGGTAATTGACTACGTTTAGCATATTACGAACTGTTTCTTAATAGATTCTTGAATAATATCATTTTATTGCCCTACTGTGAGTAATTGGGAAATTTCCAAAAAGAATATCCCAAATATTTATCTTAAAGGTCTGCAATGAAGGTTGGTCTCATCATATAAAGTCAAACATTATCTATCGTGTCGTTTGGATGACAGATAATGTAGAAGAGACATAGGCAGTACTAATCCTCAAACAATCAATATAAGATATACTACGTTTCTTAAACTGAGTTTGTTTCCTCTTTTCTTAATGAAGTCCCATTAAGTCTAAGATTAGAGTAAACATTGTTATTTGTTCTAAAATAAGATATATTTAAACCAAAAGAATCTTGCTTTAGGTGGTTGGTTACACCAGATTGTTTCCCTTAAATAAATAAGAGTTATTAGAAGAAGCTAAAAATAAGAGTATCCATTTGATAGAGCTATAATTAGACAATTTTTGGTCAGATGGAACTGGAGATTGTATAGTAGAGTTAGATTTGGATTCATTCACTGTCCATTGTTATGGTAAGAGATTTAGTAGCAGTTTAAATGCGAAGGGTTATAATAAAGCAAGTATTATTTGTAAGCGGTTTTTACTATTACATAAAAAAATATAGAGCGAACAGATTTTAACTGAGAATGTAAGTTCAGAATTCTTTGTGTTTATATATTATTATTTTCTTGAAATTCTATTTCTCTTTTTACCTAATTATTACCTAGTATTTCTCTCATAATTTCCTTACGTATTGTTTAGGTCTTATTAGGATATTTGAGATTTGGTGGTCCAACATAATTGCAGTCTATTTATTTCAGCAGTATGTTTGCATTTCCTTTATTCAGTAATATCTATATTTTAGTTAGGGTTTTGAGTTTGATCTATTTCAAATGGACTGCTATTATTGTAACACCAGAGTAAGATCACAGTAATATTATGCCATATTGCCTACTTTAGTTGTTTTAACTCATTAAAAGAATAAGAGGCCTTCTCATATTTTAATTATTATATGTAGGTGAGTACATTTCTGGCCATAAATGTACAACTAATAAAGTTATCTTGTTCCAAGTAACAATATTTATCATTTCATTATATTGCTACGGAATGTATTTGGGCAGATAGCAATCGGTAATCTGTTTTCGGTCTCAGAAGCGTAAATAATCTTCTCCAAATATAGTGTTACGATCATTGAGAATACTTCATACGTTAGATATAATTTTTAAATTTCAATTTCAGTTGCATATCAGACTAATTCGGCAAAATAACGACTCTCTTTTGTATGTCTTTGATTCAATGTGGTTCGTATTTCTTAATACAAGTTTTATTTTTCGCGATGCCATAGAAATTTGTTACGATTTTTCGATTTGATATGGTGAAGTGCATAACTGATAAAAAAAAAAAGACGAAGATATAAGAAGTTTCATGCCAGCCGAAATAGTCGGTCGGACTATTTCACAGAATACAGTGAATGTAGCAGAACATTTCAGGATGAACAAGAGATGCAATATCCTATTTTCTTAACAATAGCAGAGTGAATTATCAATTGTATTACTGTAAACGACTTAATCATTGTATGTTTCCTGGTTGCGACTTTATCTCATTAGTTCGACTGAAATGGCATCAGAGTGTTTGATTAAAAACGACAAGTATGCAAAAATGTATCGGTAGTAGTTGAAAAGTATACCAAAATGATATATTCTATCGTAGTACTGATTCCTGGGTTGTATTATTTATTTAGCATTTGATTTGCCCAATATTAAATTCGTAGCGTATTCTTAACTACGGTTCGTTATTCCACTTACAAAATCGTGCAATTCAACAAACAGACAAATCAGAGTCGCTTACTTAACAATGTACGATATTAGGTCAATAGTTTTGATTTGATGTCTTCTATTTTGCAGTTTTGTTATTCATTATGACAACTTATTTCTCTCGGGTTCAACGCATACGTTAGTAGGCCTATTATGCGGAAGTATCAAAATGATGAAAACATACAATGCAGTAACATAAAACAGAAAACACGATGACCGTAGTAATATATGATTGAAAGTTGGGTACGTCTAGTGGTAATATTCCCTCTAATATTCATCGTAGAACACCTAAATTTGGAATTTAATTTGGGGAAGAAGGAAGTATATACAGAACTGGATCAACAAATATGTGAGTCTATTAATTCTAAGGAAGAGCTTCGAGGAGATGACAGGGAAAACATATGTGGGATGATCGTTATGTGTACCAAACCTTTGAATTCCGTGGATCTTCAATTCTGGACAATCTATTCAATATTTGTTTTTTCCACGGCTTGGTTGTTAACTCGCCTGACCCAACTACGAAAGAACGACGATCCTTGGGTGTAATGCATCTCAGTTCTTCCTCTCTTCGTCTGTGTGTTTTTAAAAGACCAGCTCTTTTGATGTTTGTTGTCCTAAAACGGCAATAAGGATTATCCAAAAGAA